TTATAGATAACTAATTAATAAAGTAGCTATAGTAGAATTAGCGAGACTAAAGGCTAATAGGCTAAAATAGTTATACCTATAACTATCTAGAGATATCGACTTTGTTAATCTATAGATAAAGAAGTATTACGACTAAAAATACGAAAAAGGACCTAACCTAAAGGGGGGAGAAAAGGTTTATCTTTTATACTGTAATATTAAAACCAAGCGACCTAGTAATAAATTAGACTACCTATGGTTAGGACTATTTAAAATTAAAGAAAAACTAGGATTAGTTAACTATCGCTTAAAGCTACTAAAAAGCATACAAAAACTCTATCTAGTATTTTATATCTTATTACTTAAACCTATACTAAATAATGCTAAACTTGCGATAAATATAGAATTAGAGAAGGAAACCGAAAACGAATATAAGGTTAAAGAAATCCTAGAAATAAAGCGAATAAGCGGAAAGCCTTACTACTTAGTAAGATAGAAGGGGTATAATACCTCTAAAAATACTTAGGAACCTATCGAAAACCTAAGGGGCTACCCTTAGCTAGTTTAATAGTTCTACTAGAAGAATCGCTAACTAGGAAAGATAGGTCTATCCCCTCTAAGATAGAAAGGGATAGGGGACCGAATATCTAGGTTAGAGTAGGATCCTCTAACGTAGCGGTAAGGGCTTAAGTATTATACTTATTGGTGAGGCGATCTAGCTTAGTAAGATCCTTAGCAGACAGAGGATCCTTAGTATCTAACTGCTCTATTAACACAGAATTATAATCTAATATCTAATTATTCTAGGAACGTAAGAATTAGCGCTATTTACGCAAATATATTATTTTTATTATTATATCTATTTACTATTTTTTAGCCTAGGTAAGCTCTTTATTAATTTTCTACTACTTACGTAATACCTTTTACCACTTAGTTTCGCTATAGAACCTTTTAGCATATTTCTAACCCTAATAAATACATTCGGTATAGTTACAGTACTTAGGATCCGCTATATAAGAGATACTATAGAAAAAGTAATATTTATAGGGGTATTTAGTAACTAAACTGTTTATTAGAATTAATCGATATTAAGTAAGTCTATTTTATTTACAAGTCGCGTTATTAACCGGTATAGTATAAAGGGCATATAACTAGAGAACGAGAAAAAAGGGAAAAAGAAAAATAACTGATATTACTTACCTAAGGGGTAGTCGATAGCTTTAAAGGGCTTCGAGAACGAAACCCTAGGGGAGGGGGAGATAATATTACAGAACTACCCGTTACTAATTAATAGTACCCCACTGGGTATATAGATAGGCTACCGAGAGCTAACTAATCTATCTATTAGCAGATTATATATAGTATCTAATACTCTAGTATCCCTAGGTATTTAGGAAAGAGAAAACCTATTTACGCTTAGTAAGCAAAAGTATAATCAAGCCTAATTAGACTCCCTACTAAGAGGTTTCCGGTATGTATATACTTTAGGGTATCAGATATTACCTACACTAGGAATCGCTATATACAGAACTAGGGACACGTAACCGTGACTCCTACGTCGACTTAGAGAAGTATACGCAGGAGTATATAGCGACTCTAGCGGTGACTCTAGGGAGTCACGCTAGGAGTAGGAATCGAAAGATATATAAGGACACTCATTTATATACTTAGTTTAGTTCTTCGTCTTTAATTATATATTGTTACTTGTGTTTACCTTTTGGACTACTATGACTCTTTACTTGATTATAACTTAATAACACTCACGAGTAGACCAATACCCCGGTATAGATCTACTCGGCGCTCTCACTGGCATCGTTCCTCGATCTCTCAACAGGACTTAGGCTACAGTAAGGCCTTGCAGGCAATAGCTCAGTTGCGATAGATCGTTGACGTTGGATACACGAGGAGTATTAAGGCAAGTATACCCGGAACCCATCTAACCTAACTGTGACCAGTTAGCAGTGCGTAACAATAGATAGGATATAACTTACTCGTTATATCTATTAATAAGTATCTTTACTAACTAGACTGCGACAACGCCTACGAAAGTGGAGACACTTTTAGCGTCGCCAAGACATATGCGGGCACTCTTAGTAGGGTGGATACTGCCAAGAACTAGTTATATACATAAAATAGCCTAATAGGGTAAATTCTGCATTAATTTTGCATAACGGTAGGCGATGGGCGTCAAATTTCAAAAGGCCCACGGGCCGTGGACACTTCCTAGTGCCCATGGACGGGCGATGTCGCAGTCTATTACTAATGTAGTAACGGGCGAATAGCTTAAAGTATTAGTAAAGGCGTTACTAGTATTTATTATATAACTAAAGTAGTTTCTTTCGTAATATTTTAAATATCTAATTAAAAAGTTTATATAGATTATCTGATCCTCTAAAAGAAGAAAGTCTATATAATCCTCGTTCGATTAAATATAATATCTATTCTTATATTATTCTTAATTATAAGATTTTTCTTAACTAAGTAAGTACTTACTTTCACTAATAATATTCGATAATAGCGATACTTTTTAAGGTCTTAGCTTAAAGTTTAGAGGGAGTTATCTAAGACTACGAAAATATTCTAGTCTAGCTTAAGTTTCCTCGTAAAAAATAGGATCGGTCTAGTATTAGTACTTATTAGTTTAAGCCGGATATATAGGCGTAGGTGCTATAGAGGAGGTTAGATATAAAGACTAGGGTAGAAAATTTATATTATAGGAAATAATAACGTTAAGGTCGGCTTAAGGCGTAGGTAACGAGGATAAGAGAATAGGAGGTATAAGGATACCGGAAAGGAGGGAAGGCGAAGTATCTTATAGGCGCTTAAATAGACTAGGCGAAAAGGGAAGGGAGTTAGATTTAGCTGAAGGGGAGCTATTTTCGGCGTCGTTTTAGTTACTAGTAGAAACGAGGGGAACAACTGTATAAGTCGAGCGTTAACATTAGGACCGGAGGATGACTAAAAGTGCTAGGCGGGTGCAGAATAGTGGTGTTACAGGGCAGTGGGCGGTTAAGGGGCGGCTAGACGTCTAAAGTTACGGGTGGAAAGGCAGCCGTTTCTGGCCTCACAAGCGGTCATTTTCGGCGTCAATCCCACAGGTCCTCATATTCTAGTTGTAAAATATACGACGGGTCGTCTTACCGATCTTGCAGCTTTATATGTTGTAGTAATTATTTTCATTTTAGAATCATTCTAATATGGGCAGCAAAGTCACTAGTTGAGATTCAATAGAGCAGCAAAAGATCTTTTTATCTGATAGACAATGTGTAGGTGCCACCAACTGGCTCACTTAAATGATAGCGAAGGAACAATTCCACTGGTGCTTTCTCTGTATCTGCAAAGCTCCATATTTGTGAGTATTGCAAGATCATCCCCCTTCTATCATACGAAGCCTGAATAACCCTCCCCTGTTGATCACCCAAGAAAGAAAGAACCAGAATCTTCCTAAGTCTTAGATATTACCATACTATGATATATTATGGAAATACTTACCGGATGAGTACGGCACATGCGGAATGGTTTATGATTTGCTCGAAGGAGCATTGTATACACGATAGCTCTCAGCTCATGTGTAGTCAATCCCCGATTTATATCAGTAGGACGAATATCCGAAATACATGATATGACCGAATGAGGCTTAAGAGGGCGATCAGCGTATCGGTAATGTTCGACCACTCGCCACGTTTTTGGCTTTTCATACCCCTCCATAGTAGGAGGATCGCCTTCTTTGTAGTCTGGGCTATAAGCTATTAGTTCTATATATAAGCCTATGAGATATATAAAATAATTTGGGGTCTACTTACCTCCAATATACTTGGTTCCTAAGATGTTCAAGCGTGAAGTCATCGGAAGGTCCTTGCCTTGGTATACTTAGGTGAGAACTGATAAGACGCTCTAACCCCTGGGCTTGGTTATACGCCTCGTTCTCTATCAGATACAGAGGACGATCGATGCACGAAAGATTCTCAAATATGGGAGCGGCTCCTGGGGGATATTCTAGCCGGCCCATGCCCTTCACGATAAAATCTTGTATGGTGCGGATATGTGGTATATTTAGGTGATCCTCATACTCCTTTTGTACCCTAGGAGGGATAGGATACTTTTCGAGGAGTCTTTCTGGGTGTGGCTGAAAGAAGCACGGGTTAAATTTGAGAGTTCCATTTTCATTCAGGTCAAAGGGTACTTCAAATGTTTGGATTTCAAGTTTCTCAAGGTCTCCATGGGAAGGGAAGTCAGGCTCAAAGTCTTTAACTTTCTGAAAGAGGGACCTGAGAAAAGTAGATTGAGCTTGTGATCCAGCCATTTTGAAGGAGAAGGTGTTTCTGAAGGAAAAATAGAAAGAATGGAATTAAAGAAATGCGTGATGTAGGCTGGAACCTTGGATGCTATGTATTATGTATGTCATTGCTTTGTGGGTTGCCCCGGAGTACGGCATTTTTCAACCGCCGCCGTGCCAACCCATACAATTTGTTTACCGCCTAGTTCACTGCCTCGCTTTTCAGCTGCACGTTTCCTTAGCTTCCTCAGCTTCCCCTTTTATTCTCATTACAGGCAGGCTTCTACCATAGGCCTAGAAGCCTATCGCACCCATCCTTTTGCACTTATGGAAGGATCAGATGGGGATCGAGCATCCGCCATAATGGCAGATGAATATAACTTTTTAAAAAAAAGGGAGGGGGGGGGGGGAAGAAATCAGATAGTAAGAAAAACTTGAACTTGATTCAGAAGAAAAGAGGAAAAGGAGTAGCACCCGACACGCCCTAGCTACTGACCACTATTCTATCCCGACGCCGAGTAGCAGATAGGAACGCTGTATAGGACTGGATCAAGCTGAAATGAGATTATCCATTGGCATGTCATCACGTCCCGCACTATGCTTGATTGGGCTGAGCGCTTCGCCATTCTAGCTTTGAGGCTATGCCCCGCATACGGTCACATCGGATTCCGCGCAAATCTGTTTTTTTTAATACCCTTTCTAGCCCGAAGGTCTAAACACCAACCAAAAAATACCAGACGAGACTATGGCCGAGCTAGTGGGGCTTCTCGCCAGTATCGGTGGCCTTATCCAGCTTGCGGGACAAATCACTAAACTCAGTTACAGCTACGTATCAGATATCAAATCTGCTCCAAAAACACAAAAGCTGTATCTCCAAGAGGTGTCAGCGCTCACAGATGTGCTTTTTCGGGTAGAAAAGGCTATCCGAGAGACAGAAACGACCGGTTTAGAACTGCCCTCCTGCCCATCTTCGCTCAATGAAGAAGCTCTTCAAGAGTGTCGGCGCCAATTGTCGGTCCTTCATCTCGATCTCGACAAGCGACTTCGCCGCCTCGTATGGCCGTTTCAGGAAAAAGAGGTCAAAAAGTATATTGCCCTTTTGCATCGCTATCGATCGCTCTTTGCCGATTTTCTTTCAACAAATATGATGTGCGAAGACCTATCTCTGCAAGGAAAACACTTGGAAGTAAACTAATTTGCAGCAGGTCTGTTTCCACTGCTACGTACAAAAAGGTTGCAACAATCGACCAGGGTAATGTCCTTTGAATGGCATGAATCCTCGTAATAGCTCTAATTCACACTTTAGAGCAAATTAGGCAGTATCTTTACTCGCTTTTCCCGGTATCAGATAATCTTCTACGCTCTAGGCCAAAAGCTTGTCCTGGAACTGGGAAATGGTTTTTGGACTCACAAAATGTGGAGAGCTGGCGTACCGGAGCCCCATCACTGCTCTGGTGCTACGGAGCCCGTACGAATTCTTTTTGAATATTTCCTATAACGTTCAAGAGCTAACCAATAATAGCTGGTGTTGGCAAAACGTTACTTTCGTATGTACTGCTTGAAATCTCCTAGTCATGGTTCTGCAATGTCTAACACAGCTAGATCAATCACCATTGACCACCTATGGGATAAGAAAATAGATACTACAAGCTTCGTGGTATATGTATTTTGTCAGTTCTCATCCCGGGAGCAACAAAGCCTCACAGCAATTTTGCAATGCATGATCCGACAGGTAATCGAGCAAGCAGATGAAAAGGTGCTTCTCACAATGAAACATCTCTTCGCGGACCCAATGAAGCAGCGTGAGGTTGCAGGACTCGCTGAAGCATTTGCAACAGCATGTGAGCTAAAGTCGACCTACCTTCTAGTTGACGGACTAGATGAAGTGGTTGGAGCAGATGGCTTGCTCCCTTATCTATCTTCCTTTATCGGAAGTGGGTGCAAAGTAATGGTCACGAGCCGAGACCTCAGCCATATCAGGAAGGCAATGGATCTTGCAACCAAGATGGAGATATGTTCGCAATCGGAAGATTTAGAGATCTACATCGACTCCCGTTTTCAAACGAACGAGCTTCCTCCGGGGGCACAAAAGTTGATCGCAAAAATCACGGAAAAGTCGGGGAATATGTACGAACTACCGTTGGTAACTTAGTACAGCGCTGACAGATACTAGGTTTTTACATACCAAGCTGATTCTGGATGAGATCTTAGATCTCACTACCGTTCGCCAGATGCAAAAGGCTCTGGAAAAACAGTCGACGGGGTTGGATCAAGTGTACCAATCAACACTACATCGAATCGATATGCAACCAAGGGCAAGAAGGGAACTTGCTCGGCGATTCATCGGATGGGTTGTCTTTGCGAAGAGACGTCTCAAAGTCGATGAAGTGATTCATGCCTTTGCCGTTGAAGATGATGAGGATTGTATTGAAGAAGATAACTTCGTCAGCCCTGATCTTCTTCTTAGATCGTGTGTTGGTCTAGTGGTGTTACATGATGACAAGACTATTGCAATGGTCCATGCGACCGCTTACGAATTCTTCGCATCTACGGTATTGTTACCACATGAGATGGAGATCGACATCGCACAGACATGTCTACGCTACCTGTGTCTAAGTCCGTTCAAGGAAGGACCCTGCACAAGTCGCCTGGAGATGTCTCGCCGCTTCCATGAAATGCCGTTTCTAGATTATGCCTCGCGGCACTGGGCAAGTGCGGACAAAGAGCTCAAGTCACTTGTTCTCTTTTTCATTTGCAACGAGAGGCTCCTCAATGCCGCCGTTCAAGCATTGCACTTCCGCAGTGAGCTCGAAGCTGATCTCCTGGACCCCCTTTTTGATTCAATCCCTCAAAACCAAACGGCTTTGCATGTCGCCGCTTATTGGAATCTTACCGGAATCCTGGGGACATTGATCGAGTCAGGACTGAGTACATCTCTCGCCGATACTCATGGCTGGACACCTCTCCACTACTGCTGTGCAAACCGTCATTTTTCCTCAGCTGAACTTCTCGTGAGAAGTGGAGCGGACGTAAACGCCGCAGACAATCAAGGGTGGACCCCTCTCTTCTGGGCCTCATTCACTGGAAGTTTGGAAATTGTTCGTCTTCTGTTATCCGAGCATGCAAATTATACACAGCGTAGCAAATACGGCTGGACGGCATTGCACTGGGCTATATCCCGCGGCGAAACCGGGGTGGTCTCGGAGCTTGTGCGGCATCATCAATCGCAGTTGTTGCGTGTTATCAAGGTTGACATTCGGACGCTCAGCGTCGATGACCTGAGGCGATTCAACACACCGGAGAACACTTCACCAATCCAAATAGCAGCTGAGGGCAACAATACTTCCATATTCGACATACTTGTGGCTCAGTTCGAAGCACCTGATTCTGCCGAAGAGGGAAATTTCCAGAAGATCTGGTCCAGAGAGAGCTTCAAAGTCCCTGTTTCTCAGAGCGCATGGCAAAACTCGATCAAGGCACAAATAAACGGAACCCCAATGCCCGGACCGGAGTCAATTGCTGGAGAGACATACGTAGAGCAGAACCCGTACACGTACTTTGAACATGAATTGAGGAAGGAAGATCCATCAGCATGGAAGTCAACTCTACTTTGCTCCGCCATCCAAGATGCTGATTTCCAGGCAACAAAACTATTCCTCGAACTTGGAGCAGATGTGAATTACATATCCGAAAATGGATCGCTGTTGAGGGTTGCTACGCGCCAACGAGACCCACGTTTTGTACAAGTTCTGCTGGAAAAGGGTGCCAAATGGCCACGGACTGAAATGGATGGACTGAACCTTGCTATCTCCCTCGGAAACTTGGAAACGGCAAAAATCATTATCGACAGTGGCCTTATTCCGGTGAATGAATTATACGGGTATGAAGCACCTTTGCACGCAGCCGCCGGCCAGAAGGATCCTCAATTCGCGTTGCTTCTGCTATCTAGGGGGGCGCAGATTGAAATCCCAGATTGGTATGACCGGACTGCCCTGGATATCGCTGTCGCGAACGGATTTGTCGAGACAGCACAAGCCCTGACTGATAGTGGTGCAGACGTCAACGAGTCATCATCCCGAAAGTGCCTGATGAGAGCCGTTTTTCTTGGGGGCGAGGATATTCCGCCGGAAAGGAGGGCCTCTGGAATTGAATTGACTCACATTCTGCTTTCAAAAGGGGCCGATCCCAACTTCCAAGACGAAGAAGGAAGGACTGCTTTGCATGTGGCAGCAACGAGTCGCAGTGTGAAATGCATTGAACTCTTGATGGCTGCTGGGTCTAAGGTTTAGACTGTCGATAACACTGGGCGGACTCCAATTTATGCCATGATGGAATCCGTGGAGGAGAACTGGGATGTGGAAGTGGTGGGGGAAACCCTTCGCCTGCTGCTCGGAGGATTATCCGAAGACGCCGTCATCACATTACTCGCCACGAAACCGGGTCAATCCCTGAATTCCGAGTCTTCAGGAGACGACGACGTTCACCGAGACACTCCATTGACCTATGTTTTGAGGCAGCAACATTGGAGTATAGCTCGTCTTTTGATGGCCTTAGGAGCGCAGCCCCCCTCCGGGCCCAGATTTCTGCCTATTTTGATGAATGCAGTCCGCTCCCTTGAATTTCAGATTGTGGAAAGTCTTATTGGGAATGGGGTGTCACCAGGTGATGACGCTGCTTTGGAATTGGTAAGGGGCATTGTTAACAGACTTGGGGATGAGTCTTCCTCTCTACTTTCTTCCCCTAGAAGGAACAATATTACTACGGCTGAAATAATGCGTATGTTTGCAAGGGCAAGACGTCAAAAGTTTCCGAAGCTTCCTCCGAAGGAGATTGTGCAGGCCTCCCAGCAGATTCTGGCTACCCTGGTGTCCACGAGCGCGGACCTGAACTTCTGTGATCTAGAAGAAAATAAGACCCCTCTACTTCTCGCAGTTGAGAAGGTTCCGATTGCTCAGGTCACAGCCGCTCTATTGGAGTTCGGTGCTGATTGCTTCCATTCTTCCGGGAATGGGTTTGATTCCATTTTGACAGCTGCAGTAGTCAACAACACAGAGTCACTGCGTGTTTTAATAGCACATGCCTTGGCCTCGCCGAAGCCGGGGGATTGGACCCAACATTTGGAGTATCAGTGCGAGCTGAGCGACAAAGATATCTTCAACAACATATGCCTAGCATTAAAACGCACTGATAGGCTAGACCACAAGGACTCGAATGGTCGAACACTGTTGCACCACGCTGCAGAGAAAGGGAACCTCGATCTGGTCCTCAGTTTGATCTGCCATGGTGCTCATGCAGATATGCCGGATGAAGATGGCTGGTTCCCCATCCATTGTGCCGCATTTTCATCATATGCCTCAGGTAGGGACGATGAACGGCCCCGGCAGCCTCGCCATGATATAGTACAGCACCTTATGCCGATAAACATGGCGAAGCATCCTTCCCAGCATAATTCCGATGCTTCCATTCATGCTAAAGCCTCCCTCCACGACGCAGAAATCCGTCAGCAGACACTACACACAAAGAACAAAAAAGGAAGCACGATGCTTTCGGGCGCTTTGGAATACAGCGACGAGATCATGTTTCTGCATCTTCTCGATCTCGAGAATGATTTCAACTCTTGTGCCACATTGTCTCCATGGCACCCTTCACTTCTTTATCATGCATCTGTTCGTGGGATGGCAAAAGCAGTGTCTTTCTTGCTGGACAGCAACGTCGATATTGAAAAGTCCGACGACCGTGGATGGCGATCACTGCACGGTGCAGTACGCTGGGGTCAAATCGAGATTGCTGAGAGACTCATTACTGCCGGAGCTAGCGTGTGTGCTTCCACAACACAGTTTCACGAGGATTCTTTCACGTGTTCCCATGATGGTGGGGAATTATGGCATGGTCATCCTCTCCATCTGGCTGTAATGGAGGGTAACGTCGACATGGTTGAGCTTCTTTTGAAGCATGGTGCAGATGTGGGTGCAAACACAGGATGCTTCAAAAGTACCGATGGAAGCATACGTGGCCCGACTGCACTTCATATAGCATTATATCCACAGATATGGCATGTGGAAGACGAGGAAGACCGCCATGAAGAATATTTGAAGATTGCTAGAATGTTGATTGAAAAGGGGTCCTCTGTTGAAGGTGTTTTGGATCAATTGCAGGTGAATGATATTCCAAAGTTTGAAGGGTTTGAGGATGTCTGGGATAAGATTCGAGGCTATTCACCATAGTGCAGTCAGTCAATACTTCCAACCTGGGAAGGTTTTACTTCGACCATATTACTTCAAATTAAATTATTACCCATAAATCGATATGCTATATAACCCCGACCCTAAATTAATTAATGTACACAATACGATGATTCCGTATACTACGCCTCTTCCTCGGAACAGGGCGCTTTATCGGTATCCTCTGGACCGAAGAAGCGCACTGCAAGAGCAGCTAGGAGGAGATATACAAGACCTGTCATTATTAGCAATGCCAACGAGCAATGAGGTCAACGACTTACCCAAGGTCCAGCTCATGTATTTATAGCCGAACATTTGTTTTAGCGAGCCACCAATGATAGGGCCAATCATAGTCCCGAGGGAAGCAGAAACATCCATCATAGAGAATAAACGTGACATGCCTCCCTTGGACCCGAAGATACCTGGGGATCTTTCTTGTATTGCTTTACCAGTAGCTGGAATAGATTGTTCAGTACTGTCGTATTTTGCATATTCCAGAGGCACGACTTACCCGTCAGTTCAACAGGCACAAGACCAGACACAAATGGCCGCAACGTGCCTATAGCAACGATACAAGCTGCGTAAATTGGTTTGCCCATGTTCTGAACGTTCGCCCAAGAACTGTCACCACCAGCAATGCCCATAAGGCCAAACACAATTGCCTGAAGAATGGCACAGAGCACGGTAGGTGGCCGCGTTCCGATTCGATCACGGACCCAACCAGCAACAGGGCCAATAAAGACACCTGGAACGACGAGTCCAGCAAAAAGGAGTCCAGCAGTACTAGGGCCCCATCCGAATTTTTCTTCGACGTAGAGAGGAAGTGTCGCATCGAAGCTCGTGCTGACGGTTGCACCCATGGTGATAATCAGTAGACAGGTCATAACACGACCGTTGCATAGCATTATGCGCCAGAAATCTCCGATTTTGGGTGGTATTTGTTGCTCTTTGCAAGGAAGCAGACTTTCATTCTCTGTTGGACTGCCATTGGCTGTAGATGAGGAAGGGCTGGCTGGAATCTCTATCATACACACGCGTGCAATGAAGTCTATAGTTAGAACCACGAGGGGAACCGACCATGTCAGCCAGTAACCAACCGCCTCTAAAAGTAGTCCAGCCACTGCTGGGCCACTGATTGTGCCGGTATTTGCGCAAGACATCATCATACTCAATGCAAAACCTATATGATTCGGACTGATAGTGTCTGCGACTGTTGCAAAGCCGATAATCCACACAGCAGACCCGGCGATACCTTGCATCACGCGGCCTAATAGTAGCATAGGGACCGAAATAGCGCTGGCTACTATGCCAGTGCCGATAATACACCATGCAAGAGAAAATAGTAGTGCAGACTTGCGATTTGGGTTCTTGTCGGCGAAATGACCGATGATAGGACCGGAGAGAACGGCTAGAGTACCATGCAGGGCAAGAACACCGGAGGTCAACTCCTGAGCTTTTGATGGGTGCACATGAAGGCGATTCCGAATCATTTCTCCGAGGATAGGGACTAGAAAGCCATAGAGGAAGGTTTCTACTTGGTGTTAGGGTATTGCATATAGATTTCATCGGGGCATATATACCAGCAAACAAGGCGATTGCCACGGTCGAGAGAATGAACCACTTGGAGGAACGCCATTTGTAGCCTGTGAGTAGAAGCTTCTCGATGTCTTTCATGTTGACGATATGGTTGGAACTTGAAGTAAAGTGTCCAATGCATTATAGAACCCCATCTGGTTCAAAATGCAGATGTCTTGTAATAGTTCCTCATTTCAGCTTTGCGGGATCGGCCCTTGCATGAGATGATAGCCAATCGAGTATTTACATTCAGCTGAAATTTAATTTTATTTAATTCCTGTTTTTTTTAGCTTTTAATATGCATATTCATTACAATGGGATACTGTCGATCCTCACGGCTCACGATCATTTTTATATTTCCTTTTCCTGACAAAGGATATTAGACACTCATATAACAAGGGAATACCTGTGCATATTACTAAATCTGCATGTCTGTCACACCGTAATGTATAATTAATTACACGCACGTCTCATTTATGTATATGATCAGTCGTAAAGACTAAAGGTAGATCTTTGTCGCCCTATGCGGCACAGGTTTCCACTTGATATTTTCTATTCTAGATGCATTTGAAGCTCTTAGTACGGAGTATATGTAGTTGAGATGCTGGCTACCGTCCTTACCCCCATTGTAATTTTGCTATATGTGGAATTTGCACAAAATGAATCGACTTTTCCGTGCTGTTCCTACAGTCAAAGTGACAACTGTTAGATATTCTACCCATCCTATCCGTATGTATCCTTTGTCATTTCTCTTTCATAATACTTACCATAAGCAGGAGATCTAAGAACATCCAGTCTTGTACCCTTGATCAATGTCTCAAAACCAGCACTCTCCTCTGATGCCTCCCACTTGAGGGCGATACATGAGAACCTCGAGGCTAAAGGCGTGGTTCAAGTACAACTGGGGTTTAGCGACGAAAATAGCACATATCTACAAAGCCTGATATCCAATCTTCACAAAAATCACAACCACGGTCTCCCAATAGCCCACAGCGCCGAGCGTGGATGGTTCTGGGACGTTCGGCCCTCTCCTGAAAGCTTCCAAAGCCATGGACACCAAGCTCGATCGGAAACCATGTCTCAGTTTGAATGGCACACCGACTGTAGCTACGAGGAACAACCACCACGATTCTTCGCTCTCCAAGTCCTTCAGCCAGATCGTTGTGGCGGCGGGACATTATCCGTGTTGAACGTCGACCGACTCCTTACTTTGCTTTCCCCTTTCGCACAAAAATGGCTCTCCAGCTGTAACTACAAAATTACCGTCCCTCCCGAGTTTACGAAAACCGCGGGGAAACACCACATTGTGGGGAATCTTCTCGCGGTAAACCCCGATGGAAATTCCGGCAGTCAATTGCGATTTCGAGAAGATATCACGGTTCCCTTGACTCCAAATGCTACGAAAGCACTGGATGAACTGAAAGAGATTCTATGCCGGGGTGCCCGGGAAGAGACTCTCCATCTAACACCACAAAGTCTTCCCCAGGGATCGATCATCATGATGGACAATCGACGATGGTTACATTCACGCAATGAAGTCAAAGACCCGAACCGACATCTTCGACGAGTCCGATGGGATGCAGCGCCATTTGGATCCAGGGGCTGACGACATCGGAATTGTCATTATTGTATCGTAATGTCGTACATACGATCTGAAGATCGGCTGTGTGATCGGCTGTGTTATTTATGCAAGCAAATACACATTTCCAGCCGCGCTCCACTTAGACCTCCACTTAAATAAAAAAGAAATTTAGGTCACAGTTCAGAGTTGATGTATCTGCAATGCATGTTTGCCCAGGCAAATAGGGATAATTTACAAATTATGACTCGTTATCCCCCTCAGCCCTGGATCACTAGCTGTCATGTAGTTTGCCTTCATGAAGGACTTATATACTACATAGTTATCGTCTTAATTTTCTACCAACAGAAAATTTCTGCTCTATACAAAATGAGAAACAAAAGCCTAGACCCTCTTCATCTGATTAGCTTTCCTGATGATGTGGCTTATTCATCCGTGTCGCCAGAAGGGTTAGACGTGAACCTCCTGAGCCAAAACCGCAAAAGTTATATCTCAAGGTTGAGCAACTGCTCCTCTTCTTGGCCAGTCGGATCCCTGGACGCATCGTGTCCATGTCCCGTTCTGACCACTCAGCGGCACGATGACGAGTTGAGGAACCTGCATTTTGCCCTGAAGTTGGCACTCGAGGATATCATTGTGCGATGGTGGACGGATGAAGAAGCACGGTTCCCTATGCGCATGCCGTTGGAGCCAGAGGAGGAAGAGTTATTGCGCGTGAGACAACATCCCTTCCATTATAGCGTTATGACATACTGAGTCGTTGTTCTCGCATAGTGGATACATTCGAACCCAGACCTATTCCCACCATGGCACGAGCGGCAAGGATCTTGGAGACCGGACTTTTTGGTAGAGAAAAATGAAGCTGGCATGGAGGTTTTCCGCATTTGCGAAATCAATGCGAGGTTCTGCTGGAATGGTTACATGCATGCTGGCTTTGGTCAGGATTCGCTTTCGGCATTCAATATCGAGTCGCGGGGTCTGGTTCATGCCGCGAAAGCTGAAACGGTAAGCAGACTGATAGAAAGTTGACGGTCGGAGGTAGATTGCTAATGGTTTTTAATAAAGATTATCGGTGGATTGTTCGAACTATTCGACAGCAAGATTCCTTTGTATCTTGTCAAAGGCGACGAACACGGGATTGATATCTCGATGTTCATCGAATTCGCACAGCAGAGACTTGGGATAAAACTGCGACTCATAACTCCAGACACCCTCCGACTCATCCCAGATCTCTCTCATTCTGGGAAAGCGGGATATAAGCTGTGCTGCCTCGCTGAAGCAGATGCTGTTGATACACTCACAACTGAGTCCGGCGAAAGAGTGGAAGAGATCCACCAAATTTGCCTCGAACTTCACCAGCGGGAGATCAATGCTCTTGATCTGGAGATGAAACGTCAGATCAGTTTACGGTGCTTCAACGACATGCGAACCATCCTACTTGCTCATGACAAGAGAATGCTGGGACTCATTCTTGAGGAACTGGACTCTTTGATCTGCAGAAACATCATCACGCCCAAACAGGCTGAATCGCTTGAGCGAGGCTTAGCTCACACGGTTCTACCGGGCTCAAACGCACTAAACCAGTTTATTAAGGATTGTGAAGCCTCTGATGTGTTCCAAAACGAATACCTTCTGAAACCGATCAGGGGAGGAAAGGGAGCAGGGATCTTGTTTGGTGATGAAGTCGGTCATTCCGACTGGCTAGCTCTGCTGGAGCAGATGCGGTCTCCGAGACTGAGACAAGGAAAGACCCTTTACGTTGTGCAGCGTAAGGTTCACCAACCATACTATGACGTGCTTCTGGGAGCGAAAGCGAAGTCAGAGCGGTGCCATATGGTTGGGACGTATCATGCAGTCAATGGTCACTTTCTTGGACTGGGGATATGGAGGTGTAGTCCCGGGAGACTATGTGCTATATCTAATGGGGCTACCTGGATGTGTTCGGTAAAGCAGCGATCCTAGTTTTATGCAATCAAATTCCCCCTACTTGGTTGAGTTGTAGGTTGTACATAGACCATTCTTGAACGAATCAATTACTTCAGCATGGCCACATGCTACCGATCGGCTATGGATACTGATTCTCAGGGGGTTTGATGCAAGACCACAGGGATTACCGCATTTGTATCCCCACAAACTATGACGAGCAAGTGGGTCAAAATTGTTCAAGCTGAATCGTGTGGCTTAGCTGATGTGCTATTAGTGGAAGTTAAAAAGATACTTAGGTCCAGGGGCAAGTGGCTTCAGCTGAAAAATAAACCTGATCTGATAGTTATGCACCTAAGTGGATCTCGGGATACCCTTGCATGTATTACTTTCAGATGGATCTTGACGATGTGTAATAATCCATGTAATGAGATTTCCAATGCAGGTCTTATGTGGAACATATACTTTAATTGTCTCACGCATATGCTACGCATCAGGTTTGGTTCTTTGTCTTTTTGCCAAACCCTCAGGCAGCAGCTTAATGTCTAAGGCATCTACATCTGAAAAGACGCCGAGAGTGAGATACGTGTTGGGACCAAGAGAGTAGACATTTATCTAGAGACTTGTCTCACTCGTTAGTTATTGCTTAACGTCATGTCACATCTTATATCCACATGTAGCGCATATTGCCTCGGACAGTTTCTTTATCCAGCGTCTCTATGCAAGAGACAGCATCAACAATCATGTACCATGCCTTCTTTGTTCCTATAGTGCAGGCAGGGAAGTCCTGAGGTACGGTATGCATTAATGAAGCCATTGTCCATAGGGATAGATGATTACGAGGCAAACATGATACCAGAATCAGTAAAACAGGTTTTGTAAACAGCATAGCAGACATCAGGGATGAGATCAGTCAGTAGAAGGATATGACCAAGACTACCCATAATGTTTTGGCACACTGTGTTTCACAAAGCTTGGTGAAAGATGAATAAAAGATGTGATAATTGTAGAAGTGTCGGATAAGGAAAGACTAGATGAACATTGGGATGGGCAGTAGAAGCTGCAATGAGTGCCTAGTCAGTCTAACATGCAGGAAATAGGATGGGAAATGTTCATTACGTTAATAGGGAAAGCTTAGTACGGAACACGTTTTGAATTGTGAATGGATTATCTATTCTAAGGGACTTGCTTAGTTTCACCATAAAGGCTACTTATCCTGAGCACCACGTAAAGGCGCAAGTCTTACTCAGGTGCTGCACACAGGACCCGTGCAGCTGGGTTGGGGGAAACGGACAACAGGAAGAGGGGAAGAGGGGAAGAGGGGAAGAGGGAAAGAGGGGGAAGGTTGTTGCTGAGGGTTGTCGAAGGTTGTTGTCAAAGGTCCTAGGCTGTCGAAGATCTAAGGTTGTCGAAGGTTGTTGTCGCAGGTTGTTGTCGAAGGTCGTCGCAGGTTGTCGTCGAAGGGTATTGTCGAAGGTTGTTGTCACAGGTTGTCGTCGCAGGTTGTCGTCCCAGGTTGTTATCGAAGGTTGTTGTCGAAGGTCAAAGGTCCAAGGTCCGAGGACCAAGGAATGGTTGGCTTTAGCTCCCACTTTCCAATGGAGAACCTAGGGAAGTACAGTCTGTATCCGCAGAGGCACGTAGGGGCTGTTCTGCGGCAGAGGCACGCAGGGCTGGCTACGGCATGCTTCGTGCCATTAGACAGGACCGAAGTCCAAGTCTAGTTTCAGACTAACCTAGGCCGCGGCAAAGGTTCCATGGTGTCCTCAGGTCCTCTCGCCAGACAACAGACCCACAATGTGGTGTCACATTGTGAGCCCAGAGCCAAGCCCCGAGTTTTGTGAGAGGGACGAAGAAGGAAGGAGAAGAGAAGAAGAAGAAAAGTGGGAGGGGGTAGGTATTTATACCCTGGCGATTTGGGGGGGACAACCGAAAAGGGAAGGTACGCGAGAAAAAGGGAAGGTACGCGAGACAGCACGAGATAACCTAAAAGGGAAGGCGCCACCCAGCCAAACACGCCCAGGTGCAGAAGACTTTGTTGAGCCAATGCCGACTACTACTATACATATTTGATTCAATCCATGCGTGTACTTTTGGTGACGTCGATGAATTAGGTTTTACATGATTAGCCCTTCTTTCATAGCTGGAGAAACGGTCTCGAAGCTCGACGAAAAGGTAGCGGCGTACGTACATAATAACCATGTGAACTATGCAACTCGAATTTTGTGGGCCCAGCCTAGACAGAATGGCACTGATCTGACTCACTAGCAACCGAACCCCGGTGCCGAAGACGATCAACAATTGCTGATATGCCATTACGCTCAGCTTTGTCAACGGCCGATTCCCCTCTTGCATCTCGAACAGCTGGATCAGCACCCCTGGCGAGAAGAGTCTCGACCACATCTACTTTACCCAGTTCAACAGCCTCATGGAGACGAGTTCCGATTCCAAACGGCTTTTGTAGATCGTAGGAGGTAGGATTATTCTCAAACATCACTTGGTTGATGGACGGATGTTTATCGAGAATGAAGTTTAGGACCTCAAGATAATCTGGAGTATTTCTCCGCACGGCATAATGCAACAACTGTCCATATTCAATAGAGCTCTTGTGTTTAAAAAGCAGTTTTATAACATCAAATGGGGCTTCCTGAACTGCGATAGAAAGAGGAGTAATATCAAGAGCGCACCGGACGTTTGGATCTGCGCCATGTTCGAGTAGCCACTCGCAAAGCTCCTGGTTGTGAAATGACCGTCTACGGACTACGCATTAGCTTCTATGGCGATTAACGCCATAGGGGTATAGACTTACATAAGTAGTGAAGGTGTGTTCCAGGTAATTGGCTCGTTGATGTCATAGCTGTTGGCAAGAAATAGCCTAAGGAACTGATAATCCGTCGAGAGAATAGCACTCTCGACGTGGTAATTCTGTACAGGAACACCACAGTCTAGAAGGTAAGCAGCCACATTCATATGGCCATGCTGCTGTGCTAAGGTCAAGGCATAAACCAAGTCATTTGTGGATAATTTGTCAGATTTTGAGAGTTTTCGGACTTGATCTATATCTCCAGACTCGCTAGCTTCTTTGAGGTGTTCAAACTCCCAAGGTGGTGGTAGATTGTAATTAGGGTCGAAGATAGGGGGCGGACTCCCAACAACCAAGCTTGAGATATCCATGTCTTGCATTTTCGATCAAAAAGACATTAGATTGAAGTCTTTAGGAAATGAAATCAAAGAAGGATAGAGAATAGAAAACATTTATAGGGGGACAAGGTAATATATGGTCCGTGCCATTCCATGATTACCTCACGACCAGCCTAATTTCGCGAACTGCATACTTTTGCAGCCAGGTGATACGACTACCTGGGACAGTAAATGTTCCGGTAAATGCTGTCCGTTTCGTGGCATTCCAGAGTGCTAGACGGACTTGTCTTTTTACGTATGATATCGATAGCTGCTCGGCCGTTGCCATTGTATCACAACATGTAGCAAACTTGCACATATCGTACCACAACCGGCAGGTAGCTCAGACAATCCCCATGCTGGTGACCAAAATATGGAGGCAAGGATGCGCGAAGTCGCCGCTCTCTTCACATCATACTCGACATACTTCCAAGGAAACCATATGTGGGTAGTATACGCTGTTATGGGAAATTAGATAGCACTTCCAGACCAGAAAGCGATCATCGATCGCACACTACAGGGGCTAGGCCTAAACTATACCAATCATTCTTATACGGTTGTTCCTGGCCTTTACCGCCTACCTGGCCATGGAACAGTTGTGGATGCAAGGAATGGAACATCCGAGGTATATATTAACGAGCGACGCATGTATTGATTAAGATCGAAGATAGGTCGAGTTGCCAACAATGATCAAGCTTGAGATATCCATGTCAAACTAGGAAAGAGAGTCCCAGGGAATTGAAAATAAAATACTAGGAGGGGATACAACCCATTTATCATGGGCCAGGCATTGTTATTTGTGGGAAATGGAACCGAGGGGTGTTGCCATAGAGGACTGGACGTACATATATTGCAAAGGCGAATGGTAAACTAACTAACCTGGCTAACTAGTTGTGTCTGTTCTTGGGCTGACAGAAATAAAAGTGAAAGTACTTGAATTATTAACTATGGCAGGGACCAAGGAGGGTCGAAAGTGATCTTGTTGGAAGGGTATATAGTGCGCAGATTCCATGGTCTTGGTTGGTCTATCTTGCTTAAAACACGGAGTGCTGATAATCTAACCTAACGCTAACCTTGGAAGTTTATAGGCTAAGCTATCAACTACTCATTACCCTGAGCTCAAGAGCACCCCGCCTTCACTCGCCGTCGAGATAACCTTGTCAACCTTCTCAATCTCCTCGAGCCTTTGCAACCAGAAATTCCACCGATCCATGCTCATCGGTCCCGTCCAAAGCCTCCCCTCTCTCTCTAACGCCCAGGATTTCTCGCCTTTCTTCGCACCCTCTTTAAGTCTTTCTCTGGCTATCTCAATCCACACCGCTGCAGCAGGTACCTCAAAGTCCCACACTGCATCCTGGCATTCAAGCGCCTCGGAGATACACTCATAGCCCCAGCTTAATGGCAATAGACCATCTTCAGCATTTGGTCCGGGAGCAGCCATTGCACAAGATGCTTCCACAAAAGCTAGGTGCACGTGGGCCTCACGCCTCTTCGCTCTTGTGGCTGGATCCCGCGTCGCCAGCGCTTTACGCCAGTGGCTCTGCTTCCATCTATCTGACCACGAGTTGCCGAAGCTCCTGAGACTTTTCCAGACTGGGTCGCTGTGCTGGCTAAGTTCCTTTAGTAGGTTGATGAGCGCTAGCGTGTGGCATTCGGGCAGCTCAAAAAGGGCGTCTTCGATTATGCCTAGTACGCGGCCTTGCAGGTCGGTCTTCTTCTCGGAGCCATAAGGTATGGTCATAGCGGCAACTGTCTCTGTTGGCTTAAAGTCGCCTTTCAGGTACGCTTTAAGAGCTGCGGCTTGATAGGGATGCGCCCCAGTCTCTTCCTCTCCGTCCATGGGCGCAGTGTGTTGGTCGAACCAAGCGTCGTCTGCGACGGAGCCGAAGCCGTCTAGCTCGATTGATTTGCATGTCATTTCTTGAATGCTGGTGTTCATAATGACGGTGCGTGAGGGCTCTTGAAGCAAAGTGCAGAATGGTTGCGATACACTCGAAGAGTGGCAAGTAACCAGAACTCCGCACTAGTCACACAGCTACCCCGCGATAACGATTGAGGAGGACTATATCACTCCTGTTGCAATAACACGTGTCGAGAGTGACATCATTAGGCAGCCAATGCTGACTCCAGGGCTGATATGTCGATCATCCAGAGAGTCGGGGTTGAGAAATAAACATCGGATACAGCGAAATGCCCTCCACGACTTGTTCAGTCTGGCGCAACTAGAGCACCACATGGTAGCTTGCAGTGCCCATATTCTTGTTCACAGTATGTCCTTGGGACGGTGAATTACTCCACGTTTGCACGGATTACTGATGTGGTAGAATGTATCGAAAGTAATGAGTTCTATGATGTCTTTCCAGGCCATGTCGCCGAGGATTAGTTGCAGCATTAAAATTGGATGTACAATAATACTTAGTACGTTCACAATATGGTACATAGTGTATCTTTTACGGGTATGATATCGGCAATCTTCACTCTATTTTATATACACGATTCAAATTGAAGCGATCTCTATCATTAAATAGGCCAGCATGATTCCCACGAGTAAAGGTATCTACCTAAACAGATATATCCCACTGAGTCGGGCTCATAGTCTAGCTACTACCTTTTGGGTAGTCTTAGTATTCACCAACGCCGCCTGAGATTTCAAGTTCAACCTCTTCCACATAGCCTTGCGGCGTTCATGTCCCTCAAAAAATGCCCTCACCCACTCGCGGCGAAATTTGGGCAGCTTTCGTCCATTTCCTTCTTCTCCCTCGCCGGCTAGACATCTCAGCGTCTCAAAATAGTCTTCGAAGTCCGGGAAGAGCAGTGTAAACTTCACACCATCACCCCGAGCCTTTATACGATCCGCTTCCCATTTCTGCATCACCTCAAGAGAAGGTAGAGTGGCTCGGCCAGCCAGCAACCGTGCAGCTAAAACCGATTGCCATTCAAAGACTTTGAACGTCAGACCAGCCGCGACAGCACCAACAAATAGTAATGTCGGGTCTTTTTGCCAAACAACATGTTGGTATAGATCAGGGATACGATTGTTGCGAACAGGAACTGCCGGTAGGAACGGTAGCGTCCAGCTGTATCCTGTGCCGAAGACAATGTGGTCGACGTCCGTGATGCAATCTCCGTTGGTCAAGTGCACCGTTCTGTTCGAGACTCGTTCTATCGATGGATGTCTTTGTATCTTGGGGTGATTAAATGCTTCATCGCCGAAGTACCCGTTAGCAGCATGACCGATTGTGATTGCGTGGACTGGTTCTTTTGCCGTTTCCACGAGATCGAATGCGATGTCGGCTGCTGAGACAGATGCGCCTACAACCACCACTCGCTAGAATAATCACATTAGCATATCGAGCCTGAGACAATGTAATTAAGCACTTTGGCAATCTAGCTTACCTTGTCCGCAAATGCATCTCTCCCGCGGAAATGCTTGCTGTGAAGTACACTGCCCGGTCTTGTCTTCTCAAACGCCTCCAAGCCTTCTATTGGGGGAATATATGGGACCCAGAAGTGTCCACTCGCCACGACGACCGCATCAAACCACTCAACCCACCAGTAATCGCTCTTTTCTCCGTCCTTTCGCAGTGTCACTTTCCACTCCGTCCCCACCTTCTCGACCCGTTCCACTGTGGTGTTGTACGAAACCCAATCGCTGTAACCCCGACGCTCTACGAGACTCCTCACGTATTTCCGTACCACATCCCACTTTCGAAATGGGGTTTCGGGTCCGTGGTGAGATATAGAAAGCTCGGTGCGCTCTTCTGGGAAAGGTTCCTGGGCGAACTGCATGGGCAGGAAGTCGATATTGGTTTCCAGATAAGGGTAAACAGACGACTCAGTAAACCGAGGCTGATCTGACTTTGGAGCCTGCGCGGGCAGAGTTTCTGGGATAGATAGTGATGGATCAGCTGTTCTTGTCGCTAGAGATGCAAAGTCGCGGAGTGTTGGAGGCTGGGATGAGTCGCCAATCCTGATTTTCATGTCAGTTGTCGTCAAAGGTTCGGAGAAAATAAACGTACCAACAGCCTCCTGGACCCTCGCGGCGCTCAAAGACACGGATAAGATCAAAGGTCTTTTCTTGCGCCAGGGCATCTATCGCAATGGCTCCTGCCGGCCCAGCGCCGATGACTGCGACTCGTTTTACAGGCATGATTGGAATTAGAAGTATTTAAAATTAAACTATAGAACCCCAGATTTAAAATATATGCAATGCAAGTGAGATCCCGTCCCAAATGCCGAACTGGTGGGCTTGGCATCGATCTAGGGTTAGCTGCTGTCGTCGTTTATGGGCCTCGTCACGCAATTTCACCTCGCGGGGCGACAACTTTATGCCAACCAGTTACGAACCGCGAACTTCATCTGAGATGTTTATATTCAAAGCCCTTCAAATCCCGTTGAAATACGAAGTCCTTAAGGGATTGTAGTTCAACAGTATTTTCAAGGTCTGGCGTCATTCGAAGGATTCATCATAGCACGCCATATTATAAATTATGATAGGGCCAATGGGGTGAATATTTAGGTGATAAGACTAATTCCTGAGGTCTATAACTCGTAGATTATACTTGAGAATCTCGGAAGCCTAGTTTGCAGTCAATATTCATCGGAATTGACTATCTTAATCTCTCTTTTTTACCACTCGACCTGAGGGCAATGGTATAGTATGGATATCACAATGGATGAGAAATTGGATTTCAAAGGTAGTCCCTCTGGATATTCTTCATCATCGCTGTCTGTATTGTCAGAATGGGATCCCAGGCACGAGCAAAAGGCTCGCAGAAAGTAACCAATAACCCCCATAGATAGGATACCAACAAAACACTGACATTCATTTCTCCCAAGGATCGATATCACAGTGTTACCTCTACTTTTCCTCGGTCTTCTTGTTTTCCAACTAGACCGCATGAATATTGCGAGTGCATTGACTGGTGGCTTCGCCACAGACATCAACATTTCACAGTCCACAATCAACCTGGGCAATCAGCTCATGTTTATGGGTATCGTGGTCTTCGAAATACCATGTAACATGGCCTTACAACGAGTATGTACAAGGCAACCTCTCTTGAAGATCTAATCCTAATACAAAGTTTGGTAGGTCGGTCCTCGCAAGTGGATTTCAGCACAGGTGTTTCTCTTCGGCTTACTCGCTACCATGCAAGTATTCATTCGCAGCCGAGGATCTTTCCTGGCTGTACGGCTGCTTCTAGGATTGGCTGAGGCAGGTTATATCCCCGGTGCAGTATATACTTTGTCGTCGTGGTATACGAAAAGAGAATTGGCGAAGAGAGTTGCCATTTTCTTCTTTGGGATGTTTGGTGGGAATGCCTTGAGTCCTATCCTAGCTTCAGGTATTCTGCTCCTCGATGGGCGACACGGTATTCGAGGATGGCAGTGGCTCTTCTTAAGTGTGTATAGTATGAATTCAATGCTTCATTCGCTAACGCATTAACAGTTGAGGGGCTATTCACGATCTTCGTCTCGTTCCTCCTGTCACTACTCCTACCTGGATCACCCGATCTTACCAGGCCATTGTTGAGCCCGGGCTTTGTCAAATTTTCGGATACCGAGAAGGAGATTCTGCAAAAACGACTCGAAAAAGACAATGGCGGCAGTACCGAGGGCGCGTATGGCGTGCATATCCCATTGAAAGTTGTCTTTCGCACTGTATGTTGCTATCGTCGCTGGCCGCACTTTATTTCTACGTTTGTCGTGTTTTCGACGTGGAGTCCTCTAACGACCTACACGCCATCTATCATAATGTGAGTCTACCCTTTTGTCGATAGAATTGATCTATGTCACAATCCCTATTCGAACCGGAATTGGTGGTTAACACATTTATACAGGTCGCTCGGCTTTGACAGAACAGAAGCAAACGCTTTGGCCGCAGTCGGCGCATTCCTATCACTTGCTGTGGTGTTTTCCTTCGCCTACGTGAGCGATCGGACCAATCTCCGAGGTGCATCTGTGATCGCTGCTCAAGTCTGCTACCTCATTGCCCTGGTAGTAACTCTCAAGGTGCAGCCCTATGTCGGTAAATGGTCCCGTTGGGGACTTTGGACAGCTGTGAACAGTTTAGCTGTGGGATATCATCCTATACATAACTTCTGGGTTCAGATTAACTGTCGAGATCCGAGGGAGCGGAGTATCAGCATCGCGTGAGTTGTCCTATCTTCTCTTGATCTTACAGAAGCTAATGGTAGATCTGACTACAGTATGTGGGTTATGTCTGCAATAAGCGGTTTGATGGTTGGGACACAGTATTTTCAAGCGGGTGACAAGCGATTGTAAGTGAAGGTATTCTCCGGAATGTCAATGCTGTACAGTTTCTAACACCAACAGTTATTCGACCGGCCTACGTACCATGATCATTATGGTATCTGTAGGGATCGCAAGTGCTTTGGCGCAAATTGTGATTTATGTCGTTCATAATAGACGTGTTGCTCAAGGCAAGCATCAGCATAGGGCTGGATCGACCCCTATGGTGTATGTCCCTTGAATGTAGCAGATCATGAATAAATAGATGAAGAACTCGTCCAGATTATCTTTTGTGCATAGTCCTATGTAGTACTATTATTTCCCGGTGAGATTACTGCCTGCTGTAATTGAGGAATCCGTAAGACATGAATGACATTTTTTACATGGGGATGATATGTGCTAGTAAGCTTTGAGTACACGAAGGTAGCCTAACCCTTGTATGTTGGATGATTCACTACAGATTCTAGATTTCACGCCTTGGGCTGGACGTCTTCATCTTGAATCCGCTCCGGGTCAACGTCGTGGGCCATCGATTGTTCCTGGGCTGAAATTGGGTTAGCAAGGATCGTAGACCGCAAAGGGGGAAAGAAGGACTTACTATTCCAAAGCTCTGCATAAATACCGTCACGCTCGAGCAACTCGCGGTGTGAGCCCATCTCTGCCACATGACCTTCCTTCAAGACCAGAATTTGGTCACTGTCGGCGATCGTGCGTAGACGATGAGCCACAAATACGCTCGTGCGGCTCTTATCTTTGAGGATGCTGTTGATATTCTGGAGGAGGGCTTGCTCCGTGTAGGTATCTAGGGCGGATGTCTAAAGAGAGGGGTGATTAGTTACCGCGATTAGCCGCTCAGCTGGCGGATAAAGGGGACAATGAAAACTTACTGCCTCATCGAAAAAGAGTAGTTGTGGGTCCTTCAGGATCAACCGAGAGATTGCCAGTCGCTGCTTCTCACCACCAGAGATCATCATACCACGCTCACCAACTGCAGTTTCGTAGCCATCGGGCAGACCCTCAATGAGTTTGTGGATGTGGGCTCGCTCTGCAGCCCGGCGCACCTCTTCGTCCGATGCATCAATCCGACCATAGCGGATGTTGTGGGCGATCGTGTCATTGAACAGCGGTGTGTCTTGTGGAACCACTCCAATTGCCTTGCGGAGGCTGTCAACAGTCACATCACGGATATCCTGGCCATCAATCAAGATACGACCGGACTGGACGTCGTAGAACCGGAACAACAGACGTAAGATTGTAGACTTGCCGCAACCGCTAGGGCCAACAATAGCGAACTTCTGCCCTGCTGGGATAGTGAAGGTGGCATTCTTTAGAATCGGTCGGTCTGGGTGGTAGCCGAAAGTCACGTTCTCAAAGTGAATCTTGCCGCCCTGTGTCAGCTGCAGCGGCTTGGCGTCGGGTCGTTCCTGGATGGTGACGTTCACCTTCTGCAGGTTGAAAAGCGTCTCCATGTCCAGCAGGGACTGGCGCAGTTCACGGTAGACAGATCCCAAGAAGTTGAGTGGGACGGAGAGCTGGAAGACCAACTGATTGACCATTACCAGGTCGCCGACGGTCATGGATCCGTTCGCAACTCCATTGCAAGCCAGGTACATCATTGCGGCCAGCGCAGAGGAGAAGATCATGTTTTGGCCGGAGTTCAGAAATGCCAGAGACGTAGTCACCTTGATTGATGCATCTTCATACTTCTTCAAGGCCTTATCATATCGTGCCACTTCGAATGTCTCGTTATTGAAGTATTTGACGGCTTCATAGTTGATAAGCGAGTCCACAGCCACGGTTGCTCCGCGGTTATCAGCTGCATTAGCCTGTCTCCGGAACTTTGTTCGCCACGCGGTTGTAGTGATTGTGAACGCTGTATAAGCTACCATTGTTGCTGTTGTGATGGCCGCAAATTGGAGGCCATATTGATAAGTCTATAACGCGTTAGTGATGTAGGAAGAAGAATGTCCGTTGATTTGTTAAATCATACCAGAATACCGCAGACAAGTGAGATTTCAAGTGCTGTCGGGACCACATGGAAAACCATGGAGGTTAGGAGGAAGCTGATGCCCTTAGTACCGCGATCAATTGCGCGGGTCAGACCTCCGGTCTGCCGGGAGAGGTGGAAGTTGAGATCCAGCCGCAAGAGATGTTCAAAAACATTTGATGCCACCTTCCGAATTGCCTTCTGCGCAACGCTAGCAAAGACCGCGTTGCGGAGCTCTTGAAACAATGTAGCTCCAATTCGGGTTACACCATCTATAGCATATTAGTGGCAAGTCCCTTCTTCCATATGCTGTCATCCTTACAGGCAATAATCATTGACCCAGCCACGGTATAGGCGGTTCCGCCGATGGTAGCAAAATCTACATTCATTGAGTCAACAATGTTCTTGAAGTAGAAGGGGATCTCCACATTGAGGATCTGTATTGGGTTCATGTCAGCATAATTTAGTAGAAAAACAACGATCGATAAAACTTGCCTTGGCTCCAATGAGGAGTGAAAGGGCTGTGCTGACACGGAGCTTCGTGCCCCAATCATCCTACCAGCTATAGTCAGTATCCCATTACTCTATACCAATAGCACTTGAACATTACCTTCGGCCACAGATATTTGGCCATTTCTTTCATAATAGCCCAATCTGCCTTCCTTTGTTCTTTTTTCCCGGCCATGGGCTCGCTTAGAATATCCTTCTTTGCCGGAGTCTTCACATTGGGGCTATCTTCCGGCTTCTGGATAATATTGGCATTTGCTAGTTGTGATGGAGCGGGGGTAGATGTCATGGTCGCTTTGATAGATGCATCTTTATTGTCTGTGGATTGACTCCATAATGAATTGTGATTTGATGTGAATGCGCGCAGGTGTGTTCCATTGAGTCGCGTGCTTCGTAGCTGGCCGGCGAAGCTCGGATAGGCGAATTGCGCTGTGCGCCAGCACGGCGATCGTGCGGCTCTGAGCAGCATGGCCGCTTGATATGATATTCTCTGAGCTCTGGAGTAGTTCTAGTCACCCAGAGGATGTTCAAAGGCGCATAGTGGGAGTGAGTAGGAAAGATTGATGCGTAGTAGCTATATTTCCGATAGCTCGTGGGGGGTAATCGCCGGCTTCGGAGAAAAAACGTCGCTTTCAATGCAAAGTCCAGAATAGTCGCAAATAGTCAAGCAAACGTACACAGAATAAAAACACAAAGTCATTGAAGAACTTATAATAAAACTTCCAAATGTCGCAATTCAGAGGGGCAGTTGTGTACTTAGGCGCCGCGCTCTCGGGCCCACGATTTTCCCGGTTTCCCTTTCGTCACAACTGACGTAAATTCTCCCTTCGGTAGCCTTGGGGTCTTTACTCTTCTTTCATACACAATGCGCCCTGTCCAAGGTGTTAGGACTCTGTCCTGGACTCGAGTTGTTCCTCGCGTCCACCGGCAAACGCGATACGTTCAGATTCGCGCCGCGCCCTCGGGAGTGCCTTCGGTTAATGGCGACAATCTGCCACTCGCTAGCACGCCCAGCTCTGTTGAATCACGAGGTAATTGCAATTCCCCAGAGCTTTGCGACTGTGAGACTGACAATGAGGAAACATAGATGCGCGATTCGATGTTGTCGGTGCTCCATACTCGCTTCTTTCCGTTTCGCTCTCGGCCTCGCAGAACCTATATACCCGACGCGGAACACTGGTGGGATTGAGCGGCAAGGCGGATAATGTATGCGGACCTGCGATCATGTTGTCCTAGTGGAACGGACATGCTAACGCATAATCTGCGCAGGTTGTTTCCACCTTGAGCGTTCTAGAACCCTTCCGGAGGGCTGTCGTCGGAGTGCCCTTCCTCTACCAGAAGGTAAGATGCGCGATGCAGATGAGGACCTAAAGACAGCGGTTGACGATTCCCCAGATCTCCTCACCAACCCCCGTCACAGCTCTTGTTTCCGTTCGATCGCCCAATACCTCCTTCGCCGTTGTGAACGTCAATGGCTCCGTGGACTGGATGGTTGCCCAAAGACGGGCTTTGCTTGCATGGACGGGCCGGTCTCTGTCTATCAAGCCGACTATCAACGCAAACCTGGTGAGTCGAGCTGTGGTCGCGTGAGAGGAAACACCAAACTAATTTACGCAGAGCCTGTCTCATTGGGGTAGCTCAGAAGTGACTGGCAGAGGTTTAATAGCCTTGGTTGGAAACGGACAGCTATATTCGGTTGAGTTGAAGGATGGCGAACAGTACATTGCGCATCCCAGGTAAGACCCCAGCCGTGATTTCACGTCTGACGTCGCTAATATTGTACAGCAACGTGGTCGCTTACACCATGGCCTCCAACCCTCCTCGCCCTTACCGTTTCAAATCCACCACTCTCAACTTCCAGGTCCCTGGTCTGAAGACACTACCAAGACTTCTGCAAAATGCCAAGTTCATTCGCGACGTCTCTGATTCAAAGGCATACAAAACCACTATGCAGTGGTTCCACAAGCTGCGCACCTGGTCTCGAATGACCATTTGGGGAGATAGAGTATGCCAGTCTCATTTTTTTGTCCTTCAAGATCCACCAACTAACAACATCGTCTAGCTCTTCCTGCAGTTTGACGGTCCCATGACCATCCTCGTGCAATCCCGCGGTCCTCGTCTCAACGATGTGTTGTCCGCACAGGAAGCTAACGAGATCGCCAATGTCCCTAGTGGTTTTACCTCGCCCGCTCCCCGTCCCACCGAAGGCGAAAAGCCACTCGACGAAAGGCCACACTCAGAAAAGACAGAAGTCGAAAGGGCCGTCAGCAATATTCCTGGCCTAGCACGCTCTGTCGAGGAACTAGAGCAAGAAACCCAAGGAATCCGCCAAAGCGTTGCGAAGCTCCGCAAAGATGGAAAGGTCGAGATTGAGGAAGTTGCTCGCACAAACTAAATAGAAAGACTCGCTTCAAAAGAGTCGACTTGGAGGAGTTCTCTTCGCATTGGGTTATGTACGGGCTAGAGCGGTCTCCATTTGGGATTATCACGTTGCATCCTGTACATTATGGGTATTTCTTTTATCTTGGCAATTGCCAACAAATCTTTTTCTTTGCTTCTGATATACGGATTCTACTTGCTTTGCTCATTATTTTCACCTTTTAGGTAGAAAGAGCAGGCATCAAGACATGCTCGAGTAATGCACCAGAATCAGAAACAGGGAAAGATACTACATAGCGGTCATCGGAAAAGCGAACGTCACGTCAATCCTAGTCTTATTCGTACAAACTAACTAAAGGATGAAAGGGTGGCAAAGCCAGGAAAGTAGGTTAGACAGTCACACCCCACATCCAAGCCTGCTGCCGCGCAAACTTATTGACTGTGTCCTGCGGTTCGGGGAAGAGCTGTCTCTCAAGGTCGTCTCTCACCTCGTCGGTTACTGGAGACAAACAGCCAGAGATTGCTTTGCCAAAGTCAGACAAAGCCTGTGATACAGTTTCATTTTCTCTGAAATGAAAGTTGGCAAAGTTGTCGACAGACTCGTCAGACTCGTCACCTGGATTTTGCCGCTCTCCTTCTCTTAAAGTAGATCCAAGCATCTGTTGCAGCTCTTTTTTCAACCACCAACTTTGTCAGTCACTCAAGAATTGCCAGTCCTTGGACAGCTAGTTGCGACTTTTGGGCCAGGGTCCGTTGCATTCCCAGCAGTCGGTGGATCTTTGACTTGTGGGACTCGAGTGTCAGTGGTTCAATGCTAGATATGATACATAGAGTGACGCCGGCAGTGAAGGTGCGGGTGCCAATGAAGGCGGCGGATGTATCTGCTGTCAATGAGAAGATTGGTGTTGACCCAAGGCCTGATATCTTGAGAGCAGCATCTCGACACGGGTTAAGTGTTTCGTACAAAGACCCGGTAATATATCGGAGCCTGGAATATCTGAGCATAATGCTCAGATATAGTGGTCTATTTGGCCTAGTGTGTAACTCGCCAGTCCAGGGGCAGGTTGTAACAGAAAGCACCACATGGGGGAATGGATCGCTTACATGGGAGTGAATGCGACTACCATGGCGGAGGACTGCTGGTGAGTGGTCTTGGCTAAGATTCATCATAGCGGCCTGGCGGCTATCATAGTCTTCATTTATATTATTGTACTATTCTATGAAATTTAGTTAATAAAGAAGCGAAAACATAGTTAATGGGTTCTTACCTATAGCCTGAGCTTTTACTTCGGTTTTCAGTTCACCGCCAATGCGAGTATCGTCGAATGCCTCATAGATGGCTCGATGCAGCTTTTTGTAGTGTACGCGTAGGTTATGATGAGAGAACAATCTGTGCTAGGGGTCGAGACAACAATACGTATAACTTAGCAGTAGCTCTCCAATTTGCAGAAGACTCAATCCCACACTAAAAGGGAAGTGAATAATTATTTAACTCACCTTACTTGTACAGTCAAGAACTTGGTATCGCCGCTCGCCAGTATGAATATGGTAGATTATATTTGCCTTTAAATCCAAGTCAGTTGGAGAAATAATAAGTCTGGAGTTGGGTTTCTCACATCAGGTGTCATATCCTCTAGCTGTAGATCGAAGGCACTTCTCGCTAGATAGCGCTCGTAAGAAGGAATTCCTCGGAGTGAGGACATATTGAGAGAGCGTTGAGAGGAGAAGTGAAGATAGAAGAGCAGAGAAGTGAAGAAAGGTTGGTTCTCTACAAACGAGTAGTTTGAAGCTAGCTAAGTAGCTGAGACCATGTGATACCACAACAGATATCAGGTCTGAGAACAAGAGTCCTCACAAAAGTGACAGGATTAAATTCAGATCTATCTCCACCTCTAGGGCTATTTTCCCTCTTACTGTTGCCCAGGTGAACCTTTAGGGCTTCCTGGGTTGCTCTAGACTGTGAAGCATCTCAATCCGATGTAGCATTCCAGCCTTGATGTTCAAATTAAAGCTGCTTGGGGTGTGAGAACTCTTAATGATTTCCTTCACGTCATGAAGCCGACATGACTCGGATTCGGGCTACTATCACTGTTGCTATTATCGGGGATGTAAAGTAGAGAGGGATATCTAGTTCTATAGAATTCGACAATTAAAATTCAATCATCCCTCATATTTATTTGGTAGGCTTCTGTAGAAGAATACTCACTGCGGAGTAAGGAGTAGCCCTGGAGGAGAATAATAGCTTACTGTGTCAATAAACCCCAAGTCACGGAAGTATACGCTTTCGAGAATCTATGCAAAATAATAGCTTAAATTGAGATTACTCAAAGATGTTTTTGCTTTTCTCGGATTCTTGAAAAAAAAAAAAGGAAAAAGAAAAGGTTCCAGGATGAACTGGGGGTTTTAAGGTGATTTATAATCGGGTAATATCACCTGGGCAGAGAGATTGAGTTGTTTCAGCTGCATCTAACCAGAATTATGTTTCATATTTCCAATATTTTATTTCCGATATCCCGGCAATACGGCATTGGTCTTCGGGTTATTGCATATGTCTGCAGTTGATAGCCTCATCCAGTATGGAGTGGTTTGTCAGTTAGGGGCCGGGTTAGTATGAAAAGAGTTAGACGTCTCGGACTTAGCAGAGTAGAACGCGATGTCCGAAGTGACTACTTATTTCCGACTTTCTCTCGGATATCTGAATCTTAGCCTTAAATAATAAGCCTACTTGGCAAATTTGAAATGTACTCGAAGCTCTCGGCATTTTAATCCACGAACCCAGCCAAACGGCTCTTGAGGTGAGTTTTGAATCGAACTTGTCTGACACACAATCTTATTTAATTTTATACTTCCCGTTGAGAACTATTATATTCTAATATTTCAAAAGTCTATATAACTCAGAGATCCTCAGAGATGGCACATCAGACTGAGATTGTATCCTCTACCGACAGTGACAGTATACAACTTTCCAACGGTTCAACGCCCACCATGAGTATGCATGAAAATAATGATACCGAGAAAGGACTCGGGCCATTGGAAAAAGACATACAATCACCTTCCGAGAAGTCAGTTGCTGCTGGTCCAGTACCCGCGACACCAGTGATCGGTCCGCCACCTGATGGAGGTACACAGGCATGGCTGGTCGTCCTAGGAGCTTTCTGCGGTCTATTCGTTAGTTTCGGCTGGATCAATTGTAAGTTCTGTCGGAAAACACGAATCGAACAAAATACTAACATCATACAGGCATTGGAGTCTTCCAAGCATACTACGAAAGTCACCAACTGAAGGAGTTCTCCACCAGTACAGTAACATGGATCACATCGCTAGAAACCTTCACGATGTTCTTCTGCGTGCGTATACCATTCCCCCAGAATCAGTTCACTATATCCCCAAGACCCATCCTAACATCCTCCTAGGGCCCAATGTTTGGAACCCTGTTCGACAGCTACGGCCCGCGCTGGATCCTCCTCGTCGGCACAATCCTCCACGTCTTCGGTCTAATGATGGCTTCCCTCTCAACAGAGTACTACCAATTCATCCTCGCGCAAGGAATCTGCAGCCCAATCGGCGCAAGCGCCATCTTCAACGCCTCCGTCAACTCCGTCAGCACCTGGTTCGCTAAGCGTCGTGCTTTCGCCCTCGGCGTAACAGCCGCTGGATCAAGTCTAGGAGGAGTCATCTTCCCTATCATGGTCACCCAACTGATTCCCAAAGTTGGGTTCCCGTGGGCGATGAGAATCTGCGCCTTCCTCATTTTGTTCATGTTGGGTATCACCAATCTCACCCTAAAGTCGAGATTGTCACATCGCCCGAAGCCATTTGATTTCCTGGGTTTCCTGAGGCCGTTGGCTGAACTCAAGTTTGCGCTTACGCTTGCTTCTGCCTTTTGCTTCTTTTGGGGCATGTTTTTGCCATTCACTTTTGTTATCACCCAGGCTGAGAGATATGGCATGTCTGCCAATCTGGCCGGGTATCTGATTCCGATTTTGAATGCCTCTAGGTAAGCTTTCTCTTTGGTCCACACACACCTCGTTGATGTATTAACACGTTTAAACAGTATCTTCGGCCGTACACTTCCAGGCTATCTCGCTGACAAAATCGGCCGCTATAACATGATGGTTCTAACAACGTTCTTCTCGTCCATCCTCGTTCTAGCCCTCTGGCTGCCATCAAGGGGCAATGCTCCGGCAATTGTTTTCAGTGCCCTATACGGCTTTGGCTCCGGTGCATTTGTCTCACTTGCGCCAGCTCTTGTAGCGCAAATCTCCGATCTGCGTCAGGTGGGCGTGCGGAATGGCACTTTCTTTGCTGTCATCTCCTTTGCGGCCTTGACTGGTACTCCTATTGGTGGTGCTTTGGTGCCAGATGTTCTCCATGACGATTATACCCGACTACAGATATTCGCTGGTGTTGTTATGATTGCTGGATCTGTTATGTTTGTTTTTGCCCGGGGCGCTGTTGGTGGGTTTAAACTTACGAAGGTGTAAGAGATGGCCTCGCCGAGTCTCTTTTTTATGAGTCTTTTTTATAGATATTCCCCCTCTCTGTTGCAAATATAACATACTAGATAGATTTCTAATCGAGAACTGATTCTTGCTTTTCTCCCTCTTCGAATGTCAATAGCCCAGCTGTAGCAAGCTAAAATATCTCTGCAAAAGATGAAACGAGTCAAATTCAGGATGTCGTAATCTACAAATTACTACATCCGGTTAGTTTTATAATATTAAATTTACTATATAATATTCCCTCTCTTGGCGATATAATCTATTTTTATACCTACGCTGACCAAGTATATCGTTTTCAAGGTTATTATACTAATAGCTATAGGATATTCCTTTCCATGGAACTAGTAGAGGATTATCCCTATAGTCAGGGATCCCCCTGGGTTCCTCTTAATTTTGTAAGCATTAGTCTTAGCACACAGACAGACAATACATTATATTCCCTCCCAGTCATTGTATCTTAACCGGTTAATAGGGCATACACCTGAGGTCAGTACATTCTCACAAATATGCTTATAGGAATAGATTAATATAGTAAAGGACGGCCTAGTTCTTAGAGATGATGTTGACGGTAAACCTATATTTAGAGACGAATAGGTTAGTTCTTAGTCGGGGTTATACAACGATCTAGAGTGCTATAGTTCTACCGTTACTTAGCGCCTTAGGTGTATTTCCTATTTAGGTAATCTATCAAGGGTGGTTTTATATTTGCACTAGTTGTAGTTGCATTATCGATCGGAGTGGGACCCACAAAAGCCGCTCATCTCACCAATCCTTTCTCTTTTTCCCTTCATATGGCAGAACATGATGTCCCGCCCGCTCGCTAAAGGCCGTTTAACGGATTGAATGATACAAAGGAGGATTGAGGGTCAAGGGATATATATTGATTCGGTTTCATGTCTGGGATGAAGTGGGAACTAGCTTGCCAGCCCATTTAGTGCAATTGAATTATTATTGTTGACAACCGCGAGTTAGGAGCTATCTTCCAATCCATAAGCCAGCCCAGAGAAGGAGTGGTTAAAAAGGATTGTATACTGGATGAGGGAAGGCGGAACTGAGTCAAGATTTCCCAGGAATTGTAGCTCTGGTCATGAATGGGAAGGCTTGGAGAGCCGCAATTGAAGCGATTTAACAAAACCTCCAACTCTAACCTGATATCCTTTCCTAATTTTCCGACGGCTGAACCTATTTATCCCGCCAGGATCAAGTACCATACAGGCTTTTTCCTGGCAGCCCATACAAACGTACTAAGAGCCGGAAGGATAATTTTCCTGACCGACATATTTCAAGTGTTGCCAAGCAAGGCATTTAGAACAACAAATACCGTGTCTCTCTAGTCCAGTGCGCTTGCCGCAGTAAGGTATAGATAACTTGAAACTTTGCACGTCAATATTCTTGAACTAGGAATCTGAAGCATAGTAGCATTGCTCAGCATCTAAGGAGGCCTACGAAAATGATACAACGTCTCGCGGTTTAAGTTTATAAAAAATCATCTGAAAAACCTCAAGCGGTATCTTAACTGGCCACTTCTCCCTATAGGCACAAGGCTTCTTCCAACAGTTTGATATTAGGACCCAGGCTAGAGCATAGAACCCCGGTGAATATTAGGTTACTGAATGGTTAGAAAGTAATATAAGGCTCCTAGAGGCCAGGATAACCTTCTGAGAAAGCTGCACGAAAGCGACATGATGTGGTAAGATAACAATCATGCGAACGTTGGCATGCGTACGCGGGGAATCGCTAATATATAACTTGGCTTTTAAGACGGCTCCGTTTATCATGGCTTTATATTTAACGTCATCGTATAAAACAACAAGGTATCTATAAAACCAATAGACATCCCCGTTGGGGTAGCTCTAAAGTAGAATCAACTCGAATGAGATTGGAAGCTCAACATTGCAATCGGAAGATACCTCTAAATCCCAGGCTGTAAGACGCAGGAAAGCAATACTTAGTACCCTAAATACAGGAGAATTATATCTCCAAGTCAAAGGGTCATCGACATAAAAGCGCCAAATAAAAACGAGGTCAGTAAAGAATCGCCCCTACAGCTTATTCATTGGTGTAGGCATACTAAATTCCATTTCAAACGTCTCAAATTACTTTACTTCCGGTGTGTTACTCTCGCATATATTTTCACCGAATATATATCGAGGCTTTTACACAATACAGTAATTTATGCTAGATATCTCAAGGATCTCGGTGAGATCTATACGTGTTGCCGAAGGTATCAATAATCCGTCAAACTCACTCCATGATAAGATCGTGAAAGTACCTGCATCTAGATCGATAGTGTATACAAAATCTAGATTTGAGTGAAGTAGGCTAGGAAATGGGACTGACTCCCATCCTTCAAGATTGTCGGGGTTATCACGTAAATATTTAGTTGTTCACAATGTCGACTCATCGTCAGGGGGACTTATCCGCGCTCGAGGACGATAGAAGCGGTACCATTTCCCTAAGGTATTGTGTTAGCGTTTGCAAGACATATAGTACGGACCATCACCAACCGTTGATATGTAGGTTCCAGAGCCCTCTATACCCTATCCATTCGATAAGGTCCCAACTGGGGAAAGTGATTGGGATTTTATAGATATTACGGGTGGTGGAGCTGTTATACGCAGTGGACTGCTGGAATCATCGCATGGACAGCAAGGCGAAGTTCCGCAAGTTCATAAAATCAATTTCAAAAGATGTACCTAAAAGTACCCCGACTCAAATAATGTCAGATCTAGTCTGAGATAGCTTTGACGGAGAATTATTTAACCGGTCTTTCCAAGGAGGGCTCCGGGCTGCACAGTCGGCGGACTTCATCAGCCACTGCTATACCGGTGGCTTGCCGCTGAAAGTTATATAGTGGAAAGGCGGCCGTTTCTAGGCACCAGAAGCTATCATTTTCGGCGTCATTTTTACAGATCCTTTATATTCGATCTGTACGGAGTAGGAGTAAGGCAACGGAATTAAAAAGATGGGGCTAAGCCTTGGGGCCGCCCCTTATCATAGAGAAGGTTAACTAGTGTTTTATAAGGCGATCCTAAGCCCAAGCTCTGCAGGAACTTCTATGTTGTCCTTAATCTTCGCAGAAAACCACCTATCCTAACATGGCTCCGTGGATCTTCTCCGTATTAAACGATCTATTCCAAGCCGGGAGGGGAACGAACACCACCTTCCTGACAGACCAACAAGTCCCCGGCGCCGATCTGACAGGAAAATGGATAATTATAACCGGCTCCAATAACGGCGTCGGCTTCGAAGCAGCAAAATCCTTCGCATCATGGGGCGCAAACCTCATACTTGCCTGTCGCGAGCCACCAGCATGGGAACAACACCCAACAGCAGCGGTGAACGAATGCAAAGACCTCGCCACGGCAAATGGCCATTCATCCACTATAGAATGGTGGGCAATCGACATGGCAGATCTCAGCAGCGTTGAAGCATTTGCCCAAAAATGGCTACAATGCGACCGCGCTTTGGATATCCTATGCAACAACGCCGGGATTGCAGAGCCTACCCAGCAAACCCGTATAACAAAGGATGGGTTCCAAGCAGTGCATCAGGTCCGTTTCTTCCTTGATCTTGCGTACGAATATAAACTAATAAATCTCCCAGATCAACTTCCTATCCCATGTCCTACTAACCCTCCGCCTCCTCCCATCACTAGCACGCAGTGCCGAGCCACGAGTAATCTGCACAACATCATGTTACCACCATCTAGGACTCTTCGATCTGGACCATGTGAATGGCGAACCAGGCAGTCGGGGCAACGATTATCGGAACAATAAGCTCTACTTCCAAATGTGGGTTGTAGAGATGCAGTCCCGACTCCTCAAACGACCAGAGTACCTCCACATCACAATCAACGGCGTCCACCCCGGCTTTGTGGCATCGGGGATATGGGACGGTCTTGCGAATGCGGGTGGGACGCCGAGTGGACTAAATTTGCTTTTGCGATATGTTGCTATCACGACGCAGCAGGGTGGATTGGCTATTTCTCATGCGGCTACTAGTGCGGAGTTTGGACCAGATCCTAAGAGGCAGGGTGTTAGTGCGGGAAATGGGCGTGGGGGTGGGAAATATATCAATCGGATATGGGAAGCGCCTATGAAATCACATTGTAATGATCCAGAGGCTAGATCGAGGTTGTGGATTAAACTTGATGAAGAGCTTGGTTTACAGGAGAAGGGTCTTTTAAAGGGGTTAGGGCTTTAATTTAATAAACTGTGTTGACGAGCAGTTCGAATGATTATACTAAAACACTAAAAAGGATGTGAAAGAAGATGCTGTATTGTAAAAAAATGCCACTCAAGTGGCCAGACCTTCTAGCCGGAGCCGTAGGGTTTATCCTTTCTGGATCGATGATTATGATAAAAGGGTTTATGAAAACAAAAGTTTACGATGGGGTTCCCAAAGTACCTATGATGGATTCAAAAGACAGACCAGAATATCTAACAAGAGTATGAACACAAAAACGCCATAGCACCGTCGCTGAAGCATGATGCATGAAAAAAGAGAAAAATTATGCTCCGGTAAATGCCGCCCAAAAATGCAGCAATCAAGCCAATACTCCTTGTCTCATGTTCTCGACAGTCTTGACTCCAACACCTTTCAGCTGGCTCAATTGTGCCAGGCTATTGACCTGAAATTGGGACTGATCTGAGACAATTCCACTGTCGTTTGTGTCCAATGATGTCTGGTCCATCTCGCAGAGGCAGTCAACAAGAGCCTCTGCCTTCTTGGCGCCCATTCCCTTGAGCAATTTGATCTGGCTCACATCCCGTGAGTTGATGATGGAAAGAATATGCATAGTTCGGGGAGAGATAGACGGGTCCTCACTATCAAGGAGTTCGGGGGCTTCCTCGATCTGACCGAGCTTGGCTGCAGCACGCTTCTTGTGTCTTGGACGAGGGACATCCTCGTCACTTGAAAAGCCGGCATGAGTCTGGTCCATGTAGCTATCCTCATAATTCTCTGATTGGCGTTTGCCGAGGGTTTGTGTTACATCCTTCTTGAAAGAGAGCATGCTACCCCTACCCTTGGGCGGAGAATGGGCTTTCTCCTCCCAAGCCTTTGCGTGAACGCGCTCCTTCAGAGCAGCAATCTTGCCTGCCAGCTTCTCATTGTGAGGGAAGTGGGGAGCCGCCAGCTGGTACATTCTCAAGGCTGAGCCGTCTTCACCACGTGCTTGATGTTGTTTAGCCATCAGGAGGTATGACAGACCCTCAGCACGCGCATCTTCTGTACCATCAATGCGCTGCTCCAACTGTTCCAATCGCTTTTGAAGCTGCTCATTAAGTTCATGGACTTTAGTCTGCCTCGATTTTTCGCTCACAGCCCGCACAGCTAAGATCTCCTCAACCTTCCTCTCAACCATTTCCTCAATTCTAGCAGCCGAGAAGTCGTCATGGCGTGCGGGTGGCTGCGCACCCAGATTCTGGCGAGCGGACTTCAATGATGGAAGACCGGAAGGAGCGTTGGAGATCGAGGTGCGTTTCGGCGCTTCCGGTTTACGGAGCTGGCTAACGAGCTTGGTTTGCGGCTTGTCCGAATATACGCTGAATGCCTTCACGGGTTTGCCGTCTTCTTTTTCTGTGGAATCCTTCACAGCAGGCGCCGGCATATTGACGTTCACGGAAGCTGTCAGTGCCCGCAAAGGTTGTCGCGTGCCCATAGATGGCCGCATAGATGGCCGGGCCGGACCCTTGAACATGGGATCATTTTCTACTTCCCGGACCTCGATCTTCCGTGTGCGATTGGCAACGTTCAGAGAGCTAATTGTGTCAAGATGGTAAGACCGGACGGGTGCAAGGTTGAGAATCATCACTGTCAAGCCATTGTTCTGTCCCAAGGATAAAATTCTTGTCATCTTGGACTCCCGGTATGGGATGCGATGCTGCTTCTTGTTGATAGCCTCGACACACTGCGCCAGAACGAAAAGACTTTTGTTGATGCTAGCCGATTCTACCATGCGCTCCTTATCATTTTCTGTCCGTCGATTGTCTTCGGATCCTGCGAGATCAATAGCGGAAGCGGTGCTGGTGCGAACCTTGTCAGGAGAGGTGACGGTGACTTTCACGCCGAGAATGGCGTGAGATCTAGATGAATGGGCGTTGAGCTATATTTGGATGTTTAGCAGATGATTGAGACCCTAGTGGTGGGCATTATCGAACCTTCGTTGCGGATGTGGATCGGTTAGTGTTGGCCTGGTCATACAGCTGCTCAAACTCCCTCAAGGTTGTACATGGCTTCTCGCTGAGGCCACAAACCACAGTTTTGCCGCCATTATCCCGGAGGGGAAGACCTGCCATTGTACGCTTCTCGAGCGGCTCGAACAAGTCGTACACCTTGTCGTTGTAGATTTCATAATAACTCAAGGCAACCTGAACTGTCGTCTCCCCATTGCTATCCTTTTCAATCTTCCGACTGCGTCTGTAGATACCACTGAGTAGACGGGGAATCACACCTCGGTCAGCCAGGGTTTTCCCGCCACGCATTGTATGTGTTTTGCCTGTTCCGGTGACACCGTATGCGAAGAGTGTCACGTCGAATCCGTTGAGGAGATGCTTGATCGTTGGTGACACTTTTACTCCGATCAGTATACTGGTCCAAAGCGGGCCTGGTACACTTTGAACAGCAACTCACCTTCAGCATCAAACAGCTCCTGTTGCGACACCTCCGCGTCATAGACACCATTGAACTGGAACGCATACTCCTCCCCCTCATTCTTAGGGTTTGGGATGCGGACCACATTATCCCTGTCTCTCAATGCCGCCAATTTCTTGTCGCTCTTGTCACTCTTGCCAATGAGTGACTGGCGTGATTTGGAATCGGCAATAGCGGAAGATCCTGTACGAAGGATCACATCGGCTTCCCGTTCGGAATTGAGAAGGGGACGGATACGCGCGACGACTCGGACACTCATTGTGGCGGGATGTTCATTCAATTATCGTGTGATGGTCCTGGAAGTCAGGGATTTGATCCAATCAAAACAAAACCGAAGGAATGACTAGAACGAAGTGTAAAAGCCAAAAAAAAAAGAGACAAAGAACAATAAAGTCCTCCCCAAAAAAACAAAGAAACGAAACTAACTACTCGGTGTATGCGAAACTGATGGTTGTGGAACGTGTGGAGGAGTTCTCTTGTGCAGCAGCCGATGGGGTTGGTGTTGGCAGGGCAACCACCTCTTTGCTCTTCAACAAGTGTTATACAGTACACTCTTGGACACTCGAGCACTCTAATGGGATATATAATTGCCTCGTTACAATTTGAACAAAGTGATCATCTTGGAAATTCTATATTCTCATTATACAATTGACAGTACAATATGATCCGGGGATGTGTTCTACGCTTGAACTAGGGGTTACCTGACAACCTCTAACAGTAGATATAGATCAGCTTGATGAGAATAAATAGCACATATAAGTGAAATAAACGGTCTTATGCTCAGTATCAGACGTTGTCGTACAATATAAAAACACGCCTCTCGTCACATGTTCTATAGCCTCTGATTGGTCGAAGCACCTCGACCTAAAGGCCACCGTAGACCATCATCACCGCCTCTCTCACACTCCCTTGGTCACTTCTGGTGAGCTGTCTTTTGCCTCGCTACTGCCTTTTGTGATACTTCTGGGTTTTCTAAAGGTACAGCCTATCTTGTATGCAGACCAGGTCCACTCTGTTCCGTTGACGAGAAACTGATTGTGGGGTTCCAGGAGCTGTTACCACCGCCTCCTCGTATCGATTCGACCCGCCAACTTCGTGACGAGCGCAACCCTCTTTTCTTCCCAACCCTCAAGTACGACTAAACACAACTTACTCAACTCTAATGGCAGCACCACAAGGGGGATTCCCTCCCCAGGAAGGGTATGGCCAGCCCGCCTACGGCTCCCCGGAACCCACACAGTCCCCGGTCCATGGGCAAGGCGTGCCCGCAGCTGGAGCTGGAAAGAAGAAGAGAGCGTATGCTGGTGAGGCATTTGATTTTGGCTCTGGCGCCAATGCAGCGCTCGGTGGACAGCCCACAGCTGGGGGTGCTTACGGGGCCTACCCTCCACAGCCCCAAGCTGCAGGATATCAACAACCCGCCTACGGTGCGGACCCCAGTCAGATGCAACCCGCAGCACCATCATATGGCGCGCCTGCTGCCGCAGATGTCACACAGATGACACAACAGTTCGGAGGAATGGGCATGAGCGAGCCTCATCACATGCCGCCCGCGCAGCCTGTAGCCCAAGCCCCTATGCGACCTCAAGTCCAGCTTAACCAGCTATACCCCACGGACCTTCGATCCCAACCTTTCAACGTTGCCGAGCTGGACTATCCCCCTCCTCCAATTATCTTGCCTCCGGGAGTATGTATAGATTCATATTGCCCAGGTCACTGATATACTAACAATTGACAGACCAGTGTTTACCCATCGCCCGAAGCCAATTGCCCTACGAAATATATGCGATCCACGCTCAACGCTGTCCCCACAACAAACTCCCTCCTGAAGAAGTCAAAGCTGCCCTTTGCCCTTGTCATCCAACCGTATGCTTCTCTCCACGACGCCGAGGACCCTATTCCTGTGATTCCAGACCAAGTCATCTCACGATGCCGACGTTGCCGCTCATATATCAACCCCTTCGTCACTTTCCTCGACCATGGCCACCGCTGGCGTTGTAATATGTGCAACCTGACGAACGACGTGCCACAAGCCTTTGATTGGGATTCTACATTGCAAAAGCCCGCCGATCGGGCACTGCGTGCCGATCTCAACCACAGCATGGTCGAATTCGTTGCGCCGCAGGAATACATGGTCCGACCACCTCAACCTCTTGTCTACCTCTTCTTGATCGATGTGAGCTATGCATCGGTGACCAACGGTCTTTTGGCCACCACCGCCCGCACCATCCAGGAGAGCCTTGATCGCATCCCGAACGCAGACCGGCGTACTCGCCTCGGGTTCATTGCAGTGGACTCGAGCTTGCACTACTTCAGCATTCCCCGGGACGAGTCCGAGTCCTCGGACCCCCGGATGTTGGTTGTCAGTGATCTGGACGAGCCTTTCCTTCCCATCCCTGGTGATCTCCTGGTGACGCTGAGCGAATGCCGCGAGAACATCGAGGTTTTCCTCAAAAAGCTGCAGGAAATGTTCCAGAACACCCAAAACAACAGCTGTGCCATGGGTGCCGCGTTGCGAGCTGGTTACAAGTTGATCTCCCCCGTCGGTGGAAAGATGACCGTCCTGAGCTCATCTTTGCCTAACCTTGGCCACGGAGCGCTCACTATGAGAGAAGATAAGAAGGTGCTGGGCACCAGCAAGGAATCCAGTCTACTTCAAACCGGAAACTCCTTCTACAAAAGCTTTGCAGTCGAATGCTCAAAAGCTCAAGTCTCTGTGGATATGTTCCTCTTCTCATCGCAATACCAAGATGTGGCATCTTTGAGCTGCTTGCCCCGCTACACTGGTGGTCAGACCTACTTCTACCCTGGCTGGAACGCTGCACGGACTGAAGATGCCATGAAGTTCGCCCGTGAGTTCTCTGACTACCTTTCTTCGGAGATTGGTCTGGAGGCCGTTCTCCGCGTGCGCGCAACCACTGGTCTGCGTATGAACACCTTCTACGGCAACTTCTTCAACCGTAGTTCCGACCTCTGTGCTTTCCCGGCCTTCCCTCGTGACCAGGCCTACGTGGTTGAGGTGGCCATTGATGAGACTGTTACAAAGCCGGTCGTCTGCATGCAGGCGGCTGTGCTTCACACTACCTGCAACGGTGAACGTCGTATCCGTGTCTTGACCCTGGCCCTTCCAACGACCCAGAATCTGGCAGACATCTACGCTTCAGCTGATCAACAGGCCATTGCCACATTCTTCAGCCACAAGGCCGTTGAGCGCACATTGAGCAGCGGCCTGGAGCCCGCACGTGAAGCTCTTCAAGCTAAGATCGTCGAGCTTTTGCAGACCTACCGCAAGGAACTTGCAGGCGGTAGCGTTAGCGGAGGTGGCCTCCAGTTCCCTGCCAACTTGAGAGCCTTGCCTGTCCTGTTCCTTGCAATGATTAAGAATGTGAGTTTTCTTTATTTTGTCAGTGATAACCGTTCTATACTAATCCATTTTCTCTAGCTTGGTCTTCGCAAATCCGCCCAAATCCCCACAGATATGCGGTCCGCAGCTCTCTGCCTTCTGTCGACCTTGCCCCTGCCACTCCTCATCCAATATATCTACCCGAGAATGTACTCACTCCACGACATGCCCGACAATGCGGGCCTGCCTGATGAACAGACCGGCGAGATCATCCTGCCCCCTCCCGTCAACTTGTCTTCGGGCCGCCTCGTGCCCTATGGTCTATACCTCATTGATGACGGCCAGACCCAGTTCCTCTGGGTTGGTCGCGATGCTGTTTCACAGCTTATCGAGGATGTCTTTGGCGTCCCTGACAAGTCCCAGTTGCGCGTGGGCAAGCAAACCCTCCCCGATGTCGAGAACGAATTCAGCCAGCGTGTGCGGGCCGTGGTTGAGAAGAGTCGGGACCACCGGGCCAAGGGTGTGGGCAGCATGATCGTGCCTCACCTATACGTTGTCCGCGAGGATGGTGAGCCCGGCTTGCGTCTGTGGGCTCAGACAATGCTGGTTGAGGATCGTGCCGACCAAAGCGTCAGCTTGGATCAGTGGATGGGTTCCTTGCAGGAGAAGGTTTGAGCCCTCTGCTCTGGCCATTGTATCGGTCAGCACTGACGATTTGCTCCCAGGTCGTGCAGTAATGAGGAGCTGACCGGCTGCTCTTGAAATGCATGTTATCGCGAGTCCTCCCGCCTTGTACCATTACGTTGGGGAAGATTGCGTTTGGTTTTTTATCACGGCGGGCATGTTTTGGATTATCTAGTACAAGTAGATCGCTGGGTTATAGTTGACAAGGCGATAGACGCTGATCGCATCTATGAACAATTAACGGTATCATTTTTCCATCTTCTATTGCAAGGCCTGAGATGAATTTAAGCACTTCGTAGGAAATTCCATTAAATCCAACGCCCTATCTCTAGCCCCCGGTGGGAAAAGGCCAAAGGGCCAATTAAATGGGTTGTTCCCTATCCGATCACCAATTCAGGTCTAGTGGTAGTAGGTAGGTAGCAGTCATTGATAATGTAACGGGGCAACGAGAACACGCTACTTATATATCCCTGCACTTTCTTCCTTTTTCTCATATATAATGAGCCCCCGCAGGATATTTGACGTTCAACTTCTTCTAAATCCATTTATTCATCATGTTAGCCTCAACAGATGACATAGCCAAGTTCATTTCCATCGCCCCAGAGGCCAATGAAGGAACAGCCCTTAGGTTTTTAGAGGTAAGACATTCTCATCTCCCTTTCCAACTGTACTAACACCTCTAAGGGAGCGGAAAACTTTGAGGATGCTATCAGTCGGTATTATGAAGTCCAAAATGAGACTTCAGATCCAAGTCCAACGACCACTATGGATGCGATGGATGCCGAGGCTGATATGCGCCCCCCACCGTATGCAAGTTCACCAATCAGTGGGCCTGTACATCATCACGCCAATATATTCACTGCAGCTGCCAACATCCGCTGTAAAGACGAAGTACGATATAGAACTCTTCCATCTCGATAAAGTACTGACGTTCGTCGGCACTGATAGCAAGATGTGAAGGCCGCCCTGCACAGCATTCAACAGGCGTGTCTCATTTTCAATGCCGATATTGAACCAGAGCACACTATGGAATATTGTAATTGCGACTGTGATGTCCATAAATACAAAGAGACAAAGGCAGCCCGGCTTCCTGTCCACGAAATGTGGTCCAAAGCAGTCATCTATCCAGGTTAGCTCTGCCAATTTGACGATACCAGTTGCGTTGAGGCCACAGTCTAACTATCTGTTTCCCATACGAGCAGGTGAATCAGCCTATCATGACAGCAATTTATCAACCCTCGTCATGAAAAGTCCATATAGCCGTGTGCCGTCGCCATTTCAGTTTGCAACCGCCGGGACTTACAATACGGCAAAGCCTACTCGGTCCGGCTATAATCAGTATCTTCGAAAGACTATACAATTGAATGCATCCCTCAATTCTGCTGCACAGGCTGCTATTGATGCAAAGGAGCCAACATCTACGATATGGGGTACCGAAGAGACCTCTGTACCAAACGGGGAAACCCCCATGACTCCTTCCGATACTAGGCTGTCAGCTGTCCAAGGACTCACCCTTCAAAATGGTTCCTCGGGCCTCGCAGAAAGCCCCAAGACATCGACATTTGGTAGTTTGAAAAGGATGTTATCAAAGAAGACATCAGAGGAGAAGGAAGAAAAGGCAGCTATTGACACAAAGGCGCTACGCATGGCTATCCTAGAGGAGGAGCAAGGCAGATGGCCGAATCAAGAATGGCAGCGGCTCGTGGCAGCCTATCAAGAAACAGTTGGGATAAGACAAAAGACCGCCGGTCTTCGATCCCGGCATCCAATTCAGTATCTCCACCTCCTTCGAGCAGGCTATTTCGAACCTATTCCAGTGGCTTGGGCGAAATCAACGTCTAACCCTCTCAAATTTACCATTGATGCATTTGGTGGGTGGAGAGGAGTCACCCCCAGTTGGAGAGGATACAAAGATCTCGCCGAGGAACGTCTATACTGGGTTATGGATAACACAGAGGGCATCCACAAAAATAAGAAGCCCGATGCCATCTCTGCGATGAGCATGGCTCGGTCTAGAATGGAATCTGCGACTGAAACGCCTATGGAATACTTCTCACGCGACGATATTTGCATTGCTCAATCCATCTCCGAGACTTACTCGAACCAGGTCATGTCTCCCTTCAGACCCTCCGGGCAGCCCGCAGCTCCTTTAGACGAAACTATGATTCTTCTAGGGGTCTCAAGGTCTATGAACTCCGCTCCCTTTCGCCCGAATTACGATGAGCACCTCATTACAGGTTATTCCGCCTCTAACCAACCAAAGAGCAAAGGTGAGCATATTGCCCTTCGACCAGTCAACATCAAATACTAACTTCAGGAAATAGATATCGCCAAAGCCATCATACGGGGCTTTTCCCAAGCAATGATCAATCATGACCACAACGCCCGAGGCTATCAATTCATCACATTCGCAGATCAGGGCCGCTACATAGGCCTCATCAACCACCAGAGTTTGGAACAAATATGGTCGAAAGTTAGATTTTGGGGAGAAACTCGACTCATGTTAGGTTGGCAAAAAGCTAAGGAGCTTCACTTCCAAAAGCACTCTGGAACAGCAATCCACCATCCTATGTACGGGTGGCAAGCCGGTCCACAAACACCGATATTGAGACTGCTTCTCATACTCGACGGCGAACCAGCAGATATGAACGAATTCCAGCTTGATCTGCTTGGCCTATCTTGGGTTTATGTCACGATCTTCCTGATGGGTGCAGACAGATGTCCACACCACCATCGTCTTGCAAACGAGCTACAGAGAATCAGCAATACCAATCCCCGTATCTCTTTCCTAGATGCGCAGGGGAATATGCCGGAACGCTTTGTCACTCACGAGCTGCTGAAGCGCCATCTCGGATACAATGTTTCATTCTCTGATTTTGAGACATTAGAGCAAGCGGCGGTGGATCTACCATTATATGTAGAGTGAACCACACGTGTTTAATCGAATGGTCCAGGCCAAATTTGTCTCACAAAGGATCAATCATCCAGATCACTTGTCTTTTATTATACGTGTTTTCGTCTCAAATGAAATAAATAACAGGTACGCTCTTCATGCTACCATTAGTCCAACGGTTTTTAGCAGGGAAATAAGCCGGCTGTGACCGGAGACCAAGAACGGTGATCATCTACATATGCATATGAACAGAGACAAGCATTCAAAATACCTTTACGTTATTGGAGTCCACATTCTATTTTGGATGTTTTAGCGCCTGTGATGAAGCATAAGCCCGCGCAGGTCACTGCGTAATCACCTTAAAATAATCAGCAGGACCCTGCGCGTCCTCGTAAAACGCTCATATAGCCCCCCAATTAGGTAAACCGATTTAACATCCGGCTCATATAAGATATATACCGGAATTTAGGCCGCGCGACATGGCTTTCCCTTTCCGCTTTAGTGTTCATCCCAAGCCGCTTTTTGCTCACTGAGTAAAACTGGGCACGCCCTTGAGTGTTATATAAGCATTTAACTCGCTCACTGAGCAAAAGTTGGAGGGCAACTGAGCCAGCAGCTCACCTCACCTGGCTCACCTCACCTGGGCAATAAATTGCACCACGCTAGCCCTATATGATTGAAAAGCTTCAATATTGCGGATCCGAGGCATTGTACTCCCAGTTCTTAATGTAAATCCTCATATTTTACGATTCTCCCCTAGAACATTAGGTCGTTCGAAAGAAGGCTCAAATGCATCCCTTTGGGTTCCACTTCCGCATAGAATGTCCAGCGGCATTCGTGTCAAGAATGGATTTCGTCCCTCTCCATAGAGATATTCTTGCACCTCCTTTTCAAGCCAAACTGCACGACCAATCTATGGACTTTTCAGTTTCAGCCCAATCGAAATAGCTAGCTGCGAGCGCGCATCTCTGTCCGCCCATAGTAGGAAGCGCGATGGTTCAAAACAGCGTAGTTTCGGCCATAGATCCACTGGAATAATGCTCTGTAAAGCAATGAGACGCTCGGGTGATCCAGCGCTATATTCGTCATCATAGGGATTGGATACCCTATCCAATGGTATGCGACGGGTGGTTCAACTGGGCCATTCAACCATCCCCGTGGAATAGGGTAATTGAAACCCTTTGGAAAAGTGCGAATCATAGGCGTAGGATAGAGCGAAGTAAAGATATGGCCGTGAACCGAAGGCGTGATAGTGACTCTCTTAAGAGCAGGGAACTGTTTGACGTTGTATAAGAAGGCGTGCACGTCACTATTATCGGCCAGCACATCCTTTTGCTGGCCCAACAAGTGCTGGTAATACTTCCAGCGCTTTCTCGGCGCAGGTTGTGTGAGAACTTGCTCTCGGCGCGCGATATGATCGGGACGGTTCACGTCTCGACCCCTACGTTCTTTCAGGACGTCGAGGTTTTCCTCGTATGCATGTTTGAACCACTTCGGATATATATTTCGAGTTCGTGTCGCTCAAGAATCTGCTCCTGGGGGTACGAGCCGTATCCCTGGGCCCACTCTCTAGTGTTTCCAGCTTCATCTTTGTCAGAGAAATTTTCATTTCCCTCGGCAGATTCTTTGAATCCGGCCCCTAGCTAGGCGCGCCTCATCCCATATAATCTCAGTTACACTATGGCGGCATCTGTTGTGGCCTGCTTTACAGCGAAAGACTTCGACATTAGTGGGTTGACAGATAAGAAAGCGCGGTCGATGCGTAGAATCGACGCGTTCTTATATTGTACACATGGGGGGCGGAGATTCTTGATATCGGAGTTGGATAGATAAGATGATACATCCCCATGGCTCGAACGGGAGGGCGTAAGCCAGGAAGTGATCCATTCATCTGACTACTTAAGTACAGTTAAGCCCTGGAGCCCTGGAGTGCCCAGTCACTGAGTAATCACCTTGTGCTGTGAGATATTCCCTGAACACCCTCATAAAGCGGCACCCCGATGGGGAAATCCGCCTGAAATCCAGTATATATAGACCCGTATAACAAATATTTAGTCGCCTCAGATCCAATTAACGGGATACCCCTTGAGACTAGTGAAACTACAAGTGGTGGGTTCTCCAATCAGGATGAAACTAGCACCTCCCTATACGGTGGAGCGGGAAAGATGATTGTGACAAGTTTCGCCAGGTGCAGTAGCGCCGTCCATCGAGCGCGACATGTGAGAGACTTTGGCGCTGTGGCGGAGATCAATATGTGTACATTAAGAATACTTGATTAATATATGGATAACTCCAGTTAAAATTAAGTACCATGAATGTAGTTGTGGAGATACTTTGTGATCCAAGGTTCCACGTCCATCAAACCAAAGGGGAAAAACAACAAACCTCTTCCTCTTTCTCTTTACTTTCTCTACCTCTCTCTCTCTCACTAGGATCGTCGATCACTAGTTTCTCCCCATTTTTTTTTCTCTCTCTTAATTGACGCCAATTTCCATTTCTGACTTTGACTTCGTTTCACCCACCAAATTGTCGGAGCCGCTTCAAAGCTCTCTGCCCCACCATCTCCCCTACGGCCCGTTTCTCCATATTCATCTTCTCTCTCCTTTCTGCTTTGCTTCCTTTGGAAGAGAAAAAGGTGAAAGGTGAGTTGACTAGCCCCCGCTGTGATCCCGCAGAAGATAACCCCGCTTCGGGGCATCTTGGCTTATCCTCTGCGGCCCAGCATCACCATCAATTCCACTAACATCCCACCTTCTTAGGCCCCGAGATTGATACATTGACGGCTTAATACCTCAAACCTGTGAACTTCGCACCCCACCCGGGTCTTTTGGGTCTGGACGCTGTACCTGTCACATCTTCTTCCCCACCTGGAGCTTCGTACGACCAAGTCCCCCTCTACCTTTTCTACGCTTCGCCTTTCATTCCCTAAGATCTCGCCGGTCTTCTTCAAAACCCAATCCATTTGAGAGTTTGAATACGTTCTCGAAACACCAATTCGATTGCAGCGCGAACGAAAGTAAGCTTTATTTCCCGGTTTCTCTGCGTTTTCGTTGCGTTTGTTCCCTCGCGTTAGTACTTGCAAACGAGTTGCTTGAACCCTTTGAGCAATTGACTCCGTGTGTTATTGTCTTGCGTTCCCTGGACCGAGAATCGCCAGATAGTGCGCTGTTTCCCGTCTATCGTTTTTAAATCCCCGGTTCCCGTTCCCCATGGATTGCGTTCGGCCTATTTTCCACTGGATCCCAAGGATGTTGAAAGCTGACAATCACCCAAAAGCTCAGCCTACCGACGGAATCAAAGAAACCGTTATCGTTATGGGTCAGCCAAACCCTCCCGCGGGAGGATCCCGGAAGATCTCTTTCAATGTTTCCGATCAATATGAAATCCAAGATGTTATCGGCGAAGGCGCCTATGGCGTCGTCTGGTAAGTAGTCTGGGACTGTTCCCAGGGCTTCTCTAACACCATGCAGCTCCGCCATCCATAAACCCTCTGGCCAAAAGGTTGCCATCAAGAAGATCACCCCATTCGATCATTCCATGTTCTGTCTGCGTACACTGCGTGAGATGAAGTTGCTGAGATACTTTAACCACGAAAACATTATCTCCATCCTGGATATCCAGCGGCCCCGTAACTACGAGGGATTCAATGAAGTTTATCTGATTCAGGTACGTCGAACCTTGCCATCTGACAGGATGCGCATGTATGCGATATGCACGGTTACTAATAACATGCAGGAGCTGATGGAAACGGATATGCATCGAGTTATCCGCACACAAGACCTCTCAGATGACCACTGTCAATACTTTATCTACCAGACCCTGCGTGCGCTTAAGGCAATGCACTCAGCCAACGTCCTCCACAGAGACTTGAAGCCCTCGAATCTTCTGCTCAATGCCAACTGTGACCTGAAAGTCTGCGACTTTGGTCTGGCTCGTTCGGCCGCCTCCACCGACGACAACTCCGGATTCATGACAGAATATGTGGCCACACGTTGGTACCGTGCACCGGAGATCATGTTGACCTTCAAGGAATACACCAAGGCTATTGACGTGTGGAGTGTCGGTTGCATATTGGCTGAGATGTTGAGTGGAAAACCTCTCTTCCCTGGCAAGGATTGTACGATTCCACTTCACCCTCTAGTAACAGCCATAACTAATATACACACCTAGATCACCACCAGCTGACCCTCATCCTGGACGTCCTCGGCACACCCACGATGGAAGATTACTACGGCATCAAATCCCGACGTGCCCGCGAATACATCCGCTCCCTCCCCTTTAAGAAGAAGATTCCCTTCCGTGCACTCTTCCCCAAGAGCAATGACACCGCTCTGGATCTGCTTGAGAGACTGCTTGCTTTCAACCCGGCTAAGCGTATCACCGTCGAGGAAGCCTTGAAACACCCCTACCTCGAGCCGTATCATGATCCCGAAGATGAGCCCACTGCACCCCCCATTCCTGAGGGATTCTTCGATTTCGACAAGAACAAGGATGCTCTGAGTAAGGAGCAGCTGAAGCGTGAGTTTTCCCATAATGTCCTTTGGATATGGATCTTCTCTTCTCTTCGTGTAGTTACTAACCTTTCCTAGTTTTGATCTACGAGGAAATCATGCGGTAAATCTGACTCGACTATTTCAAATGATATTAGGTTGGCTAGGAGGATGATGGATTCTATTCTGCACGCACTTTGACTTGACAGCGTGATTTGATACATGTTAGAGATAGCAAGGCAACTCGAAATGTGATGAGTGTTCAAGTAAAACAGCTAATTCACCGTAATATCTGCACCTCTACTAGCTAATCCCAATTTTATATACATAAGTTCCAGCTCTACATCTAGTTATATACACCCAATCCAAACAAAGTATTTACACAACCTCAACCCCCACGCATAAACGCCTCAATACCCTCAAGCACACCTTCAGGACTAGGCCTCGGCGCACAAACATGCGCCTCAAACCCGAACTTCTCCCGCAGATGATCCCTTGTTGTAGGCCCAATGGTAGCAACAAACACCCTCTTCCCAGTTCCAGCTCCAGTTCCAGTTCCAGCAAAAGGCCCCAACCCCAGAACCCTTAACATAGCCTCACACCCCGTCGGCGAAAAAACAACAACCCAAACATCGCCCTCCAACCCACGCACCACATTCTCAAAATCACCCTCAAAAGACCCCATAACCCCAGTCTCATACACAACAAGCTCCTCAACACCAACCCTCTTCTCAACCGGCAATCGTTCATCCATTAGTGTTTTCGGAATGATATCCCTCCGCACTTCACCAACAAGAAACAGCAGCGAGGGTTTGTTTGCTGGGTAGAGGGAATCATAGTGTTGGAGGATGAGATGGGCGAGGTTTTCACCTGTTCCTGTGTCTGCGCCGTGGATTGTTGCCGAGGGGAGGTGTTTGTCGCGGAGGGTTGTGAGGGTGCGGGCTGTGGCTGGGCCGACGGTGTAGAGGAGTAGAGGTGGGGTTGATTGGATATCGAAGGTTACTGATTGACGATTAGTGGCTGGTTGATAATTGGTAGGTTGGAGTTTGGGGTAGGTTGTATATACCGTCTTTTTCGTCTTCGATCATTTGCGCGAAGCCCTCAACTGCGCGCTGGCTGGTGAAGATTAGGCCGCCGTATTTTCTGGGGGTTTGGGTATTGTTGAATGCATTTTTGTGGAATAGGTCGCGGACTTGGGTGAGGTTGTTCTTTAGGAAGCGATGTTCTAGGACGGGGATGAAGGTGGGGTTATAGTTCTTTGCGGAGAAGAAGTCTTCGTAGCCATCTTGGGGGGAGGATTTTGTTTTGAGGAGGAGGATAGGTGTTGGAGGCATTTTAGGAGGTTGGATTGGAGTGGTGAAGGTAAGGGTGTTGGTGAGGGGAGGTAAAGATAGGTGGGATTTATCGAGTGCGGGGAGTTCTGGGGAATTGGGTTTTTTATATTGGACCTTTCTAGACATGTGATTGGTTTTATATACTGTAGTTTATTGGTATCTCTACTGCTTTATACTGTATACACACTATTCATCCAACACAAGGAAATCGAATTTGAGTCTAGGAAGGCTTATTTACACATTAAAAACACAAACTACTGATCGTCCAGCACGTGCAGGTATCGCTTGTCCTCCTGGCGCTCGCGCTCCGTGGAGGGAGGCAGATCGTAGTAAGAGGCACTACGGTAGCCCTGCAGGTAGTGGAAGGTCAAGTTGGCAAGATCGGCAGTCTCGTCCATGCCCAAGTCCTTGAAGGTCTTGGCTGTTGGGTCGATCACCTGGTCGATAAACTCGCGCTCCACCTCGTCGGCGGACAAGGTGTGCCACCACAGAAGCTTGTTGACGTAGTGGGCGAAGGGCTTGAGGACGGCCTTGGGGACGTTGATGTGACGGCGCTTCTTGATGATTTCACGGTCGACCAACTCGGCGATCTCGGCGGTAGAGTAGTTCTTGGGGCCGTACAACTCGAAGGTTTGGCCGGCGGTGCTGTCATCGTGCAGCATGCGCTCCAGAGCGGTACCGACATCAATGGCCTAGACTGGGTTAGTTCAATGCACCTTGTCCACCCCGGGCAAACAACTTACGTGAACGGGCCAGTAGCGCTCCTGCATGTGGTTGGCAGTGAAAATGTTGCCCATCTTGGCCAGCTTGTGAAGCAGGTTGTCCTCGAAACCGAACATGGGTGCAGGTCGCACAATTGTGGTTTCGGGGTAGATCTTGCGGACGATCTCCTCACCCCATCCCTATGTATCATCAGCACTCTCATTCTTGTATAATTCTGATAGATATGCTGACCTTGGTAGCGAAGTACTCGGAAGGCGAGTCACGGCTAGCGTTGTAGGAAGAAACGTGGATGAAGCGGTCGACATCGTACTTGGCAACAGCATCGGCAATACGCTCGACACCGTCGACGTGGACATCCTCGTAGGAGAAGTTCCTGGGGTCGTCAGAAACCACATATTCATATATACCACACACTGTAACTCACTTGGTGGGATATTGGCGACCGACAAGGTTGTAGACAACATCGGAGTGACGAACGCTCTCCTCAATGGACTGGGTGTTGCGCAGGTCGTATTCCTATACAGGGAGTCAGATACCTTCCCCAATTCAAACAAATTATACAGTAGAAAGACTCCATACCATGAAGACAACTCGTCCAAGATCACCAGTGACCTTCAAATGTCTCTTGGTCATCTCCTCACGGTAGGGAATGACAACGGTGCAACCCTGGCGAGCTGTGGGCCATTAGTTTATGACCCAATTGCAAGTGCAACAGACCCTGAACCTACCAAGCTTGTTGACAATGTAACGACCGAGGAATCCAGTGGCACCAAAGACGGTCGCGGTGTGACCTATAATTGTGTGAGTACAGGACCGGAGCATGGTATCAGGATGGAAAGGCTTAGCTACCTCCAATGGAAGAACTATAAGAGCGCGTCAGCAAGCAAGAACAATAGACCTAGTCACAGCATAATTGATCGCTTACCGGCCACCTTGGACCTTCAAGAGGGGCTTGCCAGTCCGGGTGATGCGGACATCCTGAAGGTTGCGCTGGAATTGAAGCTGCACCCGCGGGACTGGGACCAAAGGGCGGGCACCCAGGGCAGTGTTGATAGTGCGAGACTTCTGCATGGTCTCTGGCTGGGTATATCTCTCGAGACCAGCTTATTGGAGCGGAGTGTTGCCAAGAAGGGCGTGGTGATGTGCGAGTGTCTTTCGCAGTCAAGTCGGAAGAACCGCACGTGACTATTACGCTAGTCCTAATTCGGTAGTACGGACCATCACTTTGACTATTCACTTTCTCATCTTTCTCCTTTATTGCTTCAACTCGATTGATATGGTGACTTCTGGTTATTTTTCTGACTTGGAGTTAGTAAATTAACCAAAATACATGGGCCAGTATATCCTACAACCTCTGTTAGGATAAAGTATCCGTTTTGATCTGACAACACCTGGACTGTGATTGGATGTTCCTCGGGATTGATTCATGTCTATAAGTATCACTGCTTTATGTTCTTCTATACGCAATTAAATTATATCCTTTGGATATTTAGGCTGACTTTATGGTTTCTGCTGGTCATCCATGGATTGTTACTTATGTTCGTCAGTTCATTTACCATTCTAGAGTGCACGTATACATGCCACCAGCTACCTGCTGCATATAAAGCATATTAAATGTAGTATAGGCCTCTAGCAACAGACTCTAGCAAAAGAATGTATGTGTTTATGGGGTAGGGAGTTATCTTTTTGTCTAGTAGCCCAATTTAGGGTATATCAAGCTGAACAAGCTTCACTTAACACGGAATATGAGAATACCCACCTAGCCACTCATCACTTGTAGACTAACATTGTCCTGGTGAGCAAGCGCATCATTCCCGTTACTTGCCAAACGAAGTTGTACATAGTAGTATTACATATTTCCTCTAACTCTGTGTAAACACAGTACTTAGACGTAGTAGGCGTTGACAGCAATATATCTGAACAAAATATATATCAACCCTACTTACTCCATACGCACACCAAATTTCCCCAAAATGTTATAAATCGATAGATGTATTAACAATATGATACAGATAGATTAATTTAATAAAAAAGCAAAAATATATGACAGCTGTGTCATTGTAGTTCCAAAGATTTATAAGAGGAGTTTTGTGGGCAAATCACGGCCATCTCTGGTAAAAGGCAAGAAATGGGTTCTGCACTAATCTGTCCCACTCCTCGGGTGTGTTTCGTTTTTATACCTTATAATACCCATCACAGCTACATTTGGTACTGGGCCTAGGCACGAAACGGTCGGTGTTCGAAACCTGCCAATTTCATTTTATTTTAAAGGCCAAGGACTTATAAGGCGGTCAATAACAGGCGGTCTGTAGCGGGCGGTCTGTAGCGGGCGGTCAAGGTAGTACTTGACATGAGGTAAGTGGGGGTAGGGAAGGAGGGAATGTATCTATGGGAGAGATGTGATTCTAATGCTGAGTATCGAGGTAAAATTGAACAATTCCTTATAATATAAATTCGATGGGAGATTCTAGGTGTAGATGTTGAGTATCGGCGTTTTTTTCTTAGCGTTCGGCGGATATGTAACGTGTTCGGCGGACAATGTACCATTTGGATTTGAATTCCAAGGTCAGCTTGAGCTTCAATTAGAGATCATCTATCTAGACAATTGATCACGTTACAAAATGTCTTCTGCTGCCTGTATTTTCTGCAAGATCATCAAGGGTATGTCCACTGTTTATGACTCTATCTATACACATCTCCAGGGCTGTCGTGATTCGACATGTCATAGCAAAATACGGATTGACTGACATGCTCATTCGGGAGCTCTATAGGAGATATCCCTTCGTTGAAGCTCTTTGAGAGCGACAAGGTCTTCGCTTTCCTCGATATTCAGCCCCTGAGCCGTGGTCATGCGGTACGTTTTCTTACGATTCCCGGTGCCCTCTTCCCCGCATTCGGCGTGCCCCTCGTAGCGGTGCGCCAGCGACGTTGCCGGGACGGCGGTGATAGCTTCAGAAAGCAATCAAAAGCCGATATTTCAAACACAGCCAAACTGATAAAATACATAGCTTGTCATTCCTAAGTTCCACGGAGCCAAGTTGACCGATATTCCCGACGAGGACCTGACTGAGATCCTGGTAAGTCGACGAGAGAACAACCTAGGACGAGGAAGAGGAAGGGAAGGGTCAATGTCTTCGATCTCTGATTGAATTCAATTGAATTCCCATAAGGACCTTGCGGGTGCAACCTTGGGGACAATTCCACAAGGTCCCTAAGAGAGCCTGAAGTGGATTGGTAGGGACATAGCTAACCAAGCTGTACGCAGCCCGTCGCGAAGAACATCGCCAAGGCCACCGGCGCCGAGGATTTCAATATCCTGCAGAACAATGGACGCATTGCGCACCAGGTCGTTGACCACGTGAGTTTCGAGGCCCTGGAGGATCTCTCTGATTACTGTCACGGTGCTAACCAGTCCTCTCTAATAGGTCCACTTCCACATGGTATGCTCTACTATCTTTCAGATATTTAGTTCCACGCTAGGAACTGTCTTCGGAACATGTGCTCACAATACAATAGATCCCCAAGCCCAACGAGAAGGAAGGTCTGGGCATTGGCTGGCCTACCCAGGCCACCGATATGGACAAGCTCAAGGCTCTCCACGCGGAGATCCAGTCGAAGATGTAAATACCTTTGGCCCCAGTGATGACGAACTCAAGAACAATGGAAGCCGAGTTATTTCTATACTTTGCTCTATGGTTTGGAACATTTGCTGTAGGCCGTACACTTTATTCTATCGCAGAAAGGACTATAGTGTCAATCTGATGGTAGTTGTTAGAACCTCTGGAGTAGGCATTCAGTTGGGATTACTCTGCTCGGTTGAATGTATAACCCAATGTTCATATATCCTCTAGTTAACAAGAACCAAGTCTGTATGCTAACTACAAACATGCAAAACCGAGATTCTAAATATCTAGCAGATAAGCATATAAATCAACATCAAATACACCACCCAACCCATGTACTGCGTAGCTCATGCCGACGTGCTCTCTGCCTCCTTCTCCGAGCCAGGATAGAAGTTGATCTTTCCGCCGCCCTGGACAATATTGAGTCTGTCGTAAAGCGAGCGGGCTCGAACATACGGGTCAAGAACCCAGTATTGCGCACGCAACTGGTCGATCAAGGTCTTCCGCTTCTGCTCGGCAGCAGAGGCAGCGTCAGTCTCCTTCTTGAAGCTGGCGCGGATCCACTCAATGGTGGTATCCTGGATCTCCTTGGCGAGCTTTTGGCGCTCGGCCATGAGAGTATCCCGTGTTTCCTTGTCGGCCATGCTGGGATTCTCGTTCTCCGGCACCTCGACGTATTTGTATTCCCAGTCTTCGTCGCCTTCGAGCTCCTTCATGATTTGGCTCGGGTGGATGAAGTTTTCGAGATCCTTGCGGTTCTTCGTGAAGTGAATCTTGGCTGCAACAACTGGGTCGAGCCAGCCCTTGATCACGCTCCAGATGCCTGAGTTATAGTTAGAAAGTGATGTTCCGTTTGGAATGTTGGGATACGCACTTGAGAATAGCCAAGGGGCCTTGTGGATGAGCACTGCTCCGAGGGATTCGGGGTAGTTGGCTTCGAAGCACTTGATCATGAATTTCACGGGGGCATAGTCCTGGGAAATATCAGTATAAGCGCGGACGACGTTGAGATGAAAAGCTTACCATGTTGGCCATACCAAAGTCCGTCATATCGAAGACAATAGTCTGCAAGAGTCAGCTACCGAAACAAAATTCTCACGTACCGTAATACTTACTGCAGTCTCAATGGGCGGCGCAAGCAACAAACGCGCAGTCTCAATAGTATAAACAGTAAACCGCTCCAACCCTTCATTATCCTGATCACCAGCCTTGTGCAAGCGCACACGAACAACACAGATCGGCCGACCAGCCCGATCAACACCGTGCAGGAAACTCTTACCCAGACGCATCTGCGTGAGGAAGTCCTCACCCCGCTTCTTCTCCTTGGGATCAGAGCCCTGCGACTGCTTCAGAGCCGACGCCTCACCGTTGAACATGATATCGTCGTCGACATGCATTTCCAGCAGTCGCCAGCGCATCGTAGAAATCAACATAACAAGCGCCTTCTTGGTATCCCACTTGCGCGCCCGTAGGAATCGCAACAGAAGCGAGTCCGGGTTATCGCCCTTCACCATGCTCCAGAACGCTGTCCGAATCTCCTCGGGCTTCATGTCCTCCAGCGCCTGCTTGAACTCCTTGGACTGGCCGTACTTGTCATCGTCGACGACGGAAGCGACACTGTCGGAACCGCTTTTCGCGTCGTCGGCGCCGCCCCAAATCCCCCACCGGCCCTTGGTCTTCTTCTTATCCTGGGCTGGGGCGGGTGTTGCGGCATCGCTGGTGGCGGTGGATTGGGGGGCTTCGAGTTCTTCGAGGGTCAGGCCGAAGACTTTGAGTGCGAGGACCCAGAATTCTTGTAGCTTGATTTGTTGCTCTGGGGTAAGGTTCCCGACTGTTCCGGGGGCGAGTTCGGCGGGCATCGTCGCGAGGGTATCGATTACTCCAAGGGAGGGCTTTTTAGGGAGCTGAGGCTGCGGAGTGGATGTATTTTTGGGATTGAAGTATTTGTCCTGGAGCCAGGCGCCTCCTCCAACGATAGCGAGAGTAAATGTAAGGGTCCAAAAAGATGAAGCCTGCTTTGGTTCTGGGTGTGTGGAGAATGGTCGCGCAAATGAATACCGGGCGACAGGGAACTTGGCCGAGGGATAGATACGGCGTAGGAGTGTTCCACGCATAAGCAATATAATTGAGGTGATTTGATTGAGTACTAGGTCTTAGCCCCGGGAGGAAGAGGGAAGAAAATATATGGCGGAATCAAGGATATGACGATGCGGGGGAAGATCGTCGTTAATAGTTGTACTAATTTAGAATGAAACAATTCAAAGTATTGATTTCTATTTGCTTCAAGGCCATCTATCATAGAACAATTTAATTCTCACAAAGTCGAAGTATAAAAGTGTCGCGTGAGAGAGATCCTTCCGGGGAGATCAACAAATCCCGTAACCCACTTAACATCACTCTGACAACAATCCACTGTTTAGCGATAACAACGCCTATTATCGTTGAATCATTGTCTCCAACAATACCAATCGCATTAAATACATCACAGACATGGACGCACCTCGATCAACCTCGCGCCCGAGACCCTCATCCAGGCCCACAACCCCCCTGCGACCCAGCTCGCGCTCTTCAATACGGGAAGCCCACGGATATGGAAATACCATTGGAAATGCAGGATACACACAACCCGCCTTCAACGCCTTGGAGCCGCAGTTCGCTGAGCTGGCCGATTCAATGGCGGATCTCGAAGCCAACTTCATGCACCTGCAGTTGATGCATGAGAGCCTGACGCGCTTCAGCGAGAGTTTTGCCAGCTTCCTCTATGGATTGAATATGAATGCATTCTGTGTGGATTTCCCAGAGGTATGGTCGCAGACGCGTTGTCGACATTTGTGGCAGTGGTGACAGCGCGCGACAGAGTTGCTGATACGTTCGACGCAGGCACCGATTTCAGACTCGTTCAATAAAGCCAAGCAAGATGAAGAAGATAAAGGTACGGCGAGAGCTCTCCGTGGGAATTCCCTAGGCGCGGTGAATCGGGTTTGCTAACAGCCATCCAGAGGCGGAATCGGAATCAGAACCAACACGACAGGTTGATGATGGCGAGATGACCTTTATGTGAGTCTAGAGACGGATGCGAGAAATACCTACTGGAGGACACTTGAGCTAATGGGTTCTTACACTACAGGACTACGGATACGACTTTTGTCGAGAATCCGAGCACCACTCCCTCCGTCAGACCGACGTCCAGGTATACCGGGGGCTCACGAGCATCGTCGCGTGGCACTGCTCGTGGTGCAGCAAGCAGCCGGTATACTACACGAGGCAGTGCTCGTGGCACTCGTCCCAGTGCACTGCCTCGGGGCAGAGGGATTGGAACTAGATAAAGAGCTGAATATCTGAGCACTTACAATGGTCTGATTATGGATCACTTCATGATACATGTTTGACTATTGGTATCTAAGAGTTGGACCTTTATGTATAACTTTCCACTTTTTGGCACATCTACATAGTACCTTTATGCTCTAGAAATGATTGAATGAAACTACCATGTCACCCAAGATGTTGTACAACATTAAAACCCTATACTTAAATACATATGTTAATAGAATACATCAAATCTCTATAATAAAAAAAAAGAAAAGAAGAGCCTTGGAGGGTTGCCTTCTGCCATCCGATCTCTTATCCGGCGGTAAATCGGTCGGGGCCAGAAAAACCACCCGATGGCAAACCTCCCTTACTCTTGAAATCATCAACCTCGGCCCCCCATTCATTGGTTAATAGACTTTTATATTTATATTCATTGTTTGGATAGGCTCATATTGTCTGGACTTGGTTTGTGACATCGAATCAGATCCGCACTTGGTATTGCATCTGTTCGTCTGCTATCGTCCCTATTCACTTGCTATCGTGAGTACTATTGTTCTATTGTCTGGAAAATATCATTGATATCCCAATAGTGCAATGCTGGCCCTATTCATGGGGAGTCCTTGAGGCTGTACCTGGTCTCTTAATAACCAGCCTTTCTCTCTCTCTCTTGAATACTCTCTTTCTCTTGCAACTTCTTCTTGACTCCCACGTGGATAGAAGTCTGGAACTTCTACGTGCTTTTCACATATCTCTTCTTTACTTTTGATCAGGCCTAACCTTCTCCCTTCCATCCTATCTCTTTTACTCTCCCATCCAACCATTCCTATGTTGCTCACCATGGCAACCCTCGATTCTGTCCAGCTTCTTTCTGAGGCAGCATTTGGCTGTGGTAAGAAGTAGCATTTACCGTAACTGATTTATATCCAGCTAACCTCTCATTAGTACATCTTGCGGCTATTCTCTCCAAGGATGAGAAGACTGCTGGCCAGTTCAGAGAGCAATTCTGCAAACAGTACAAATTGCTAGCTCCACACTCAAAGACAGACACCGTTGCTGCTCCAACAACTGGCCTCCGAACTGTGGAGTCTCTGAAGCCCAAGTACCACTGTCTGAGTTGCGCAGAAGTATGTCTAGGCTCCAAGAGAGCGGAGCATACTGCGGCCACCGGACATGTATTTTGTAAGTCAATGGTTTTTGACTGATTGGGTCTGCTTCATACTAACTCAATAGTAGACCTTGATTCTCGAACCCGTTATGTCTTTTGTGAGAAGTGTGTCGATTTCATCTATGACCATACCCTCGACAGACTTCGTGGTCCTTCTGGCAAGTTTGAAGCCATTGGTGAGTCTCGGGCAATCCCAGATTATCTTACTTGTGGACACTAATCTCTGGTAGATGGGCGATCCATTTGGGCCGAAGACTCGGCCTCCGAGATCTACGTCAAGAATAACGCTCACAAGAACCCATGCGCCATTCGCGGCGCTCGTGGTGTTTGGAACATGGGTCAAACGTGTTACCAAGCTGCTATCTTGCAGGCTCTGCTGCACGACCCTAGCCTCACTGCCTATTTCTTGGGAGGTGGTCATGATGTCCACACATGCACGATCAAGGACTGTCTTGCCTGTGCGACAGCTGAGGTATTCATGGAATTCAACAGTGCCGAGAGAAACGACGCAGTCTCCGCAGCCATGCTTCTTCACCATGGCTGGCAAAAATCTAAGGTATGTCGGGCTCCGAGTTGAAAAATGGAACTGGCTAACTAGTTTCCAGGATATGGCTGGCTACCGTCAGCAAGATGCCCACGAATACTTCCAATTCCTTGTGAACGAACTGCACTCATCCACCCCCGGACATGTCGAGAGCTACGAAAAGCCATGCGACTGTTTCTTCCACCAGATGTTCTACGGCGAACTACGCAGCAGCGTCATGTGCCACAAATGCGGCCAAACCACCAACACCCACGACCCAATCGCTGATCTGAGTCTTGATGTCCAGCTTCAGCATAAGAAGCGCAAGCTCGGTCGCTCTACCTCTTCTACTACTGGAACCCTCCTTGGCTGCCTGGACAGCTTTACTGCCGCTGAAGATCTCCACGCCGACGCCGCTTACCACTGCGAAAAGTGTGGTAACACTCCCCAGCGGGCCTCGAAGCGCCTGCAGATCCGCAAAATCCCTGTTATCCTTTGCATGCAACTCAAGGTTTGTTCGATTTTCTGACTGCATTGAAAATAAGACTCCATGCTGATATTCGTATAGCGTTATGAACACACCTCTAACACCTCCGAGAAAATGAATGGTCACATCGACTTCCCTCTGTCTGTGAATATGCTACCGTACACGGTTAGAAAGGACAACCTTCCTGTTGACATGTCGAATTACATGTACGACCTGTCCACAGTCATCGTCCACGAAGGAACAATGGACTCCGGGCATTACTATGCCTATACCCGTATTGAGAACGACAAGGTTTGTTATACCATATTACATCGCGTTTGTGTTCATACTGATGATTCCCTTTATAGTGGGTATTGATGGATGACAATAAGGTCACCGTCGTTGGTGTGGCAGATGTCCTCCGCCAGGATGCTTATCTTCTTTTCTACAGCGCCCGTTGTATCCGGGCCGAGAAAGCAAAGAACTAAATCCCCTATGCACAGACAAGACACAAGACAGTATTTCAATGCAATGAATGAGTTTCATATTTCGGTGGCCACTTATATCCTTCGCGTATGTCAGTATTATCTATAATTTTTAGACCTGGGCCATAATGTCCCCCAACAAAAGTCTTTCTGAACTAAGCGAGTGAAGGACCTTAGAGGAGGTCCCTTGAACATTAGGGTTGTAGCGGTACCGAGGGGACCTTGGTGGACACGAGTACGATGGATGATTATACGGCGAGTCGAGAGGTCATGGCCATTTGACCCGATCGAAAGCTATGATCGTCGCTGGGAGGCCTTTAAGTAAATGATGGATTGATGGGAAAGATTGAAATAAAGAAGAACTGACAGCCAGGTGCTGCATCAAGGTTGGGAGTGGCAGAAAGGGCACACAATGTTTCAGTGTTTCTCGAGGATTCGGGATTCTCAAGAGTTTTCGCGAGTTTAGCAAGTGACAATATTCTCAGTCACCCGAAGAGCACGAAGATCACACTGAGAAGAACAGAACACTTTGTGGGTTCTCTCAATCACTGTTCATGCACGAGCCTTTGCAAATGCAAACGGCATATGGACTCTTCGACGAGCTTTCCTGAGATTATCCTGATTATCCTAAATATATCACTGAATTAACATGCCCCAAAATATCTTACATAGCTTTGCCTCAATTCTCATATCTAGGCTAGACCAAGTGTTCCATGACTCTGGGGAAGAAGAGGGCTAGTGCTTTATGTACATAAGCTTATGAATTCCCGCCACTACAATTGGTATATTGGATTTTCGAGAATATCCCACGTTTTCTTGGTAATTTTACAGCTCCAAAAAAATGTCAAAATTAAGTTAAAATATCTGACAATAGTAGCCTTCAAAAAGAAAAGCCCGTTAAAGAGATTAACCTTGAAAATATTTGAAGTATAAGATCTGGCAGCCTGAGGCATCGAGATGTGGTGATCGCCCATTGGTCACATGATCCACCAAAAACAGCTAGCGTAACTCAAGCGAGTTGGCCCGTGCCCTATTCCCCATTGGGGCAGCACACAACGCAAATTCCAACCCTAACTCCTCCGTTCTTAACGCCCAACGCCAGCGACCCTCGTCCCGTCAACAACCCCGTCAACTCCCAGGTCCCGCCTTTAAAACCTCAAGATGACTCACGAGAGCGTTTGGTACAGCCGGCCCCGCAAGTAAGTCGAAACTGCACCGCGCACATACGCATTATATCGAAAAAGAACGACAAGCTAACCGAATTTCTCTATAGGTACGGCAAGGGCTCCCGCGAATGGTGTGTTTCCCCTACAATCCCCCGATGAACGATCCAGTCGACACCGAGAAAGAAACTTGGAGGAATTCTGGATGGAATCGAAAATTGATAAGGAACGGGCTTGCTAATATATGTGCGCCTTCAGCCGTGTCTGCTCCCACCGCGCCGGTCTGATCCGCAAGTACGGCGTAAGGAGAAACCGATCCCTGCATATTGCGTACTGCAATATGTGACATGACATGGACTTGTGTGGCTAATATGGATATAGATGAACATCTGCCGTCAGTGCTTCCGTGAGAAGTCCACCGACATCGGTTTCACCAAGGTTCGTTTCAATTCCTCACTCGACAATCCTATCCGGTCACATTCGAACACACAATCACATTATCCGACATGAAAATCCAATCGACAATCGACAAATTTGACACTACAACTACCACCACCACCACACATGCACACTGCAAAAACACAAGACTAACCACAAGTTTCTCAACACACAGTACCGCTAAGCGATCAAAAAAACTGACTCCCTCCTCTCGAACCGTTCGCATCCACGAAATCCATCTACGCACCCGGCTCGACTACGGTAGCGTCCAGTGGAGCAATGTTTCAGACGAGCTCAAAAATGGCGTCTTTGATGTTTTTGTGAATGGAGGAATAGACATCGGGCCCGCGTGTCCGGTGTCCCGGGGTTGCGAATCAAATCAGATTTTGGCTCCGAGGGGAGGATTTGGGGTTGTTGCGTGGAGTGTCTTGAAAAACGAGGATGTTCTGTTATTTCCCTCATCCTGGTTTTTTCTTAACAATTTCAATGACGGAATTTTTTCTCTGGGAATCGTTTCTGCTCCAGCCTGCCGTACAACTTGCTCGTGGTTTGGATGAGGTTGGGCATGCTTTTGCACAGCTCTTGTCTCTGGATTTGGTGTAGCTTTTGATGTTTGGCTGGGTGAGCCTCTTGGGTCGAGGCTTTTGAGGTGCACCGATGATATATGAGCCTGCGAATCCTTCGTAGGGCTTTGTCGACGTATCAGATATACTTGACCCTTTCTACTTCTAAGTACATAGTAGGTTGAGGTGTCTCGGCTGGATGGGCAAGCTTGATGGTTTATGCAATGTAGGATGGATTTATATGGCCACACTAGCAAGGCAGATAAATCATTTTCATACAGCCCGATGATACATAACTGGTACTTTTTAATGGGACTGGCATGTTTGCCTGGACTTCATTTTGATAGGGCGAACGTGGGGTTATAGTACATATGTAGGTATCCACCGTCAGTATATTGCACATAGTGATTCCCATTCCTGGCGACACTTTTATTGCTCTCTAGTTAGTATTAGCCTTCTAGCTAATACCGAGATTTAGATGTTCTTCTATATCTTTCTAGTTATCTTTCTATATGTAACCTACATATTGTGCTTGTTCTCATTTTGAGATAATATAGGTATCTAACTAGGTGTTGCACCTCACATTGATAACGTTCTATCAGCCATTTCGATATTGTAAGGTATTGGTTTCTTTCTAACAGATGCTCTAGGCATAAACGATAATAAAAACAGACAACAACTAATCATGAACCATGAACTATGAACCATTTAAGGTTAGTGACGAAGCAAGCAACATAAAGTGAGTGGTATATAGCGGCCAGTTTCAATTAAAATACCGCCTCGAGATGCCTGAATTTTGCCTGATCTATGCCCTAATTTTAGACCGCCTTCGCCACCGCTCTATACAGTGTATTGTCAACTGAAGCTCCCCATATTTGAAATTGAAGCTATTCCCACCATACAAATCATCAAATTGAGCATATCCCTGGCGTTGAATCTCCCTCCGACCGTACAAACTATCAAATTGAGGCTATTCCCACCCTGCAAATCATCGTTTTGATCAAATCTCACGCGTTGAACCACCCTCCGACTATACAAACCCTCCTATCCTCGCCGTCAACTCGAGTAGACAGGTACTATCGCGAAACAGTTAAGCTGTACGCGGGCCGACGGGAGACTTGTAGCAATAGTGAAGGACAGAAGAATAAGAGAGCACTACATTGATGGGAATATGTAGCTTCAAATGGGCGCTATACACCTTCGCAGACATCTGGTGTATTAGAGTTGTCTATACAAACTCAGAGTTTGAGCCGTCTTGTTGTAGGCATGTTCTAGCTTAAGCTTCGGGTATACCCATGGTTTACATGGGGCAGTCCTGAGACCTGCGGACACTCACGATAGTTACAGGTGGATTAGAACGGATAGCATCTCAGCAAGAAGTGACAGTGAAAGCCTACGAGGTCGCAGCGAAGTCTCATCGGGGACAATGAACGGGATGCGACTTAAGGGACATACACACACAAATCATAAGGTAAACATGCGACATGCGCTAGTACAGCTACACCTGTCTTACTATAATCTCTTCTCTAAGAGCCACCTCATGGGTAACAAGTAGTGAAAAGACTTCAAGGAAGGTTTCAAAAATTCCCAAGCGGACCCGAAGGCCTACTTGAAGTAGTCAATTGGTAGTTTTCAACTAGCAAACACACGATCTCGGATTTCTCCTCACTGATACGTGTAAAACCCGTGCACCAGGATGGGGAGGAAAAAGAATAAGAGGAAGTTTTGGGGGCAGGGAGGGGTATTTATATTTTTTTGGGTTGCCGCGGCGGCAAACCGTTTGTAGGGACAGGCAGGGGGGGGGCGGCAAACCGAATATTGAACCCGCGACTTAGATACCTATGTAGAGTGACACTGTCGTTGCGTACTTGATGTGCTTTTTGTCTTTGTGGACACCGACATAGTATGGCGTGTTGCTGAAACTTCGCACTAGTATAGCTTATTTCGGACATAGTAAGGATAGTAAGAGTAAGGATAGTAAGAGTAAGGATAGTAAGAGTAAGGATAGTAAGAGTAAGGATAGTAAGAGTAAGGATAGTAAGAGTAAGGATAGTGAGAGTAGTGAGAGTAGTGAGAGTAGTGAGAGTAGTGAGAGTAGTGAGAGTAGTGAGAGTAGTGAGAGTAGTGAGAGTAGTGAGAGTAGTGAGAGTAGTGAGAGTAGTGAGAGTGATGAGAGTGGTGATAGTGGTGAGAGTGGTGATAGTAGTGATAGTAGTGATAGTAATGACAGTAATGATAGTATACTCTCTGGCACTTTCTTAACATTCTACAACGGCAGCAGCTTGGTATCACTTCAGTAGAGGCCTGATATCACTTTGGCAGTCTTCACGTGTACCTCGCGCAGGTTCCTCGTATAACCTCTTTTCTAATGATTTACTTGGACATACCGGCTCAATCAAACGACTGTTACAATATACAACTTTTCAGCTTCGAGACCATGCAAATGCTTTAGATGCGACCAGACACCATTCACGAAGCTGAAATGGAAGCTCGAAGCTAGCCATGCCAAGCTTGCTTATAGCTGAACCCGAAGAGGTGAAGTTGAATAGGTTGAAGCTTACCAGCATCACCCTGACTTAGTCCATGCACTACGAGGGAGTAGGTATGGGAAGATTTGCTGCAATGTTGACAAGTGGGACTTTATACAACATCTAGATAGAGGACCTAGCTGTTATGGGAAGGCGGGAGATATCCGAGCGGATTTTCGGAGGTATACGAGTGAGTACTTGACATAATATAACCCACTGATGACATGCATCAACACACTTCGGAGGGCAGTTTTTCCTAACAGAAGGAGACGGCAGTAAGATACTCCGTACAGGATCGTATGATCAGATAAAGGAGTAAGGGCAAGAGGACTGTCATCGAGCTATAATACTAATATATCCAACAAATATACCCAAACAATAGATCTAAGAGGGGTTTTAACATAGCCCTAGAGTGTCCCTTTGATACCCAACGTCAAATACAGAGTATATCAGGTTAATATAGAATAGTGGAGAGAACTAGTCAATAAAATGCTTAATTACCTATAGGTAGCATTGGGACCTTCAAAAATGCCCGATGTCCGATGTGTCGATCAGTCCTCAAGAGGACTACTCGATATGCAGAACAGTCACAATATTTCGGTAATTAATTGTCCCCCATAATTAGTGATATTCTTGATTTGAAAAAGACACCAGCAGCATAGACCAAGATATTCATTACCAGGCGTTCTAGGGAGAGGCTACCGAGATATTTTATAGTACAACATACATGGTTTAGTACTTTGATCTTGATGTTATCTACTCCGTACGTATTCGGTTGTATTCGTATCCGCTCCCTGCACCCGTGCTGATCACACGGGATCTCAGGGTATTCACAGTATGCTCATTGGTCCATATCACCCCTGGTGAACGGCTAGATCAGAGCCGGGGTGCGGATAGCAGTTGTGCCGGACCTCCGATTACTCAGACTTTTAGATCTTGGCAATCCTTCGGGACTCTAGACATCCCGGATGTTGATATTAAAGATCGAATTCAGGAACAAGGTTTATGTGGTTTTTGCATTACAAGAGAGGGGGGTTGATATCGGTGACTGGTCAGTAAATAGTGTAAGAGCTCGATTGGACATGAATTAAAAAATCGATGTATGGCGCCAGGTCACACCGTCAGATTATAGCTAGCCGCTATGGAACTATGTGGGAACGGCGTTAGGAGTAGACGCTAAGAAAATCACCGAGCTTGTACGGAGTAAATCAATCACATACAGCTATAGGCAAGCATGAGTCATACGATAGCACGTCAGAAACACGAGGTAGTCGGCGACATATAGTAATAGGATCGGAGCTCGGATGTAAAAGCGGAGTTTGCATTCCGGTCATAAGAAATCTATTCAACGCAGATCCCAGAGATGTGCAGGTGCGTGGATATAACATGCTATACTTTTCAGGTCCCCCGGATGCTCACGGATAACTGATTTACCAATCGCCAAGCTCGGCCTCGGCCTTCGACCCAACTTCCGATGTTCATTTGGTTCTTTACTACTGGGGATGGTGTTACAATATAGTAGAATGCATTGTCGTCTGTTATGGAGAACCAGATTAAAGTGGGGGCGCATCGAGAGGCTAACAAGTTGTATGTACAAAAACAGGGCTGGACCAGGAGGGTATATGCATCGGGCATGTATTGAATATGTTGTAGTGGATTGATCAGATTTTTTTTTTATGTTCCCCTTACTATTTTTTATGAGATGTATAAAAAAAAAGTTGTGTGCAACTTTGAAAAAAAAAAAAAAAAAAAAGATTATTCATACAATCTTGGAAGCGGGGCTGGTACTTTTTAGTCAACTACCTCAATATCACCTCTTTGGGTAACAAAATTTGCCGAACTTCCGCCCAAATTTCTTATTGCGTTTTCCTATATCCGTAGAGTCCGGTATTTTGTTCCTAGAGGATATACCCACCATGATGGGGCCAGCTCAAAAATGCGGCTGGGATAACAAAGCGGAGCCAAGACAGGGATATGTATGGAGTATGAAAGGACTGACTTTAGGATTTATAGGGTCTTAGTGATTGGAGGAATGATCCCTGATGGTCATCGACTTCAACGCTAAACTTGCATATTTGGTGATCACCTTGGAAATCAACCTGAGATATACGGTGAAGTCTGCAAGCCAAGCAGGCTGATATGTTTATGTGATCATTATATACTTCATAGCCTAGATATTATATGGCTAGAAGGGAGTATAAAAGAAAGATCAGAAGATCATATCGTCCAAATAAGGTAATGATCGACTACGTCATTGACTAGGTTATATTTTCTGTCTGTACATGGATATGGCATCATGCAGGTTCTACTACATGACTTCAAGCAAAAAGTCCCTATTTCTATGTGGTCATAGTTCCCATGAAGTCACCAAAATCCACATCTAAGAGGCTCCCGAGACACCCGAGTGAAAGGGGCTAGAACATCTCAAGTATCTCTTAACTTCAATTTTCAAGTTCATAGTTAACAAATTTAGAGGAAAATAGCATACCAACCTTATAAGGCAGTAAGCAGGTAAGAGTGTAATACCAACCTCTTGGCAGTTTGCGTCGATCCCGAGGTCCTTAGCTTAACTTCTTCCACGCACTTTTTTTTTTTTTTTTCTTCTCTCTATATAATTTTATTTATTTAATATTTAATTATTTTAGAAAGCATTGGAAATCGTCGGCAAGCTCTTTCTTTTTTACGAGCGGTACTTCTTTCCTAACCCCACCTGGACATATATACTGCATTTCCTCCCCATAACTCATACTTCAGCCCTACAACTTTTCAACCATCGAACAGTCTAGTTCGTCTAGTAGTCCTGTCTAGGCGCGATTATAAAAGGCCAATAAATACGGGTCTAGCTACCGGTTTGGTAGGTTCGCTACGTCACGATTCGATAGAGCTTCGACCCCAAACTGGTTGGAGCTCTATATCTCAGAACCACTTGCATTCTTTTCTGAACATACATACACATCATTTCTTGCACTACATATATCCATCTCAATGCGGCCTATAGCTAGTCGAGCCGTATTGGCGGCAACTTTCACTCTGTTTCTCGCATCCCTTGCGACCGCGACTCCACACGGTCACGATGAATCAATGGACATGGGAATGGATATGCACATGGTCACCGACGCGCCAAAACCGACGACCACCGCAGTGCACGCTAATAACGATGGCATGATGAGCTATTTTGCATATACCAAGCACTCCAGCGCCATTATAGCTCACATTGTCCTCATGGTTCTGGGCTGGTGCTTCATTCTTCCTGTCGGTAAGTAGCTCTCGTATTGAGAACTGAACGCGAAAATCAAACAGACAGCAACTGACCTCTCGAATAGCTGTTATGCTGAGCATCGCGCGCTCATGGCTCGCCATTCCATCACAATTCGTCTTCTTGGCCTTCAATGCCTTCGGCGTCCTGCTCGGGGTTATCTATAACAGCCAGACGCCAGACCTCTATGAGAACAATGCACACCACAAAATTGGCTGGATCGCGACGTGTGTTGTCAGCGCCCAGTTCGTCCTAGCTTTGCTCTTTGCCTACGCTGGCCGCGGCAAGTCGAATGCGCCCGCTTATGAACATGCTGCGTTCTTCCCTGTCGCGACTGACGACCACGATACTGAGCATGCTTGTCTCAATGGTGCGATGCGCGAGCATCGCTGGTCTCGCGACAGTGGCCAGGGTACCGATAGCAGCTCTTCTATCCATAGTCCTGGATCGTCTTGTGCGTCGCCTATCGAATACGATGGATTCGAAAAGCCCGAAGAATTGCCAGCGAAGGTTACTTCTCAGCATGCCTGGATTCACCACACGCGTGTTGGTCGCTTCCTATTGCAAACTGTCCCTGGTCTCATTCCCAGCCGGGTTCTCCGCGTTTTGAATGTCGTGTATACCATCGTTGACCGTGTCATTCTTCCATTCGGATTTACCGCTATTGCGACTGGCGCTGTGACATATGGTGGTATCATGAGGGGTCGTGAGATCTTCAATGGACTTGCGCACTTCATCAAGGGTGGTATCTTCTTCTGGTACGGTATCCTGACTCTTGGACGTTATATTGGTTGCTGGGCAGATTTGGGTTGGGCCTGGAACAAGAAGCCCCCTGCGTCTATTGTTGGTTGGAAATACAAGGTTCCCTCCGGCGAAGCCACAGAGTCGTTCGTCATTTTCCTATATGGTGCCACAAATGTTTTCCTCGAGCACCTCTCCAGTGCGGGTCAGGCATGGTCTGCTACGGATCTCGAGCATGTTTCGATTTCCGTGCTGTTCTTCGGCGGCGGTCTGGTATGATTTTTATCTGCGTTCCACTTTTTATAAGAACCAATCTGGCTAACATGACGATATAGGCCGGTATGCTTTTCGAATCTGCGTGCATCCGTGACTGGGTCAACAACACAATCATCCAACGCCCGGCTCACGGTACCTCGGATGAAGCTTGGAGGCCACCGAAGTCGCAGGGTGTCTCCTTGAACCCTATGCCAGCCCTCGTCATTATGTTGCTTGGCATGATGATGGGGTCGCACCACCAAACCAGCATGACATCGACTATGGTACACAAACAGTGGGGTAACATGCTGGTTGGGTTTGCATTGGCGCGAGGCATGACTTACGTTCTATTGTACCTCAAGCCACCGACCTCGTACCTCCCGGCTCGTCCTCCAACAGAGATCATTGCTGCATTCTGCCTCATTTCAGGGGGTCTAATTTTCATGTTGAGTGTAAGTTCACAATACCCTTCATAAGCTTTACAACGTCACCCAAGAGCATGACTAATGTTGATTCAGACCCGCAATGTGATTGAAGCGATGGAGTACTACGAACTAGACGCAATGTTCACCTTCACCGTCGGTCTAGGCTTCAGTGCTTTCATCATGGCTTACGAGATCTTGACAATTGCCATCAAGGCCTGGGCTGTGAAGCGTGCCCAGCACCCACGACCAAACTTCCGCTTCGAGTGAAGCATCCGCGACATTTTATTGATACCCCTTTACACTTCTGAGGTTTTTCTGTTTCATGCTGGATTATACGGAGTCATTTTGCTTGTGAATTCTTCATGCGACATAATACTCCCTACAGAGATACCCTGGGAAGGACAGGTCCTTGGAAACCCTCGGGACATGATATTTTGCGACGTTGAATGTGTGAATGGATTAATGTGGTAATAATTAGTGGCTTGGTTGGGATTTAATGTCCTAATCTTCCAAATATATGTAGTACAGTTCGGAATATGAATGCAATGTTATCTCTGCAAGTCTGTTGGGGTATACGGAGTTAGTAGCTTAATCCCGAATTGGTTGAAAAGGGAAATGAGGGGCAAGTGGAGTAAGAACAAGATGGAATTGAAGAGACAATATCCATGATTGGAAGAAAGGAAATGTCTGAAAGGCTTAGGTTGGACAAATTGTACACCCCCGATACTCCGGGGGCCGCCCCGATACATTTATAAGCAATATGCCCCTCTACCTCTCTATATAATTCCGACACAACCTGTAGGAAAACTTCATTTTCACATTCTACACATATTAATTTAAAATGGCTTCCAATCCTCCTGCTGCATGCTGTGCCACTGGTTTCAGACACGAAGGCACTCCCGCTGGTGAGATCAAGAAAATCGACGGAGGTAAGATGGAAATTCCTCAATTGCACCCGAAGCTCCTCAAGAACCATGTTAACAAAGCCGTCCTCTAGTCGATACCTATATCGTCTACCCTAAGGATAACAAGACCCCCGAGAAGGCCATTCTCTTCGTGAGCGATATCTTCGGCATCTACCCCAACGCCCAGCTCCTCGCCGACGAGTTCGCCAACAATGGCTACCTGACCATCATCCCGGATATTTTCCAGGGTGATGCGATCAATGTCAACGACATGGTGACTGGCAAGGCCAACCTGCCTGCATGGCTCCCCAACCACCAGCCTGCACACGTTGAGCCTCCCATTGTGTCGACCCTTAAGTACATCCGCGAGACTCTCGGCGTTAAGAAGGTCGGCGCTGTTGGCTACTGCTTCGGCGGTAAGGTATGTACCTGTCTAGATCTAAAGATCAAATCTCCGAAACTGCAAAAATCTGTTGCTAATTATTTTGGTTTAGTACGTCTGCCGCTTCCTCAAGCCTGGCCAGATTGACGTCGGTTACACCGCGCACCCCTCGTTCGTTACCCACGAGGAGCTTGGCGCCATTAAGGGCCCCTTGTCTATCTCTGCTGCTGGTAAGTTGGTGTCTAGATATCAGTTTGAAGAGAAGCAAAGACTAATTTCGTGTCAACAGAGGTCGACTCCATCTTCACTACCCAGCTTCGTCACGAGTCTGAGGATATTCTCATCAAGGCTGACCAGCCTTGGCAGATCAACCTGTTCAGCGGTGTCAGCCACGGCTTCGCTGTGCGCGCCGATCTAAGCGACCCCAAGCAGAAGTGGGCTAAGGAGCAGGCCTTCTGCCAGGCTGTTAACTGGTTCAACCAACACCTGTAAATAAGGATGAATTTACATATATAGATGGCAGATAGTGATATTAGCATCATTTTTTTTCCTAATGAACCATTCTAGCCAGTATGGAGTAAATCGGCATTACAGGGCCGGTAGTTTACAGTTGCGCGTTTGGTCTTTACCGCGGAGCGTAACTTTGCGGACAAGTCACTTTAATGGTCCGAGTAGTCTTCCTTGTTCTTTCTCTTCGGATTTAATATTTCATTTAGGTTGTTTCTGACCTTGACATTTGGAGTTTTACTCGTTTCCGGTTAGGTGTGGGCTTCTTGTCTCTGTCTTTCCGATTCCCGTGAGGGATCGCGTGCTTGTGAGTTTATCCCTGGAACCCAGGAAGTTCGACTAGGAAAACAGAAACTGATTGATCTTTCTTTCCAGTCATTAATTGTTTGACCCGCCATTTGACCCGTGAATACGTTGTCAGTTCTTAACGGCTCCGACCGCGAATCCTCTCCTTCAGAGTTGTGGTATATACCGACTTGCCAGCCCAACCCTACTCCGGCCCTGAGTGGTTTCGTCGCTATATTTATTCGAGAGTGAAACTAAACGGAATACCAGCAACCAGCAAGCATGGCGACTCCCGCCGCTTTACCCCCATTGCCTTTCAATCCGGGTCGGATACGAACATACCTCGTCCGACTACCGCTGTTTACCCGGCTCGTGCTGTTGATCATTCTGGCCTTCTGGCTGCTTGAGTTCCAATCTGTGTGGGGTGTCATACAATGGGGTGCTTTGATTCCAGAGGAGATTAACCTGGGGACTAGTATGTTTGGTTTCTTCTTAACGGCGGATATTAGGCGCATGCTGACTGGTATTACTAGTGTACCGACTTAACACTTATCCCTTCATCCACACTGGCTTCTTCCATGCTTTCCTTAATGCTGCAGCACTTACACCACTGCTGGAGCGCTTTGAGGCTGAACATGGCACTTTGACTGCTATTGCGTTGTTTGTTGGACGTGAGTGCTCTAAAACGCAACGCTTGTGGCCATTTTGACTAATGTTGCATTAAGCCCTCTCAACTGTCCCTGCTGGGCTTTACATCTTGGTTGAGAGGTTTATCCTACACAGAAATACTTCGGTGGTCGGCGCCAGGTAAGCATCAGATCACTAAGTTGGATGTTTCGGTAACTGACTTCAATGCAGCGTCTGGGTTTTCCTGCTTCTTGGTTCAGAGGCCATCAAGACCTACAAGTCTCACCCCAACTTCAGGTAAGATTCACTTGCAAACAACTCACTCCAACTTTACTAACGCCCTTCAGTCTTGGCCCGTACAAGATTCCCACCTGGACTTCACCCCTGTTTGCATGTGTCGTTGTATCCATCCTCATGTCGAACGTGAGCTTCCTCGGTCATCTCTGTGCGATCCTTGTTGGCTATCTCCGTGAGTTCCCTTTTCTGTTGTTTCCCTTTTCCACTGCTAATTATCATTAGTTGGCCTCGGATACCTCAAGGTGTTCGTGCCCCCTGAGAAGATCCTCCGCTGGATCGAGGGCAAGCTGAACCTCCTGGGACGCCTACCTCACTATGTCTCCGTCGACCAGAAGACCTACGGTCGCTATGGAGTTCTTCCAACCACCAACTCCGCCGCCAACGGCAACCAAACACCCATGAGCTACTTGGGATCTACCCAGCGTCTGGGAGCCTGATCCCAGTATTGATGCATTCTTCACTTCCCATTTTAATGTATATTTTCCACCATAGTTTTTTTTATTGCAGATTCGAGGGGACAAGGGGGGACATTGGATAATAGCATAGCGTGTGTATACTCCCATTTAATTTGCGCTGTTGGTCTTTATCGTTCGATGTAAAATCCACTTCTCCGCGCATAAACAAGCTCTCTCCACTGTTGACTTGTAAGGCTCCAAGTTCAGTCCAATTATTTCACTCATTTAACAGCTTCGCCTTCGCGGCACGGGAATTCATTTCCCGATGGTCAATAGTCAATGGCGTTGAAATGTGAGCAAACTGGAATACCACCTGTCCTTCCAGCACCAACTCCAAACTAACAAGATGCCAGCTGCAATCCGCAACTTGCGGAATAACCCCAACCTCCTTTTCGTTCGCCTTCCGAATCTCCTTTCGTTTATTTGCATTGTCGTCGGCGTTGTCTGGCTACTCCTACTGCCCCTCAACGAATACTCCCGACAAACCTACATCTCCGAGAATGCGCTCCTGCCGGGCCAAGTCCATGCGTATTTCACAGGTAGCGAGCAGAACATCTTCCGGGGGTATAAGAGAGAATTGGAAGGACTGCTGAATGATGGACAAGCGAGAGGCGGCCAAAAAGACGAGGCGGAAGTGACAGCAGCGTAGGTCGAATGAACCCGGCATTGGATGAACTATTGACTGATACTCCAACAGGGTCTCGGACAAGTTGCAGTCAATTCTGCAAGCGGCTGGTCTTAAAGTTGCCACGCAAAAATACGAATACACCTCCGCTGGGATTACGCACCGGGGAGAGAACACTTATGCTATTATCCATGCGCCGCGCGGTGATGCCACGGAGGCAATTGTGCTCGTTGCGCCATGGCTGACGGCTGATGATGAGTTGAACCTGAATGGTGTCACTCTTGCCCTGACATTGGCAAGATACTTCAAGAGTGAGTTACGTCGTTAGGCTCCTCGAGTTAGGTTACTGACAGTTGATGCTAGGATGGTCATTATGGTCCAAGGATATCATCTTCCTGATCACCCCGGACAGCAAAACCGGAACTCAGGCTTGGATCGACGCCTACCACGATATGCACCCCGCTTCGGTACAGCCGCTTCCGTTAAAGGGTGGAGCGTTGCAAGGAGCACTGGTTATTGAATATCCGTTCGAGCATCGGTTCCAGTCGCTCCATATTGTATATGATGGAGTCAATGGCCAACTCCCCAACCTCGACCTGTTCAACACGGCTGTGGCCATTGCAGGCGGCCAGATGGGTATCGGGGCCAATCTACAGGAAATGTGGGGTCACGACGACAGTTACGAGCATCGTCTGCAGACCATGTTCCGCGGTATGACCAAGCAGGGTCTTGGGTATGCCACCGGTGCACACAGCAGCTTTATGCCGTACCATATCGATGCTATCACTCTGCAGACCAAGGGTGAAGGATGGGAGGACGAGATGGCCCTGGGCCGGACGATTGAGTCTCTTTGCCGCAGCTTGAACAACTTGCTGGAGCACCTTCACCAAAGCTTTTTCTTCTACCTGCTAATGCAGTCTAACCGTTTCGTTAGCATTGGTACATATTTGCCTAGTGCCATGCTCATTGCTGGAAATTTCACGATCATGGCGATTGCCCTCTGGATGCGCACTGGGTACTACCCAGAAAGCAAGCCAAGTGCCAAACCTAAGACCGAGAAGCCACCCACTGAAGAGAAGGCCAAGGTGGATAGCATCGCAGAACGACATCTTGCTCTACCACTCTCGCTTGTTGTCGGACTCCATCTGCTCGGCCTGGTCCCGCTCTGGGTATTTAATAATGTGTTCCACCAGGTGAGATATCCTAGCCTACAACCACAAAAGTAATGGCTGCTAACAGTTCTACAGTACTTCACAACTACCACTTACATATTTGTGGTCGTCGACATCATTCTACCCCTCCTCCTCGCTGCAATCCTCTCTAATGGCCTTGGTCTCTCAAAGCCCATCATTCCCCAACAGTACCACCTGATAAAATCCTTCTCCCTCCTCCTCCTAGGTCTCTCCCTCTCGACCCTCGCCACCCTCAACTTCTCCCTTTCATTCATGATCGGTCTGCTCTGCGCGCCACTTAGCTTCGTCACTCGATTCCGAGGCTCGGCGCCATTCCGCTTGGCAACTTCCAGTCTGGGCCTGGTGATTCTCAACCTCGTCTCCCCGCCAACTGTTCTCCTTGGCGTCTGCTGGTATATGGGTGTCTCGGTCGAGGCTGTCCTCACCCAAGCAGCTTTCGGTTGGGATGTTTGGGGTATGTGGACCCAGGTCGTTGTTTGGTGTGTGTGGTGGCCGGCTTGGTTGATTGGCTCTGTGTTGCTGGGGTCTTCGATGTTCTGATATTGTACATTGTCTCATGCGTTTTACATTGATTCAATGATATAGGATATTAATAAATACAATTCCAGGATTTACATACTATTACTACAAAGAAACAGAGACAGGGTTCCGGGATATTGGACGCCCTGTGGTTGATGCTCAAGGTACATCTACCATCTGCGAATACTAACACATCCAAAAATAATGAATGTAACCAGATACCTACACTGACTTGCCACTCTCAAATAAGTTATCTGGATGTATGCCTCTTCAATATGTTTCATTTGCCACACCATACCTATCTTCAAAGAACATACATTTTCTAGTCCTCGCTCTAGGGCTCAAGCATCCATCACCTCACGGCCAATTACAGCCAAATAACATCAGTCATTTGACGCCAGAAGAGCCCAAGGAAGTTGAACAAAGACCACGCCTAACTTTGTACCTCCCATATCGAAGAGGTCATGCACGTCTGATCCAAGCGAACAATGAAAACACCAAAGATATCAAACTTCCACCACCACACATTTCCCCGACTCTTTGTCCAACCCTTGAACAATACTAACATTTCACATTCATCAACTGCATGAATGTTACATTGTTCTCATCCAATTCCAACAAGCCAACCCTACCTCGGACCTAGTTCTATTTCTTCCACCTCCGTCCCAATACCCTCTATCAATCTATATAAAGAATGATCCTTATTACTCGAATATCTATACTCCAGATCAAAGATGTTCCGAATCACCCTCGTCGCCCTATGTCTCTTCCTACTCCATATGACAAAAGCCACAGCCCCAAAACCAACAACAGACGGCTATTGTTTCAAATATATCATCCAGGGCTATGATACATGTTCACTAATTGCCAAAAAGCACAGCATAACCGAAGCCGACATCGAAAGCTTCAATAAAGACACCTGGGCATGGCTCGGATGCGATCGTCTATACCAGGGCGACTTTATCTGTCTCAGCGCAGGAAAACCGCCAATGCCAATGGCTCTACCTCAAGCTACTTGCGGTCCACAAGTACCCGGCACAGTTCGGCCGGCGAAATGGGCGGATCTGGCCGGTTTGAATCCATGTCCTTCGTCGAAATGTGTAAGTACATATACCCCATAACCTGATAACCGATACATATGCAGTTATGATCTAGTCTAACAAAACAGTGTGCATTCTGGGGCCAATGTGGTGTCTCTGAATTATATTGTCAGAATTACCGCGCACCTCCCGCCGGTCCTACGGCGACGGTGAAATGCGCAACAGAGGCTCCGAAATCACTGCCTAGTTCAACGAACAAGTCTGAACCGGATTCGAAGGGCTCGAAAGACTCGAACTCGAAATCAGATCCCAAATCCAAGTCTGACTCTAAATCTACAACTAAAGCTACCACCAAAGCTGAGCCTACAACAACAAAGACTAAACCAACATCTACAAAAACGAAAAAGAAATGGACGCCCGAACCAACGGTATCACAGTATCCCTGGAAAGCACCCTGGGAGATGACGATGTACAGCGAACTCGGCTGCGAGGGAGATTATTACCATCTGGAGGGGTATAACAAGAAATTCCTGGACGACGAAGGATGTCTTGCTATCCACGGTGGTCTTAATAGTAAGTTTACGGAGACGGGGGTTACGTGTAAATGGTGGCCGGATGGGAGTTTGACATGGAAGAATTGTGATGCGGGAACACTAAAGAAACCGAAGTCTTGGGTTGTTAAGAATGGGTATTGCAAGGTGTTCAGTAAAGCTGATTGTGATTGTTCTGATAACTGGAGTTTGTTTTATTTGCCCGAAGGATGTACGAATACGACGAGCAAGGATCATACGCCTCAATGGGAGGCTTTGCAGTGTTCTATTGATGGGAGGAAATGGCCTTGAGATTATGTTATTCTTTCTTGACTTGGAGAAAGTAGATATGTCTAGTTGGAGAAAAAAAGATACCATTGTATTCATTATAATAGAAATTCAGAACACAAGATAAGACTATGCTGCCCAAACATCCTTACCAGCACCCTCGATCCAATGACCGAGCTGGTTGACACCAGCATCCCAGTCCTTAAGACGGTTGCGCATGCCATCAATCTGCTTCATATCCAGAACCTTGGGCTGAACCCAGTGGATCTGTGCGACTTGGGCAACCTGATCAATGGACCCACGTAGCAAACCCAGCGACAAGGCCTTCATAACGAGATGCTCGATCTCATCTGGCTGAACCTTAGTCTCGGATGCAATAGCCTGGAAGGAAAGAGAGCGGTCGTGAGGGGGACGGTGGAAGACCATCTCCGTCAGTGCCGCGAGCGAGATCTTCTGGTACAGGAATACGCGGTGTGACTCGAGCAGCTTGTTCTTGCTGATGTTACCGGCCAACACATCGTAGGCAGTCAGGTCGCCCCGGTTGAAAGCGAAAAGAAGCTCGCGGAGCCAGTTGTGCGGGGTCTGGGTCAGCGAGTCCAGGATGGGGTGCAGGAGGAGCTCTCCGAAGTTGTAGATCGTCTCTGATACCAGGGCGGCTACGCTGAGGTTGTAGGCGCGCGATGCGCGCTCGGTCTCGGTGAGTTCTTCCAGGTCAATGCAGGCGAGGTAGAGGAGGGCGTTTTTGTAGAAGGAGGCGAATTCTTGCTTAGCCTGTTGTGGGTGTTAGCTTCAATTTGAGCGTGTCCGGAGACAGGATACCGCAAGTCACGTACGTGGTAGTAGTCCGCGTTCACTTTGTAGAATGATGCGTGCACGACGGTTTCGACTGAGTCGAACGTGTCTAGCACGCGCTGGCAGGTGGCTAGGTCTGTCTGTGCTCCTTCCAGATCCTTCAGCGACAGCTTGACGTTGGCAACGTCAGCGAGCGCGTAGACATATGCATCCTGTGTATTGGCCGTATCTGTCTTGCTAGCGAGAGATGTGAGGAAAGCCAGTCGTTCTTGGTCATCTAGAGGGAGATGGTTAGCTTGCATCTACACAACCCCGAATGCTCATCATGGTAGGGTTTAGAGCTTCCGGACTAGATTACAGGTCACCAACCTGTGCATTCTGTGGCTGCCATCAACCCTAGCGACACAAACTTGAGCTGATTGACCCGGTCGGCGAAACTGAGCACGAATGTCTTAAAGAGGGCTAAACGATGGGGAGCACTCTCTGGCATGCGGAAGAACTCGACCAACGAGTCTGTAAGCTGATGCCATAGTTTGCGCTCCCAGTAATCTTCGAAGGTGAGGAAGTAGGGTTGTGTCTCTGGGCTTCCTTGTGCTTGCTGCTCGAGCAAGAAGTCGGGGATCTTGGACTCCATAGTGGAGATCTGAGTGCTGTTTGAGTTGAATTCACTAATAGAGGACGAGATGTTGGAGCAAGAAACGAAGGTAGGGAAACTCGGGCGGAATTGGAGATGTTGATGGTTGATGCGGACTGCAAGAGAGCTGATATGATGTCCTCACACTCGGCAGTTTGGGGAGCTCTCACTCACCGCCCTGGCTTCCACCGTCTTCGATGCTTTGCTGTTTCAACGTCAGTTCTTTACTTGGATTTTTATTAATATCTTGGTTTTTATTCAGATACAAACAATTAGGCATTATAAGACGCTAATAAATAGGGTAATATCTAGTGTTGTACCTGCCTGTATGCTTCTTTGTTGGGCCTTGCTTCCGCTTATACTACATAAATATATATCAGACACCGATGGGAGGGTTGACCATCTTTTTATTATTGTATCCAATATTCGCGAAGGATAAGCACAATGCAGGATACACAAGCAGGTCTAATACAAATGAGAAGACATAAAATGTTACAAAAGAAACAAGATAGCATTCAGAGCGATGAGCCGCTAGCGTTGGATGTCACAGTATAAGGTGTTGAGACCTCGAAGCAACAGGACATGTTGTAAACATTAAACCAATCTTATTTGCATGACTATGTTTTTCCTGGTGGTGTGAAGATACTCATCAGGCAGACACAAGAGAATTGCCGTGGATGTATAGATTGAAAGCGCATTATAGACCGTCGAGAGTCTTGTGAATGAACAAGTTGCTCTGATCGATGGCAGACAGTTAAGAATCCACATTTCCCATATTTAGAGACAGAGTATGAAGGTGGCCATTGCTAGGATAAGAACAAAGACGATGCACAAGTATAGACTCGACATGTAGTCATTAGATGCTGATTTGACTGAATTGATGGCTCCTGTGCCTAGCCCTGATTGGATGGAGTGGAGAACTAGATGTAATTAAATGAACTTGGAAGATAGTTTATCGTGTTGCTTCTGATGCCGCAGGACACGCCAATTACAGTTGACCAGATACTACAAACTAAGACAAAGCATATAAGGAAGCCCCAAAGGGAAAGGTATTTTGTATTTTGTAAAACCCCGACCACACCCCAGCTGGGTACATGGAATCATAGATGCTAACGAAAAGCGACACGTTTAAGCGTCATCGACGGTGGTGGTGTGGAGACCCTTGGGGTCCTTGACGTTGACAGCCTGGACGTGGGAGTAGAGACGCTCCTTGGCGTTCTCCTCGTCGTTACGCTTGCGGGAGATGCGAACGCGGAGACGGAAAGGAACACCCTTGATACCGGCCTCCCAGACCTTCTTGTTCAGCTGGGGGTCGACGCGGACGTCCTTGGTACCCTGTTGGTCGAGCATGTGAGCAGACTGATTCCCCAGGATTTAAGAGAGAGAGAGCATCGGTCAAACTTACCATAGCCTGGGTAGCGAAGGCGCGGATCTCCTTGATGGCCTTAGGAGCACGCTTCTTGAAGGAGACGCCGTGGCACTATAATTCCGGAAAAGAAGTTGCAATCAGTCTTCCGCCCGAATGCCATCTGCTAGAGAAAACTCTGCGCGATGAATGTTCTGGTCTTTCGGCCATAGTGGACTTCATAAAACTAATTCTTCTTTTGTGTTCCGGGTGCGGATATGTGTGGATGCGAGTGAAGACTTTTTCAAGATCTCCTCTCGGCTGTCTCTATTACGCAGACAAAAGACAAAAATGCCATGTCCTACCTGTAGATTTCTCCACAGGTCATGGTGAGGATGGTGGTGGTGACATAGGGGATTGGTTTCCCATATCCTCGACACACACACACCAACCCACACCACACACATTCTTTTCCGTAACAAATTCCATTTTCAGGAAAAGTTCTTGTTCTCTGTCCATTATATGCCTCCAGAACCGAATCGTATTCGAATCGTCGCAGGTAGACTGGGAAAGGGTTCAACATACTCGCTTGTGCAGGTTGATGGTGTACTCGCGAGACACCACATCGGCGATAGCCGAGCGCTTGTTGCCGGTCTTGACGTTGGACATCTCTGCGGAGAAGGTTAGATGGTTATTTCGGAGTATTGATTGAGGAGACTGACTGAAGGGGTGGTCGACGGTGGGCGGAAGTGATCGATTGACAGAAGGGAAAGTTCGCGGTCAATTTTCGAGTGAAATTCAGTGTGGTCTCGCTTGACTGTGTGGAGTCTGATTGGATGGAGTGGGGTTATATAATAGCCAATGATATCTTGCTAGTGGATAGATGCCTCAGGCAATAATTACCTTATTCAACTATCAAAAATCCATACATTTTGCTAATTGAATATTCAGACCATTTAAACTATCTCTAGATGAATTTGATATAATTTCTAAGATGCCATATAGTTCCCTAGCGCCATTTATTTCTGACCTGCACTCACATCAGGGTAAAGGTCAAATCGCCGCTGGGTGGAGATAGGAATTCCACTGCGGATATTCGCAATCGCATCATTATCCAAGTCAGCGTAAATAATGGTTTCCTTCTCTTCAGCTTCAGATACAATCTTTGCACTGGGGTCAGCGACCAAAGTGTGACCATAGGCATGGTAGGCGGCATCCATATCACGGGCCGGGCTGCAGAGCGCCACATATGACTGGTTATCAACAGCTCTGGCACGACCAAGGAGAGACCAATGCAGAGGACCGGTGGTTGTGTTAAAGGCTCCCGGGTAGACGAGGAGGAAAGCGCCCTGACGAGCGGCAATCATGGCTCCTTCTGGGAAACGGATATCGTAGCAGATGGCCAGACCGATCTTTCCGTACTCCGGGAGATCAATGACTGTCAGTTTGTTGCCGGGTGAAAGTACATCACTCTCCTTGAACTGGATCTTGCCCGGGATATCAATGTCGAACAGATGCGTCTTGCGATGAGTGCCGATCAATGCGCCTGTCGGCGAGAAGACCAACGAGGTATTGTAGTACTTCTTACTGGAAGGCTCCAGCTCAGGAATACTTCCGCCGACAAGGTATGCATTTGCCTCCACGGCGATGGCCGACAGGGCGTGGAAGGAGGGCGATTGTTCAATCGTAGGCGGAGAGGGGAGGAGGGTCTCGGCATATTTTGGGAAGAAATTTGTGCCATAGGGTGAGTTAAAGCACTCTGGAAGAACGATCAATCGTGCACCGGCCTTTGCAGCTTCGAGGACTTTGCTCCGAGCATGAGAAAGGTTCGCGGCCTTGTCAGCTCCTAAATGGTTTGGTCAGCTGGGAAAACGGTAGAGTTAGGATGGATTCAAACCTGACGCGAGCTGGATAAGAGCCAATTTCAGGGGTTGTTTCAAGAAGGTAGCCATTGTTGGGAATATGAAGAAGAAGAGTTGTGGGGGGACGACTGGAATGATATCGGAATTGCGAATTGCGGGGACGGCCATTTCGCCGATAAGCCGACATTCAAATTTGTTCCTGTCTCTTAAAGAGAATTAAACGACTTTCTAAATAATTTCAGTAGATATAACTTTTTCTGGCTTCAAGAACAATTTCGATTAGATATTGGGAGATTGTGCTATAACTACATGGTATTTTAGGCCTAATAATAACAGTTTCATGGAAAATTTGCACTTCTACACACCTCCGAATAGGCCGAGATCGCGGTAAATTGCCTCTCTCCGGATAAAACTGTAGAGTTGTGCTTCATATACCTGTTCACCTCACCTGTGTTGTTCGAATCAGCACTTAAATGTACTCTAGAAAACGCCAGTCCTCATAGCTATTTCCCATTTCTAACCCAAATCCACGGTGATCCTCTAATACGATTGGATCTTCGGGTCGTGGTGATCGGCGATGCGGCTCAAAGGATTCGAGGGTTTATAAGGTGAACAGCCTTTATAATTTCTCCATAGTATTTCTTACTTAGCTAAATCCACTCTTATCTCCAAAACCTGAATATAATCCATTTCCCACAAGATATAAGCACAAAAGTTAAATTACAGCACCATAGCCCCAACCACAGCAGCCATCACACCCACAACACCAACCAAATTAGAGGCAGGAGTAGCAGCAGCATTGAAAGTAGACGAGCTAGTCACAGAAGCCGAAGTAGAAGCCTCATCCGAAGTGGAAATCTTCAAAGAAGTCGCGATTGCGCTAAGACTGGAAGGAGAGTCGGTAATCATGCTATTAGCCTGAGCAGAAGATGTGGAAGACGAGCCCGACGCCTCAGAAGTGTGCGTGGCGGACGTGAGCACAATATCCGTTGACGAAGCAGTCGATGCCACGGTGGATGTTGAGGCAGCCTGTTTGCCGTTGGGACCCCAGCCCTCCAGATAGTCGGGAGTAAGGGTTGCTGTTCCGGTGTATTGTGGACATCCTGGTTGGGTGGTCTTTGGGGGAGCGCGGCCGCCGCCGCAGTCGAGGATTGAGCAGATTTCGCCGCTGTCTGGGACGTACCAGAGGTAGCTGGCGTAGTAGTGGTCGAATATGACTTCTGAGGAGACGCAGCCTTCCAGGTCAGTGCGGGCTGTGGCGAGGTTGGTGAGGCTGGCGAGGCCGAGGAGAAAAAGAGCGGGCTTCATTGAGAGAAATTTAATGAGTGACTAAGAAGAATAGAATAAAAGAGAAAGGAAAAAGGGAAATACGAGTTTAAGCCTTTTGGGCACCGGAGTCTCGGCTCTTCGAAATCAAAGACTCAGGGGCTACGGTCTACAGGTCTTTTTGATTTTGGAAGGTTTAAATAGAAGAAAATTCATTTTATTTTTTTTTAAAAAAAATCATTTTCACAGAAATACAATGTAGACCCCCATTATTTCCAATACCAGTGGGCCCGGGGACTCATCCGGGCCCTAACTGGGCTTAAAAGACCGACGCCATTGGCCTGGAAGCTGGCCCATAAAGCCAGGCCTACTTCGTCTAACTTGAACCCGTTGGGCCCAGGGAGAGACTCACCTGGGCCCTAACTGAGCTCAAAAGACAAGAGACCGATGCCAGCTTGAAGCTGGCCCACGCGAAGCCGGGCCAACTATCTCCAACGGGTCGAGTCACAAAAAAACAAAAACAAAGAAAAAGAAAAAACACAACGGAAAGCGAGAAATCAAAAAGAAACTGAAACGCAAATGCAAACCTAGGCCATGCGCTTGGACATAAACATACACTCCCAAAAGGGAGGAGAAAGATGAGAACATATGGAAAAAGCCATATGAAGAGACATGGAGAAGAGATAGAAGGAATGTAGAGGACAGAATGAGATAGAAGTGAATCTAGTTCTTGATCTCATGGACCAATTTGAGGAACTCCTGCAGTCTCTCAGGCTTCACTCGAACTGCCCAATGTGAGAGCTGCCCGCTCTCATTAGGTAGCAGGAACTGAACACTGTTGCTGGTGGGAATGTACTCGAACTCTTTCTTCAGTAGACTGTTCATGGTGACATTCCCACTTGGCTCGGCACGGCACACGATCCGCGCACGTCCAGTGACAGGGTGCTTTAGAAGGCGGACGGGACCGGTTCCTTTGACGAGCCATTTACGATCCTCAAGCTTGAAAACGCGGGATTTGTCTTCAAACACAACAATCTCTTCTTCTTCACCGCCGTTGCCCTTTGCCAGATCGAAAATTTCACCAGACTCATTGTCCTCATCATCAGTGCCGACGGGGGTTGACTCAGCAGAAGCCATCGCGGGCTGTGCTGCAGTGGAGACCCGTTCAAACAAACTGGCACCCGCAGAAGGAGGGGGAGGCGATGGCTTCGTCTTTTTGGCGGGGGAATTATCTTCCTTGTCACTTTCATCCGCAAACGCCTTGCGTTTCGGCGAGGTAGGCTTGGGCCCGAAAATGTTCGAAGCTGGTGTGGGCCCGCCGAAGATGTTCTCGGTAGACTTCGCCTTCTTTGGGGGGGAATCATTTTCATCGTCACTCTCATCTGCAGAGGCCTTGCGTTTTGGCGAGGTCGGCTTGAGCTTGCCGAAAATGTTCTGCGAGAGTGGGACCGGCTTACGATTTGATCTGAAGACCGAAGATTCGCTGGAGGAGCTTGAAGGGCCTGCACCATATGCACCAAAGAAAGGAGGCGGGCTTCCGGGCTTGCCTCCAAAGAGTGCGGCATCCGCAGGCGAACGCATTTCTGATCCGGCGATAGTTGAAAATCCAGACGAGTCAGTGGATGATTTAAGGAACGGAGGATGATCTTGCGAGGAAGAGACAGAGTCGTTTGATCCAGGGGGAGGAGGCAAAGTAGAAAACGGACAACGAAGGGTAGCAGGGGTTTCGGGACTGGCACGGCCCGCAGCTGTGACAGGGGCGGCAGACGTGGCAGGCTCCTTGACGCTCTGTGAAGCAGTGTCATCACTATCAACGAACTTGAAACCCTCCCCAGGGACAAAAACGGCACGCTTTTTAGCTGCCTCTGCGATTTGAGCGAGCTTCTCACGCTGACGTTCTTCATCTCTGCGCTCCCACTCCTCCTCAGTCTCTTCATCGGAGTCAAACTCTTCGGCCTTTCTCTTGGCCTTAAGATCAGCCAAGGTTTTGTCCGACTCAGCCTTCATCTGCTCATCAAAATTGACGCCGGTGGCTGGTCCACCGAACTTGGGAATTTTGAAAGCAGAAGGGCCGGTTGAGGTGCCTGCGCCATCGAACTTGGGAATTTTGAAAGCAGAAGGGCCGGTTGAGGTGCCTGCGCCGTCGAACTTAGGGATTTCAACAGGAGCTGCGGCCAAAGAAGGTCCAGCAACAGAAGCGGTCACCGAAGCAGGAGCCGGGGCAACAGGAGCTGCGGCTGAAGAAGGACCAGCAATAGAAGCAGTTAGCGAAGTAGGAGCTGCGGCCGAAGAAGGACCAGCAATAGAAGTAGTCACCGGAGCAGGAGCCGGGGCAACAGGAGCAGTAGAAACTTGAGCTGCAACCGGGGCGGAAGCATCAGCAGAAGTAGCTGCTGGAAGAGTAGAGGGAGCGGAGAAGGATTGCGCGAACTTGGAGGAAGTGCTAGATCCGCCCGAAGCTTTCTTGGCATGTGCCTGGCGGTTCTCCTCAAGACTAGGAGGCACGAAGGTGGGAGGGGTAGGGATATGAGGAGGCACGCAGCCATCTGGGGCTTCCTTGGCAGCATCGCGTTCATCGATGGCGGCACGTTTGGCCTCTTCCTCGGGGTTGATTGACCCAATGGGAACACCAAGCTCACGGCGAAGTTCAGCATAAAGAATGAGGACTTCGTCGATATCATCAGTCATGGGGTCACATTTGGCGATCTCACGCTGGAACGACTCGGTCAAGGCTCCAATCTTCATGAGAAGGATGGAGCGTTCGCGAAGCTCGCCCGTCGGGTCTTCCGGGAAAAGACGCTTAAGCGGCATGTCGTCAAAGTCTTTAGGTAAAGAATGATCAATTGATAAAGAATAATCAGGTCGAGGGAAAAGACTGTCAGAATATGAAGCAGTAAAAGTTGTAGAAACAGTAGAAGTTGAGGAGGAGGAGGGGAGAGAAGAAGAGGAAGAAGAAGGTAAACAAGACGGGCTTTTAGAGTCGCGTGGCGACGGCGATTGCGCGAACGACACTTTTTGGGCAGGAGCGTTGGTCGCAACTTTGGTCGCAACTTTGGTCACAGCGTTGGTCGCTCCTTCCGTTTGAGGTTCATTCGACACCTTAGGCTCAGCGGTGAATGGGTTTGTCAATGGGCTACTCAGAGCTGCAACACTGTTGTCCTTATTCAGCTTGTTGTCAGCTGCTGTACTGGCACCGAAGAGAGATGTGCTCGGTGTCTGGGCCTTTGCAGCCTGCTCTGTCGGCTTTGGCGAGAATGAATTGTTGAACGCGTTATTTCCTGAAAGGCTCGCGAATGGATTGATAGGTGTCGCCTGTGCTGACTTTTCTTCTCCAACCTTAGACGGTGTAGGAGATGCCCCAAACATTGAACCGAATGTTGAGGTCCCTGCAGGCACAGGAGTCTGCTCTTGACTTGTAACCTTCGGCGCGAAAACACTGCTCACTGCTGATTCTTCCTTCTCAGCCTCTACAGGTTTCGCGGCCACAGATGTTCCAAACATGGGCTTGAACGGCTGGTCTGCTGCAGGCTTTGCAGCTGCGTTCTCAGCAACCGGCTTTGGCGAGAACATGTTACCAAATGCTGGCGAAGCAGTCTGTTCTTTTCCGGTCTCCGCAACCTTCGACGCCGCAGGTGTGCCAAACATGAACGGCTGTGTCCCGGCAGGCTTTGCAGTTGCATTCTCAACAGCCGGCTTTGGCGAGAACATATTACCAAATGCTGGCGGAGCTGTCTGCTCTTTTACAGTCTCCGAAACTTTCGGTGCCGCGGGTGTACCAAACATGAACGGCCGTGTCTCGGCAGGCTTTCCAGAACCTTCGGTCCCAGTAACCTTCGGAGATGAGAAAGTCCCAAATGAACTTGGCGCCGACAGTGTTGCAAACGGATTGCCTGCCTTTGGTTCTTCTGCCGCTGGCTTAGGAGCAAATATGTTGCTAGTAGACCCTGAGGGCTGAGAGCTGGAGGTCGAACCGAAAAGAGTACCAAAAGGCTTTGCCTGCTCTGCGGGCTTCGTAGGAGTTTGCTCTGCCGCCGTTGTCTTCGGGGCAAACAGGTTAGTGCTGCTGGCTGGAGCCGGCCCTGACAGGTTCGCAAATGGATTGCTGGCTGTTGGCTGCTGCTTGTCTGCATCCAGAGGTTTCGAAGCGGCAGGCGTTGACCCGAAAAGAGGTTTGAAAGGCTGGGTCTCCGCAGGCTTGTCGGCCGGTTTCTCAAGCGCAGTTGTCTTCGGTGCAAATGGATTGCTGGCCGAACTCTGCCCTGAAATATTTGAGAATGAAGTACCAAGTGCCGATGGACCTGCGGCTGGCTTTGGTGCAAACAAGGAAGCCCCCTTGGGCTTGGTGTCGGGCGAAGTTTGCATGCTGTCATCTGCAGGTGAAGTCATGTGTGATGTAGATTGCCCGAACAGGGCGGGCTTTACTGGTGTGCTTGTGTTTTGTTGCGCTCCGAATCCACCGAACGACGGAGTGGACTGGTTTCCGGCATTGAATCCCCCAAAGCTGAATCCATTGGTACTCGACTGAGAGTTTCCGCCAAATGATGTGTTTATAGAAAAAGAATTGCTCGCTGGTGCAGACCCAAATGAGGTAGGGCCCGCACCAAAGCTGAATGACGCCTGACCACCTGCCTGGCCGTTAGTGCCCGACGAGAACATTCCACCCTGGCTGGGCCCCGAGCTTGCCCCAGGGAAGCTTTGACTCTGAGTCTGACCAAATGTGAACCCAGTCGACGGGGTGGGTGCTGGCGCCGAGGCCGGGGCCACGGATGCGAAAGGGTTGAATGAAGCCGTATCAGACGCGCCTCCGCCGGTTGTGGGAGTTGGAGCCCGGCGTTTACGAACATCCTTGATCCTAAAGGTTTCAAAAGAGATCATCAGTCAGTTTATGGTCATCCGCTACTATCTGAGTTATCACTTACTTTCTGTTGGCTAACTGAGCGGCTGTGGCCCGGTGAGGTTTGTCATCGGGGGTGCTAGCCATCCCGAAAATGCCCTCATCTTCTTTAGATCCCTGAGGGCCTTGAGCTCCACGTTTCAACATATTGAATGAATGAAAACCACCGTTGGTTGTATGCTTGCAATCGCGAACTGCGCGAACTGCCTGAACTGCCTTGTATCCTTCGGAATATATGTGGCCCGGTTTAAAGCCCTTGAATCAAGCCCAACGCAATATTGGATCTTGATATGATGCCGTGATGAGTTTCCTCACTTGCGGCAATCGAGGGGGCTTTCGGCGGCGAGGCTCTTTCCAACTCCGCACCGACTCGAAAAGCACGACTTCGATGATTATTATCTTCCACTTAAAGTGTTGTCAATCGTGGAGAGAGCAAAATCCAATTTGCCTCTAACTATCTTGATCTGGTTGTACGGTAGTGTTCGCGGTCCTCCGTGACACGTTCGCGATCCGTCGCGCAGGAAGCTGTCAGCCAGCACAACGAATGAGCTCTCAAGTTGGGAGAAGTGTGATCGAAGACAGGTCAAGGGCGGATTACAGTCCCTGATGATATTTGTCTTCGAATTTCGATATATCCCACGCAACGCAATGAAGGGAGGCACGACTGTTATTCTCTCTCTCTTTCTTTTTTTTTTTGCAGGAAGCATCTAAGGCGGAAGAAAAGCAATCACGTGATACTTCTTGGCAACCAAGGTCTAAGCTCGGGACTTTACAAGCTATTGTTTTGCCCGCATTGGACAAAGGGGGGATGTGATATGAGGTGAATTATGATCATCATGATTGCGTTGTGAAACTTGCTCAGTTCCTAGCAAACAAAACAACAGAGGTGAATGTGTCTGTGCTCAAATAAAAGCCCCGCTCATCTTATGATGCCGCCAACCTTGACCAGCGGAAGAAAGATCCGTTGCAGCAATACAAGGTATACTGGAGCCCGTGAAGAATATAAAGGATAAGTTTGTGTGAAGCAAATCTTGAGTCAATGGGCATCGCACATGTGGCCCATGGGTGTAAGTGCCTGATGTTCTGAACCTCTGAGATCTTGGAAATGCAAGTATACAAGGCAACCCCGAAACTCCGCGTGATGTATATGCATATTCTATCTGAGAATACAAGGCAAAGAGCAGTAGAAGTAAAATCGGCTTCAGCAATAGTACAAATTACATCGGTTGCGAAGATGAATATGAATACTGTATAGAACAGTGTCCGAGTCTATACATATATCAAAATTTGGCCTATGGGTTTTGTTCCCTGTTCTGAATATCTGGAGAACTTTAGTCAAGTATACTTGAACCAGAAACTCCGCGTGATGTATGTGCATATTCTACCAGAGCATACGCCAAGAACAGTGAGCTGCACACCTCGTGGATGACCAGCAAATCATACTGACCTAGGGTAAGTCTAACCACCACTTTTGTCACGCTAAGAACTTCGAGCAGTATCTCAAGGTTACAATATTCAAAGCGAACAAAGGTGAGTGTAACATATAAGACGGTGGATGTAGTTCATCTCCCCGCACTTTCCCGTGGGTCATTGCTCACCTTATTCTCATTTAAGTTAATCAGATAGTTAAGGAGTTAGGGCTAGAATTTCAAGTTAACATAGTATGAGAGAATCCCTGAATATACAATATAAATTGACTTTCTTTTACTCACACACACTCTCGTGGACTTAGTCACATACCGAAATTTGTGGCTGTTAAAATACTCAACTAGTCACATTCCATTCCTATCGGAAAACGCCTATGGCAAACTAGCAGTTTAGGCTTTCGAGGCTAGGTTTTCTGCACAATGTGATGTGCGAGGTATCCATTAGTTATTGGCTGATATGCAGATAGGGGCAGGAGACTTCATCTCTTGTGGGGAAAGATCAGCAACATCTCTTATTCTCATTTCCACCTAGGTAATTCATTTCCACTACTTTCATATCATAAGAAAATACGGCGTGACAAGAAAATGGAACTATGGACTTTCCCCAAAAATAAATAGCCAATGGATACCCCTGGTCTACAGTCACTCGCCATATATTTCCCCGTCTCGTGTGGTATTTCGAGGTGGGATTCCCTGATTTGTTTTGCTTCTAACTCAATATGCAGTGTCATTGGCTGCATCCCTTTTCTATCATGCGCATGGCTACATTATCCGGTCGGGTCTATTGTCAAAATCTCCCAGCTGGCTCTATATAAACTATGCTTCCCCGGCTCTTGCCCGCGTTCCTCAAGCCACTCGCAAGCACCCGTCTTGCTGACCTACCTCGGTGATTTAAGGTCAAGATGCATTATTCTTCTGTGATTAAGTATCTTTATTTAGTAGCTTGTGCCAATGCACAACTACTAGAGATCCCTGCTGTGGATGATATAGTCAGTTCGGCCTTGCTTCCCTTTGAGGAGTATATGTCCTTCGGCGCTGCAACGAAAGTCGCCACGGCTGCCACAGGCTTCAGAACCAAGGCCGCTGAGAGCATCGAACATAGCGTTGCAGCAGCATCAGCAGCAGATACTCCGTATTGGCTAGCAGACATCGCCCATCAAGGAGTCGCAGCCTTCAACCCGAACCCTCCCGGCTACAAAGTCTTCCGAAACGTGAAAGACTACGGAGCTAAAGGTGTGCATTCAAGAATTACTATCACCTTTTTGAAAGTTAGTTAAGTAATTATAGGTGATGGTGTGACCGACGATACGGCCGCCATTAATGCGGCCATAAGCGCCGGTGGTCGTTTTGGCCCAGCAGGCAGAAAAACCTCCACCACGACTCCTGCGATAGTTTACTTTCCATCTGGAACATACTTGATTTCAACATCGATCATTGATTACTATTTCACCCAGCTGATTGGCAACCCGAATGCAATGCCAGTTATAAAAGCAACCGCAGGTTTTGTCGGACTTGGCCTGATTGACGGCGACCAATACCAGAGCGATGGAAACCAGGGCTGGATATCGACGAATGTGTTTTTCAGACAGATCCGAAATTTGAAATTGGACTTGACTGGAATCCCTGCTGGTACTGCTGCGACTGGTATTCATTGGCCGACTGGTCAAGCCTCCAGTATACAGAATGTTGTCATTGCTATGAGTTCTGGTGCTGGAACGCAACACCAGGGTATCTTCATTGAGAATGGTACGTTGGTGCATGAATTTTGTTTTGGATTTATAATAATGCAATACTAGGATCTGGCGGCTGGATGACCGATGTGACGATTACTGGTGGTCTTTACGGTGCCAATGTTGGCAACCAGCAATTCACAATGCGCAACATCGTTATTTCGAATGCAGTGACCGCAATTTCTCAGATCTGGGACTGGGGGTGGACATATCAAAATTTATTGATTTCTGACTGCACAACTGCTGTTTCGATCAGCAATGGTGGTGCTGGGAAACAGCTCGTCGGCTCAGTCAACATCCTTGACAGCACCATCAAGAACTGTCAGAACTTTGTCGAAACCGCGTGGCAGCCCGCAGATCTATCAACTGGAAGTCTCATCTTGGAGAACATAAATCTGAACAACGTCCCAGTTGCTGTCAAAGGCGTCAGCGGTACTGTCCTTGCTGGGGGTTCCACGACCATTAGCGCGTGGGGACAAGGCCACAAGTATACTCCAAACGGGCCGGCTAACTTCCAGGGCCCCTTCACTGCACCGACACGCCCTAGCGCTTTGCTTGCTAGTGGATCGAACAGGTACTTCACCAAGTCCAAGCCTCAGTATGCGCAATCACCAGTAGCTTCGTTTGTCAGCATCAGAAGCGTGGGAGCCAAGGGAGATGGTTCAACCGACGACACGACAGCCATTCAATCTGCATTGACTTCTGCCGCATCTGCAGGTAAAATCCTATTCTTCGATCAAGGAACCTACAAAGTCACCAACACTCTTTACATCCCGCCGGGCTCTCGGATTGTCGGCGAGGCATACTCTGTCATCATGGCAACTGGAAGTGTATGGTCGAGTATCACCAATCCCGTCCCTGTGGTCCGAATTGGCAAACCTGGAGAATCTGGGTCTGTTGAATGGTCCGACATGATAGTGAGCACCTCAGGCTCCACCCCAGGCGCTGTACTCGTTGAGTGGAACTTGGCGGCGACATCAGGTTCTGGAATGTGGGATGTTCACACTCGAATTGGAGGCTTCCAAGGATCTCAGCAGCAGGTTGCCCAGTGCCCGACGAGCGCAGCTGTCTCTGTGGCCTGTCAGGTTGGCTACATGTCCATGCACATTACCAAAGCCGCTAGTGGTGTTTACCTGGAGAATGTTTGGCTTTGGACCGCCGATCATGATCTCGAAAGCCCAACCGACGAACGGATATCAGTGTATACTGGTCGTGGTCTCTTGGTAGAAGGAAAGAATGTCTGGCTGTAAGTGATAGAGAAACCCCACCATGGTCTCTCATAACTAACACTAGCGCAAGATACGGAACGGGATCAGAACATCACTCGCTGTATCAGTATCAGTTCTCAGGCGCAAGTTCGATCGTGGCAGGCTTTGTACAGACAGAAACCCCGTAAGTGATCCTATACATGATGCTTCCCTTGCATCTCCTGTCCTAACCAATACCACGCAGATACTATCAGCCAAATCCCGATGCAGCCAACAGCCCATACCCCTCCAACTTGGCTCTCAATGACCCTAACTATAGTAGCTGTCTCGGCGGAAACTGCAACTCTCTTGGCCTTCGGATTCTCAATACCAAGGATGTGATTATCTACGGGGCTGGACTATACAGCTTCTTCAACAACTACAGCACGACCTGCTCCACATTCCCCCTTCCGGAAAATTGTCAAAGCATGATTTTCAGCGTAGAGGGCAGTACGAGTGGACTGGTGGTATATGGACTCAACACTGTTGGGACAAGTTATATGATTGTAAAGGATGGTACTGCATTGGCGACAGTTGCCGACAATTTGGCTACGTACGCTGCTACTATTGCGTACTTCACCTTCTAGAGCACAGCGCTGATTTCAACAATGTCCATCTCCACCCGAGCCTATACTCAAAGTCAAGACAAGGGTTGAATCTCCGGAGGACGGGCATAGTACATATTTCAGAATAAATCACACATATTTAAGGCTCGAAATCCTTTTTCTCATCGTAAGGCAATTTCATCCAACAAATCCTTCTGTGCACAGCTATCTAGAGGATCGTACTCTTCTAGAACACATCATTTTTGTCCAATATCTCCGGCTTATATTCGCACTGGACTAGCAAATCCAGTCTCGTTATTGCCCGGATCCGTGTTTAAGACAGACTATAAGGCCCCTGATCCACCATAGGAGGAAAGAGGGGCTATAAAGGCTTCAATAGCGATATGCTTATAACCTAAGAGAGAGACAATCTATAAGAACACTAGATGATCCAGAAAATATCTTAGCTTCTGTCAGGCTCAACTACCACTTTACTCCTGGTCTTTTATAAAAACACATATAACCACATACAAGAAATGGAAGGAAACCATTACAAAAGCGCCTACGTAAGGCCTACTAGACACTAATAAGTAGGATTTAGAAGCGAATAACTACAAATCAGAGGCTAAGACTAGATCAGTCGCATCCGTAGAGCAAGAATCGGAAGAGGACGCTCATTAAGAGCCTTAACAAAGCTCAGTCTAATCACCATACCCCTTCATAATTATTATTCTACCCCCATCAAGGGCTATTTAGAAGGCGTATACTACACAAAACTAATTAAAATAACAAGAATCACATTACTTATATCAAGATAAGTATAAAGGAAGCGTGCCCAAAAGAGGGCACCCTACAAAGAAAACGCTAAGAAATAGTATCAGAAAGACATGAGCCACCAAGAGACATCAGAAAAAGGACCAACTAGCCCTAAGCAAAGACGTTCAGGTCATCTCCATCACTTAACTTCCCACCATCATCGCCATCGTCTTCATCATCGCTATCCCCAGTCTCTATATCGGCGTCACCCTATTTTTTTTTCGAAGAGTGTCTAACTCCTAATTCACGCGACGCGTTTTTGGAGATCCTTCAGGGCGAGAAAGCGATCTAGTTCTTCCTCATACTCTCTGTCTATGGCAACCTTCTCCTTCATGAGGTCCCGTGCCCTATCAGACTTTCGGAACTCATCAAGCTCGACCTGTAGCTTCCGAAGAAGCTTTAAGAGCAGTGATTCAATGGCAGGGTCCCGCGCATTAATCGCTAGCTGGAGACTAGCCTTTTCTGCAAGTACTAGTGATGAAGTCTCCAGTCATTCAGAGAAATATTCCGAGGAAGTGTAGCTTACCCTTAGACAGCGCCCGAAGGCTTGAGCCTCGTTGTCCCAGCTGCGGCCGGGAGTGGACAAAATCACGAGGACACAGGCCTCATGAAGGTTGAGACACACAGACCCAATATTGTAGGTAATTATAAGAACTTTGATCCCGCTGGCGGGATTATTGAAATCCCGTACCAGGTTTACGCGCTGCTCCTCGTTTAGGCCAGAGTGCATGACCCGGGTGCGGATCAGTGCAGTATTGAGGACGACCTCCAGGTACCATGAGAGGATAGCGGAGAGGAGTCCACAATCATCACCTTTTGGTGATGGCCCTTGGGCCTATATAGGGACCTGCATGATTCCTCGATATCCCTAACTTCCCCTTTGATTCTCACAAGAATAGTTGGCCAAATAAGCGGCCTTGTGATGTCTTTTCAGTAGTGTTGTGACTACTGGTGAGGGGAGGAAGAGGAAGAGGAATCATTATTTAAGAGAAGGAATTCATACCCTGCAAACAAGCTTGACAAACAAGCTGCTCAGTCTGCAAACAACGAGAGATTACGCAGGTGTATAGCGGCCAGGGGTCGGATGTGGTATGTAATTGTATTGGTGCCTTAAAATACCATATAATGCCTGAATTAAAGCTGGCAGAAAATTAAAATACCTGAATTACTATAACGTAGGCTTAGTACATAGTAAGTAAAGTACTATGCCTTCGCACCCCGGGGCCTCGGCCATAGGTGTGGTATTACTTTATCACTCATTTTCTGCCTAGCAAAAGCCTGGTTGGCGCGATGGTAGTTAAAACCTGTCGTAACAAAGGCACTATTGTATGTATTAAGTCCGAAAGTAACCTTAATAGTCTAATATGATATATGTACGCACAGTCGAGAAAAGCCAAGGGAAATTGCATTGCTCGGATATGAATCCGGGTCTCATAGACGAGGGGTCGGATACCCGGGAAAAAGGCATATAAAGACCTCCCGATACACCAAGGCCTCGTCTTATTCTCAACCAAATACCATGACAAAAGCAAACGAAATAATCTCCTTCGATTCCCTTCCACTAGACCCAACAGGTCCACGAGGAAATGCCTGGGGTCGATTTGGAAAAGATGACCAACTTGGGACATTGAACCTGCTCACTCCCGAGCGAATCGTCCAAGCCGCGAAAGAAATTCAAACTGGCGTGCGAATCTCGCTTGACTGGCCGCTGAGCATGCCTTCACATCCTAGCTTCAATCGCCATCCATTTAAGCAGGAGATTATTCTTCGGAATCCAAATTGTGTTTATGATGACATCCTGACATTCAATAGCCAGGGGTCTACCCAATGGGATGGATTTAGACACTACGGTATGTGACGAAGTGTCTATGGCATAGGTTTGAGATTATTACTGATTGGTTCGTGGTTCTAGCAAACCAGAAGTCTCGACAGTTCTATAACGGACATACCACTGAAGAGATAGAGACATCAGATATCATTGGAATTCACTGTATGAGCCAGCTCTAATATAAACGATCAATATAGCGCTAACCACAACTCATTATCTAGCCATATGTGAACATGGTGGAATAACAGGCCGTGGCGTCCTCCTCGACTACGCAGAATGGGCTACCACAAACTCACTCACCATCTCTGCCCTCAAATCTGAGGCAATCACCGTCGAGAACCTGAAACAAGTGGTGAAAGACCACAACCTCAATTTCCAAAAGGGTGACATTCTTTTCATCCGCAGCGGATTCACGGCCGCATATAACAAGCTGGACAATCAGCAGCAAAAGGATCTGGCGCTACGGTCATCGCCGGATTTTAGCGGCGTCGAGGCGACCGAGAGTATGGTGCGGTGGTTATGGGATCATCAGTTCTCTGCTGTCGCTGGTGATGCGCCGAGTTTTGAGCGTGCGCCTATTAGAGGTGCCCATGCGGATCCGAATTTCAATTTGCATGAGTGGGTGCTGGCGGGTTGGGGAACTCCTATTGGGGAGATGTTTGATTTGGAGAAGTTGTCAGAGCATTGTAAGGCTAGTGGACGTTATAGCTTTTTCCTGTCCAGTATGCCTTTGAAGGTTGGCTTTCCTTGATTATTGTGTTGAGACTGTGCTGATTCAAAGTCTAGGTTATTGGTGGCGTTGCTAGCCCACCTAATGCATTTGCTATTTTCTAATCGTTGTTATCTACCGAAATGAATAATTTGAGAGATATTATACTCCAAAGTGCCCACAGGAATCCTGGCGGGATTGTGCCGCCGAGTGTGCCGCCGAGTGGGGACAACATCGTGAAGGAGACTAGAACTGGCGAATTGCACAATTGCACAGTGGGAAAGTTGGGCCCGAGTCTCAAGTAAATTAGAAGGTATAAAGACTACAAATAGCCCTCTACGACTCCTCAGTCCTCCACAGCAACAATCCTCAAATCATTCCATCTTCCCTTTTATACACTTCTTCAAGACACTTGATACTCTCACCCACCATGCCTATCGAAGTCCCCCAATCCAGCTCCCTAAAAGACCTATTCAGTCTCAAAGACAAGGTCGTTGTCGTGACCGGTGCCTCTGGCCCCCGAGGAATCGGCCTCGAAGCAGCCCGCGGCTGTGCTGAAATGGGCGGCAACATTGCAATCACATACTTCACACGACGCGAGGGGGCCGAAGCAAATGCCAAAGCCCTACAGGAGGAGTATGGCGTCCAAGCCAAAGCATATAAATGCGACACATCAAAATGGAACGATGTGCAAGAGCTAGTCGCAAACGTGATCGCCGACTTCGGCAGGATCGACTCGTTCATCGCGAACGCGGGCCGTACCGCCGACGCCGGTGTTCTCGATGGCTCGGTTGAGGCGTGGGAGAATATTATGCAAGCGGATCTCAACTCCGTCTTCTACTGTGCTAAGGCTGTTGGCCCGCATTTCAAGGAGCGTGGAAAGGGAAGCTTTGTGATCACTGCTTCTATTTCGGGACATATTGCCAATTACCCGCAGGAGCAAACTTCGTACAATGTTGCTAAGGCTGGGTGCATTCATATGGCTCGCTCATTGGCTAATGAGTGGAGGGACTTTGCTCGTGTTAATAGTATTTCGCCTGGATATGTCAACACCGGGTTGGGGGACTTTGTGCCCGAGGAGATTCAGAAGAGTTGGAATGATATGATTCCTATGGGTCGCCAAAGTGATCCTAAGGAGTTGAAGGCGGCTTATGTTTACTTTGCTAGTGATGCTAGTAGTTACACTACTGGCGCGGATCTGCGGGTTGATGGAGGTTACATTTGTCGGTGAAGAGGGTGTGCTTCAAAGATGCAGAGAAGCTGTTATGTCGTCTCTTTTGTATTTAAGAGGTAAAATGAACAGGCCTTTATAATACTACTTTCCTGAAACTGTCACAGAGTCAACGTCCCTCCATCAATAACAATATCAGCACCAGTGATATACCGTCCTGCACGCCGACTACACAGAAGAACAACAGCTCCAGTAATCTCCTCAGGATCCCCCATCCGGCCCATCGGACAACGAGAATCCCAAATCTTCCTAATTTCCGCTAAACCATCCCCAGCATTAAGAATGGTATCCATATACCCGGGACTAATACTATTCACTCGAATCCCATGAACAGCCCACTCGGCGGCCAGATTGCGAGTCAGATGTGCAACCCCAGCCTTGCTCGCATTGTAAGCAGCCTGCGGCTGCGGGAAGTTGGTATAATGGGCAGACATCGACGCAGTGAACAAAATACACCCGCCTTTACCTGAGGATTCCATGCGCTTTGCTGCTGCCTGGGCGCAGAAAAAAGATCCGCTCAGGTTGACGTCTATGACACTATTGAACTGGTCAGGTGTTACCGTGAGGGATGGTTGGCAGCCGGGGATTCCAGCAAAGCAGCAGAGGATATCGATGCCTCCCATTATCTTGTTTGCCTGCTCAAATGCGGCTTCGATTGACTCCATTGAGGTCACGTCCAAAGGAATTTTGGTTATATTGGCAGAGGGAAATTTCGATACTAGAGATTGGATTTGTTCTTCTGATGTCTCCAAGGTACTGGGGAGATCCATGATACACAGCAAGGAAAGACCGTGCTCTAGTAAAGCCTGTGCAGAGACTAGGCCTAGTGCTCCTGCTCCACCGGTGACTATAGCTTTACCGTGGACTTGAAATCGTGCTTCAGCTCGTGTGCGTGCGGATGCAAAGGGTAATGGATCGAGGGGGCGAGTGAGGGGATTTGTTCCCTCCGACAGGGTCATGATAGGAATGACTCGGGAGGTCAGCGAGGCTCGCTGGTCCTCGCCTGCTTCTGTTGAGATGTCGGTAGGCATATTGATTCTGTATGGGTCTCAAGACAAATTGGTTTTTAGCTAGATATTAATGCAACAAGTTGAATTCTCAGGATACGGTAAGACAGTTCACACCGGGCGAAGAGTAACAAGTGGAACCCATTTGGAGTACTTGGGGTATCTGGAGTTTAATTATAGAAAAGGGAGGGACCTCGACGATCTAGGCAAATCTGAAGCACGGTCAAAAGATTTCAAGAAGTACGTGCAGATGGGGAGCGGGTGCGAGGTGGGAGACTTCCGCCAAAGCGGGGGAGTTGGGGATTCTCCATTAACCTGAGCGGAGAAGTTAAGATGTCGGAGTGGGCTGATCCGAAGATTATGGAGATCGCCAAGTACACTGGTATTCGACTATAGTCTGAGGGATTCTGGATTTTCTATATGAAGAATCAAGTTGATCCTCACAAAAATAATCATTGCGTTAAGTTACAAGCCATCCATCCCACTTTCTATTTCTAAGCTACTTGGACTGCCGGAATTGGCCAAGGAAGCCAGTATTGACGGTGAACTTCTGGCCTCATCAGCAATTCGTTTCAACGGAGGGTAGTTCCTTAAAAAGGGCGCTTCCCGCTTAGTCGTGCTCGTCCAGGTGCAAGGGAACTCGAGTAGGACCGCGCACGATTACGTACTTCAGTGATTCCGCATGTGGGAACTCTCGTGAACGACACACAGCGGCTAGCGTCCTACTCACGGAGCGATAGTCTTCAGAATGACCTCTGTAATCGACAACAACTTCTCCTCTTCAAGTCTGCGGCCAACCAGTTGTAAACTAACCGACATGCCATGTACGGACTGGGCAGAGTCTGGTTCTGTTAATATTTAAACACGTTAAGTCTTTTAAGTAAGGGCCACTGACAATCTTTTTGAATCTTCGCGTCCATATCACTCAATGCCTTATGATTGGGATATGCCGTGTCAATAGCCTTATCTGCCTTTACACCACAAGGGAACGAAACGGCTGGATAATCGAGCAGGTTGAAGACACATGTATACCCAGCGTAAGCAAATTTCCCGTTCTCGGCGCTGCTGTATGGAGTCGTAGGGCCTACGCAAACCGATTAACAAAGAAAGCTGTATCGCTGAAGCGGGTTGCCTTACCTAGAAGAGCATCAATGCCAGTCTCATTCCACCGATCCAGGTAAGCTTTGCATAGGGCATTGCGGCGAGCATGAATCTGCCACAGATCATACACGCTTATTTCTTTTGCATCCTCGTAGGGTTTCATTTCTGGACGGAAAGGCTCCCCTGTTGGCTCAAGCAGATCCCGTACAGACTTTCCTCCATCTGCGAGAAACAAGCGCCCAAGTATGATAAGCATCTCCATGTGCTCGGTCGACGGCCAGTTTACAATTTCGTGGCCAGCTGCCTTTAACTTATTGACAGTCTCTTTGAGTGCACGAGCAACAGGAGGCGTTGGGGAAACGAATCCGTCGTCCCAGAGGACACCAATCTTGAGAGACTTCTTCGGTTCCACAGCCCGCCAGGGGATGGGGAGGCATTTCGGGTCGCGTATCCAGGGCTGTAGGCCGATGATGGTGCTGGACCAGTAAACGATTTCTTCTAGAGTTTTTGCTATCGGACCGCTGACTCCAACAACGGATTCCTGGCCTTCCAGACAGGCGCGTGAGCGGAAGTTGGGGAAACGCCCGGCGGAGGCACGGATCGTAAAAGTGCCGGTGCAGGCGGCTGGCATACGGAGGGAGCCACCTAGAAGGACAATTAGTAACGTTCTCTGTGATAGCTTTTCGATGGTGATACATACCGATATCACTGCCGACGCCAAGTCTACTGCCACCAAAAGCAATCAACGCAGATTCTCCACCAGATGAGCCTCCAGTAGTGAGATTGCGATTCTGTGGGTTGACCGTGCGCCCGAAAAGATTATTCACAGACTCTGAGATCATCATGGCGGTTGGCACATTTGTCTTGCAGTAGAGCACTGCGCCAGCTTCAAGGAGGAGATCGACAACCATGCTATTGTAGGTAGCAGGTTTGTTCACCAGGGAGGTAAAACCAATAGTGGAATCATAGCCAATAACGTTGAAGTTATCTTTGAGAGAGATGGGCAGGCCATGAAAGGGACCCTTTGTCTTTCCAGTTTGTCGGAAATAGAGATCGAGCTCTTTAGCCCGGATGATGGCTTTGTCAAAGAAGATTTCCGACAAACAGTTTGTCTGGGTCAAAATTAGGCATTCTTCAAATTGTATTTTGGGGGAAGAACTACCAATTGTTGAGCTACCGCTGCAGTCTTACAGAACGCCTTGGTCACCTCCTCTGATGTCCATGACCCCGAAGATAGATGAGATAGAATGGTTAGAGCGGAAGTAGAGGTGATCTCCAGTTCGCGTTCAGTAAAAAATCCGGATTCCCGAGGAAAAGTGGTCACATCTAACTGGTCTTCAGGGGGAAAGATGGCGATAGGAATCACCCATTCGGCTGGGATTGAATCTTTGAGTGCCTGGCGCTTTGTAGCGGCAATTGATTCCCATGACATGATGAAAGGGACAGTGACGAGGTTGATAACGAATACCAATACTATAAGTACCTGAAGTATAGCGTTTTATATGCTATGGATGTGGGTCTAATGCACCTCGAAGGGTAAATAGATCAAACACGTGGATGGCGTGATTAGAACGTTCGGTTAATCATAATCCAGCAATCAACTGTTGATAGCGAGAGGTAAGTGAGACACAGAGTAATATTTCCTCTTTCAGACCTAGTTCTCCCGGGGTTTGGACCTCCAATCTTGATAAGCCAGGGCTATGTATTCTTTCAAAGCTAAATTTATGCACGCAGCGATATATACGCCAGGGGTCAACCCCCCATTTCTAGGCAATAGTGATGCCCTGATGCCTCATATTCCGAAATAAGACCAGCAGAATAATTAAGATACTTGAATTACTATTACGAGAACAGTCGGCCGTATAAGCGGCCTTATGATGTCTTTTTAGTAGTCTTTTTAGTAGTCTTTTTAGTAGTCTTTTTAGTAGTCTTTTTAGTAGTCTCTTTAGTGGCCTCCTCAGGTATTATTCTGTTTATATATACCAGTATTGTGGGTTGACGGTAAGAAAAGGGACGAAAAAGGCTTTGTACAAACCACTTTTTGATGTACCAACCTTTGATAAACCAGTATGAGGAGCTGTCAAGAACTAGACCAAAATGAGACATCAAGGCATCGATATTCTCTAGAAATGGGGGTTTGACACCTAGCGTCTATAACGCTGCTTAGTTATGTTTTTAGGCTCAGACTTATGCACTTAGATCAAGAGTTATGCCTAAAGAGCTGTATTTATACTTTCAGAGCTATGGCTAGATGTATGATCAACACTATCTAGTATCGCGAGCAGTCTTGATGGCGTTGATTGCATTTTGCCTTGGCTACACGATAACACCCCACAGACATTTATCCTCAGGAGAAACGGTCTTGGAATAATTATTGCGCAAAACAAGGTGCTCAACTAATTTCAGAAAGAAAGGCAGTGGTGAATATGTGATAAATAAAAATGGCTCAGCTGGCACATTTACCCCAGGGTTGCCACCTATACTAGTTAATACGTGGACACCGTTCGTATTCTTCCCAAAGTACGAAGTAACTTCAGATGGAATAGTTAGACCCACTATCTCCAGGTCTGACAGGATTTATTAGATTAATTTCCCAGCCAACCAGAAGCCCAGTAGATATCATCGTCACTGGCTGGGGCAATGGCGCCTTCTGACGCCTTATCTTCACACACAGATATGATAATTCCATCACCTAGACTTGATAGATTATTTGGATGCCAACATCAAATATGGGTCCGTGGTAAATATATAATGTTTGCTCAATAAATATGCATCTCCCTCGATATCCTAGGAGATACATTAAATTTGCACAGCCATTCTACTCCTTTCACACAATTTCAAGTTCATTTGGAAAGCAAAATGGAAGATCACAAACCAGACACGGAGATAGGAGAGGAGAAGGATATACCCAAAGCCCATGCGACTGAGATTTTTGATTCTCACGATGAGAAAGCGTTGATGCGCAAAATTGACTGGCAGTATGAAATGTTGTCCATTACTATCTGGACAGTGCTTGACAGATATGCATTCTTTTAGCATTCTTCCAGTCATGTTCACTGCCTATATGCTTCAATTTCTCGACAAGACTGCGCTAGGATACACTGCAATTTTTGGAATTCAGCAATCATTGGTATATATATCTTGCAGCTCGCAAAAGATACCCACTGACAGCGAGAAAACAGAAATTAGTTGGTGACCAGTATTCATGGGCCTCTAGTGCATTCTACTTTGGTTTCTTGGTGGCATCATACCCGGTATCTTTATGCTTCGTCAAGTTCCCAATCGCAAAATTTCTCTCTATTTCCTTGTATGGGACTACTTCTCTCTCCTAGATCCCATATTCAAAGCTCACAATGGACTATCTAGCATTATATGGGCCGTGGTCCTAGCGTGCCATGGTGCCACGTCTAACTTTGGCGGTCTCATATCCCTTCGTGTCTTACTTGGGGTCTTCGAAAGTACAATTAGTCCTGGTCTGTCCCTGCTCACTGGTGTTTGGTATAAACGGTCTGAGCATGCCTCTAGACATGGAATCTGGTTTGCAGGAAACAGTGTTTCGTCCATTTTTGGTGGATTGTTAACCTATGGTATTGGCCATATCAACAACTCAGTTGAACCATGGAGGGTACGTTGCCTATCATCCCCTAAGCATCCCATATATACATTCTTCCCTCTCCCCAAGCTAATAACACATAGTGGATATTCATCATATTCGGAATCTTCACCTTTGCATATGGAATTGTGTTCTATATTTACCTACCAGATGGCCCTCGCAACGCCCGTTTCCTTTCTAAAGAGGAATCAGAGTTCATTCACCAACGTGCCCAGCGCGAGTCACACACTGCAGTTTCGCACAAATGGTCAAAAAGTCAATGTATCGAAGCATTTATGGACCCGAAAACTTGGCTCATTTTCGTGTACTCCATGGCGTCCAGCATCCCCAATGGAGGTCTCACAAGCGTAAGAATAAGCGGACCGCATTACACCAAGCCTTACTAATTGTCTTATACATTTCTGCAGTTTGGAAGTATTGTTATCGCCGGGTTTGGATACTCAACATTCAACACTCTCCTCGTTGGGTTACCTACCTCGGTGTTTACTCTCATTTGGGTCGTTCTCGCCACGATAATCGTTACAAAATTCCGCAAATCGCGCTGCCTTACTGCTGCTGCTTTACAGCTGATCAGTTTGGCTGGCTCTCTTATGGTCTCTCAAATTGATCCCAGCAAGAAAATTGCTCGGTTGGCTGGAATGTGGCTTTTCCCTGCATATTCCGCCGGAATTCCTATTATCCTGAGTATTATTGCGTCTAACGTGGCCGGATATACTAAGAGGACGACGGTGACTGCAGTGATGTTCATTGGAAATTGTGCTGGTAATATCACTGGTCCTTTCCTCTTCTTCTCCGATGAAATGCCAGACTACGGGGTGAGTGCTCCTACTTAACTTCATGTTCGATGAAGATAAACTGACAATAAGTAGAGTGCCTGGATGGGAATTATGGTCTCACTGGCTATTGCCTTTGTCGCCATTCTTGCTTTGCGTCAGCTATCCCAGTTCCAAAACCGACAACGCGACCACAGGCAGAATGTGAAGATAGAGCCTGAATCTCGCCAGGACTTTGAAACTGAGGAGGTTGTTGCTCTCGATCGTGCACTCGATCAGGATGAAACCGACTGGGAGAACCAAAACTTCCGCTATTATTTGTAGTGACATTGCTTGTGTCTTTTAGCTTGAATATATATTCTGAGATGGCGATGTCATGATTCCCGTTCTACAATTTCTCGTGATATAGTACATGCCACTTATTCGCAGGGTTTTTCACAATTGTAGCTATCAATCAACGCTATCCATATACAACATATGTTTAGTACATGTATCGTGAAGTACAATCTTACACATGCTCGGCTCGGCCCGGGGCCCCCCCGGGGCCAGCCCTGGCCCCCGGGGTGATATTGGCATGACTAAGATTTTAGTAAAAAGGTTAAGGTTGCCCAGGTGAACAAGCTTAAACTGGGTCCAGGGTCCTGGTATTATATAGTAGCTATTTTCGGCAGTAGATTCACTGTGCGTTATGGTGCAAAGGAAAAAGTGTGAAATGAATCATAAAATTGATGCTAAAATTCTATGGTCTATAAGAGAAGCTTGAGTATGCAGCCAAACAATCTAAACAGTGAATCTATGTCTTTTTTTTACAGAAGGGTGTTCCTCCGAGGGTCATTACGCTGCAATCACGCAGTATTGTCGCAAGACCAACTTTTGGTAGTGGAGTCTTCGTGAATAGCGACTCCTGACACCCATAAGCCCAATCCACACTGGAAAGGATTAGCCACTAGAAACAAAATCACGTAGGAGAATACTTACAATAGCAAAGGAAATCGCTAAGACCAGAACATTGGTAATCGTCAAAACGGTCTTCTTCCAGTTCTGGAAGTAACGACCCTTGTTCATATAGAACCAGAAGATCGCGGGGAGTCCAACTAAGAAGAAATTAGCATTTGTTCCAAGGTTTAGATCTTGGGAAATTCAACAATGGGAAGGGGGTCAATCTTACAGCTGAACCAACTTCCAAATACCGCACTCTGTAATTTCTGTATCAGCGAACGTTCTCAGTCAGATAAGATTTGACGAAGGACTTACAATCAGACTAAGCAGATCATTGAATACGGGAATGGACTCTGCCACGATCCAGGCAACAACCCAGACTGCGAGACAGATAGCGACCCAGGAGCCAATCGACAGGAAGCTTCGGCTGTGCATCTTGTCGGATCCACGGAACATACGCACGTAGATGTATTTACACGCGACATGACCCAGGACAACTCCAGAGAGAATGGTCTATATTTCATCAGCAAGGTGGACCCAGGAGACAGGCGGGCTAAAGGAGAAACTTACTGTTGGAATTGAAATACCCCAGGCGATCTTGCTCATCAATGGGCTCAAAGAGAGAATGGCAGGCGATTTGATGCCGGGGCTGGTGGCTGTTTCCGGTCCCACGTAATGATAGATGAGCAGTGCACTAACAAGGTACAGGACGGTATCGACGATTTGAAGCATAGCAAGTGACTTGTTGAATGTGCGTGGGTCTTCTGTCTCGGAAATGAAGCCGAAGTACGCAACGTGGGCGACTATAAGATCGGTCATTGGATTAGCTCGATTTACTTTGTCAAGTTTTGATGACCAGCATCATTTGGCGTTCCACGTACGGTAAGCGAAAATGATGTTTGTTACCGCCAAAAAGCCGTCGCGGAAGCCGACCTCTCTGAAGGCTTCATTCTTGATATGTCCTTTACTCTCGACTCCCACGGTGATCATAGTCAACACTGTCGCGATAAAGACACTCAAGAATGCTTTGTATCTCGTTAGTTCAGTTGCCCTCTGGGGTGAGCAGTGTAATGACTGCAAATTATGAGGATGGTACTCACAAATGACGGACATCCAGTAGACCTTGTCCATAGTACGAGGCAAAGCGCCCAAAAAGCAGATGATCAGTCCAACGACACCAAACACCAACGTGCAGGTACCGTGATTGGTTAGCACATTCATCAGGATGTTGAACATCAAGATGTTGCTTGCCATGAGGAAGATCAATAGTAGCAGCTGGCCAATTCCCAGCAATTCACGGCCGAAAGGACCCATCAAGATCTCGCCGGCATCTCCCATGCTGTGAACCTCGGGGTGACGAAGTTTAAATTGGCCAATGACATAGCCAGTATACCATGAGAGAGCAGAGACAAACAGAATCATGATAGCAGCGCTGTTCAACGGTGTTAGTCATGAGGCCTTGAAATCGTCAAAAGAAAATACATACGGAACCATTCCAAGGGTAGCCACTGCGGATGGCAAAGACAGAATTCCAACAGAGACATTTTCTGCAATCATGACTGGAATCGATGTTAGGTGACAAAGCTTTCCATGTGCATGATATCTCCGAGTTAGCTACTCACGCATGCCACAGTGCCTGTTTAAGGATGATTAGCTATGTCCATGATCGAATGCACAATCTTTAATCCGAAATAATAACTTACCACCATTTCATAGTCCGATACTTGATCTCCGCAGTCTCCTCATTTCCAAAGGGCTCCAATTGCTTCGCGTCCAATTTTTTCTCCAAGTCTTTTTCGAGGGGTCCATCGACCTTGCCGTCCACGGCGTACTTTTCGTCAAACATATTGACTTTCCAGACGACTTAGTCAAGACTTTCCACCCTAAATTGAAAAATGACAAATAATTTTCATATGTTTCAAAGATTAAAATGAATCGGGTAACCCCCGGCCAAGCCCAAAAAAAACTCTGAAAGCGGTCCGGGGAACTAAGGTGGAACCCGACAGTTTCCCGAAAGATGATCGGCCCGACACATTTTTATTGCCGAACGCGGCCATGTGTATGGCTTCACATATAAATGCAATTTGACGCGATGACTTTAAAGGACATATCCTCTAGTTGTGTGTCTACCTAGCCATACGACATGTACCACCTCAAAAACAAAACCAAACAATGGTGGTAAATGGCCTCGGTGTATGTTTTACCGGGAGAAGAGATTGCTTGTACTCCGTAGTACAAAGTGTCAATGGAGATATGCAGCCCATAGCGAGATCTTCTCCAAATGAGTCAAAGAGATGAAATCAAAAAATCGAACTTGGAGGGGCCGATGAGTTGGTTAAATCTTTCATCTACTCCATATGTTGTACATCGTAAGCTCTAAAGGACCCTGGGCGAGCGGGCGTGTTGATGACTAATGCGGGACAAAAGCGGGTCCTGGCGGAGTTTCCCGCCTTGTATCAACATCCCGAGGTCAGTATCAACACGGTCCATCTAGGTAGCATTGATTGTTGAAATATAATTTTACCCATGGAAAGCAGCCGTAAACGTGCTTCTTTGGCATGCAATTATTGTCGGAGGCGGTAGGTCTACCCCACTGCCATAATTATATGCCCCTATGCTGATGGACAAATAGGAAACGCCGTTGCAATGGCGCGATACCTTCCTGCGGTCTCTGTGAGGATTCAGGTGTCGATTGTGTTTATAATGAAGTTGATTCATCGAAGTGAGAGACCAACCATACTCAATGGTTTGGTCACATTGCTAATTACTGACAGGTCTCGAGGAGAGACTTCCTCCTCGGAGTTCTTTCGCCGTCTTGATGCAATTGAGACCTTTCTATGGAGTCACCCAAGGCTTCCTCAAACACCACAAACTGGCGAAACAAGAAGTGGTAGATACACATTCCCATCATCATCTGAGCATGAAAGGGTGGGTTTTCCTCATCCATCCACCATGTTGATTTCGACCCCGTCGAGACCCAACCCAGCAGATATCTCCCAGCTTATCAGTACGAACTCGTCTTCTTTCATACCACCTGAACATGACATCCCACCCATGAGTATCCCCATTGGCCATACAACAACAACCGAATATATGCTGCATATGAACAAAGTAAAGACGCTTTTCGGGGAGTTTCCACCGGACCTGTTTATACGTGCGGAATCGAAAAGACATATGCCCCACCAGCTATCCTTTGTCCCAGGTACAATTACAGCGAGCCAGCTGCCAATTCTAGACGAAGCAAGCACCTATCCACTGGTGGAGGCATATTTCAAACATGTCCACATCGAGATGCCAATCCTCGACAGAGACCAATTTTTGGGACTATACGATCACCATGTTAGAGCCGGTCTGAGCGTCGACTGTGACTCTGCACTATGCCTTGCAGTTCTTGCATTGGGATCTGCAGCTCTCGAGCAAGTTGACCCAACAAAGTCCAGCTCACCATACTGGGTGCCTGGGGCCGATTTCATTTCACCTGCATTGCAGATATTGATGAACGAATATCTACTGTCATTTTGTCCCACGATCACTCTTCCCCAGAGTTTGATACTCATTTCGAAATATTTTGGGTTTCTTCTACGCCCCCTGCAATCATGGAAACTGATCCACATGGCTTCTACCAGTATCCAATATTTGAATAGCAGGTTAGTTATCCTATCAGTTCTATTTGATTTCATCATACTGACCAAGTCACTGCTTGAGGCAGAAGCCAAGCTTCGCCAGATAATCATGAGCTAAAGTCCAGCATTATTCTACTATCGTGGGCAGCATTCGACACTGAATGGTTTGTTTCTTGGTTCCATCTAGCCAAGTCATATTTGTACTAATTTCTATGACAGTGATCTGATAGCTGAACACCATTTACCACGAAGTGGTATCGAACATGTGATTGATCTGACGCCTTTCCCAGCCTTCGAAAACCACGACGCCCAAGAAACGCACGTCTTCCTTGCCGAACTTTCCGTCCGTCGTCTGCTCAATAGAGTACATCACACCATGTACGGTAGTGACTGGACGAGGCGCAGCCTTGGTCTACAGCCAGCTTCAAGCGACAGCCCATCGTATGACTTCCAGTCACTCTCTACAATCCTGAACGTCTCCCAAGAGCTTGACCGTCAGCTGGAAAATTGGTTTGACTTGCTACCGCGTACAATTAAACCAGACGTTAGCGATCCATCTCGCTGTACTGGCCTTCAAGTGAATATGCTCCATCGCTTTCACTCCGCCAAGGATATCATAACCAGACCATTTCTTCTATGTGCAATTGACTCATTACCTGAAAATGATGTTCCACCCATGGTACTCAAACAGTGTGAGTCCAGTATAGCCAATTGCCGGGCGTATCTGGATGCCTCAGCGCGGAGACTGATGGGCCCATCATTTTGCGCGGAGATCATTATTCATACGTATGTCCACAATATGCCTCGTCCTCGAACTCAACTCATACTTGATTATTTAGGATGTTCTCTTCTATTCTTCTCCTGACCCTAGGCTCTGTTTGTCCGGCTTTGGCGCACTTGGTACCTGATATTGATAATCTGCAGAAGAACACGATAAACAATATCGAGCGATTTGCCGTGGACGGCTCTTCAATGCAGGAGATCCATGGGATTATTGTATTATTACAAAGTAAAACACGGGTTCTCAGGCGGGCTATGTAGTTGTCTTCATTTCGCATTTGTTCCTACTCAGAATAAGCAGTCTACCTCACTTCATGAGACCGGTACTATGTCCCAGAGGTATTGGATTTATTATCCTTTTACTTTTTTAACCTAGCAGCCTTTTACCTAAATGTAGTTGCCTATAAGTTGGCGACGCAGTGTCCATCTAGCGTTGAATGGGCGGCCCCGCGGCGGATGATCCCGCCTGATGATCCGCACGGCTGCTGAAGCCGTAGGGGCTGAACGAGTCAATATCCCGTTTTCCTCAGCAACAAAAAGTCTAATCGGGAGAATCTTAAAATAGGTACAAGGCTTCTCAATTCCTATGATATTCCAAATGGAAACCAAACACCAATTCCTACATACTGAACTGCCTGTATAGATGGCACGGGCCAAGCGGATGAATATTGATCCAGCCCCACGTTGCTGCACAAAGGGATGTCACCTCAAGGCGGCCGCGAAGAGCTGGCACTGCTCTTCGGACCAAGTATGAATCAAATCCCGCTGGTCCAGGGAGCACCAAGATCCCAGTGTGACTACCTCTGGGTATGAATTATGGGCCCCTTGCTTTGGCTTGCACCGGCTGACTAATACAGGACTCGCATAATGCGTGGCTATCACCTTGTGCATTGTCCTACCTAGCATGTATCCCAGCAATAGTTGTATTGCTTATTGCATTTAGCCATACATTTGGATACTTCTGTCAGCGATGGCGCCCCAAGTGGACTATTCCTTTTGTTTCCGAGCAACATGATACCCAAGAGCTCCCGCTAGATCAGCCCAAGCAATCATTGCGATGGATTGCCTCTTTACTTACATTTTCGGTTACTGGGCTTTTAGCCGAGACAATACAATTTGTTCCTCCGAAAATTGACGCTTCGGCTTTTGTGCTTGTTCTCTCATGGGTCGGTTGCCTTCGTCTCTGAGAGTATCGCTTGCTGATATCCTTCCTTAGGCTACAGCATGTGTTCTAGTCGCAGTCAAGCGGCCTAGATCATGTTCCATCTCGATGCTCGCATATTATTTCTTAGCATTTGCAATTGAACTTTCTTTGGCGACCCACCCAGATGTATTCCTGAAATTCAAAGTTGTTGCCCACTACATTGCCGCAGCGGCAGCAGCAGCGGCCTGTGCAACAATTCTCTTAATGCCATTCCGCGAACCTTCGTTACCATCAATAGACATCAGTGCTGTTGGTCAACAACCATCCAATGACTTTCGCACACCGGAAGATAATCTGAGGCTTTGGCAGTTCCTCACGGTGTCATGGATGGCACCGCTTATCTCAACTGGGTGCAAAAGACAACTCCATGAGCAAGATGTTTGGCTACTTGGCTTTGACTTTCAACACAGCCGGCTACATGAAAAGTTTCGCCGACTTCGTGGTTCTGTCCTTAGTCGACTGTTGAGAGCAAATGGAATTGATGTTTTTATCATCTCTACCATCTCGCTTGTTCAAATGATATGCGGTATGGGAGCTCGGATTATCTCTTTTGTTTTAAGTTGCTTACAATGCTCCCAGACTTTTCTACTCCCGTTTTATTGCAGCAACTATTGCAGGCCATGAAAGATCCGTCCCGACCAAAACGCGTACCTTTGACCTATGCATTCATGGCCTTCGCTCTTCGACTTGTCGCCGCACAGTCTCAAGTATTACTTTTGTGGTACGGGAGACGATCTTACGAACGGTCGAGAGGTGAAATGATCATGATGGTCTATGAAAAAGCCCTTTCACGCAAGAACATCTCTGGACTGTTGATTGAGGGCAACCCAGGACCATCCGATGAGGAAACAAATGGCGGAAATGATGGGGCCGCATTTGAAGATAGCTGCGAACCCGCAACTAAAACCGCAGAAGGTTTCTGGCACCGTATCGTTTCTCGCAGCAAGAAGGCACCACAGAAACATGCCAAAGAGGCTGCATCACTTGGCAAAATCTTCAATCTCTTGCGCGGAGATGTTTATGAAGTTGCACAGAGATTCTGGGAGATCGACTCGTTGATTGACAAACCGATAGGACTCATTATCGCCACCTTCCTTGTCTGGACACTTTTCGGTCCATCTTGTTTCCTGGGAATATTCGCCGTTCTGGTTGCACAGGCCGTGAATGCACTGGTAACCAGAGCTCTCCTCCGCTGGGAGAGAGTCAGACGCGTGGCAACGGATACTCGGCTCCAAATAACTTCGCAATTTGTGGAAGCAATCCGCCACCTGCGGTGGTATGGGTGGCAGAATCATTGGCTTCAGCAGGTAATGGAGGCCCGACAACATGAGTTGAATATTCGGATTGTGACCAGTCTGTGGAGTATCTTGATTCGCTTTATCAACGCGTTCGCTAGTGGCGTGTTTCCAGTGGTTGCGTTGTACGCATATACCCTTTTGGCAGGACATGAACTGCGGATTGACATCATCTTTCCCGCATTACAATTGTTTTCCATGCTAGAGACCCGTCTTCGGGATATTCCTGGTCTTATCACATCGCTTATCAATGCCTTCATTGCCCTTGGTCGTATCGAGGACTTCATGTCCGAACCAGACAAGGAGAATGTGCCTTCTGAACCATTGGCGAACGATACACCGCCATCGATGCAATCTTGTTCATTCGCATGGCCAGGAAAGGTCTTACCCGTCCTTGTTGATATCGATGTCACCATCCCCAAAGGACTGACTGTTGTTACCGGCAAGGTCGGTGCTGGAAAAACCGCGTTTCTGCAAGCTCTTTTAGGAGAACTCGATAGACTTGAGGGTTCAGTGCATATTCCAAACGAAATGGTGGGGTATTGTGCCCAAACACCATGGCTGCAAAGCATGAATATTCGTGATAACATTTTATTCTCCGCTCCATATCATGACCAGCGCTACAAACGGACACTAGAAGCCTGCGCCTTGCTTCCAGATCTTGCTCAATTTAAACATGGCGATTTATCGTTCGTGGGTGAAAATGGCATTGGTTTATCAGGTGGACAAAAAGCGCGAGTAGCTCTGGCAAGGGCTGTCTATAGCGCATCACGGGTTCTCCTTTTGGATGACCCCTTGTCTGCACTAGACCACAATACCGCGGAATTCATAGTCCGCAAATGCTTCTCTGGGCCTCTGATGAAAGATCGAACTGTTGTTCTAGTGACGCATCGAACTACGTTAGTACGTCAAATTGCGGATCAAATTATCAATATTTGTGAAAAACATGCGTCTGTTTACGACAAGGATACCATCAAGCTTGACGTCACCGAGTCCTCCCTGCCATTTATCGAGCATGAAGGCGAAACAGAAGCGGAAACAACCCCCCAGGAGGAGACAGCTGCCGTACCTGATAAGTTCATCGAGGAAGAGCATCGAGCAGACGGGGGTGTTAAGGCTCGAGTCTACTGGAATTATATCAGGGCCGGAAAGTACCGATGGTGGCTTACCCTTGTCCTCATTCTGGCAATTTACCGACTGATGGCTGTCGGGCAATCATGGTTTCTCAAAGGGTGGGGTGAAGCCTATGAGCAGACAACTGTTCTTCGAGGGGATCTATCAAACTTGAGTACGAAGTCATCGCAAGGCCCCTGGTTAGTCTCAACCCTGAGCATGGACACATACTTTACGCCCCAGAACCCTATAGACCAACTGCCGCCTCCCCGTGAGGATGTACGCCCTTGGCTATGGACATTTTTCGCCGTCATCTCTTTCCAAGCGGCCACACTCCTTATAGCCCAGCTTCTGATGCTAGTCATCGTCTATTATGCTGGGCAGTCCTTGTTTCGACGGGTCTTGGTCCGAGTCAGCCATGCGACCTTCCGATACCTGGGTAAGTTCTATCGTTTAACCCACCAGGACAAAGCTAACCAATCGCTCTTAAGATACAATCCCCCTCGGACGTTTGATGAACCGTCTCACGTCTGATATTGGAGTCGTGGATGGCAACATTAGTGAGCAATTCCAGGTGATTGCGTTCCAGGCTATCACTTGGATCTCTTCTGTCCTGGTAATCGCCACCGCTACGCCGGTATTTTTGCTGTTCTCCCTAGGTCTCACGGTCGCATTTGTCCTGGTATTCCTTCGCTTCCTTCCCACATCTCAGAGCCTACGACGACTCGAGATGGTGTCCCTGAGTCCTTTGTTGTCCAACTTCGGCGAGCTATTGCACGGTCTAAGCACCGTCCGGGCTTTCCATGCTGAGTCACAGTTCCAGAACCGGGTCATATCCGTGGTTGACAAGTTTCAGGGAATGGACCATTTCTACTGGTCACTCCAAAGCTGGTTAATGTACCGGTTCGAGAGCCTGTCCGCGTTGTCAACATTTTGTCTAACAGCTCTGGCGTTATACACCAACATCACACCAGGACTGGTAGCATTTGTGCTTATTGCTGCCAACAACTTTGTCGATTCCACGCATGCATTGTGCAAGCAGTACGGCCAACTTCAAATGGACTTCGTTTCGGTGGAGCGAGTTGACGAGCTACTCCATATCGAAGAAGAAACCCCCGGTACCATCGCTCCCCCAGCCGCATGGCCAGCCTATGGTAGCGACGTTATCTTCGAAGATGCAACTCTTCGTTACGCTCCACATCTTGATCCCTCGCTTAAAAACGTCTCTCTTCGCATCCCCGGGGGATCCACTACAGCGATTATCGGTCGTACTGGAAGCGGCAAGTCTACACTGGCAATGTCTCTTCTGAGCGTCATTAGACCAGAATCTGGCCGCATTCTTATCGATGGCATCAATATCGCCGACGTCAGCACGCAAGCATTGCGCACTCGAGTCACATTCGTAGCGCAGGATCCTGTCCTCTTCCCTGGTAGCATCAGACTCAATCTGGATCCAACACAAGAATATTCCGATGAGCTGTGTACCGAGATTCTGGAGCGTTTGTGTACTCGGCACGGATGGCATCTTGGAACACATATTGAGGCCGGAGGAAGGAACCTTAGCCAGGGCCAACGGCAACTTATCGCTCTGACACGGGCTGTTCTTCGTCGAAGCGCAATTGTCATTCTTGATGAGGCGACTGCTTCCGTTGATCATGAGACTTCTCTCGAGATCCAGCAGATTATCCGGGAGGAGTTACAGCAGTCTACTGTGATTACGATTGCGCATCGCATAGAAGCTGTCAAGGATGCGGATTACTTTGTGGTTCTGGATCAGGGGCGGGTTTCAAGACAAGGACACGTACGGGACATGTAGGGTTGGCATTCATTGATAAAACCAGCGGTCATCGCGGTCATCGGTACATATTAAAATCATTTCTATACAAGCCGAAAATAAACCCCCTAGTAGATGAAGGACGTCGTATATAATTTCTCAAAAGGGTATCTAATCTTTACAGCTTGGCACCGCCCTGGGCCTTCTTCAGGATAGGCTCCATCTTGGTCGCCTTCATGATGTTACCCTTGATCTTCAACTTGCCGCCCATGAACAAACGCTGAGCATTGGCCTTGCCGGAAACGAGCTGACTAAAGTCAGCGTCGGAGAGGGAGAGGGTTACTATTGACGCAGAGAGATTAGCATATGTCAGAGTGGAAACACGGCGCATCAACACGCGCTGATCAGGAATGTAGACTAACCATCAGCCTTCTCGCCAGCAGGGGCAATACCCTGTCCAACCTCGCCCTTGTTCTTGAGGTCAAGGTACCAGGCAGACTCTTCACCACTGGAGTTCTTCAGGTTGAAGGCGAAGATAGCCTTAGCCTTGCTGAGGGCATCCTTGCGGTCGGCTTCGTTGGCCTGGAGCGTCTGGTTGATGACGTCGAAGGCAGCAGAGGAGGGGTGGGAATCTATTTCCATTAGCTATTGCTCATACTTCAGATAAAAGGGGCATACCTTTCTTGAGAGACATGGTGAATATGGTGGTACAAGGTGATGTGCTCAAACAGGCGGATGACCGGATATAAATGACCTGGAGGGAGCATGTGAACTGACTTCACGTGCCGAGGCCCCCAACCCACTTTTTCTCCACACCGAGGGAAGCTCTGTGATTCCTTCTTTCATGCTCTTTTCGCTTTTTTCGCTCTTTTTCTTCTCGGTTCTCTATTGAGACTAGAGCTAACTAAGATCTGCATTTCTCGCACGGAGTAATGCAATACGCAGTCGGGTCCATTCTCCCAATCTTCCCCGTGTTGATTAGTTTCCCCCCACGAATTTCCCACCGACTCCACATAAACCGCGCTTATGTTGCATTTGGACCTGAAGTTGCACAAATGCGGTATTCAACGCGACACTAATAAATTGATTAGCCTATGTCAATCCTTCCTCGGAAGTTGCCAACCCCTTACCTCCGACGTCACCGCCAACTAAACACGGAAGACCGCAGCAGTCGCTTCATATGATCCGGGCTCCCCAACAGCAGCTCGCGTGTCCGAGATCGTGCTTTAGCCAAATTCCTCGACGTCCTCGGTTCCTTTTGCTGCAAAGCACAAATCGCTGTCTGTAACTGTTTCTTGCTGACTCCCGCTGGACTCAATACTATCGGCACATCCACGCTGTCGTTGTCACGCTGACCCTGCTTCCACCCCTCGATACCACTGAGTCGTGTCAATGGCGCGAGCGCGTCGTCCCAATTACCGCTGCGGAGTACTACATTTTCAAAATTAATCTCGCGTAGAGTACAACGGTGCTCCTGGATAAAAGACGCCACTTGCGACGCATCCATTCTTGCATTGACTAGTTCCATCTGCTGAAGGTTTTCGAATTTCAAAGGCCGTAATGGTAACGCGCATCTCTGGGGGCAGGATTGTGTTGGCTTCCCTTTAGCTGCGTTGTTTAGGCTCGGCTCTGTTGCAAATGACAGGGGCGAGAGGCCCCTCTCGCCTTCCCAATGAAAGGCCAATCTTTGCAGAGATAGAAAGCTTCCTAGGTATGCATGGAGCAGCTTGAGATGGTCCGTCGGTTGACCTGGCTCATGGCCGAAACTCGTCATGTGGACTGTGAGCTTGCGGATCTGGGACCAGCGCTTGCAAGATGCAGGTGAAGCACCAAATCCTAGAGCTGGATGGAGGTAAAGAACCGCTCCTGGATGGACTGATAGCAATGACAGGGTGTGGAGACGTTTTAATGGTGCTTGTTCGATTGCCATTCGCAGTGAGATCAATGCATAATCTACTACACTTCGGCGGTACCGATGGCTTGGTATTTGGCCCTCGCAGGAGACTCGCATATGTTGCAAACCGTCCATCATTGTCAACGCCTGGACAAATGATGGGATGTCGGTAGATGCATGGAACAGAGGCGGATACTGCTTGACCAACAGCTCTGTCATTCGCCGGTTGCCATATCTAGAGCCACTGTCACCAAGCTGGCACCGTTGTGGTTTGTAGATGAAGGACTGTTCTGTCCCCATGATTGGATCTAGGATTGGAGGCAAAAAAGTCTCCCTATCATGTGGGATCTTGAACGTCATGGCTTTAATGTGTCCCCCGATGCGCTCTAAAGCTGCCATCCGCGATGGTCTGTTGAAAGTGCTGCTGCGAAAACGGACTTCAATATCCGCGAATAGGATTGGTGCGAGATAGACAGCGAACTTGCGACATACTAGACGACATGCAGTGAGGTCCTTGTTTCTTAGATACCTCGCGAGATCTTGTTGGACCCGCTTGGTCTTCCATAGTCGAGCCAGTCCCTGTTCTGATGCCATGACCGATCGTTTGTTCCTGCAGGAACGTCTAAGGCAGCAGCTTGGTTTTATTGAAATTTGGCACACGTCGATGGTTGGACAGTTTAGTATTTTCCAATAGCTGCAAATCAACTTATACAAACAGAATGTTTTGTCTGGGCCTTACATTGAACACATAACGTTTACTCCCCTGATTTATGTTTCGGCTATGTGTCAAACGACATTTTCCTAGCCAGCCATCTCGGTCTAGAATGTAGATATCGAAACCAGTGGTAGCCTGAGCTGTACGTCAAATGTTGTACTCTTATTTGTCTTTTAACATTCGATTCGACAAATTCTCCCCCAGCCTAGGCACAATATGACTCATATCAACCTCTCACAGTCAGAATCGAAACATCAGAACTACTCCTCCGAGATGGCTGAAACTAGAACTATCTGTATAGTACCTAACTAGGCTATTAGGGCAAGTGCTGTCTAGCCCTGTGTTTAACTTATTTGGCGCGTAACGCGCATGATCACGTGGTGATAAGAACGCGTTCATGTCAATGGACAGTTGTGCTGCGATGTTGGGAATGATTAGAATTGCTTACATTTTTCCAAGTATTTATATCTATATCACTAAAGAACCTTTTGCGTAAGATATCAGTGCTTGTATACAACATATGACAATGAATAAAATCATTGTGCCTGAAAGATGCTCAATAGAAGAACCCCTCGTGGAACCTTGGCAGGCGCTTACAGCTACTGCGGAGGATAGCGACCCACTGAGCCTTTCATCCTATTGGTTATCCATTTCACCGCTCACATTTCCGCCTTCTTTGAAGTAAACTTTAACACCAATGTCCATATACAGGACTCGAGTTGTTATAATATGAATCTAATAGCCCGCTTCTCTAGATTTATAGTGTATTGCTCGCTTATATATATGGCTTTTGGACTCTTTTTTTCAGGGTCTTTTCAAATGACCTTTTAGACGTCTTTCCAATATCTTCCAAGATGTCTTTGTTGAGGTAGCCAATTTTCTGCTGGCAGTAAAAGTCAATAGTACCAAAGTCCCCAGTGGTCGCTATGCGCTGCGATAGATGATGACATCTTGGGCGAGAACTTCCAACTTCCCCCGCAAGCTGAACATCTCGACCCTGGGGCCAGCTGAACGGTCGCAAGTAACATCAACTCCTGTGCCTTCGCCATCGGATCTTTTGCACTATAAAAAGGAGGACTCATCCGTTTTTGCAATCGCCGTCTCTTCTCTCCTAAGGCCCCTAAATCTGCTCCGTCATCAACAGATTCCTCCCGGTGAATTGTCGATAGCACTCGATGTAAGTCTACAACCTCTGCAAATACCCGGTTTAGGCAGCATGGAGACACAGTATGATGGATTGTGTCTATGCTTCCTTTCTCTTCCTCACTGTGCCATCTGCCACCACCCGTCTTCTGTCTAGCTGTTTGCTGATGAGAATTCAAGTTTCACCAACTGGCTCTCCATAATACTTCGCTCTTCATCCTAGGCGCCCACTTGAAGTGGTAGCTCCGTTGATATTGTAACCTGCCTTTTGTTCTACCCATCACTCCGTCGACATACCCACTCTGCCACACTAAACGATCGGGATAATTTCGTCTTGGGAGATTTCATGGTCAGCGCCAGGTGCTTTTGAGCCATGGCTTCTTCGGCCGATCAGTCCCAAGAGGACAGAATCAAAGATATTCTAGAAGATCTCGATACCTACAGATACATCTACGATGATCTCCTCGCGACACGGGGCGCTTGTGAGGAATCAGATGAGCTTCGTGATACCATTAGAAAAATGGAAGTCCAGGTTGCTGCGCTCCTTGGTGATACTGCTCCTACTCCCCAAGCCGCCACGACACCCCAAGTTTCATCGCTCCCTCCGCCAGTTCAGACGCCTGCGGCTGGACCTCCACGTATGACTTCGAATACTTTCACTGGTATCCCCGGGGATTCATTTGCGTCCCCTCATTGGCCTTCTGCTGCGCCATCACCTTTCGCGACCGGGTCTCGCCAGTCAACCGTGCTGCCAGCTACACCAATGATGCAACCTTCTCCAGATAATTCTCGTAAACGCCAGCGTCCGCTATCTCATGTCTCCCCCACGATACAGGGGTCATCAAAAAGGATTGCTCCCTCGCAGCCTAAATCTCGCAGATCCAAACTCGATGAGATAGATGCTGAACAAGCAGCCCGCCTTGCTGAGAATAACCGTTTGTACAAGCAATGGATTGATGCGGCAGGCGATGATGCAGATCAGATAAAGGAACTCCGGGAAGAGTGTGATGAGCAAGCGAAGTTGATTGAAACGGAGTTTCAAATGGAACGAGATGCGGAATTGGCTCGCGCCCTCCAAGCCGACGAGGATCACAGGCAACTCCCCATGGACAGATTCAATGGGCAGGATTCCTGGAATCTTCCAGATCGCACTCAACCGGTAAAACTTGAACCTATCTCATCAAAAGCCGTTCATGCCCCTCAAGCATATGCCCCGATAGCCCCGTTCAATAAACTCAATCCATTCAGTTCCGACGATGAGCTTCAGGAAATCACAGCTGATTCATTCAATTCTCGATTCGGCAAGCAGCCAGCCCGCCAATCCGGTTCCTTCAACTACCCCAACACACCATCTTTCCCTTCCAATTATTCCAGATCGCCATACTCATCACAGGCGCCTCATCCCTCGCCAATGCCGTACCCCTCCGAGTTAACGTACCCCTCTCGAATGCCATACCCCTCTGAGTTGACATACCCGTCTCAAATGTCATATTCTTCCCAATTGCCCTATCCTTCCCAGTTAGCATATCCTTCCCAGCTGGCATATCCTTCTCAATTGGCCTATCCATCCGAACTGGCGAAAGCCTCACAAGCGGCCTATCCCTCATCACCAGCTTCCTCGAGGCCTCTTCCCTGGAAGCGCGAGGCTCCATACCCTCCAATGCCGGGCGCCTTTGACAAGTTCGACAAGTTCGACAAGGCATTTGACCTGGTTCGCAATCAGACCGAACTATTCGATGACGATGCTGATATAGTGTATGTCCCGCGTATTTCTTCCAAGCCAGCTAGTTCTGACGCTAAATCATTGAATACAGGGCCTACAATGAAAGAGAGTTCCCCGAAGATATCAAGAACTTGCTCAGTGGAATTAAAGACATTCGGGAGGCAACCAGAGCAGACAATGAGGAGACTCCAAGTGCACTTCGAGTCACACTGATGAAGCACCAGAAGATCGGCCTGAAATGGATGAAGGCGAAGGAAGAGAGCAGCCACAAAGGAGGAATCCTTGCAGATGACATGGGCCTGGGCAAGACTATTCAAGCGATTGCGTTGATGGTTGCTCGTCCGTTCGAAGATGAAGACCGACGCCCGACTTTGATCGTCGCACCAAAGGCACTTATGGATCAATGGAGACTCGAAATCCAGCGTCATGTCAAGCCAGGCAGACATCAATTATCAGTCTTGATCTACCATCAACGGCGCAGGCCCTGGAGGGAGCTCAAAAAGTACGATGTCATCATCACGACGTTTGGTACCATTACTGCGCACTACAAAACATTGCTCCAGGCGGAAAAGTTGGCACAGGAAGGGCGAGACGCAGATCTAATTCAAGATTTCAAAAATTTGTCGGGTCCTCTCAATCCCGCCGCCAAGTGGCACCGAGTCATCATCGATGAAGCACAGAACATCAAGAATCCAAGCGCAAAATCTTCAACAGCATGTTGTCGGCTCAATGCCACCTACCGCTGGTGTCTGACTGGTACACCCATGATGAATCGCCTTGAAGATTTCCAGTCCCTCTTGGGATTCCTTCGGATTCGACCTTACAGCAACCCAGCAAAATTCAAGTCGGTCAGTACTCTATAGATCTCCATTTGATCCTTCTCTGGGTGATTAACATTTATCTTTTATATAGGACTTTGTGAAACGCATTAAATCTGGCTGGGGAGGAGAGGATGTTATGAAGCAACTACGCGTCCTGGTTAAGTCTGTCTGTCTCCGACGTACAAAATCCTCCAAGATTGATGGCGAGCCAATCTTGCAACTCCCACCAAAGGTCACCGAGAAGGTTCATGTTGTATTCGATGAGAGGGAAAGTCAGGTTTATGAGGAGCTCAATGCGTCCACTCAAATGCAGATCACCCGATACCTTGACTCCGGCACGCTGGGCAGAAACTACAGCCATGTTCTAGTTCTCCTCCTCCGTCTTCGGCAGGCATGCTGCCATCCCCTCCTCATGCAGGAGTTCCGAAATGAACCTGCCCCATCTATCCCAGGGGTTGATAAGATCGCTAACGCCAAGCTTCTGAGCGCTGCTGTGGTGCAACGTATCATATCAAATGACGGCGAAGAGGATGGCACCTGCCCCGTCTGCATGGACAGTGTAAAGAATGCTACTATTTACATTCCATGTGGACACCACGTGTGCTCGGAGTGCTGGATCCGCATTTCCGACTCTGCAACCGCAAACGGAGCCATTAACCTCGATGACGATGGTCCAGCTGTGATCAAGTGCCAGAATTGCCGAGGGCCTGTGGACCCTACGAAGCTCACCGACACCAATTCGTTCAAGCAGGTTCACGATCCAAGCTCGCTGCCTGACTCTGCCGCCGGCCCCGTGGACACTAACGGGCCCATTGATGACGATGACCCAGAAGCAACAGCGAGCAGCGATGAGTCTGACTCCGATAGCTCTACTGAAGGGGGCGACGACGCAACAAAAAAGAAATCGAAATCGAAGTCTCTAGCAGATCTGCGAAAGGACGCCTTGAGGAACAAGGCCGAGAAGAAGAAATACATTCGCCGTCTTGAGAAGGGCTGGTTCCCTAGCACAAAAATCACAAAGACGCTAGAGATACTCCAGGCCAATGAAGACCGCGGCTTGGAAGAGAAAACTATCATTTTCAGCCAGTTCACTTCTCTCTTGGATCTTCTCGAAGTTCCACTCGCCCGCCGCGGCTGGAACCACGCCCGCTTCGACGGCAGCATGAACCTGAAGGAACGCAACGCCGCTGTGACGGCTTTCACCAACGATCCCTCCTGTAAGATCATGCTTGTCTCCCTCAAGGCCGGCAACTCTGGCCTGAACCTCGTCGCCGCCTCGCATGTCATCATGTTCGATCCCTTCTGGAACCCGTACATTGAAGACCAGGCTGTTGATCGTGCCCATCGCATCGGGCAGGTTAAGGAGGTTTTCGTTCACCGTCTGCTCATTGAGAATACCGTCGAGGATCGCATTGTTACTCTGCAAGACCAGAAGCGAGAACTAATTAGTGGTGCTCTTGATGAGGGAGGTACTATGAATGTATCCCGGCTGGATGCAAGGGAACTTGCTTATCTCTTTGTATGTCTCACCTTGATACCTTTCACATTACTATTGCGAGGATCTTTGCTAACTGCTTTTCCATTACACAGGGTGTGAGGGACTTGTAATCAGGTTTGATTACATTTGTCCTGTTTGCTGATACGAGGCCAATGACTACCAGTCTAGATATGATTGCTATTTCAATTACTGCCCGCCATATCCAAATGATTGGAGTTTGGCTTGGAGATTGTTTTTTTTTTTTTTTTTTCGTTTTTTGTGCTTTTCCCGGAGGCTAATGATTGCTATACCCTGGCGTTACTCTCCTTGTCTCGTTGAAAGAGCGCTGTGCTATCCAATAATGTTAAGAGATTTTTTTTTAGGGAATTTCCTCTCGTGTTCCAAGTAGTTTCTAGTATTCAACTCGAAATTTGCCAGAGATCTGTATCTGTTTTGAGGAATAGATATTTTCATAAAAAAAAGAAGTTTTAAATCTTGTCGAAAGAGGACATGCTTTTTGGATGCTGTGTGCTCGTTTCGGTAGGGAAAAAAAGGACAATTGGGATGTGAGTGTCTAAGCTACTAAGGTTGGGGGAAATCAAAAAGGAAAAAATGCATGTGTCTTCAAACCACGACTATCCCCCATCCGCTTTCATTGTATCGTGATTTCGGAGAACTTTGCTTTTGCAAAACCCAAACTAAAAAAAGAGCAATCCCCGGGAGTCGCATACTTCCTGTCTCCCGTCGATCGCGAGATGGGGCTCGGGGGAACGTGGGGGAGAACAGGGCATATCGACTCCCAACTTTCATTTCGGAAACTTCGTGGACCCGTCGTTGAGCGCACTGATTTACAGGTCGGCATCGTCCTCGTCGGGGAGGGGCTGGTTGGCAGCCTCCTCCATCTCCCTGCGGTAAGCCTCGAGCTGCTTCTCGTCGACGGTGACCTCGGGGGGAGCAAGGGCAATTCCGGCAACAAAGTCCTAAAAGATAATCAGTATCGGTTCGAGTTCGAATCAAGGAAAAAGATGACGTACGAGCTGGGGGTTGCCAACAAGCTTGCGAGCGAGCCAAAGGAAGGGCTTCTCGAAGTTGTAGTTAGACTTGGCGGAGATATCGTAGTACTGGAGGTTCTTCTTGCGGTGGAAGGTGATGGTCTTGGCCTTGACCTTGCGCTCCTTCACGTCGACCTTGTTACCGGTAAGGACGATGGGGATGTTCTCGCAGACACGGACGAGGTCACCTAAAGTTTGGTTAGTCAAACAATGATCTAGGGCAGTTCACAATAAGACAAAGAATCACTCACGGTGCCAGTTGGGAACGTTCTTGTAGGTGATACGGGAAGTGACATCGAACATAATGATACCACACTGGCCGTTGATGTAGTAACCATCACGGAGACCACCGAACTTCTCCTGACCAGCGGTATCCCAGACATCGAACTGGATGGCACCGTAGTTCTGTACAGGTTGGGTTAGTTGAAAGGATCACACAGTGGCATGGTCGAAGCGGGGTTCTTCGGCGGGGTATATGCATACGGTGTTGAAGTTGAGAGGGTGAACCTCGACACCAAGGGTGGCGATGTACTTCTTCTCGAATTCACCAGTCAAGTGGCGCTTGACGAAAGTGGTCTGTTGATCACTTGTTAGTAATGAAGTCGCGGTGAGGCGGGGCCGTTGGGCAGATATTTAGTATTGTTGACAGGCGCGAGGCAGAGGGTAGCCACAAAGGGGCAGCTCAGTGCATCCATGAGTATCATGAGATGACCATCGCTGAGCTGATGGCTACCACCCTGAGCCCATGCCCATCAACAATTAGATGTTGAGGCTCGAATGCGCTCACCTTTCCAGTACCACCGTCACCGACCAGGACAAGCTTGAATGTGGGGGTCTCGGTGGCCATGATGAAAATCAGTTAGATAGAAACTTGAAGAAAAGAAAGTTTCAGAATTCGCGCCGTAGAGATGGGGGCGGGTTGTTGATAAAACGGAGGGGTGAAAGAAGGGGAATGAATTAATAGCGCTGGATGGAATTTTTGCCCCGTTGCTGAGGGTCATGTGACTTTATGCCTGAGGCGCTCTGACGTAGTCAACCTCTGTGGATGGCGCAAACACATTCATAGCTACTTTGAATGGCAATTTCTATTTTAAGTGAAAGGACATGGTTGTGATAGGCTCTGTGGGTATCTTTTTTCTAGTACTTGGTTATTGGAATAAATTCTGTTGGGCAGGTTTTCGCCTGCCAAGTTATCTTCAACACCGTTGGGATGGATGCATATGGTTTCCCGATCGCTCTTTACATGAATCCAGGTATTTTGTAAAAAAAGATAGGCAAAAAAAGACGTCTCGCATTAGTCATGAGCAGTACATATCGTCAATGTACAGGGTAGCAAAATTGGGCTACGCTTGTTGGGCAGAGTGGAAGTATTCCCTCATAAGGGAACCAAGTGACATCCTAGAAGACCACGGCCGCCCCAATTCTGTCGAGGGGTGAGCTGAAGGTCCAGCTCCGTCGTGGTGTCACCGTCCTTCCGAGAAACTTTTACCGATACGGCACGCTATAGAGAAAGAGAGTTAGACATGTAGATATTTTGGCGGAGGAACGGAGAACCAAACGTACCCCTTCATTTTCCTGAACAACTTGGGCAACCTTTGAAAGGCGCTCGTGGTTCAACCAATTGATATTCCCGAAACTTCGAACTGCGTCGCCAGCTTTCAACCCCGCCTGGTCTGCTGGACTTCCTGAAACCACGCTATTGACCTTGGCAAATGGTGTGCCCAATGCAGTGTTATTCGTCGACGATTGTACCGCCGATGGGACGTTGGTGCCGTTCGTAGTTGGGCCAGCGCCTTGCGCATTTTGTAGGTTGGCGAAATGTGCGTGAACACCCTTCTCGATAAGCTTCATTACCTCCTTGTGGTCGTTTCGTAGGTGAATAATGCGCACACGGGTTGTGCGAACTACATTATTTCATCAGCGATATGTCCTGATCAACTGAAGTGTGGCAGGGCCGTACCTTGCGCGATGTCAATATCATCACGGGGGAAACCGTCGAAGGTAGTGAGAGACGAAGTCATGCGTACTCCATGCTAACATAAAAAAGCTTGTTAGAAACTGCGATAGGAACTTCTGGTTCTGATATCTCACCGACTGGAGGACACTACTAAGAGCTGACAGTTCCGCCTCGATGCGCTCTTTCTCCTGCATCAGATCTGGCATGGACAATTTGGACAGATCGCGAGGAGTACCCCCGGATACGGGTCCGGAGGCAACAGTTGGGGCGTGAATGTTATCCATGAGGCCTTACGAAAAGAAAGTGAGGGAAGGTCAGGTGAGGTGGGTCTAGGAACCCTGGAGCTCCCACTATTTTTATATAAGCGGCGATGCTTGGCACTCGAAGTATATGATTTCAACTTCCAAGTTAAAGAGCTTCACTGTTCCAACATCTGCTAATACATGAGAAAAGAAGAAGTTTACCCATGAAATAACATATGAAATGTATTATTTCAATTCCAGCTATCTACCTCACCTCATGACGTACATGGATGGGTTTCAAATTCGCAATCTCGACTACTGCCTGAATAGTGGCAGTTTCCCCTGTTTTCGATACTTGCACTTTCCAGCAAAGATGTAGGGGCAGTCACTCCCCGTCGCTCTTCCCTCAATATGAACTTCGATCCCGTTGTGTTGAGCAGTCGGTTAGGTCCGCCTCTTCTTTCTCCATGCCATCGGAATCTGAATATATTTTCTTGCGCGCGATCGCTATTTGGGACAATGGCAGACCACGATGAAATGGACATTGAGAAACAAGCACTGCTGGATGATAAATCCGAAGAGAAGTCTGAGAGCAGTGGTGGAGTGACTCCGACCGATAATCCAACAGACCATCCATTCAAGAAATGGGTGGACAGCTTTCGAGGACGAAAACACGAGTCGTCCGGACGACGAAAGGTGGATGGTTGGTCAGATGGATCTTCTCATGGCTCATCTTCTCATGGCTCGCAAGGTCAGCAGTCGAGTACATCAGACTCATCGCAGCTCGGAGCCGTCAAAACAGCCACAGCAAGCATTGCAAGCCAAAGTTTGTTCAGATCGAGGACAACTATTCACAGCGCAACAAACCAGAGCTTGCGATCAGATGTACGTCATTCTGGTGACAGCTCTCGGCCAAGCTCAAGTCACCAGGCTGATGAAGCTGCGGAAATACGGTCTACCAGACGACGCCATATCCTACAGGAACTTGTTGAAACCGAGTCTGATTATGTACATGGTCTGAAGGCTCTTATTGGGGTAAGCTATTGAGCCAGTTTACCCCTCTTGGTTCGATGCTGATGTGCTCTGTAAACCAACAGATCCTTACAATCTTTAGCACAAGGCGTGAGATCTATGACAACGTCCAGGATATCCTCGAAATACATGAACGCTTTTTGACCCAGCTCCAGGCGGCATCTCCCATGTCAGCATCTCAGGCTCAACAGGCAGGCGTCTCTGAGCTTACATCCCGTGGAATCGCCAAGCGTATAGGGACCCTTGATCTAGGTGGCCTAAGGGGACTTCAGCAACGATCATTGAGGACCCGTTCACTTAAGGCATCGATCAATCAACGCTTGATGGCACTCAGTGCTGAACCAGCAGAGGTACTAGATGTTGCCCGTGAATTTGATAGATTGGTAAGTATCAGTATACCAATGGTAGTGCATGTATTGACTGGGCATTTTATAGTTACTCTCATTCCCTGTGTATGACCAATTTTGCAGTAACTATGAACTATTGACCCAGGATGTTGCTCTGTTACGCCGGTCAGTTGCCAACTGGACGATATACGATCAGGGAATCGAGGCGCTTTCAAAATCGGTGGCATCCACGGAGCGACGCAGGCAAGAGAATAACAAATCAATGACATTGAATGATTTGTTGATAAAGGTGTGTGAGTAAGATCTGATGGTTGTTTCAACCACTAACAAGGATACAGCCCATCCAACGTCTTTGCAAATACCCCCTTGTGCTACAAGATCTGCTCAGAGCTACCCCTGTCAGTGATTGTCCATCTGCTCATGACGAACTTCAGCAAGTTTTGGATAATTTACGGGTGCTGGTGACACAGATTAATTTGGCGGCTGGAAACCCAATCAACAAAGATCGCATCCGAAGGACAATCATTCTCCAGGGGAAGGTGGATATCTTGAAATCAGTAAGTACCCCAAGATCAGTTCATCGATCTAATGAATGTGGCTAAATAGTTTTAGCAGCACGCACTCCAGGATATATACAAAGACTTAGGCCCACTGGTCATGTGCGGTGTGCTCCATGTCACATACCAAACGGCGGAAACTACCAACGGGGAGTTCATGGTCTGTGTGCTTTTTCACCGCTACCTTCTTTTCGCCAAGGGAACCGATGAGTTGCATCGACTGGAAGCAGTGGCATGTATCTATCTAGACAGTCTCAAGATTGATACGCTTCAAAATGGACGAGGTGAGTAACTTTCTGTTGCTATTTGTGCGTGATATATATCTGACATATCAGGGCTGTATTGCTACGGATGTTTATTTTCTTGGAAGCTCCTATTTCAAGACCAAGATGAGAACTACGAATTCGTCCTCAGTGCATCATCAGCAGTTGAAGAAAAGCAATGGAATACTGAGATTCTCAAAGTATCCGCTGCTTTGGTCGAAACGACCCAGCCCAGGACGTGGGAGCCCGGAAAACATTCTTTTCTGGCCCTGCAACTGGTGCCTCTCGACCATGTTCAATACACAGTGTCTTCCATGGCGCGGAGGTCGATGGATCTAACGGCGATCTCCCGCAAGTCCCACGTTCAGCATGTAGTCCTCAAGAAGACACACTACCCGCGCCATACCGAAGAACCGGCCATACAGGCGGAAGGTGAGATTGAACGACCCAAGACGCCTATTGACCGCTCTGCATTGACATTGACTGCTCGCCGAATTGATCGAATCCGGCTAGAGCGACTAATCGCAGAGGTCTACACAGGAGACCTCCTTCCATCACCAGGAATGGTACTCGGAAGGGGTGATCTCTTCAGACGTGGTTCGATCATGAGACGGCTAAGCCTTCGCCCAGGGTTCACTAGACGGTCGAGTACCGAAGGTACCTTTTATTCAAGATCAGCATCGGCGGACATGCGCCCGGACGAAGAGAGCTATGAAATGGACAAGGAGGCAACAGGCGGTAACGAACTAGGGGAGGAGAAAGAAGTCGAGGTTGAGTCGCCCCAAACACCCACCACGCCTCGAAAGACATTACTTTTCAAGGGCTCACCCAAGAATCCCACATCGCCGGCTTCCTCACCTCTCAGTGATAAGCGACGGAGCCAGGATGGAAGTTCCGAGTCATCTCCATCTTCCCGGAAGTGGTCGTCTCCAAAGAATTTCTTCAGTGCATTGACACCCAAGAAGTTGAAAAAGACCCGCTCTCAGGCTGACTGAAGTTTACTATTGTTAGACAAGTGTTATCCTTTCTAAGGTGATTCTGGATGGTTCTGGTTCATGGGGGAACATTGGAGTCAAAGGGACATTATAATTAACTTGGCGAAAACGTAATGGCTTGGATTACTACCCCGTATAGCTTGAAATACACACACTGAAAGCAGACCTCCAACTTGCCACTTCTAATTTGAGACTTATCCCCACGTTTGGCGTCACAGCGGATCCGACAGCGGGTAGGGGGGGAGCTACTATGACGTCGTGTGCAATAGTTGGCAACTCACCGTGTAATAAATGTAGTAAAGTGAGGAACTAGAACCACTAGTGACATACAATGCTATCCACTGTGATTTAATTGTATAATTTGACAATTCAGATGGTCCCCAAAGACATTCGAAGTTCTTTTGTTTGCATCAGCTCATAGCATGACGTCACCAGGCATCATCACCTGAGCTCCCACCTTGGAACTATTAAACCACCAGCTTTTACCTTCGATTCTTCTTCTTAAACCATTTTCACTCTATCTTCTTAATACTATTCTAAACTCTTCAACCTTCAACCTTCAAACCCTTCAATATGGCCCGTGGAAACGAAACCGCCTCCAAGATCTTCTACAAGGGTCGCTCCGACGACTTCATTGTCTTCGTGGATGACCTTGACGTCCTCCAGAAGTGGAAGAATGACCGCAGCATTCCCCTGACCGAAGTTTTGAACGGCTGGAAGATCTTCCTGACTCACTCGTAAGTGCTTTCAGCTCTTTTGATATTTCGTCAGATCACTAACATCTGGATATAGTCACGGAGCCCAAGGTGTCCTTGATACCGCCAGCCAGAGCTCTCTTCAGAACGAATTCGGCACAACCAAGGAGGAAGAGTGCATGGTCAAAATCCTCGAAGGCGGCGAATACCAGGCCTCCACAGTAAGTGATTCAGTTCTACATCAATTGAAGTTATACTAACTTTACTTTAGGCACGCGAGCGTGAGGGAGGCAAGAATGACTCCAACGGCAGCCGCTAAATCTGACCTCTACACCTTTTGGGTCAATGGGGAGACCGGATAGCTATTGATGTGTCACATTGAAGCACACACTGGAAACCTACACCCCCTCCTCTACCCCTCACCTTGACCTCTATTGAGATATCCATATCCTCGATCGTCCCTTCTATGGCACTTCGGCGCATGGTCCTTTCGGAAAACGTCATTTAATACCCTCTATCTGCCCTGGAATGGGCTTGGAGGGATTGTGCCGTTTTGGGTTTACATCTTGGTACTCACAGGCTTCTGTACCTGATATCATGAGATAATGAATGATGAGCGATTTCACTCGTCTACAAATAAATAACCATTTTTTTCAATCACCATCTTGAACATATCCATTCGTAAAGATTATTCAATCCTTTAAAAAACAACATCTGGATGATCATAGCTCATGATAATACTGTATAGACATGGTATAGCGACATGTATACAAATAAAAACAGCTGCAAACCCTATATCAAACTTCATCTTTAACAACCACCTCGTCCTTAACCGCAACCTCATCCTTAACAACCACAGAACTCTGCTCCCTCTCTGCCCTCCTCCTCACAACCCAACTCCCCAACTCCGCCCAAACAGCCTCCTTCTCCGCAGGCTTCATCCCCGCCGCAAGCCCACTAGTCGTCGTAGCGACAAAAACAGGCGCACCACCCCAACCATCACAACGCCCCATATTCTCCGTCTCCGCCTGCCACCCATACCGAAACTCCTCCTTCCGAATCCCCCTCCCATGTCTAACCCTCCAAACAGCCTCCCAAATACTCTTCCCAACAAGACAAACAACCTCCGGCCTCTGCGCCGCAATTTTAGCCTCAAGCACAGGTACACCGGCATCCATCTCCGCCCGACTAAGCATACTCGCATCCCGCGTCGGCCGCTCCACAATATTCGTGTTCCCCACGCTGTACAGCGCAGGCAGCTTGTATGTATCGGCAGGTATATGACGGATACTTGTTATACCCGACGAATACAGCAGTTTCCAGAATAGGTTTGATGGGTGGGCGTAGGCGTGTCCCGTTATCCCTGTCATTATGCCCGGATTCACGCCTACAAGGAGGAGGATCAGGTTTGGGGGGATTGTGTCGCGTAGGAGGGATTCTGTCGGGCTGGCGAGTGGGGGTGTGGATGGGATCTTTGGTGTTCGTATGCGCTTGCGTTTTGTTGAGACGGGAGATGGAGTTGTCATTATCGACTGTGAGCGGGTGGTGCGTTGGGTGGTGGTTGCTGGTGATGCTGTGCGCGAGGTTGCTTTCTTGCGTCTTGGGCTGGAGATTATGGTTTCTGTTTCACGTTTGCTAATTTGTGGTTTATGTTCGGAATTGGTGGGTTGCGAAATAGTGCTCGAGGCACTCGGGGATGAGTGCGTGGTCCCGTTATGCATGAATTGCTGGAGCCTGCCATTGAAGCTGGTGATTTTGTTGACTGGGACATCGTCCATTGGTTCGAGGGTGAGCTCGACCTCGACTTTGGGTTGGATTCCTGTAGGTGGGGACATCTTGTTTGGTGTCAGTCAGATTGGTTAGTTCTTGGATTCCAAGCTCTAAGGTCGCTTGTCTTATATAAACACGTCGCAAGGCATTTATATGGAATTTTCTGGTTTTCAATGCCAGCGTGGGTGTTATTGTCAACATGACGTGTTTTGGATCTGGATAGAGCATCACGTGCAAGGCAGTCGTGGGTTGGTGCCCCGTTGGCAAGGCACCAACGCGTGACATGATTGACTAACTGGTTAGTTGACTATTCTGTTTGCCATGACAGGGGAACAGTGTTGTGAGGTCAATTGATCAAAATGACACTTTAGATCTACACAAGTTGAGGATACAAGTAGGAGGAATAGTTGGGCAGTGCACACGCACTATAGAGCATACGCCCACACCACTCAGATGAGATTAATGATACAAGCAATGTTATTCTTTCAAGTCGTCAAGTTCGTAATGGATTAAACTATTTACATGATCTAAGTCTGCTACATCCAATGCAGACCGAACCGATTTGTTATGCTTTCTGTAGCCCATGCCGTTTCGGCAATGTCCAAGGTTCCGGGCAAACAACCTATACAATCTCTTATTAGCATGTAACAAACTAAGTCGGGATATGCGGAATAGCGTACCTCGCCTTCACTATAGGCCCAGAAATAGACACCGATGCCAATCAAATAATATATTGCAGGGTCTGTGCCTTGATAAAGAAGCGCCGCGAGGAGAGCGCTGAGGGGGTATACGATGAGACGAATTTCGATGCTGCGGTGTGGTATTGAGCCAGCAAGTGGCTTGAGAGGCCATTCCCAGGCTAGGCCGACGAGGCCCATTATGAGGTTTAGGATTTGAAGAACGGGTATCGGAGCGACGGCCGCATCGAGGTTCCTGGAGATGAAGTCCCAGAATACCTTGGGCCATATGAAGGCCTCAATAGCGCTGGCAACCTGATCTGTTTGTATTCTGTCAGTGCCGGTTCCGCGTTGGAGTTTTGAGCGGTCAACGTACAAGCTGCTGCGGTGAGAATGATTAACCTCCCCCAGTGGTTCTTGATGAGCCTGCCCATTGTGTTGAGCTATGGACACTCGGTCGTATGAAAACTGTGTTGTGTGTGTAGGTGTGTGTGGTAGAGCTTCGTCCAGCGAAGATCTCGGAGGAAATAAAGTCACTTGGGTGTGACAAAATGCGAAGCTAATCTTGGGCAACAAATGTCGCGAACCCCAATAGCTGCGGCAGATTCTATGAGAGAATCACTTCATCATATGATCCAACAAGCCATAGAGAGAGGAGAATAATCCAGAGCACATGGAGAGTGGATATTATTGCAAGGGCTTATCGTGGAACCATGATCCCATATGGGGAAGAAAAAGCAGCATGTTCCGAGTGGCATGCTTGCAGGGACGTATAAGAATCTATACTTAGACAAGCGACCCCTCTGATACCCAGAGCTCGGATCACTTTGCCAGGATGTGATGAGCGCCAAAATGGTGAATGGCTGCATGGGATTGGTTCACATGCAAAAAGAATAGGGCTAAACTGTGACCCGCACGGATGAAAAGTATCGTAAACCAATCATTATGGGAAAAGTCATCGAATCCTTGCTAACCCCCTCTTCTTGAGCTTCTTGAAGAATTGACATAGCGCGTGTGATTGGGGAGTGGGGGATGTGACGGAGCGGATCGTAAAGTGGATGTCCGCAAATCAAAAGTCATAGCGCTTGGGCTTGGCGTGATGAACTGCAGGTGGCATGCATGGAACGCACAGGGGCCTTGATTTTCTCAAGTCTCATCCACATTCAAATTGTTTTATTTTAAAAGTGTTTTTCAGAATTGGGCTGTTTGGGTCTCATCTTTGTACCAGAGACAGTTTGGAAATTTCTAGATCAGATGACCAGGGTAGCCCTGATTCCAATGTGCAACACACCGTCTTTCTGCATCTTCTGCAGACTGAACTTGGTTTAACTTTTAGTGCTAAGTGGAGACTTTATCGGGAAAAAAGGGTCGTTGATGGGGAAACATAGCTCGAATGATTCATGATTCTATATTTGGGCCTAAAATTCTACTCGCTAAGGATCCTGAACCGAAGGTATTTTCACCAATTGGCTGCGGGAACCCTCGGGGCTCCTGTGTGACGGAAAGACAGCGCTTGCAGGAGACTTGCTATAGGCCAGTCTCCCAGCAACCGTCTTTCCTTGGCCTCATTTAACGCTGTCCATTTACGGCCACTCACCAGCCACCGGGGCATTAATCCTTTTTCGTATCTCGGCCTTGACTCGTTTAGCTTCCACCAGTTCAAGCCCATCGTCTAATAGAGCAGAAAGCCAACTCGGATACGATTGATCGAACCAGGGTGTGCTTCCATTTTCGTACTAGATTCGCTTCATCGCGGGGAACGTGGCACGGTGATCAGACTTCGACTCCGTAGAGCGTATAAACTCCGTGTCATGATTGGTGTGCCTGCTACGAACGGCCATTAAAAATAGAAAACTTCGTAGAGTATTAATTAAAACCGGGGCCCAAGGTCATAAGCAGGACTTTTGAAAGCCTTGGAAAGAATAAGCCAAGATAGCAGTTGAAAGAGAGGTGAAAACTGACGAGGATTTCTCAAGCGACAAAGATTCTAGCCTCTAAATTTACTTTTTCTGGTCTGTCCATTACCTATTTCAAGGAGAATTTCAAAAGCACAGACATTATAGATATAGTCTATTGGACTAAAATCTACCATAGTCTTTCGGTTATCCGTAGTGCCCGGTGGAAGCGATGTAATTATAGATCCGCCCCCCCTCATCACCCCTGCAGCTAAAACCACAACACTGGGATTCTCTGAACCTCCAACTTTTTTTCGTTCTTACACATTGACGTCGACCATGTCTACAAACTTGAAACAATAAAATATCTTTCATCAAGTGTCCAGTAACCTCATTTATTCGAGAGGATACGAGCAGGGGAATTCCCCGGCGAAACGCCAATAGCGCGACCACACAGAGTTACTATACATCTTGATCGAGCAGCACCACAAGCTGCAAGTTTACCGTTTCTAGCACAAGCTATTCAATACTATTTGGAATATTTTCAAATTCCCGAAGGCCCCGATTCTCAGCGCCTAAGCGAAACATCTCCTGGAAAATTGTGATTCGCGATAAGTTCATGGAGAGACATCGACGTTGACAAGCTCCGAACCCATCAACTGTCAATATTGACATTGGAGTCTTGCTGCAAAACGGGATCAAGAGACTCCATTTTCGACAGAACCTCAGTGTATATTACCGGGTTGCTGGTCAACCGTCTGGCCTTGTCACTCCTTTGATTGAATTATCGATTATCGCCTAAATTACTTGTCGCCGGTCGACATTCTTAAAAGCGCAGAGAAAAAATGGCCACAGCCCCAGTCTCCTGGTTAAAGAGGGCGGACTTGACCGTTTCTAAGGTCTTGTTCCATTTGGTCTTTTGGGGTCTACATATTGGCATCTTTGCTGCAGGATGGTATGCATGTGAACATCTATAATCTCTGGACTGCATAGCTAACATTATTATAGGTACATTCAGGCATCAAATCCAAAGTTGGCGCCGCTGAATGCCCTTACCTATTCAGTCTGGATATCGCGAGGCGCAGGCCTTGTCCTTTCGGTGGATGGCACTTTGATCCTATTTCCTATGTGTCGGAATATCCTCCGATGGCTGAGACCACAGATCAGATGGCTCCCACTAGATGAGTCGGCGTGGTTCCATCGGCAAATAGCGTATGCCATGCTAGTATTCACAGCTATTCACACCGCTGCTCACTACGTGAAGTAAGCTATTTTCTGATTTAGGTTGTCGCTGTTACTTTGCTAACATTACCCAGTTTCTACAACATCGAAAAGGATCAAATCCGCCCAGAACTTGCAGTGTCAATCCATTTTGCTCGCGCAAGTGGTATCACTGGCCATGTCATGCTTCTGTGCATGATGCTTATGTATACCACCGCACACCACCGCATTCGCCAGCAAGCATATGAAACCTTCTGGTACGGGCACCACCTTTTTATTCCCTTTATGTTGGCACTCTATACCCACGCCACTGGGTGCTTTGTCCGAGATACCGCCAGCCCTATCTCGCCCTTCGCAGGAAAACAGTTCTGGGATCATTGTCTTGGCTATGAAGGGTGGAGATGGGAGTTGGTCATCGGAGGCTTGTATCTCTTCGAGCGACTATACAGGGAGATCCGCGCCCGACGCGTGACAGTCATTACAAAAGTCATCCGTCATCCTTATGGTATGGTTTTCTTTCACAGATGTTTGATCGACCACAGCTAACGACCCTAGCCGCCATGGAGATCCAATTCCACAAACCAAGCATGAAATACAAAGCCGGACAATGGGTATTCCTCCAAGTGCCCGATGTCTCCAGTACCCAATGGCATCCATTCACTATCACCTCCTGCCCCTTTGATCCATATCTCAGCATCCACGTCCGTCAAGTCGGAGACTTCACCCGAGCACTTGGAGACGCACTCGGTTGCGGTCCCGCCCAAGCCAAAGACCTCGAAGGTCTCGACCCCAACGGCATGTACGAAGTTGCCCTACAAAACGGCCAGACCATGCCCGCAATCCGCATAGATGGACCATACGGTGCGCCCGCGGAAGACGTGTTCGAGAACGAAATCGCCGTTCTCATCGGCACCGGCATCGGCGTCACACCCTGGGCATCTATTCTCAAGAACATATGGCATCTCCGCTCAAGTCCGAACCCCCCTCGCCGGCTCCGACGTGTCGAGTTCATCTGGGTCTGCAAGGATACCTCTTCATTTGAGTGGTTCCAAGCTCTACTATCTTCCCTCGAAGCTCAATCTGCCAATGCGGCTGCTAGCGAGGGAAGCACTGAGTTCTTGCGTATCCACACTTACCTCACACAGCGTCTCGACGCTGATACCGCTGCAAATATCTACCTCAACTCTGTTGGCCAGGCTCTCGATCCTCTCACCGAGCTGAGGAGTCGGACGAACTTCGGTCGTCCGGACTTTAAGCGACTTTTCACGGCTATGAAACTTGGATTACTGAATCAGTCCTATATGACCGGTCTGCAGAGTTCTGGTACCACCGATATCGGTGTGTACTTCTGTGGTCCTAATACTGCTGCCATGCAGATTAGCGATGCGGCGAAATATGCATCCACCAAGGACGTCCGGTTCAAATTCTGGAAGGAACATTTCTAGACTTGATTCTGGTGTCGTTTCGCCTTTTGCGTTTACTTCTTGTTCTATACATGAATGACACGAGTCACGAATCTTCTTTCTTTCTTTTTTATTATTACCTTTCTATGATTTCTTGGACTCTCTACGTTGCGGCTTCTACTGATTTGATATTTTGAAGCGAGGCATGAATCAGTCTGAGCAGCGAGAGAAGCAATCACAACATACGTGGGTACCAGCGGGAATGCTGAACTGTAGGAATATATGGCAATAGACTTGACAATGTGCTTTGAATAATGGTTTTCGATGTATCCGTAGACTACGATTACAGGTCTTCTAGATCCTAATCTTCATTCTAAATTCAAGATGTAGGACATAATAATAGCTGCCAGTTCTTGGATTTTCCCTGCTTGTATGAAATTATTTTTACAGATACACATTAACATTAAATACATCTCACATCAAGAATCTCTCTATTTCCGAGAACGTTGTTCCTCAGAGAGAGTAACATCCGTAGTAACCACAATTCCCTCCTTATCATGTTCTATCGAGTCCTCTCCACTCCTACTCATATCAACAACAATATGCTGCTGACTCTCGCCCGTCGAATCCCGCCGTGACTTCCCCCACCCGAACGAGGACAGCTCATACGGATGTTTACCATATACATCCCCCTGACTCCTCGAAGAAGTAAACATACCGTTTTGTTTCGGCGTCCGACTGGTATGATTTGAGCTGCCCTTCGAAGAGAACCAGCGCGAGCTGCTGAAAAGTGGTTTAATTCCCGGTGCGCAGATTGTTATCACGGAGACGAGGGCTTCGCGAGACGCCCAGCCTAGGGCGGTTGATAGTTCGGAGATGTCCTTGACGGAATAGTAGGCGCGGAGGAAGGCGGCGATCATGACGAAGATTCCGGACGAGAAGAGAAGACATAGGAGAAGCTTTTGGGAGACGGGGATACGGGCTGCTATCACGAGGGGAATGGGGATTGTCATAATTGCAACGTCGGTTCTGTTCAACGTTAGTTTATATGTGGGGATTGGAAAAGTCTATGACTGACGTGATGCTGAGACTCTCGATGACGATATAGTTTAATGGGCGTATAGTACAGTTATCTGTGAATGGGGTTAGTAGCCACGAAATCAATGTAAATGTATCGATCTCACCTCCGGGATATGGTTTGATTTGCCAACTCGATTGTACGGGCTCACAGATAAAGACGTGGAAAAATAATGAGGCGATGAATGTGCAGATACAGAAGGCTCCAACGGCCATAGTTAAGCGGTGCTGCCAGAGACCCATTCTGGTATCTTGTTAGCATAGACTTTGAATAGCGGAAAGGAGTGTAGGGACGCACGTCAATCTGTTGTAGAAGAACATCAAGACCCCTTTGAATGACCACACCATGAAGACATAAGAGAGCCAGGCAATAAATGCGTGGATGGAACCGGTTCGTAGTGTTGCTACTTGGCTGTCTGGAACTTCCATTGCCGTTTTCTCGTTGAGACCAATATTCGATCCGTATACATCTGTCTTGAATTAACATGGAATCAAGTAGGAGGAATTCAGAGGGAACATACCCGTACAGAGGTAGAGGAAGACGGTATGCATTGTCCAAAATATCTTTTCTCAATTAGTATAATTACCTCTAATTACCTGGTTTCAGAGAACTGACCGTGGCAAACCCTAGACATAGATCATCCCAGTAGAACTTGCCCTTTCCATGTTTCCAGCGTGCGTAAATGCGAACTGCAATGATGGCAAGCCCTACAGCCCATTCTGCGAACAGCTCTGTTGTAACGTTGTATGCCATGACGTTAAATGGCTCTATTTTCGGACATCGGTTGAATGAATAGATGCTCTAGGCAAGGCGGCAACTAGACTGTCCTCGAATATGGAGTGTCAATTTAAATGATAAGAATAAGTAACATAAAACGAGTGACTCGCGAACTAAGTGACCGTTGAAATATCCTTCAGTATATAAGTACTACTATCTCCTTCTGTGCGAACGATCGACCACAACTAACGAACCCAATCTGTTTATGAACCATGGACTATCCAGAACAGGGTCTTCCGAACGGAAAATCGTTGTGGATATTCTGTCTCACCCACTAGTGTATAGCATAGTTGATGCCAAGACACCGAGGGTGTGATATTCATTAAAAATACTCCGTATAGCACTGGAGACAGGAAGTTTGGTGCTTGGTGAAATATGTTTGGTCGGTTTGACGTCGATCAAAGCTTCACGGTCCAGCGGTAAAAGGTAAACAGAAGGGTAACTACCGATGAGTGAATCTATTGGCTTTGACTCGGTAATGAAATAAAGAAATGGAGTTGGCGGGTATCGGCGATGCCCACTCCATGCTATTCGTGCGTTTGATTCTCCTGAACAGACCATTGATTTCTTCATTTCTCTTCGTTACGAAGTGTGGGTCATACACTGGGGCGAAAAAAGTACAACATACGTCAAGTTCAACTACAAGCACAAACAATCTCCGCTAAGTATGTAAGAGCGTAGATCTCCGTTTCAATTTGTAACAAGATAGAAAAATGGAAATGACAACATTGTCTGTGAACATAATCGAGGCAATGAAGCCAACTCGTAAGGGAACGAGAGGCTGTCATCAACAATAAAACTCAGTAGACAATGGCTTTCTTGGAGATTGTTGATAGAGTGTTATGATTTCAAGTTGCAAGGTTAGTATGTGCATCGTCTGGTATTGTAGCCTCGTTCGCAAATCGAAATTGTCGTCTCCACTGACCCGTTCCAAGTCGTTCGTGTGTGTTGGCCGGAAATATGGAGACTATCACGTGACCTTATCTCTTACCTCGAGATATCTCTCCCTCTTCTTTTCCCTAGTCACTATTTTGTAGTCAATGAAATCTATATTTGATTATCTCATTTCCTTTGATCCGCTAAAAAAAAGATTAATGATCATGTGGGCGCGTAGACTGGTTTGAGCTTCAACCGAGCGCTTTGCCGTCGACCCGCTCTTTAGCGGAAACAGTCCACAATGTGGACGATACTCTGGGTATGGATGGCATGTAGATCTTAGATAGTGCGCCAATAGGCGGATCCTCCAGGTTGGATCTATTGCGTTAGCCAGAATGACGCTCTTGGTGCGGAGTACAACGGAGTTACGTAGAAAAATACTTGAGCCCTGATCCAGCCAGTTCTACTCCGTAGTTTCCACCCTCATTTTTCTTGGCCATAATTTCCGATATGGATATCCGACATCTTCAAAGTATCTTGGCAGAAGCCAAGGCTGCTCTAGATTCATATGGATCTAATCAATCCGACAGCTTTCGAGTTGAAGCACAGGAAAAGGCCGTGCAACTGGCGCGTGCATTGGAACGACCCAAGGATGCAATCCTCAAGTTATCCTTTTCCGTAGGCCATCGATAGACCTCAAGGTCATTTGAATAATGCTAATGAGTTTCAAAGCCGATCATTCTCATGGCCGTCAAGACGGCCCATGATATGAATGTATTCCCCGTGCTAGCTCAGGCTACGGCCCCAGTGCCTCTGGCCGAACTGGCCGCAGCAAAGCCGGCAGACCCTCTTCTAGTCGGTATGTAAACAGTCAACGGCGAAGACGGGAGATCTAACCCCGCCGTCAGAGCGCATCATGCGAGTTCTAGTCGCCAACGGCTTCGTAGAAGAGCCAGCTCCCAGCGAATATCTCCCCACCGCGCTCTCCCGTGAAATGACCCAGCGCACATCAATCGGAGTCGTGGGATCACTGTAAGCCGCACCAAATTCAAAACCCAAAACAAAAACTTAAACTAACCTAACCAGGTTCCATGAATTCCTGCCCTCAGTGCAGAAGGTCCCCGAATATCTCCACTCTACCAATTATCGCAACCCAGATGATCCAATGTTCGCCCCTCTACAATACACGCACGATCTGCAGATCGACGGATTCACATGGCTGTGCAAGAACCCAGAAGCTTTGACTCGGTTCAATAGCTTCATGGAAGGACAGCGGGCTGACCGTCCACACTGGGCGGACTGGTTCCCTGTTCGTGAACAACTTCTTGATCACCCGGACATAAGTGCCGACACACCACTTTTGGTAGACCTTGGGGCTGGTCGTGGCCCTGATCTAATTGGATTTAGGAAGAGATTCCCGGATGCACCAGGTAGACTGGTATTGGAGGATCTTTCATCTGTGATTGATGAAGTGCGTGGGGCACAGGATCTAGAGGCGGCTTCTATTGATACTGTTGCACATGATTTCTTTGCAGAGGTCCAGCCTGTTCAAGGTAAGTTTTGTGTGTGTGTGTGAAATATGCATTTGGATGGGGCTAACACATTTGATGCGCAGGGGCAAGGGCGTACTATTTCAAGAACGTGTTGCATGACTGGTCTGATGAGAAAGCGACCATTATCTTTAACAACCTAAAGCCGGCTATGAAGCGAGGGTTCTCCAGGGTTATTATGGAGGAGTATATTCTTCCTGATCAGAATGCTCGATCGCTTCCTTGTATGACAGATATCGCGGTGATGGTTTTCTGCTCGGGATTGGAGAGAACTCGTCAGCGTTGGAGTAATCTCCTTACATCTGTTGGTTTGCGAGTCATCAAATTTTGGGTGCGTGAGGGTGATGGGTTGGGAATTATTGAGGCCGAATTGGCAGAGAGTTCCTAATTAGAGCCATGACTCCAAACAAGCCCTCGGCTTCAATTTTCAAATGACCACCTCGAGGAACGTTAGTATGGGTGTATACGTAGGAAATAGGGCTGGCATGAAGCGTTAGTAAGTCTGTATACCCAAGGAGGATATGAAACTCGCGTTATGAAACCGTTCGCAGAAATGTTGCCATATTTGAATGTATACATAGTGGCTGCACAAGTTTCCGTAAAGCCAACACCATTGCATAGGACACGGTAGACCTAGGGTGGACATCCAATACGCGATGTCATTCAAATGGCCAATAACGCTCGTATTCGGCTTTCTCCTGATCAGTCTCAGCCAATTGATCCAGTATCTGACGTTTGATCTCTTCGAGCGCAGCTTTGCAAGCCTCGTATCGCTCGTGTTCGATCAAGCCTTTATCGGGCCACAAATCGCCCATTTGCTCCTTAATCTCAGCCATAAGCTCAGTTCCTACTGCCGCATTGTCGCCGTCCAGTTTGATACGCTCGATATCCGTTTCTGAAAACTCAAACGGGAATGGAATGCCGCTAGTGACGCCAGGCAAGCCCGTCCACGTGTCTTTCAGATCGACTAGAAGCGATAGAAAGTGCGCCTCGCCGTATTCGAACATGCGGTGGGCTAGAGATATCAGTCCGTACGCTGCCGTCTTTCGAAATTCGACTGCCCGATATAAGTCTGGATTTTTAGCATGCATGAGCTTTCGCCATACAATGAACACGTTTTGAACAGTATAATCGCGCATAGCGGCCGATCGTTCTTTGGGGGAAAGTCCAGAGAGTGTCGGCCTCGGTGCTAGGTCGAGTGTCTTGGGCTCAAGACCATCCCAGTCGAGGAAAGCTGGATCAGGATTATGGTTGAAGAGGGGTGATATGTGGCAGGACTGCCAGTCAATGATACCTGTGATGGTTTCCGGGTTATATGGGTCTACAAAGATGTTGTCATCATGTAAATCATTGTGCCAGATGCAGGCGTTGTTGATCGCGGCGTCCTTTGGGATAAGAGCATCGACGATTTTTTGGTAGCATGATAAGGCAGTAAGCTTATTTTCCATGTTTGGTTGGTAGAATCTTGGACCGCGGAATAAGGCAATCTGTTTTAGTGGTACCAGAGACCGGGTTGCTTCCATCTCTCGTATTCCTACTGCTTGTAGGTACTGCGTTGAAGAAGCCCCTGCAAAGTCGTCAGTGGCTACGGGGAAAAGACAAGATTCCTGACGTACATGGTCCCCTATCAATACCCAACTCTGATCGACACGCATCAGACCAATCCCGACCAGTAGCCGGACCTATAGCAAACCCTGAATCTTTGACGGCCATGCCATCCCTGATATATTGGTTGCCCTCTGGGGACTGCACATCTCCAGCATAGTACAGGCTGCCATATTGGGAGAACGAAACGCTCAACCATTTCTTCTGCAGACTTGTCATAGCAAGAATCACTTTGAGCCTTTGAGGCATTTGCATCGTGCTCCATACTTGGGACAATGGGACACCCTCGACTTTGTTCATGATAATAAATTCAGCCCCAACAGGATGCGATGTTGCCTGCGAGTTCCATGCGTGCACATGAGGCGCCGGTGTGTCCAGGACTTTTCTAGCCTCCCAATCCAGTCACATTAGCAAGATTCGGCGTCCACGGAGTTTAAAATGAACTTACGAAGTCCATCGTGGCGACCTCACTTGCCGTGGTGAAGTGTGGAACCCCAGCATTGGGGTTGGGCACCTTAGCTACAAGTTCTTGGCCATTTTACATAGTCATAAGGAATGCTTTGCTGAACATGCCATCGGGATACTTCTTTACGGAAATGCAGTGAGAAGCGCCCACTGAGTCTGCCGCGACTCTTGCAAGCTTGTTCAAGTCGAATTTGATGTCCCGACTTCGAAAATTCTTTGCCTCATTGACAGTAAAGCGACCACGCGTAAATTTGAAGAATTCATCGTTGGAGTTCCAGTCTGATCGAATGAGTGATATGTTAAATCGCGCTCAGGTGGATAGGCTTGCCTGACTGGGGAGAGTTCACGCTAATGTCATGGTGATTTTGTAACAGTAGGGAAGACTTGGAGATCGACCGATGGTATTGCTTTGGGCTTTGTAGTATGCCTCGAACGAAGTACCACCCACACGCGGATTGGGGTTGGTGCATATTCCATGAAATGTACAACATAATGGGCATAATGGTGCCTCTTTCTGGAAACATGCATGATATTTTCTCAGGTAAGCATCGCAATATTGAGAAACTTGAGTGCTGACAATGAGAGCAGTTCTGAAATCGCTGTTGGATGTAAGCGGTGCCCCCTTTGAGACAACGAGCTGACACGTGACCTGAATAACTGCCCCTGCATTTAAAGTTCGCCAAGACGGTTGAGCCGCATATCTTCTCCACTCTCCATCTCTTTCACCTCACTCCACTGTTATCGTTTCCCAATCCAAACAATCATGTGTTTACAGTCAGATGGGGCTCAAGCCTTCAGTCACTTTGCTTAAACAGTCTACCCAAAAAGTCTGCAAGGTCGAAACTAGCGCTTCGTCGGCAGCACCTGCCCAGGGTACTACTTCCATTGAAAATAGTGGGATTCCCGAGACTTGCATTGCTAAGAGACCCAAATCTCCATCCATCCATATGTTTGACCCGCCTACCAAAGAAAATTCTGAAATCTACACAAGCGCCACATCAGACATTCCTGCTCAGCATGACACTTCGATCGAGCCAAGACCCAAGTCTCCACCCATCGCCTTGTTCGATCCGTCTATCCAAGAGAACTACGAATTGAAATTCAACACTAAGTCGGACATATTGGACCACTATGATAGTGGCAGCGACATTCAGACTGTCATCCTGTGTGACAGTCCCTCCGACAAAGACCCTATTACGCTTCATACCTCCATCTCTACCAAGGAAGGTCGTCGTGTCATATCCAGCGGGTTGTTTGACGATCACTCTGATGAATCCACTTCTGGGAGCACGAGGAGATCAGGTATCCCCTCCAGTAACAGTTCTGGATCGTCCTCCATGGCCAGTGTTGATACGAAACCAGAATCTCCACCTATCGCCTTGTTCGACCAATCTACCAAAGCGAGTTGCGAACTGAAAGCGGTCGCTACATCAGACAGATCAGATCAGTATAAAAGTGACAGTGATGTCCAAACCGTTATCCTATGTGACAACCCCTCTGAGAATGACCCTGACACACTTAATGTCCCCACCGCTAGCCAGGAGGAGCCAAGCACCATATCCGACACTCTCTCTGATAACCTTGCTTACGACTCCTCTGAATCCTCTTCGTGGCGCTCAAATAACCTTGTGGGTTCCAAATCGGATTCGTCCTCCATAGACAGCCTTGATACCTCATCACAGCATGATTCTGAGTCAGAGGAAGATGAAGATCTAACCCCAAGAGGTTCCCAAAGTGTGGCGGCATACGCCTCTCCTATTCAGGATGGTTGGCGTGTTCGGACCAGCTGTGACAGTATCTACGACCTAGGTCGGTGGCAAGTCGATCCAGATGGATTTATCAATGAGAAATATCGCGCTGGAGGGCCATACCTATGTCCCTTACCTGTCACAATCCTCGATCTGAAAGGCAGTTCCCCTTTATGGACAGTCTTAGAAACTTTTAGCCTTTCCAGGATGATCAACTCCGTTCTTGCGCAGTACGAAATCAATGCATCCTCGATGAAGATAAAGAAATGCGAGCCAGATCATAGTCTTGAAATCTCCATCGAGCCTGTGGCAACGTTGATCATCACTGCAACTCGCGGCACATTTAGCCACGCTTGGGTGCAGGCCTGTCGCCAAATCTGGAAAAACCTATCCGACAACCAGCTTGGTCATGTTAATGTCGAAATCTCCGACCCAATTATTCACGACCCATTTCTCGTGTTGCCAATGGGGCCGCAGGACCGCATTCATTCAATCCACAGCGCAGTGATACAAAGAATTGAATATGAAGCCGATCTGAGGGATTGCCTTAGCTATGAAGCGATGCGCATCGGAAGACCCGATAATACTAAGGACAGTGAGGTGGTAATGTTCCTGACGGTGGATTCCAACAGCAAGCGAGACTGGCGCGGTCCCCGAGACCAGATTGTGTTAATTTTGGAAGATTTCAATCTTCCAATGGTGGGAGTCATGATCAGAAAGGGCAGAATGTGGGGGGGATCTTTGGGCTTGCCGAGACGACGCAAAAAACCCGATAATTCTGAAGTTGTGGCTCAGCTAGGATTGTGATCAGAACTTATGATCGACAAGTCCTGTCAAAACCCAATTCTGTTGACTTGCCAATCAGCTATTACATGGTTCCTTTTCTATATATGGCTTCCTGTAAAATCCCCGTGATCTCGTAGGATACCTAGCTATACAGTACTAGTAGCAAGTATTTACTGAATTGGGAGTTCCCAGACATACATCGTGAGTATTATGTATCATGATATAGTAGTTCTTATTTGGTCCACTTTTCCAAATATCCAATCGTCTTCTATATTGATCATGAAAGGCAATACATATACGTATTTCACGGGTATTCTGTGTATATATTGTGTGTCAATGCTCCACTCTTTTGACTATAAGACGGTAGAAGTAAGAATGACAGTATAAACAGTATAGAATCGGATATGAAAGTGATATGAAAAAGGACAACAAGAGCGACGCAGCTAATGCACACAGGGTGTTCTCGAGGATGAGCTTCATTCCATCTTAACTATGCCTCAATACCTGTTCTGCCCATGTTGCTCAGCTATCATAAATTGACAATATGCTTGACCCTCTGCCTGCGATTGCCTCAACCTTTCGATTTACCCTCAGACATCCCATCTCTTTCGTCCATCTATTTCTCTAACTGTGCAATAGACCCCCGAGGACCACAAACTAAAGCAAGGCCGAGTGCCTGAGCTGGTTTCAACTGTTGAATTGGCAATATCCGGCCAAAGGTCAGGGTACATGGAAGGCTACTATTACTCCCTTCGCCCGGCCCGCGTACATCATGAACTGATTGATGGAGAGAAGGTATTAATCACAACCATCGAACATTACGTACAGAGCAAGGGGGACAAGGGCCGATTCTTCTGGAAGCCTGGAGATTCCGGATCATTGGTGTACACCGTGAATGGCCATGTGGTGGTCGACCTGCTCTTTGCGGGCGACTTGGATCTCCCGTGGACTTCGCGCTTCGCCCATATCGACGATTTGGTGGCAGACATCAAATGTACCACCGGGGCGGCGGAGGTGCAACTTTGGAAAGGCTGAGGGTACATATCATAGCACAATAGAAGCCTCCTAGGCTATAAACAGTAACCTTGGTTTTTGTTGTGGTCTAGTGGTAAAGTACTGTGTATTGTTTTGACTACAGACGAGTGCCTGATTTTGGGGATAGATGCCTCAATTGGCCTGGATTTAGACTAGCACAAATTAGAATACCTAATGACTTTCAACTTATAGTGACCAACTAGCCAGTCACAGGGCATCACTCTCAAAGTCATACAAAGCATTTTGCTGGATAATATCCTCCACATGCAAATCACGTAGACGGAACTCAACTCCCGCAGCCGAACATAACACCTCAAGTTTCACCTTGAAGGCGGCAAACGCCTTTAGCATGGCAGGTATAGGACGGGGTTTAGCGTTAGACTCCTCAGTTGACTGCTGGACATGCATCCAGTTTCCCTTGACTTCTAAATAAGTCAGGTTTGGGCAGCGGCACCTGCCTCCTGAGAAGAAGTCCTTAAACGCCTCAGCTAGATGAGGTGTCTGGTATTCCTCTAGGCCATCAAGAGTAAGGCTTTCCAGCGATAGAGGCAAAACATCACTGAATCCGTTGTTTAATGGCATGTCTAGGTCACCGTCCCAGTCTAGTATGTGACATATCTGCATCCGAAGCTCCTTCAGCGCACTGAATCCCGCGAATGATCCAACGTAATCATAGTCGACAATCTGGTGAGCGGTATAATTGTTGGTGCGCTTATCGGTCAGTGTTAACGTTTGCAAGGTCTCCCGATGTTTTTGCAATGGTTGGTAGTAGCTCGACGCGTGCACTCCCTCATCATCCGCGTAAGTCGGGTTACCGGCATGCTCAAGCACGAACGATTCGAGTCTCTTGGCTGCGCCTATCATATTCCAAAAGCCTTTTCGAGAACAGCTGGACTTGAGGTGGATATGAGTGACATTGGAGCTGTCGGGCACGTAGCTGGCCACATCGTGCCCTTCTTCATCTTCGAAATCTTCCTCATCGGGGTCTTCCTCATCACATACCCAATGGCCAGAAAAGGTTCGTAACGAGGGAAACTGAAGTATTGCGGTAAATTGGATTGAGCTGTGGCCGCCATCTACATCAGAACACACGGCTGTGAAGTGTTTTAATTTAGACAAACCAGGGTTTAGTCTATAGCCGACCCTGGACATCCACTCGAGAGTGTAGTTTGAAAAGTCATGAATCTCCAGAAATAGATCCTCCAGATTAGGCAAGAGGGTCAGAAGCAGGACAGTCCATGCATCATTATTCCCTTCAGTCTGTAGTTCCCAATCCCAATTAGATAGACTGTCCCAACACTCCAGGACTGGGTTGAGAATTGGCAGGATAACCTCCTGTTCATATCGTACGCCGGCAGGCGGCCGCCAGCCATGGGAGACACTTAAAGTGCGCACTTCTTGCGCTAATTCCGGCCTGGATGCGAGTGTGTGCACTAGATGACTCAATTGCCCATTGCGGCACTCTGTCAGGTCGAGCGATGTAAAGACGCCGGGTAACAAAAGTTGATAGAAGGCACGGCAAGAGGAGGCGAATCGCAGGGTATCCGTGTGGTTGTCAAGATAGCTTGCTATTGAGAGCAGCAGCTCTACAGGTAACTTAGAGAGCATATTTCTTTCTGGAGGGTTTTCCTAAGTTAAAGCTTGAGTTGAACCTGGTGTTTATGGCAAAGAAAAGATTTTAGGCAGGCATCCAAGGCCTCGCCAAGCCTACATCTTACCGTAAAAATTTTCGGTCGCATATGGGATCAAGCTACTATCAATATTTACAAAGATCCAAAAATTCTATAGAATTCAGTGGGCTCTCTTTTCATACTGTAAATTTACGTTACTTCCTACTGTAATATACACGCATTTCACTGAATGTTGGAGTGGTCACTTGATCACATTTGCTATAGGAGTTCTTAGGTTTCGGGTGCTTGACCCTATCACTAGGTACTGTGCCGTCCGTAACCCAGATGCACTCCAGACATTGCCGAACCTGGGGTCAAATCCTTTAACGTCCTGGTGGAAAGCACGACAATCAGCGAGTCGCTTTTTCGACTCCAGATATGACATTTCTTAGCCCGGCCGAAGTTTCATGCCGTCCACAATCAGTTCGCGCCAAAGTTTGTAAGATTGGTCCTGAATGTAGTCCGCCTCTTTTCTTAGGGCTCGGGTCTTCTCTCGGAGTGCCTGACAGCTGGGATGGTAGACTCTCAGGTTGCGTGCCATTTGGTCGCCAGGTTTGATTCCCTGTTTGCGCTATAACCTGATTTGGTTTACCGCTGCATCCATCTTACCCTTCTCTGCTGGATTGACTACATGGAAGCATGTGAGGGTAGCACCTTTGACTCCTTTGAGCTGGGAAGCGTGAGTTCGGAAAAGCCACCCAGCGTTCCTGTGCCCTCGGGATTCTCCTCAAGTGACATGCTTTGCCCGGGCATTGCGGGTAATTGGACGACGCGCCGGTCAAAGACTCCTGATTTACCATCGATATTGCTCTCGGATTTTGAATCAGAATCCGCGTCGTCCGCAGCTGTATGTCTGCCGGTACAGCATAGCAAACAATAGGATTGGTATCACACATATATATCCTAATATCCAGCCCCGAGCACGCCATATCAAGACCGAGTGAGCGAGGCTTATAAATCCGCTTGGAAATGCGACACTTACCTTCAAGCGGGGTATATAATCACAGCTATTCTCATTTTGAACTGTCTATATCAATCGAAATCAGCGAGGTTCAAACAATTGAATAGATCAAATCTACCCCAAGATGACCGACTCACCACCCAAGCGCCAGCTGCACCTAACAGCCTTCATGCGGCCAGTCTCACTACACACAGGTGCATGGCGCTATCCAGGTTCATACCCAGATGCCAACTTCAATTTCAAACACCTCACACACTTCGCCCAAAAGCTGGAAGCTGCCAAGTTCGACGCCTTCTTCATGGCCGATCACTTAGCCGTGCTGAACATGCCCGTCGAAGCTCTCAAGCGCAGCCACACTGTTACTTCATTCGAACCATTTACTTTGCTCTCCGCTCTCTCTTCCGTGACAGAGAAAATCGGCCTTGCCGCCACTGCTAGTACAACCTACGACGCGCCGTACCATGTTGCCCGGCGATTTGCCAGTCTAGATCATCTGAGTGGTGGACGAGCGGCGTGGAATATTGTGACTACGGGTAACCCCGAGTCAAGCCATAATTTCGGGTTTGATGAACATTTGGCTCATGGTGATCGATACAAGCGTGCCCGTGAATTCTATGATGTCGTCACGGGGCTGTGGGATAGTTTTGCCGACGATGCATTTACTCGCAATGTTGAAACGGGAGAATATTTCGATCCTGCGAGAATGCATGTGCTGAATCATTCGGGTGACGAGTTGAAGGTTCGAGGGCCGTTGAATATTGCCCGGACACCGCAGGGATGGCCCGTTATTGTACAGGCCGGGCAAAGCGAGCCGGGACGACAGCTAGCTGCTGAGACTGCCGAGGTTGTGTTTTGCAGTCCGAAGGGTATTGATGATGCGAAGGCACTTTATGCAGATATCAAGGCGCGAGTGGAGAAGGCGGGGCGGAAGAAGGACCAGTTGAAGATTTTACCCGCGGCAATGATTATTGTTGGGGATAGCAAACAAGATGCGCAGGAGAAGAGACTCAAGTTGGATAGTCTGGTGCATTACGATAGTGCGATTGCTTCTTTGTCAATCTCCCTTGGGGTGGATGTCAGTGGACTTGATCCGGATAGTTTGTTGCCGGACGATCTGCCTGAGACAAATGCGAGCAAGACGAGCAGGGAGTCTGTTGAGAAGCTGGCTAAGGAAGAGGGACTGACAATCCGCCAGCTTGCGCAACGATATGGTGGATACTCGGGGTTGACATTCCTCGGTTCGCCGAGTGATATTGCTGAGGAGATGGAGACATGGTTGCGCGAAGAGGCTTCAGATGGCTTCACATGCACATTTCCATTCTTGCCACAGGGTCTGGAAGAGGTGACAGATAGGTTGGTTCCTGAACTCCAGCGAAGAGGCCTTTTCCGCAATGACTATACGGGCTCGACGCTGCGAGAACACTTTGGCCTGCCGAGACCTGAGAATCGTTTCTTTACTGAGAAATCGTAATTGTATCTAACCAAGATAGACGATATTGAAAGCCGTGCCGATATCTACTAGATGGTTAATTCGGATGTTGGCTCTGTTTATATACTCCATTGTAACTCGAAATACTCCGTCCTAGTTACGTACATGTCGCCGAGTCAAATTCAACCGAGCAGTGAAAATATATATAGCCAAATGCGGTCAAAACCGTGCTTTATATAGACATACGTACTACGCCAGGCTGCTATCCATTGCCATACCTTAAATATACGGGTGCACCACGAGAGACTAAGACGGGGCTCTAGGTTGTTACGCTGCTAACCCGCCATCAGATATTGAGCGGGACTCTTGCTTCTACCTCGCTACAACTACAGAACCATCGCTAGAACTACAACTACAGAGCACGGAATACTTGTAAACAACTGACATTACTCTCACATCCAGGTGGAGGGGATCTGAGAACACCCCTTTCACCTGGCTATCATGGTATTCCCCACTGTTCCCTCCCCTTCCTCCTCTTCCTCCCCTCGGCCCCCCTTGGCCTACTGGTCATCATGGTATTCCCCACTGTTCTCTCCCCGTCCTCCTCTTTCTCCTCTCGGCCCCCCTTGGCCTACTGGGCCAACATGCCCTCCACGTGGTAGTGGACACGAAGTCCACGGCGCAGCATCTCAAAGTACAGAGCTTTAAGCTCTCCAGAGTCGAAGCCCAGAGGGGTGATCCCCCCGGCCTGGGCGAAGCGGGATGGGGGCAGGCGGTTGATCAAGTCCGCCCGCATGTGCTCGAAGGCAAGCAGGTACAGCTCCTTCGACCATGGGCAGGCGCGCAGAGCCCGGAAGAAGACCTGGCGGGCGCGGCCGACGTTGTACTCCGCGTACAGTTCGTAGAGAATGTACAGCTTCCAGATGGTGAGGTTCTGCTGTGCGGAGGTCGAGCTTGCTAGCTCGAAGGGACTCATACGGGTAGGGGTCCGCCCGATAGGGATGACGGTGGCATCACCGATCGCTCGCTCGAAGGCCGCCCGAATCGAATGCGGGGTCGAGCCGAGCATGACGGGGCGACCCATCTCGGCGTAGATACTGAACAGGTGGGTGGTGACGGGGACACGATGGATTGGTGTAGGCCCCTGTAGATCCCGGGAGGCCCTGGCCCTTGCCCCAATGGTGACATCGTAGATATCGCGGGTCCGGTCGGTGAGCTGCAGGCGAGCTTCGTTCCATTTAAACAACGATAAGAACATAGTGTTGTGAGGCCACCATTCCAGGCTATCGAGGAGCACAGTTCGTAGCTCAGCAGGTTTAAATTGGCCACTCTGCCTCTGCACGTAGTAGTACATGATGCGGGCTCGGGCTTGGTGTAGCAATTCTCCACCGATCACCCTGGCATTGTCATTGGCCACGAGTCGAAGGGAGGTGACTGCGTCATTGTAGATATCGAGGACTTCTGCAAGTGGCTCGCCCGTGAGATAGAGGGCGATCGCATAGCAGTCGACGTAAACTACATATGCTTGCATTTTCTTAAACTTCAAGGCATTCGTCTGACCCACAAACAAGCACTGTGAATAGAGTTAGCATGTGTTCACTGAGATCAACCGATGAAAACTTGCCTTCTTGACCCTGAGAAAATCGGGCTGATTCATTTTAACCTTATCAGCTGCGAGGTACGACGCCAAGTGGACTTTATTGTAAGGCATAGCCTGTAACAGGTATGATGCTCGATCCCTTCTCCCGATGTAAAGCATTTCCCAAATCCACGAGTTCCATAGGAGTGCGGAGTCAGTGAGCTCGCGAGGATCGAAATTCTGGCTCATGGACAAAGCAGTTGACCACACATTGTGAGCGGTATCACTATCGCCAGTGCGCCAATACATGAGCGCAACGGCATTGTAAAGTCTCAGGTTTGATGATCGCTCCTTCAACAGTCGTTTTCCGTACTTCTTGCCTCGATCCTTGTCACACGCGAATGTCACTGCAATAGCGTATTCAGCAAATTGGCTGTCTGGGACAAGGTCGACAAGGGCGTGAAGAGTCAGGATTACAAATTCAGAATCGATGACACAAGAAGAATGAGAAGTGGTTGCAGCCCACTTCGTCAGAGAAGAGAACCACATCTTTGGGTCGGCATAAAGAGTATCGGTGGTGTGAATGAAGGTATGGTGAGGGAATGCAAACGGCTCAATGGTGGTCGTTGAGGCATGTTTTTGAAAATGGATCCAATCCGCGATCGTGTTTTGAGGATCGTCCATGTATTCGTTTCGTAGGAAATTATCACCAGTCCACAGTCGGGTAGTATGCATATTCGCAGGCAATGTCAAATGAGGCAAATGGCAGAAATACAAGAAGCCATCAATCAGGGAACCAAGGCCTTCGTTTAGATCCCAGAAGAATGGCAGTATCTGCGCGCAATCTTCAAGAAGAACCACTCGGAAACCATCCTTCTCTGTTGATTCATCCAAAGTATGTGACGGCATACGACTTTTGAACATCCGCTCTCTTTCTGCAGGTACCCAGCTTTTGAACAAGTCTTGGATATTCGCCTCAGAAGCATAAACATCGTTGTTGACAGGAGCACGGGAAGTTACTCCACTGTTCCATGGTTTCCAAAGAGGCTCTCCAATCCGGCTGTGCTCAGGCGCCCATAGCTTTTTGAATTCAATTAGGGCGTCCTCTTGCTTCCCCTTTAGATGTGGTGGCCGGAAACATGTAAATTCGAGCACCGCCTGCCATATACCGACAGCAAGCTCTACATGCCCCGATTCTCGAAGAAACATAGTCAACCGGAGGAGCAAGTATGCTCTGATAATAGTCCTCTGCGGTCCAAATCCGACACTTGAATGGATCTTTAAGCAGTAGACATAAGTCATAAAGCAATTGTCAAAGCTGAAATCCCGACTATCAGTCTGACAGTAGTCAAGATACTTAATCCACACGGAGATAAACTGGGAGTTATGGCGAAGGACCTCATCCCATTCCAATGCGAGTTTGGTAGAATCCCAGACTTTCGCACCCTCTTCCATACGGGCCAGTACAAGGTGGTCACGTTCAGGATTTTTTGCGTTAGCCTTGAGAGCTTTTTCATACACATACAGCTTGGCTCTCGCCACAAGTTGTACATGTTGTACATCACCGTGACGGGAGGTGTGGTCGGCAGTCACAGCAAGGTCTTGATGCTCAGCAAGACGGATCCATGCTTGGATATCATTGGGTTGTTGCACCACTGCACGGTTTAACCTGGCATTGCGATTCAAGATCTCAGCTTCGAGAGCAAGCCGAGTGATGGTGCTGGCATCGAAATCTCCAGCAACTTCATTTTCGGACTGAGGCATATCGATGGAGCGATATGACGGAGGTTCGTCACCCAAGTCGACACTTGGCGCAAGCCCGGGTTTAGACGACGTGATTGTTGTTGGTATGAAATTTTGTGAATGTTGGGGTTCCGAAGTAAAGTGGGCATTAATAGCAGACCGCACCCGAAAAGGAAGATTCGTGGACAAAGCAGTCAGGGTTTCGGCGGAGAGGGGCTTGACTGCAGAGGTTCCAAATGAATCAGGGCGAAGAATGAGAAGGGGACCTTGATCATATCGCGTTTTGTAGTCAATGCGCTGGCCGGGGATGCCAAGTACGAACCCATCGCCATCGCGACGGTACGTAGGGACCTCGTAGCGATCCACGCCGTAACGTGCATTGTGGCGATCGCCGATGCTGTCGAAGACGAATCCTTTATTTGCACCATCGTTTGCAAGGTTTACATCGTCAATTGCTTCGCCAGGCGGGCCATCCTGACTTTCTTCGATCTTCACCTTCTTACGGCTACCATCCGAGCGGCTTTCATGGCGACGAGAGCGCGGAGGCTCGTTCCGGTCTGCGCGCTGACGATGGCCCGAGCGACGCTGGTGACGGTCATGTTCCGAGCCGGTAGAGGCGGCCGGAAGAGAAGTAGGGGGAGGTCGGAAGCTGGAGAATTGCGGGACACCCTTTATTTCTTGTTAGTCTGTATTCCCATCTAATAAGGTGTAAGTGAATGCCAACTAACCTGAGACCCAGGTGAGTCCATCGTGGTGGCTCGATCTTTCTTATCGAGTCGCGCCGCGGTCTGATAACCCGGAAGAACGATTCCCCGATAGGCGGTCGGTCTGTCTGGCAAAAAAAAAAGTCAACCGTTCACTCGAACCAGTTAAACAAAGCTGAAGATTTACCTCAAATTATTTGAATCGTCTCCCCCTCGGTTCGCATAGAAAGACGAAAGGCACAGTCGAGAGTCTTAGGGATATGTGTCACTGCGCAATTGTGTGAGAACTGAAACAAAAGAACGAAAATCAAAAAGTCCGCGGAGCAGCCCGCCAAAAGAGACTTCACGATGGCTTCGTCTCTCGCCGCGCAGCTGTCGCAAATTGCGGCCAAGTCGACACACGAGCTTGACCTTAAGGCGCAACGAATCTCACACTCACAGTCTCTTATCTTCGACCCAAAGGTCGCGGGCAGTCAAGACTTTGATGCGATCTTCGAGATTTGTTATGACGGATTCCGGGAGTTATGCTCGTTGGACCCTCGATTTGGAGAGTTTGATCGCACAATCTTCAGTGAGCAAAGCAAATCGGAGGATCGCAGTCAGATGAATGTGGCTCAGAATAAGGAGTTGGATACTGCGGTTGAAGCTTTTCTGGCTCTAGTTGGTGGTAGACTACAGTTGAGTCCTGCAGTAAAGGCTGTGGACTGGCTTGTGAGAAGGTTTAGGTGAGAGAGATTTGGGAGGGGTAAAAAGATAATTGATTGGGGTGGCTAACTGATTTGGCAGGATCCATGAGTTCAACACCACCGCCGTATTATTTACGTTCTTGCCTTATCACACGACACCACTCTTCTTGAACCTTCTATCTATCCTTCCGGAAACTCTTACGCCAACATTCAAAGTCCTTACTCCATATAAGAACGGTCTCATTAATCCACCAAGACACCCACTTGTTCACAGCGCAGCGACGAACAAGCCTTTCTTTTCTGAATTGAATGAATACGTCCTGAAGGTTTGTAGGCAGCAGGCCCAAAGCCATGCACTACTCGCTTTCTGGGCCGGTATTGTTACAGAGGCCGTCGCAACAATGCTGGACGGCGCTCGCGCAGGTAGAAGAGAAACCGAGAAGCAAAAGCATGAAGATATCCTTTTGCGGGTTTTGCCGGTACTCAGCAATGCCTTCACAATGAAAAAGGTCTCGGAATTGATTGTCGGCTGCTATATGATCTGTGTTGTACTGGCACAGAAGGCCTTCCTCTCGAGCGAAGTTAGCGATGGCCTAATGGAGAGTGTTGTGGGTTCCTGGACAGAAGATACAAAACTATCTGGTCTGATTTGCCTTTCAGTCCTTGCACAGCAGAAGCCTGATTTTACAATCCCAAAGAAGGTCTTCAAGGGCATCTTGCGCCTCGAAAACCCTATCGGGCAACTCTCCGAAATTGCGAGCCAATATCAGACATCTAACTTATTGCTTGGGATCATTGCCGGCTGCTTGACTGATCTTAACAAGCAGGACAATGTTCGCCTTGCAATTCTGGCCTCGGTCTTTGAACGTAAGATGCTTGGCGAGAGCGAGATTGCCAAGGCTATGCGTCTAGTCCTCGAAGCAGCCTCCAACTCAGATGAGACCCGCAAAATGTCTTTGGAAGCCCAAACGCAGCTCGCTGAGCTGGTCCAAGGATTCAACCGATCGGAAACCCTTCAGCCCGTTTTCCAGAAGACACTGACTGAATCTTCGTTCAATATCTCGGCGCTGGAACACAACCTTCAAACCGTTGTCGAGATCCCCGTTGCAGCACAGGCTATCGAAGATGTGGATATGATCGATGCAGACGATCAGCCCCAGGTGGACGCCTTTACGCCAGCTCTGGAGTCTTTGACTAAGGAGCCTTTGTTCCCATACTCGTTCCTCTCCAAGCAGTCTATCATCGAATTTGATAATCTGGTACGTGTTTTCGCGTTGGCAGTGGACTCTGAGGACAAGATCGAGCTTTTCGCCAATTTGCCAATCTTGGGCAAGTCCCAGGCGATCAAGGCACCTCAATATTTGTCCTTCTTTATCAGAGTTGTCGCTGGCCACTACCCCATTGGAACAAAGATTGCTGCTTTGAATGTCGTTTCATCCGTCCTTTCATCGGCACCCGCAGACTTTGATCCTCAGACACTGTTGCCATTCCTGTTTGTAGCCCTCTCTGATCCTTCCGAACGGATTCGCCGTGAGACCGCTGGTGTCTTGGCTATCATCGGATCTTTGTACAAAAAGAACACCAAGGCTAGTGACAGCTCGACGCCATGGGCCCACGACACGATCTACGGCAAGGGTAAGCAATCTACGAGTGTCGCATGGCTCACCACCAAGGATTCGCAAAAAGTACTAGAGCGGGCATTGCTTCCGGGGTTGGAGGAGTCTATCCTTGACCCTAATCATGTTGGTAGAATGGTGGAAGCTACCCTACGGGGTAACGTCCTATCTGAAGCTTCGGGTGCATCCGAGCTCAAGAAGTCTCTCCGCCTCAGTCTCTTTACTTTCCTCTGCTCCCATGTCGTTAAGATGCCAGTCTTCGCACCCAAGATTAGCTTGCTGAAGTTGGTCAACAGTGTGGAGAAGGTCTCTTCTGCAACCCTGACCCGTGAGCTTCTCCCAATGCTCGAGGATTGGCGTCGCTTGAACGAGAAGGAAGTTGAGGAGATTTGCGGCAAGGAGCGCATTGTGGCATCTGAGACAGAGCATTTGATTGCTGGTATTGTCACAGCCAAAGACCAGGACGCCGTTGATGTTCTTCTCTCCAATGTCAGCTTTGGCGATAACTTGCGCCCGACCTTTGTTGCCGCCTGCTTTGGTCAAATCAAACAGATCTGGGCTAAGATCCCCGAAGACCGTCAATTGGCCGCATCCGAGAAGTTGCTCGACATCTCCCTTGACGGTTCAGCTAATGCCACTTCTTTGGCAAACAACTGCCGAGATGTTCTTCGCACTGTCGAGCTTCCCGGTGCTGTTCTTCAGCAATTCGTTCAGAAGATTCCTGTGTCTATTACTGATGTTGAGTCTATTGGCCCTGCACCGAAGCGGAGACGTACTAGCCAGAACAACATGGTTGCCATGACCGTTAAGGATGAGGCAGAGCTGAGCAAGCTGATGGACAAGATGACATTTATCTTGGAGATCGTAGATAGCTCCTCCCCAGAAACTCACCCCGAGCTTGCAGATGGATTGTTCCAGACTCTCGCTGCTCTTCATCATTTCAAGTCTCAGATCCAGTCTGGCATGAGCTATCTCCTCAGCTTGACTTTGGGAAGTCTCTTGGCTATTGTGAACAAATCGAAGGGATCTGCTAAGCCGCAGTTCGATACATCCGTCATCAGGGCCGACCTAGTGGTGGACTGTGTGCGAACGACTGACAGTCCGCAGGTTCAGAACGGAGCTCTTCTTCTTGTGGGGAGTCTCTCTGTCATTGCGCCCGAGTTGGTTCTTCACAGCGTTATGCCGATCTTCACGTTCATGGGCACTACTGTTCTCCGCAAGGACGATGATTACTCTGTTTCCGTTATTGACCAGACCATCGACCAAGTTGTCCCTGCCCTCATCCAATCTCTGCGTAACCAGAAGAGGGATGTTGTCTCCGGAACTTCCGAGTTGCTGCTCAGTTTCACTGCAGCCTTCGAGCATATCCCCTCGCATCGCCGTCTGAGACTCTTCCACGCCTTAATTAGCAAGCTTGGAACACAGGACTTCTTGTTCGCTGTCCTGGCAATGCTCGCTAACCGATACTCTACCAACAAGGATGTCCTCACACTGATGACCGGTCTGGTCTCAGATACTACGCCTGTTGTGGAGCTTACTACCTACAGCAAATACTTGAACTTGGTCAGCGATTCTCTCAAGACAAAGCCAGGTATCTCCCAGGTTCTTCTTGGAATTGGTAGCGACGATGGACGTGACGCTCAGAGCATCTGCGTTGATCTCCTGCGTGATCTTGCTCACTTGTTCAAACACTCCTCTCTCAAGGCCAAGCTTGAGACTGCTTTCGAGTCGGACGACCAAGTTGCTGATCAGTCCCGCGCTTGCTTCTCTCGGGTCCTAACTCAGGTTCTGAGCATCGGCGAGGCTGTGCAAAGTATGAAGCCCGTCAGCCAGGCTTGTGGTGACGTTCTCGGTGCTCTGTTCAGCACTCTGTCCCTCGTCGACTTCCTAGATACCATTGAGGTTCTCCTCCAGGGTCCCAATGACGAGCTTCGACGCAAGGTTCTTCGTTTGCTTGAAACCCGCCTCCGCCAGAACCCCGAGCGTGACAACCTATCGCAGATCCGTGTTCTCGACTTCCTGCCCACCCTGGTTGGCATTGTTGAGTCATCTCCCGATACGCTGCTCAAGCATGCTGCTGTTTCGTGCATTGACCGCATCACCGACAAGTACGGTCGTAAGGACCCGTCCAAGGTTATTGCTGCGGCTAGAGTTGTTGCCAGTGAATCTTGTCTCGGTCAACCCGATGACCGCATTCGCTACATGGGTATCCTGTGCCTGGCCTCTATGGCCGAGGTGCTGGGTCAAGCCATGATTCCTGCCCTTCCGGATACACTCAAGCGTTCGTTGGAATTGCTCGAATTGAGTCTTGCTGCTGGCAAGGAGAACTCGCGACTCCACGACGCCGTATTCACCCTCTTCTCTGCCCTCTTCGTCCACCTGCCATTCATGATCTCAGCTGGTCATCTGGACAAGATGCTCCTTCTGTCCTTCAAGTCTGCTAATGCGGACATCGAGGAGAGCAGTGATGAAAGCCGCCAGGAGTCCCTGCGGCTGATGGCCCGCAAGGTGGATGTGGCCGCAACTCTCGGCGCCGTCGATCGCAATTGGCAACACGCCGTCCAGGCTGGCCCAATTGCTGTAAACGAACTATTGGAAGTTGTCACGATTGCTGTTGAGAAGCACCCTAAGTCGACCATTTCTAAGAATATCAACGTCCTTACGAAGATTATCTTCAAGGCCTTTGATCTTCGCCGTGAGCAGATCGCTCTTGGTGACAAGGCAATCTTCGAATCGACTGCCATTGATGAGGCTGAAGCGGCGCTCAACGACGTCACAATCAAGATGATCTACAAGCTGAACGACAGCACGTTCCGGCCCATCTTCCTCAAGTTCGTCGAGTGGGCCACTACCGGCGCCCCCAAGGACGACCAGGCTCAAACTTCGCGTCTCACGACTTTCTACAAGTTCCTTGAGGTCTTCTTCGGTACTCTCCAGGTTTGTTTCCTCACAATTCTTTATGCATTGATCTTTCTCGCTAACACCTTCTCCAGTCAATTGTCACCGGGTACTCCAGCTACGTGTTGGAGAACGTTGTCAGTGTCCTGAGCACATCGAGCCCCTCCAAACCCCAGAAGTCCCTCTGGTTGGCTGCTCTTCGGATGCTCCGCAAGTCCTTCGAACATGACCAGGATGGTACGTTTCTCCTCCACGCCCAATATAAGCTTCCTACAGCCACTAACATCTAATGCAGAATTCTGGCAAAGCCCCTCCCACCTCGCCAGCATTTCCGGTCCTCTGATCGCCCAGCTGGCCCACGCAACCAGCACTACCACCTCCAACATGGTCATTGCCGACGTTGTTCCCACAATTACAGAACTGGCCATCGCAGCCGACTCGACAGATAACCACAAGGAGCTGAACTCCGCCCTGATGAAATACCTCCGCCCCTCCTCTGCGCCCAACGCCCGCTCTGCCGGTGGTGACAGCCCCCACACCCGTCTCGCAGCCCTCAAGGCCGAACAGGCACTTACAGAGCAGCTTGGTGAGGAGTGGCTGGCACTTCTGCCTGAGATGCTGCCTTACATCAGTGAGCTTATGGAAGACGAGGATGAGAGTGTTGAGAGAGAAGTCCGCAGATGGGTTAAGCAGATTGAAAAGGTGCTTGGTGAGCGCCTCGATGATATGTTGACTTAGTTGTTTACGATTGTGTACAAAATTTGCATTTTCTTGGCGTCCATAGAACAGGTTCTGTGTGAGCCTTGCTAGCGATCTACGGATAGTCTAAAAATTGATTGTTCTAATTATTCAAATTCTGTAAATATTTCAGTTATCTGGAATCCTAGCATCCGAAGCATCCACACCAGCATTCCATCGATACTTAGAAGCAGGGTGGTCTGCATGTGGTCCCGACTGGCCTGGCTGCGCATATAAATTCTCACGGTATGTTCCCTTGGGCACGGCATAATCATCCCAGAACAGACCTCGCTTGCGGAGCTCGGGGATAAGGAGATCAATGATATCCTTGAAGGAGCCGGGCTTGATTGCATATGCCTGAATAATGTTAAATGAGATATACAAGTTTCAAGAAATCCAACTCACCAGATTAAACCCATCCACGTCAGCTTCTTCTACCCACCGCTCCATGCTATCGGCAACTTGAGCTGCTGTACCGACAGGAGTCGCACCCAGACCTCCAACGGTGATGTGCTGACCAACAGTGGCTTTTGTCCATTTAGCCACTTCAGGTGTTGCCTTGGACCAGCCCTCGACAGCAGATCTATACAGAACGAGTCAGTCGATGTCACGGTGAAAGAAAGTGTTGTCACATACCGGATAGCATTACTCTCAACATGTCGCAGCTCCTCATCATCTCCATACGTATCCAAATCAATCCCCGTCCACCCACCGAACAACGCAAGCGCTCCATCAATAGACCCCAGACTGCGGAAATACTTAAACTTCTCCACTGCCTCCTCCTCGGTCTTACCGAGAATAGGGCAAAGAAGTGCGAGGAATTTAATACTTCGCGGATCACGTCCATACTGGCTCTGTGCAAGCTCTCGAATCTCCTTCACGTTCTTCGCTACTACGGCTGGGCTGTGTCCCGCCACGAAGATAGCCTCGGCATGTTGCGCAGCGAAGGTTTTGCCTGCTTTTGAAGTACCGGCTTGGAGGATGACTGGTGTGCGCTGTGGACTGGGTTGACAGAGGTGAGGTCCAGGCACGTTGAAGTATTTACCAACGTGGTTGATTTGACGCACGCCTGCTGGGTCGGTGTAGATGCCACGCTCGCGGTCGAGGGTTACGGCGTCTTGGCGCCAGGAGGACTCCCATAGCTTGTAGGTGACTTTGATGTATTCTTCGGCGAGGAGGTAGCGGTCGTCGTGCTAGGCTTTTGTCAGTAGTGGCATAGAAATGTGGTGAAATGTGAGGCTTAACATGTGGCTGTTCGGCTTGGCCCATATTACGGGCGGCGGAGTCGAGGTATCCTGTTACGACCTGGGGATATTGTCAGTTTCTATTTCTTTCGGAGTCGTGTTCGTAAGTTTAGTGTGTTGCTCACATTCCATCCCAGGCTTCAAAGGATGATCATTAGCGACGTGTTCTCCCAACGGTTACTAGATGTACATACCGTCCTTTGGTAAGATGATCGACTGTAGATAGTCGTCTTGCAAGATGATATGGCTGTTCGTAGGTTGTTGTGACCGTCACTCCAAATCCAATATTCTTCGTAGCTGCCGCCATAGCGGGAACAACAGCCAATGGCTCGTTCACTGGCCACTGAGCACCTGAGATCACTGCAGGATCGAGGTTTCTGGGTCCTTTATAGACATCGTATCCTCCTGGAGATTTATAGTCAGATTTCTCCCCTAGAATGAACCCGTACTGGCCTACTTACCAAGAACATCTGCGATAAAAATGCCATGGAATTTGGCCGACTCGAGTAATTGTGCTAACTCAACCCAGTGGTCAACATCATTGAAGCGATGCGACTCATCTTCGGGGTGTCGCCATAGTCCTGGCGATTGATGGCCGCTGCCTGTACGTATAGTTAGATATTGGGGTTATCACATGTTAAATGGAAGACGTACACATTTCCACAAAGGCATTGAGGATGAGCGACTTGCGAGGCTTTGCATCTGATGTTTGAGAAGACATTTTGGAAGCTAGAAGCTAAAGACAAAATACTATCTACAAGGAGGTTCTTTATATTTATATCAAGTATCTTCAAAAACATTGAACCCCGCGTGCGTCACTCGGGACTTTGTTATAGCATCACAGTGGGCCGTGATGGCGTGCCGAATACCCTCTGGTCACGAATTTCTTGGCCATTCTAATTGGTTAAAATGCAATTATACTTGAGGGGTATACTGTTCTTTTCTAAGTATAACTCTCGCCCGAGAGGTATTATACATATTTTACAAAGAAGTGATGTGATTGCGCGGGATCGCCCTTGTTCTTCCGGGTCAGCTATTGGGCCTGTGAAGAAGATCATTTGGGATTTACTCAATTTTGAGAAATTAGATCACTTGATAGTTTATATTTGGATTGAATCTTTGATTTCTAGGACAGTTATACTTGAATGTATTCGTTTCCCCTTCGACTATACAATGCGATATGCAGACTCGAATACTATCTTCCTTTTCCTTGTTATGAACTATAAAATGACGAAAGAAGAAGCCATTTTAATCTACTCTCTTATTTAACTCGTAATTAAATATATCATATGCTTAAGATGGATTATACTGGCCAGAATATCCCTATATAAACCTAAACAATCCCTCAGCCGTGCCAACCCTATGAAAAAAGCACCTCATCGCAAGCCCAAATCAAGCCATTGTGGACCCTATATTTCTTCAAACAGGTGCCTTAAATTATCCCTGTTCAAAGTCTCCATAGATCAGACATACCCACTTCATTTAAACGTGCGTTGTCCCTGTTCCATGTACTCGGTACCATTGTTAGGGTTATTCTTCTCCCTTTACTTACCCAACACTACGCCTTACTAAGACTTTGAAAAGGCGACTTTATTCTCACTCCAATAGACTGTTCTTCTAGAAATACACAATGACGAGTTTACATGCCCGCGATGGCATTTCAACTGTCCAGCCACCTTTATCACAGGCAGTTGGATATGTCGTCGTTGTTGTTATCGGTGTTATTATTGCTCTTGGTAAGTACTTCACTAATTTCTTCCAATATCTCAACTAACACCGAACAGTGATGATGCTCATCACGAAAGTCTTGAAGAAAACTACCGGAGAGGACAACGAAAAGACCGAAATGTATGCGGATTTCTCTACAATCTTCCTCTGGTTGTCGTATACTAATACCTAAAACAGGTTCATGACAGCAAACCGTACTGTCCGCACAGGCCTAACCGCTTCAGCCGTGATATCAGTCAGTTCTTCTCCCAGCCACTTGGATACCAACTAATAAATAACTCTCAGTCTTGGCTTTGGTCAACCGCTTTACTCGGTTCATCGTTTGTCGGCTATGACTATGGCGTAGCCGGTCCATTCTGGTTTGCAGCTGGTTGCAGTCCGATGATTGTATTCTTTGCGCTATTGGGAATATCCTGCAAGCGAAAAATTCCGGAAGCGCATACTTCGTTAGAAGTTGTTCGAATTCGATATGGTAAGCCGGCTCGGTCTCTTTGTGGGCTTTTTTCTGACTTTGTATTGGATTGTAGGACATGTTGCACATGTTGTGTTTATGATACTCTGTCTGGTGAACAATATCTTCGCGTGCGCCAATATGCTTCTCGGTGCCGCTGCAGTAATTACCGCCGTGTAAGCTTCCTTCAATCTATTGAGATGCTCTATCTAACCAACTCAGCACTGGAATGCATATCATCGCCGCCACCTTTTTGTTACCAGTTGGGGTAACCCTCTACACCTTCGTTGGCGGTATCAAAGCAACGTAAGTCTTTTCGCTGAACTTCAAGTCCAACATCTAATCCTATACAGATTCCTCACGGATTATTTTCACACAGCTATAATCATGCTCATTGCATGTTATTTCTCCGTCAAAGCCTTCTCAACCGACCAGGTTAGCTCCGTGGGTGATCTTTTCGAGCTCGTCCAAGCAGCAGCACAACGACACCCTGTCTCCGGCAACAAAGACGGAACATATCTAACAATGACATCCAAGAGTGTAAGATCAAATCCTTCAGCCTAACTAGCATCTCCACTGACATTTCCAGGCAATCCTTTTCGGAATCCTCCACACACTAGGAAACTTCGGCCTAGTCATTGTAAGAACACCATATCCCATCACCACCCCTTTCTAACACATCCAGATGGACACAAGCTACTTCATAAAAGCCTTCTCCGCCTCCCCAGCCGCCGTAGTCCCCGGCTACACAATCGGCGGTATCGCCTACTTCGCCATCCCCTGGGGTCTAGGGACAGTGATGAGTTCCGTCGCCTTAGGACTCGAGAACCATCCAACCTTCCCCACATTCCCAAGGGTAAGTACATACTCCTTCTCTGTCAATCATATACAACCAATGTATTAACTTAAATAAGAGGATGACAACGACAGAAGTCAGCAACGGCCTCGTCCTCCCATACGCAGCAATGACCATCGCCGGCAAAGGCGGCGCCGCAGCAGTCCTTCTAATAACCTTCATGGCATGTACATCAACCCTCTCCGCGCAGGTAATCGCCGTCAGCTCGATTCTCAGTTTCGATGTATACCGCGAGTACTTTAAGAAAGACGCTACAGATCGGGATCTAATCCGCGCGAGCCATTGCGGTGTGATCTTTTTCGCTGTTTTCTCCGCTGCTTTTAGTACCATGCTTCACTACGTTGGTATTAATCTAGGCTGGACGCTTTATATGTTGGGTATGTTGTTCTTATATTTGATCTCCCACTATCTCCGACCTTAAGCTAATAATAATGATAACAGGCGTGGTTACATGTCCAGGAATTTTCCCAATGATCTTCACAATCCTCTGGCGCCGCCAAAGCAAAGCCGCCGCGATTCTTTCCCCGGTCCTTGGTCTTGCTACCGGTCTGGCTGTGTGGCTTGGGACAGCATCGCATTTTAGCGGGGAAGTTTCCGTTGCGTCGACGGGTCAAGTCCTCCCTTGTTTATATGGAACGGTTGCTTCTTGTATGTCGCCCATTGTATATTCGGTTTTAATTACGCTTGTCCGGCCGCAGGATTATGATTGGAATGAGTTCAAGAAGGTTAAGCTTTCTCTTGAGAAGTTGGATGGTGATTTGACGACTGCGCATCGGGGTCAGGTTTCTGGAGATGATGGAATTGAGGATAGCAGGGGTGTCTTGGATCAGAAAGAGCTGAAGCGGTGGGGTCGTATTGCTGCTTTTTGGGCTGCAGCGACGTTTTTGGGGCATTGGGTTATTTGGCCGTTGCCTATGTATGGATCTGGGTATATCTTTGGAAAGAAGGTATGTGTTCCTGGTCTGACATTTTGGCTTCTCTTGGCTGACGGACTGTTCTTAGTTCTATATCGCCTGGGTTGTCGTTGCTATAATCTGGCTCTGGCTCAGTATGCTGGTTGCTATCTTCTACCCAATCTTTGATGGTGGTTTAGAGCAGATTCGTGATGTGTATCGAGGGCTCAGGGGTCTTAAGGTTGTCACGGAGAGTGCTCGGAGGAAAGATAACAAAGGAGAAAGTAGTTCTCCTTCTGTTGGGTCTATCAGCGATGCGAGTCCTACAGGAGACTTTCAAGAGAAGAAGACTTGAATAATCTTGTCAAGTCTAATTAATATCGCTTCGAATGACCGGGTTTCAACGGCATGGTAATTGGGTGGTTTGGTCTTTTTGTCTGGTATTCTACGTTCATCGGGAATTTATACATATGCACTATTTAACAAATTCAACGTTAATCGTGTTTTTAAATTTTCAATCCATAAAGCGTGTTCGCGATAGATGCAACAACAAGCGACGCACATCCATCATCCATCAAGGCTGATCTAGATATGCCCAGTCACATAACAACGATAAATGTCCCTTCCATATGTCAGCAAAAAATGTGCATCTTGCAATATCAACAGCCAAAAAAAAAAAAAAAGATAATTTACGGGAATCCGTTCTTCAAGTTATCGTACTTGGAGGCAGGGTAGTGCAGCTGATTGCCGGTCTTCTCCAAAGCCCCAACGCCTCCAAGTGTATCAACAACCTGTACATGTCAGTCAATTGCAAGCCTATCAAAGCCAACACATGACATACAATTGTAATCAAACTGTCCCCGCCAGCCTTGTCAGAGCTGCTCTCCCACCACATTCCACCGCCAAGTCCACGGGACTGGATGTACTGCGCCTTCTGGCGCGCAATCTCGGGAGTATCGTAGCTGACAAGCAGTCGATTGCCTTTGTCGTAGCAGTAGCTTGCACCGGGTTGGTCCAAGACTGTCACGACACAGCCTGTCAGTGGCAGGCCCTTGTAGTCCCACACGCCGTTCTCCCATGTGCCTGATCCAACGCCGTTGTAAGGCTTTCCCGGGCCGTCGGTGTTGGTGAATGCTCGGCCGTACAGTGGCATGCCAAGCACGATCCTGTCAGCGGGTACGCCTTGGGAGGTGTAGTAGTCGATTGCTTGGTCCGTGTTAAATGGGGTGCTAGATGGGTTATCGGTCGAGGCGTGGAGGTTGGCGCTGTGGCCGGCCACCGTTTCCCAGCTGCCGGAGTAATCGTAGGCCATGAGATTCCAGAAATCAAGGTACTTGTCCATCTGAGTCAGGTGCTCTTGGCGGTAGTGGCTTGGGCCTGGGACTTGTGTTAGCTGTCTTGCGATATTCCAATGGAGATAAAACTTACCAGCGGGGGATGCGACAGTAAGTAAAAAGTGGTAGTTTCCGGCGTTGGCCGAGCTGTATTTGTCCAAAGCCTATATTCAATTAGCATGGCTCGTTGGTATTCAAAAATATTCACATACCTCACGAAGTCGTCGAAGTGCATCGACTAATTTGTCCGCCTGGTCGTCATTGGCAGGGTACTACAATATTCATAAGCATTGACAACTCACTGGTGGTAAGTATCAAGACTTACCTCATAATCAACATCAATACCATCAAAGCCGAGATTCTTCAACAGCTCTGTAGCAGAGTCTGCAAACTTCTGCCGTCCAGCCTCGGTATCAAAAGCAGTGGCAAAGTTAGGGGAATAGGTCCAGCCTCCAATAGACAGAAGAACCTTAAGCTTAGGGTTTCTCTGCTTGAGTAAGAAAAGCTGCTTGATACAGCCATAGACATTGTTTCCGGAATCATTCCAAGAATCAGTAGGATAATGCTTGTCAGTATCCGCCCAGGTATCCGACAGGTAGACCTCGCCTGTACCAGAGCGAACGTTGGCAAATGCGTAAAGTACATGGGTCAGTCGCTCAGCGGGAAGGTCCTGGGGTTGGAAATTGCGACCGTAAATGGCCTAAATAGTCTGATTAGTATTCTTGAATGTTCGGATAATGTTCTTTATATCCCGTTCCATCCAGTGATAGATCATATGGTCTGAACTCACCCAGTTCACATAGTAAGCCACAGAGCGGAACCCGCCAGCATCACGAGTGACAAGCTCAGTGGTGTTGGTGCTCAGGGCAGGAATGTAGGCAGCATTAGCGAGCCAGCTCAGGCCTAGAAGGAAAGGAATGAAAAATTGCATGATGAAGGAGTGTCGAGATAATTTCTGATATCTCAGGCCAGCGAGGTTGATGAAGGTTTGTGGGTTTGAGGAGGGAGATGATCTCACTATTTGTATTCGAAGTCGACAAACAATTTAGATTTCCTCCTCGGAGTATTGAGATGACGGACTATAGTAATTGTCAAGTCCATGTCAGTTTGCTTACCCAAATAGGCAATAGGTACTCTGTTACCTAAAAGGTGACTTGCTTGATACTAAGCGGTCCTTCATCGTTTCATCGTGGATATCGGAGAAACCAATAAAACTCTGTGAAATGGTCACATTGAGCAAGTTATTCAACCGGTAAGTTCACTTGGTTAATGGGATTGTATGTTTTGTGTGTTTCATGTGGAGGTTGGCAGAGAAGTAAGCAGCGCCACAGCACATCCTCTCCACACTTTGAAGATCTAGCTATCGCATCTACTGTCTACCCGTGCTTTTGATTCTAGATGCTAACCGCATGGCATACCACTTAAGTGTGTAACATTCCCATATCAGGGGTTGATATCTTTGTGATAACTTGACTATGGCCCCGTGGGGCTAGAAATTGCCCAGCCAATCAGTCAGGAATACTCATAAGGATGGGGTGACAGTGTCATATGAAATCCACTACTCATGCAGAGTCAGTCATAGAGCAATATGGCCCGGAAGAAATTATTGTTCACAACTAGGAGACTTTTCTCTGGGCGTTGCAGCAACACCATCCCGCAGTAGGATGTTGATGAATGTAACTGAATGGTAGTATCAAGCAAATATGCAACAGAATAGAGCAGTTTATACTATTGAAAGTTATAATTTATGGTCTGTGGATATGCAGTCTGACAAATCTTAATATACCTTTATGGTCTGCAGGAACCCTGTGAGGAAGATAGCCAATGTAACACTCTAGCCATGCGACCGGAGCATGTGCCATATCAAGATATTGGTGAGGATGTCAAGTAAGAAAACGAACTGATCGGATGAAGGGAAATCCCTCACGTGTTTGTTTCATCTAGACCTTTTGCAATTTTGGGGTTACTGAGTATAGACATTGTCGATGTTAATTGTATTTAAGCACAAACTAGGTTCATGAGAAAACATCCCTAGAAAGATACTACATTCAAAAATGTATGATCGCACCGGACTTGCGAAATGATATATCACAAGTTCGATGAGGCTCTAGCAGCTCCCGAGCTCCATCATTTCACAGTAACCCTCACCTCACCCACCAAGGCGATCCCCATCTTCAACCGGTCCAGAAATTTGTCCTCGTCAGCAGTGATCTGGGCAGCCGCATCAGGTGCATAGATCTTGGCTGCAAAGGCCTGGTAGGCAACCTGATCCGCGAAAGTAAGTTCAGCGTAGGCATCAAAGTCGAACTCAGGCTGTCGCCCACGGAGTATAGTAGCCGGGGTGAAGGCGTTGCGTGCGGTGGAGCCATCCGGAGGGATTTCAACTGTGTTGCGGGCGATATAGTTTCGATGATGGGAAAGAGGGAAGTCTTCGCCTGCAAGTTTCTTGACGAGTTTGACATGCGCTTCATAGCGCTTCTTGAATTCTTCTGGTGATAAGTGAGGATTGCGGTAAAGGAAGACTAATATCTTGACAGGCATGTTGGAATCTCTAAAGCGTAGTGAATAAAAGAGTGTTGGATACGCTGGTCGAATCTTAAAGGATTGAAGATGCAAAGATACAGGAATGAACCGGTTATTTCTCGGGGGGTTTTACTCTCGGTCCTTACTTTGTACCTTGGAAGCAGTGCAACGCGGAATATGCGGTATGCGGCGTAGTATTTTCTAAAATCCATTTGTGTAATATGAGATTCCAGGTGTTTCGGATCTTGTGGTATTCAGGGTTCATTTTACCATTCGAGTCCAAGGATCTGCTTAGTAGTAGAACGAGACTTTGGGCTAAAGGAGAGCATCAACATTCTTGCGGGGAAGTCTCAAAGTGCGTTTGAGGCAATCATATTGCATAGAGAGCAGCTGAGTGACCGGATATATGAGAAAGACACAAGTGCGGTTCTAATCAACTCCTATTTAGCGAAATATTGATGCCGCTTATACACCACTTGCAAACTCTCCTCCGGATAAAAGGCCTCGCCAGTTTCACATGCGAGTCCAAACCACCATAGTAAATGCGATATACAAGTATATCAACAAATATAGTTGGAGGGGCTTCTTGTTGCTTCCTTGTTCCTAGGCGATATCTAACTTCTCTAGAATCTTCGGGGAATATTGGACATTTTATGATTGCAATATATATCTCTGGCTTTAGGTCACATAATTTTCAATCTGACGATGGAGTTTTCTTAGAATTGATATATAGTGTTTATAAGCCTAATCAATAGCTATGGCACAGCAATGAATAGGCTTATAAAAATGCCTTATTCACTATGGTGTTTTGGGCGCGTTAAGGGCTTCTCATCGCAAGGTATATTGCCTCAAGTTATGGCCCTCCTACTCGTTATATATACGCTTCCGATATCTAATTTAGGCCAAATAGCACCCGTAGACTGTTTTCATAGTGAAGTTCATAGTGAAGGTCCCCATGAACCATTCCTCATTGGAAGACAAGACTGAACACGGTTTATCAACCAATAATCTGCATATTTTCAAACAACCAGGAACCTAGCTTGCCCAAGTAAAATACAAATCCTATGGGAAGGAGAGACATGAAAACAGATGATATCTCTTCCGCAATCCTATACGAGCAGGGTGGGCAAGCCTATAAGAAAGGTAGCCACCATCACTATGGTCAGGTACTATTTATATAGGGACATGGTCCTAAAGACCGAGGTGAGCATGCATAAATTCCGGCATTGGCCTACTACACCGCAAGAGATAGGCAGATATCTCCCCAAGTTCGAATTAGTTGTGTCGGAATATTCTAGCCGTTTATGACCAAGACCATTAGCGTCGGCGATATTTTTGTTTTACTTCTTAATTTATTATATCCGAGGCCCCGTACTCGGTACATGACAACATCAAAGACATCCCAAAGGATCCACCTGGCACGTCATCTCTTCAACGAGGACCATGTGGGAAGATGCCCGACTTCGGAGAAACCTGAATAGATGAGAAACCGTCTGGCTAGACGCCTAATGGACCCTGGACTCCGTAGTCGGACCTGAAAATATTTCTAATTCTATTTGATACGCAGATCCTTTCTGTTTCCTTCACATATTTTAGAGTTATAGTGGAGCCTTTCGTATAAATCAAGACTAGTATATATGTATTCTGAACTGGGTATATTTGAAATCAATGAATTAGAAAACAAGAGAAGATACATAAGAAAAAAAATGGTTTTTGTGAACAACAGGGTATAATCGAAACAAAAGAAACGCTGAGAAACTTTTTAGCCAACATAATTAGGGGTATTGGTTGACAATTAACAAATGAGCGCGTGAAAACCTCCACATCTCGTATTAACGGCTCGCTCTGAGAGCACTCAATCGTTCCGAATACTCCGGCGGTGCAAGTCCAACATCAACGACATTATTACTCGAGAAATCAGTTGGCGAAGTCACATTTCGCGGCTGGAAGAACTCCTCCAGTTCCTGCTGTGTGACTGTAACACCAAGCGCAGCCTTTAGTAATTCCGCGCTCTTCGGTTGACTGGTGAACTGGACCGGGACGCGTAGAGACACCGTCGGTGTCATTATATTAGTTGCCGGGGTGTGGTATGTCAATGAGAGATCGAGGGCGTAGACGCGGGACATCAGACAAGAGTGGAAAGTTGGTACGAAAGCCTTTGATGCGGGTAGCGTGACGGGGACTACTACTGATGCGGTGTAGTATGTGTCTCCTGTGAAAATGGCGGACGGGCCGACTGATGAATCGGATGCTGATGAGTCGGTCGAGTCGCGGCGGATATAGTCGGCTGCTGTGGATTGTTTTGTCCATTGAGCGGATGCGACGCACATCGTCAGTAGAGGGACGCTTTCTGTGTACAGGCCGCAGCCGATCTGGGCGTAGGGCATGCCGGTTGTGGAAGGGAAGTCTTCCCATGGGCCGGAGCTGAAGAAGGTGTTGACGCGGAGTTTGCTGGTCAATGTTCCCAGTGGGGGTGGTTGTTCGTCGCCGACTGGATCGAAGCGTAGGTTTACGGTTGCTACGGTGCTGACCGTGTCGGTTGGCTCGCCGCTTGGAGGGAGCAATTGGATGGGTCTTGGTTGAGAAGATGAGGCCACGATCCGGCCCAATTTGCCTCGGAGGGTTCCGCGCTTGACTGTTTTTTCTTTGCGGGTGCAGAGAGATGGACTTGAGGAAATTTCAATGGGGGGTTCTTCTTCGACGGTTGGGATGATGCGGATTTTCTTCCCAACGGCGGCGATGGCTACCACGCCTTGGCCGACGAGGGGTTTCTGAAGAACAGATGCTCGAACTGCGTAGGCAATCTGGGACATGGTGGGTGCCATGTCATCTAGGAGTGTCTTGCCATTGCTGGCAAGGATGGGGTCTCCCAATGTGGGGGGAAGCATAGTGTGGGATCGTTGAATGTGAGCATTCTTCTTGGCGTGGGAGCAGACCTGGGGAAGCAGGCGGTCCGGAATGACGAATGTGAATGGGTATTCATATGATCGACCAGCCTCTAGCACTCGAGGGGTCGGATATTCCGTTTCATCAATAGGCTGGCGCAACTTAAGGAACATCTGTTGCGATCCAGTGCGGCCGGGACAGGATGCCCGTTCTACCGTAGTTCGAGAGATACCTTTTCTCAAATTAGCATTGTTTATAGGCTGAGTTTGAAGGGGATGTACCTTCGAACACGATCTCAATCTCATCAAATCGAGTCTCATGGTCAACGGTGACGGTTATAGTACCATCAATACTCTCTCCGGTGGTATAAGAGTTGACATGCCCTTCGGTTTGACCTTCAAGATAGATCTCGATCTTAGGCTGTGATCGTCGGGTCCAGTTCTCCAGCCTGTCCGAGCCAGAGCTGTTAATTGAAGTTGCCGTTGACATTGTTTCACAGGGAAGGCAAAGATATCAAAGGCCTGTCCCACAGAGAGAAGCAAAAAGCAATGTGCCGACACGTCAAAAAGAGATGAGATATCAAAAGGAAAAATGTTTCAACAGAGACCAGATCAAGTTGTTCTTAAAGAAAAATAAAAAGAAAAAAAAAATAATAGTAAACGGTGGAGCCGTCGACAACCGCGATGGAGTCAAGGAAAACAAGTGTGGAGGAGTTTTTAGCAATGTAAAAGTTTCAGATGGCCTCATGGATCATTCCACAAGACTTTTATACATCTTGAAGTGACTCACACAAGTCATTTACAGGGCGCTGCATTTATAATTCGATAATCGTCATAATCTACGTCCAGCGCCTCTAAATCTAAAAAAGCGAAACTGATCGTATACCTTACAGTATAAGGAAAGCCGAACCAGATAGTCATAGTTCATCGAGTGATTGGTCGGATGTGAGGATCCGTTCTGGCATCACGCCCTTGGGTTGACATTCCACTCCAAGTACATGCATCACCTTTAGCTCTAAGATTAACACATTAATAATTGTCCGTGAGCTCCAGGGCTTTGAAGATCGCATCTCTCGCAAAGGTGATATTCCTCTTTTCCAAATCACAGACCTTTCACCCTTTTCAGATTCTTTCCCGAATCACCCAATTTCATAGTAGAAAGACTGCGTGGGTCAAGGGGGAAAGTGGAGAAAAGCGCCTTACTGCGACATGCACATGCACGCCCTTTAGAACTCCACATTCCCCCATGACGCCCGAGCTTCTGTTGTGCTCGTAAAGTGACCAATCATGTCTGATATAGAAACTCTGATCGTCAGGCCGATTTCAAAGCATATCCCATTGATTCTCATTGCGTTTGTTGCATGTTGGTGTTCACTGAGGACCTTCAAATTCTCAACTCTGATGAGATGAGGTCTGTATCGAGTTTCCCGCGGAGAATAAAGAATGGAACCAGGTAACTAGTCTCGGCCCCAGAGATTTCCGGCCATAACCGAGATTTTTCTGCGATGCCGAGCTAGATTTTTTTTTTTGCTTGCCCGGAGTGTCGGAGTGAACGGAGAAAGGAATTGAATGGCGCAATTCCATCTCGGTGTACAAGATCGGACCGATATTTGTCAGGTGATTTTCATTATACACGTGCTTTCACTGTATGGTTCGGATGTTGTAGATCATATCAGACCTTTACGAGATATTGTATCATCTTGAGCCAAAGGATCGGATTATGAACTATGTTATATGCTGTCCAGCACAGCCTACTATTATTATGCACAATAATGGAAATATCAAATTGGAATAGAAGAATTGGAATGAATTGGTGTGAATATTGAAGAAAAAAAATTACAAAATTGTCCCAACTGATAAATTACGACGTAGACCCGTGGTGCATTTCGGATCAAATCGTACTCAAAGATCGTCGACGCGCTTTCACGCTTCTTCTTGTCTCATACAGCCAGCACTTAGAAAGTGACCGGCTGCATCCAGCTCAAGATTAGCCGAGGGGAAACGGCAGACCGAGCGAGGCAAGAGACATCCTAAAAGAGTCTACGGGGCTAAACATAGCGCAAGGGAAGGAGGGGGGCAATTAGCTTCATTCAAAGTATTCGCGGTTCAAACCGCATTCATCATCCATTAACAAAGAGGTAGGTATCTGAAGCCCGCATACAGGGCAAGAAACGCCAGTAGACGCCATAACCAACCCAAAATCAATACGCCACCCGGGTTCGCATATCCTAGGAGATGTTAGTGAAATGCCAAAACAATGGTGAATGTGGGTAGCCTACCGAAATCTTGCGCTCGATCTCACGAACAGAGCGATCGAGTTCCGCCGCAATCATCATCTTGGTATCATTAGGCAGCAGGAGATACATTTCGCAAAGATCTCCATCAATGACGCCCTTCACAGGGGCATAGTAGCCGCGGTACATCAAATGGTCTCGTCCAGCCAGAGGGGGTTGCTGGGAAGCCAGCTGGGTCTCCAAGAGCTGGAAGAAGTCCACATCCTCACGACTGGCGAAAGGAACAAACATTCCAATCGTGCCTTGGAAGCCAGTCCAGACAACAACGTCACGGCCTCCCGCCACGAGCTGCGTCTTGTGCACACTGGTGGGGATATCCTGGGCGTAGAAGTGAACCATCAACTCGAGACGGTGAGGGGTTCCATGGAGATAACCCTTTTCATGAATGAGGTGCGCACCAGATCCATCCTCGTCGGCCTGTTCGGAGGCCTTGGCAGGGCAACGCACAAGCCACAGGTTTCCAAACTTGTCACCACCAGCAGTCGTTTCGTAATCAACCATGGTGGTGCACGATGTCCAGCGCGCAATGGAATCATCCGCAAAGGGGATCAAGACATTGTCCTGGTACTTGTACACAACATAGGTGACACTTTCGCGCACATCGCTGACAATAATTCGGCTTCCTTGGGTCTGGAGGCCCACAATAGTCTTGGGGGCCGCAGGTGCTTGACATTTCCGCAGTAGTTGCTTCATGCCGAGGTCGTACACTCGAAGAATGGGGCCGATGCCTGCCAGGAGACGGCCTTGGAAGCCAAGAAGAGCGAGAGGGGGTTCATCGACCTTGGTCTTGTGAATGAACTCCAACTCGCGGCCATCCTGGTGGAATCGATAGATATGGATGAAACCACAGGAGGCCGAGGGAGGGCTGACCGTCATATCCTTGCCGGTTCCTACAACCAAGAAGGTTTCACCATCCTGGCTGGAAAATGATACTGCGGCGAGACTAACTGCCGCCTCATTGTCCTCAAGATCGAGAGTGGAGATCACAGACTTGGTGGTGACGGGGTCAACAATCTGAATACAGGAAGCCCAGTGGCCAGTGGCTCGAGGGTATCCGAAGTCTTCAGGCGGGAGGTCTGCAACCTCGTCATTTTGAGCTTGCGCATCATCAATGAGTCTCTGGCGAGTGGCAGGGGAAAGGACATTGTTGTCAGATTCAATCACGTAGAAAAGGGGTTGTTCGGGGTGCTTCACAAAGCGCCGAGGAGTGTAAGAGAGGGGGATGGACCCTTGAAGCATGTTGTTGTCCAGCTTCTCAACGGTGAAAATCCTATTTTCAGTCAGTACCAGTCGAGAACAATTTTCAAGTATCAACGAGGTATGATAGATGGTTGATCTCAGAAGGAACAATTGGAATTTTTCTTTTAAAGTTTCATCCACATAGAAGTTCGGATTGATTTTCTCATCACAGGATCAAGGGGGGGAGGAAGGGGAAGTGGGAAGATTTCAGAGATGGGATGAACCACATACCGTAGACTGCGGCCTTGAATACCGATCATGCCCTCCACACACTGCTCACTAGAGAAATTCCATCCCCACTCTAGTCCGACGTAGTCCAGAGGTGTGAGCATGAAGCTCTTGGTTTGGACATCAGAATATCCCAGCCAGGGACGCGCGCTGAGTGCCAGGACAGCTGTTTGGCCCTTGACTGACACCTGGGACAGTTTGACAGGCTTGGCACCGATGAAGCGAGTTCTAGTATCCGAAAGCTCACCAGTCACCTCGTCCAAAACGGTACGAAGGTAGACACCAGAATAAAGTCCGATGTGGAGGTAAAGAGTGGTGCCTCCCGAGCTCGAGTCGGCCATGGCCATGATTTGCAGGGCAGATGGCGCAGAAGTCAATGCTTGAACTGACTTGTTCTCGAGGGTTGAGTCTGGGTCCAAGCTGAGAATGCGGACGGTAGAGTCATCACATCCGACAGCCAGGAACGAGCTTCGCATGCGGCCCTCGGGGACCTCTCCCATGCTCAGGGAGGTCACGGTACCAGACATCTGTCGGCGCTCGTCATACTCGGCCAATGTCCCGTCCGCGTCCATCTCAAAGTAGACAATTTCGCCGGAGCTGAGTGCCACGGCAACTTGACGCTCATTGGTCGCTGCTGCAACGATAGACCGATGCTGTGGAGCAGGCCATTCGTTAACTCTCTGATCAGCGAGGATGTGACGAATACCGCGAGGGTGAATTTGGACCAAAGTATCCTCCCCAAGTTGCTGCACTGCCAGAGTTGGAGCCGTAGAAAGGAATCCCGTGTCGGAAACTTCTTCCACAATTTCACCGATGCTCAGGACGAGGGTACCATTCGCGAAAGATAGAATGATGTATGTGTGGAATTCATCGGCTCGCATCAACTTGGTTGTCCATACAGCCGAAGGCACCTGTTGAAGGTCCGACTCCACGATCTCAGAAACCTCAAGACCGTGCTTTAGAGTCCGCAATGTGCTTCGCGCCCCAGAGCCACAGATTGTGTAAATTTGAGGCGCATCATCCTCACTCAAATTGAGGATCTTACTATCAATCAGAGGACTCAGGGAGTTCATGCTTTCCATGAGGTTGACGTTTTCAGCCTCTCGAGGATGAAAGTAGACTGGCGCGCACGGCACGGAGTGATCAGATGAGAATGAGTCGCTAGAGAAGAAGAGCTCATCGGGGTCGTCACCAAGCTTTTCGAACTGATAAAAGTTGTGATTGCCAGATTCACTGGCGGCATAGAGGAAACCGCTCTTCAGAATCAGCAAGTTCGTTGATACAGGAATTGTATCAAAGTATTTGATCGTCAGTCTCTTGACTTCTCCAGTAGGTTTGCCCTGCTTGTCCTCAACCATTTCCAGGTTCAGCTTGAACAGATCACCATCCTCAGTTTGAAGAAGGAAAAAGAAAGCGCCTCTCATCTTGTGCATGACTCCCGAGACAATCGAGCGCTTACGCTCAGGGTTTTCGGTGGCCCCGTTGCGTCGCGGGATAGGCACGCGGAACGCACCTTGGTTGGAGTGGCGGTACGTAATGTTGTCCTCGGCGCACACCAAGACACCACTAGGACCATCGTCTCCTCCTGGGACCTGGAAGAGCATGGACGCCGTGCGATCAACAGGGTCAGACCACTTGCGAACAACGTGATTCAGTCCGAGGTCAAGTTCGTAGTACACCAAAACCTTCTCGATTTCTTCAAAGGCTTGACCGGTGGGGTCCTGGTCAGATTCCGAGTAGTCCACCTCGAGAGCAGCGAAGATGGGGTTATCATAGCCAACGTCCAGGCAGATCATAGCAAACACCAAGGTCTGTGGCTTATGTGCTTCTAGCGGCGAGGATATGGTAAGCTCCGCCTGCGAGTTGCGGTTGAGAACATAGACCAGCTTGTTCTTCTCCACAGAAGCAATCAGACACGCACGTCCCTTCGGATCGACTGCGAGGTATTGTCCTGGCACAACACGACGAACTCCGGACTTTCCAAATGTCTCCATATGGATGCGGTTGAAGCGGTTCTGGGAGGGAACATATTCAACGATCGTGATACGGCCCGAGTCAGAGCCGATGATGATGTAATCTATGAAATTCACTCAGCACAGTCCATTGATGATAACCATTGCGAGAGTCAACGTCGCTGTCCAGGGCAGGTCTCAACCCTCCTTCAAGGGGTCAGGCTGTAGGAGGACCGTGCTGCCCGGGAAGCTTGGAGAATCACTAAGTTGTACTCGTAAAGGGGTGGACGAGAGGGAAAATATTCGGCATACCTTTGTTGCTTCCAGCTACGCGGAAGGCTGCAAGGGAGCGAATGATGCCAAAAACATCTTGAGAGAAGAGGGGTGTGATCTTGCCCTGTGCCGGGTCAGGCCGATGGATGGTCAATTTCGAGCCTGACGAGGTGACGATCTGCTGGTCCCTGGTACCTGCAAATTGACCTAGAATGGCCTGTGTGATGGCAGTTGGAGGCTGGATCGTCAGGGAGTACATGAACATGTGCGATGTGGTAGCCATGGTGGGCGACTAGGTATCGGTTTCCCGGTACCACACAGAAGAGGTAGAGGCTTTGTGCATGCAATTGCAAGTCAGGGGGTATGAATATTACATCAGTCCCATCCCTGCGGGGTGGAGTTAAGAAAGAAGAACTCCTCAAGTCCACTTGCCACAGATAGAGAGAGGTGTAAATGTGTGATCAGACGCGAAGAGATGAGGAAGAGAAAATATTCACTGCCGTGTGGGAGCTCCCACTAGCGCGTTTTCCACGTGACTTATGTTTCGACCGCCTTCCACGCCGCGCCGATTGATGCAAGGCAGATCACCTCCGCATAACGGGCTCACTACTCCGTAACTCCCCTCTCCCCTCCCCTAAATCATCTCATTTTCGCAATTATCATCCGTATCACAAGAATTCATTCGATCGGTCGTTTGATCAGTTCTTCACTACTTTCCGGGATCTACCCTTTATCATTGGCCCACCAATCACCCCACTTGCTCTACAATCATCATACATCATACATCATACATCCTTTCACCATGGCCGACGAGACGGCTACCACAGAGCAGGCTCCTATTACCTTCACTGTCAAGTCATCCACTGATGCTAAATACACTCTGACCCTCCCGCTCAGCACTCTCGTGTCAGATCTCAAGCAGAAGCTCTCAAGCCCCGAAAATGCCGATACCCCCGCAGAACGTCAGCGATTGATCTACTCGGGCAGGGTTTTGAAAGACACTGAGACACTTGAAAGCTACAAAATTAAGGATGGCCATACTATTCACTTAGTAAAGAGTGCTGCGAGCAATCAGCAGCGTCAGAACACAGCTGCTCAGCCCAGCTCAGCCACTGCGGCAGCTGGTGCAACCCCAAGCCCAGCGGCAGCTGGTGTGCCGACCAATCTCGCTGCTGGTACTGGTAACAACCCACTTGCTGGCTTGACTGGTGCACGATATGCTGGGTTTGCACAACTTCCTGGGGCGGGTCTTTTTGGCCCTGATGGTGGCGTAAGTGAGCGATTATCGGAGATGGAAGTAATTCGATATGCCTCCAACGGGTTGCTAACACTATTCGGCTACTCAGATGGGTCCACCCCCAGATACCGAGTCGATGCTCAACATGCTCGAGAATCCTCAATTCCAATCGACTATCAATGAAGCCCTACAAAACCCCGCTATGATCGACATGATGATCCAGCAGAATCCCATGCTTCGCGACATGGGACCTGGAGTCCGTCAGATGATGGAAAGCCCAGAATTCCGTCGCATGTTGACCGATCCGAGTTCGATTCGGCAGATGATGCAAATGCAACGAGCCATGGGAATGGGTGGCGGCGGACTTGGGGGCGGTGACAATGCATTCCCCGCGCCGGGGGTGACAAACACGACTCCTGAAGGAGCACAAGGTTCCGAGCAGCAGAATGCACAGACAAATCCATTCGGGCAGATGCCTCAGAATCCGCTTGGAAACGCAAACCCTTTCGGTGCCCTCTTCGGAGCTAACCCGTTCGCAAACCCAGCGCAGCCCGGCGCTAACCAGCCCGGCGCTGTGCAAGGTACCGGCTCTACGGATCGATCAGCATCTGCTGAGGGACAAACTCCTCAAGCTCCTCAGAACCCTTTTGCATCTCTTCTAAATCCGGCTATGTTTGGCAATGCTGGACAAGCTGGTCAGGGAGGTGTGAACCCGTTCAATCCTCAGCAAAATCCATTCCTCCGTGACCCGGCGCTACTTTCCCAGATGATGCAAGGTATGGGTGGACAGGGCGCAGAGGGTGGAGCTGCTGGTGCAAACCCTCTGGCTGCTCTCCTTGGAGGCGGTGGTCTTGGTGGCTTCGGAGGTGGTTTCGGAGCCCCACCACAGCCTGCAGACACCCGCCCCCCGGAGGACAGATACGCCGATCAGTTGCGGCAGTTGAATGACATGGGATTCTTCGAGTTTGAACGGAATATTGAAGCCCTGCGTCGCGCAGGTGGCAGTGTTCAAGGGGCGGTGGAGTACCTCCTTACCCACCCATGATAATTTCTGGGCAGATTTTCTTCTTTCTAGCACAGCCTTGCGATTACTTTTCTGATGTATTCAACTTCTTATTGATTTTACGAGGTGGTGACAGGCTCCCTCGGTAACTATGACTTTCCCATTCCCCTTTTAGCATGTTTAACTTCTGTGTGATCCTTAGCTACATATGTAGTTCTTCTGGATATCTAGTCATCATCCCAGAGCTCGGGCTAGCAAAGGGTCATTTCTAATCGATGTTTCTGTCATACTAAAATCCCTGTACATCTGAAGTCTCCGGCCCTTTTGGTCATATCCCACAGTTGGTGTAGGATTTATATTAGACCGAAGCGTAAAGGAAACTATGTAACATATATGTGAAATCCTGAAATAAGAGGGTGATATGCCGTCGTCTCAGAAACATGAAGGGTTTTTCCAGATGAAGAAAATATCGGTATGTATACCAATGTATCACAGAGTAGGCGAGGGTAAGGCTTGTCATTCCACATATAGCACCGACAGAGGCCTGATTAATTAAAGCGTGGTAACATATCTTTACTCGAAAGTAACAGAAGTTCGCCAAGCGCTCACGTCTCGTCAGATACTGACGATTGACGATCTATTTGATTAATCCACCGGTTGCGACTCCCCGTAGTCTTAGAACGAATGCATCAAATCTTAGCCCTTGTTTTACCAGATCCATTGGAATTATGTATCTCCCCCTCTGATGATCAACCATGCCCGGCTCACTATGGAAAACCAATTTAGAAATGTTCAATTAGAAGCTAGAGTTGAGCGCACTAAGAGGTAGCTTATTTGACAGGCGTTATATGATTGGATTCCCATGCTCTTAGCGCGTGCAATTTATAGATCTCCAGGTAAAGTATTGAGACATAGTAGTTATATAAGTTATATATATCGTACCATAATTCTAGGGTCCGATTTTTGTGCCAGCTAAAGACACACATATACAAGTTTTAAAAAGATTTCAAAGGTATGTGAATTTGCTCTTTTAGTCCCCTTGTCCGCAAATAGACTTGGCTGTCTGCTCACGTCTGTACGCGTGGCATGCTGATGTAATCCGGGGGCACGCCTAAGTGTGGAGGCCAGGGTATCGTGAAGCTCGCTATCACAAGCTCCCCACGGTTGCTCATAGCTCTTTTTCGACAACACCCCTTACTACTGTGGCATTAAGTGCCAGTTTCATTCGTTAATTATTTGTCTCTCGACAGGTTGCGGGCGAACTGAAGCAATCCGGTTATCCTTGGCAATCTACTATCCAACACGCACTTCCGAGATCAAGTCCACTATCGGCTAATCATCGATCTTACCAGCAAAGAATCACCTGAGCGAGATACTGCTTACACCATAGTCATTACTGACTCATTCGCTTTGAGTTCTCCTTTGCGGATCGACACACAGTAATCAACCGACATACAACTATCCTCCATACTTTGTGTACATGCTGGTTCGATAGCTGCCCGTTTACCCCGGGTCAAGGACAAAACAGATCTCTTCACGGCTATTAAACATGGCATTTGGTCAATTCAGACCCCGTCAGTGGGCGCTGTGGGTGCTGCTGCTCGCGTCCTGTGCCCGCGCATTCTACATCCCTGGTAAGTACAAAAGTGTACTTTTGTTGGACAAAGCATGTGATACTGACTTATTTTCCTCTCGCCAGGATACTCGGTGACCCGATATAATGACAATGATCCGATTCCTCTTCTCGTTAACAAGATCTTCTCCGATCACACCCAGCTGCAGTATGCCTATTTCGACTTACCCTTCGTATGCCCGCCGAGCGGCAAAACACATGGCGGCTCGCCATTTGGATCCGGCCAAAGTATCTCGCTCAATATTGGGGAGGTACTGCGCGGTGACCGAATCATGACCTCCGACTTTGAACTTGCAATGGGGAAGGATGTTGAGTGTCAGGCGCTCTGCACCCGCGATCTTAGTCGGTCGAATGTGAAATGGGCTCGTCAGCTCGTTAAGGAGGGGTATGTGATCGAATGGATTGCCGATAATCTTCCAGGAGCCACGAGCTTTGTGACAGTGGATCGAAGCCGCAAGTATTACGCTTCCGGTTTCAAGCTCGGCTATCGAGACATCTCTCCCGTCACTGGACAGCATCGGTACTTCATCAACAACCACTTCACGATCGTCATCCGCTGGCGGAGCGCACCGGAAGGAGGGAAGGTAATTGTGGGCTTCGAGGTGTACCCAAAGAGTATTACCGCCGAGGATCGCTTGGAAAATGGATGCCCTAAATCTCTCCACAATAACAACGAAGGACTGGGCTTGTATATCGCCCCTAACCTTTCGCGAATGCAAGAAAAGTATTCCGGACTGTCATATATCCCAGACGATGACGAAGATGATGATGGAACCACACTCAAGGTTCCCTACACCTACTCTGTCTACTTCCGAGAGGACACCAAGGTTGAGTGGGCCAACCGCTGGGATTTATACTTTACCAACCAAGGTGAAAGCTCGATAACCCACTGGCTGGCGATTATCAACTCATTGACAATTTGCACCGTCCTGGGAGTGACAGTGTTCGTCATCTGGAGCCGCACAGTGCAAGGCGACCTTAAGGGCCGCGGCGATGGTGCTATGGATGATCGGAGGATGAAGGGCCAATCCCGACGCCGAAGTGGCAAGTCCGGCGAGAAGAAAGGCGAGGGGCTTCTGGACGATAGCGCGGATGTGGAGCGTGATGCGGACTACTCCTCCGACGATGAGGCTCTCGAAGATACAAGTGGTTGGAAGCTTCTCCATGGGGATGTGTTCCGTATTCCCCCCTATAGTGGCCTTCTTGCTCCCTTGGTCGGATCAGGAATGCAGTTGTTATTCATGGCTGCAGGTTTGCTCCTGCTCAGCTGCCTGGGAGTCTTGAACCCAAGCTTCCGTGGTGGCTTCGTTAGCGTCGGCATGGGCCTGTTCGTCTTTGCTGGCCTTTTCTCCGGTTATTTCTCAGGAAGACTTTACAAGACCTTTGGCGGAGCTGCTTGGCGCAAGAATACCCTAATCGTGCGTACCCTGCTCCACTTATTTATGTGCTATGCTAATCTATGATTTTAGACCGCTCTACTCTTCCCTGGTCTGGCATTCTCCCTCGTGTTGATTCTGAACTTGTTTGTCTGGGCTCAAGCGTCCAGTACAGCAATTCCTTTCAGCACTCTGGTCGGCCTCCTTGCACTTTGGCTCCTGATCCAAGTTCCGCTGGTATACATTGGCAGCTGGGTCGGCTATGTGCGCGCGACACCATGGGAGCATCCTCTCAAGACAAATTCGATTGCCCGCCAGATTCCACCCCAACCCTGGTATCTCCGCAGCCCCCTCGGCCCTCTGTTGACTGGTCTCATTCCATTTGCGGTTCTCTTTATTGAGCTGTTGTTCCTGTTCAAGAACTTGTGGCAGGACAAGTCTGGTTATTACTATGTCTTTGGCTTCCTAAGTGTTGTCTCAGCCGTGCTGATTGTCACGGTCGTGGAGGTGACCGTGATTGCCACATACAGCCAGCTTTGCTCCGAGGTAAGAATGTTCTTGATTTGGGTTATGGATTGCCATACTGACTTCGTTAGAATTATCATTGGTGGTGGCAGAGTTTCCTTACCGGTGGCAGCAGCGCTTTTTGGATTTTTGCCTACTGCATCTGGTACTACATGTTCAAGCTTCACATCACCGGTTTCGTATCAAGCTTGCTGTTCTTTAGCTATAGCTTCCTCGCTTGCGCTGTCTATGGCCTATTAACCGGAACCGTTGGATTCTTGGCCGCGTATGCGTTCGTCCGACGTGTTTATAGGTAAGACTACTCCATAAAATCTGTTAGGATACAGGCTAATCGTGAGAATTTCATAGTGCCATCAAAGTCGACTAAATGTCGACACAACCACACCATCATCTTCTTTAACTCTTTCAATCGAGAGACTCCTCGTCCCCTCAACATCTACCTCTTCATGGCCTGATCTTTCTGATGAGCATAGGTGAAGTTATCTACCACCACGGCGTCTAGTGTTCTATTTTCTGCATTTTCTGGCCGTCCGGAATTTTGAGTCTTTGCTTCATACATCTGTGTTGAACACACGCACAACCCACTCTTTTTCTTTCCTTTATTGTCTAAACCAAGTAAGCCAGTATCTCTATCCAACGACTTGGTCAGGACCTGTCATATTGCGCCTTATTTCTATATTTCCTTTAGGCTCGCCCAATGCAGATGTGATTTCATTACAAATACACGCCCAACTTTGAGTATTCATCAGTTCTAACGTATTCCAAGGTTGCCATGTCGCCTAAATCTGGGGAGACAGTTTCATATTTGAGATTAGTGCGTATGCAGAGGAGAGAGTAATAAGCCCTACTAACCAAATAGCTAGCTGCTTTAGTGTACATCCGTGAGATAGCTGACCTTCATGTGAAGGAGATAAGTTAAGTGATGCATTCAAACACGCGTCACTTCACATTCACAATTTCCGCCGCTGCCCTTACGACGCCGAGATCTCAAATGGGTAAACAACAACACGGGGGGTCTCATCCCTCAACATCCTCAACATCCTCGATTTTCTAAACTTCCTTTGATCTTTGAGCTTTAAGCTGCACACATCCCTACCAGTAAGTCAACTTGAGCATATCGTTACCTCCCATCCTCATTTCATCCCATCTGTGGCCTAGCAACCGTGATCGCTTTGTTGTTTGCACAGCGTGACTCGGATCCTTTGGCTAAGGTAACGACTCACTGTCTCTCATTCATCGTTCACTCATCCTTCACAATGTCATTCAGGTATTCACATCCTGATGTTGATGGCTGGCTATCCATATGCCTACACTCCTATATTCAACGTTCACCTATTTCTTCATGGCCCAAGGCAACAGTCAGTTTTATTCAGGTATTCACATTGTGACTCCTGGTGCCTAGCTGTTCAATAAACAGACCAGAACCATTCCCCGAAAAGCTATATAAATGAGTCTGATCATCGATTACTTCGAGTTCTTATTCACTTTCTTACTCATCCACTGATCCAACAGATATTCCATCTATCTTTCGTACAACACCGTTTTTTGTTTTTAAAATGTCGTCTGCTACAAACCAAAAGGGTGAGGTCCGTGAGAAAGTCCCTCTCGGCGCCCATAATAAGGAGAAGATTGACCCCCCACTGTGGTATAGGCGCATCAGGAAGCCGGCCAGATGTGGCGTACCGAAATCTTGGCCCTGGACAAACCCATGAAGAATGGGAGGGTCGACCCCCTCCTTCCAAAGACCGAGTTCCCTACCTGTCTTCCTACCGTGAATTCGAGCCTTGGGTCCTCCAAGTGGACCGCCAGAAGGCGGAAAATCTGCCAGCGGACGAGGTGTCAGCACGAGAATGGGAACAGCAAGGGTGGGAATGGCCGGAGAAGCTGATTCCCCACCTGGACTGCTATTCATATGTTGATGATTGGAGCCCAATCCCAAATGATGGGACTCGGGATGAACCCAAGGGTGGTAGTGATGAGCAGCCCGAGCGTGATTGGGGCACAGACGATTGGTGAAGCTGGCCTTTACCAACAAGTTTGTGCGAGGCGTGAGGTAGTCTTTGAGGTGGAGGGTGGAGGGTGGAAAAATTCGTATCTGGGGTAGGCTGGATTCCATTTTTCCCACAGTGGAGGAAAGAAAGGTACGGTTTCAGCTGGAGGTAGATTTCAAATCAAATGGTAGACATCTGGCATGTCAGCAGATATGAAACCCCGTAAACGGCGTAGACCTTGTATATTGTATATCGAGTCATTTTAGATGATTGCAATCCACGGTGGTATTCTCATAACGACAATACGGGGATCCTGGAAGGGAACTATTTGTACATCATAGCCCTCGTGGAACCTATTTTCAAAAGGCAACCTGTTACACGCCTCGGGAAAAAGATACCTATCAAGGCATACACATCGCACTACACTAGATGATATGACAATTGACATCATAAGTCTACATCGGGTGAAACCATCCCGTGCGATTCGGAGATCTGTACGTCGATGTAGACGTGGCCATGTGGAGTAAAATCGGACATATGGCAATCACGTGCGACATAAATGCAGGTCGATTTGGATGCGGGATACTAGAAACAGCGGTGACGGTGTTTTCGCCTCCAAACTACGTAAGCATTGTAAGTCCGGGGGTGATCTTAGACCGCTTTTCATTGCGTGCTCGGATAGGGAGATTGCTCATTGTGGAGCGATGCAACATTACATTCCCTGTCCTTGTTTCCTTCCAATTTCTTCATGAAACACAGGTGAAAGACATAATACATGAAAAATAGAAAAGCCAAGAGGAAAAATGTCCTATTGGCGGCCTACTCCGTCGTCCTAGATTTTCAGACGTCTCCTTTTCCTCCCCGGAAGTGTCGAATCAGGCAGTTTGATTGGTTGTCAAGATAAGCAAGTGGAACTTCAGCCCCTAAGCCTCGCCTCTAACCATATTTGGTTATCTTAAGGAAGAAAGGGTTGACTTGATTGGTTGAGACTGTAATGACACGATCCTGTGGGGCTCAAACTTTGACTAGTGGTCGGCTTCAGGAGAAACTAGGCTGAAATAGGTTAGTCTGTACAAGATCCTGTCACACTGGAAACGCTGCCATGGGCGTGGGCTGTCGATGCCGTTATCCACTCCGGGGTCGAGTGCGCGTGTGAACTGCACTGAAGTTAGACTTTGTATCAAATCCCCCACCTTCGATATGATATCTTTTAATTGATATTATTGGGTTTAAGGGGCTGATATGGGTGCTGGTTTTACATGCACGCTTGGTATTGTCGTGGTATTGTTGAATTGCTCATGTGACATATGCAACACCTGGACCACATTATCACATTTACATACCCACTAGACGGATTGACTTCCACCTATTGAGCTGAAACTCACGCACTTACATATGTTGCGTGGGTGACGAATGATCTTTTTGTTTGTATATTTCGCCTACACCTAGTGTTGTGCTGTAATATAATACATTACCAAAACAGTAAGTTGGGTATATGGAGGAGGTATGCCTTTTGTCTAGTTTTGAATGGACGAGTGTGGGATGCAGTATAGTCTGGTCGTTTGCAGCGTGCAGTAGGGTAGGAAAGCCGGTCTTTATACGGGGTACGAAAATTGGTATTGACAGAAGAGAGAGAACGGAGGGAGGAGGAAGAATATACTGCGAGGCTATGATAAAGGGAAATGTAAACCACAAGGGAAGGAACGTATACAAGAAGCTTTAGACTAATGACTGTCAAGAGAAGCCAGGCGAGAAAGCGATTTTGGAAATAATTAAAGAAAGGAAGAGCCGTGGAAGTTGTGCATCTTTACTCGCTGGCAAGTGCGAGGTTGTAGTCAATGCCTCATATTTTGAATCTTCATTCTGCATGGCCGTCTGCTTCAGAGGGGAGATAGTTGCAAAGTATCCCGAGGTCTTTGATCTTTATGGCAAAGCTTTAGGGTTTCTCTTGAAAAATTTGTAGGTATGGTCCACGGGTCATCTTAACCTTGGAACTTTCCCAATTTCCCAATTTGGTCTCGGGAATAGGTTCATTATTACATGGTCGGCTCAGGAACAACCTGTCTTCTCCTAGAAGACATCCTTCTCCTAACCAACAGTTACAGACGTGATACCTAGTGTTCTTCATAATCCTAATCTTTATATCCGGTCATCGACATCATTCTGCTTGTTGTTATCCCCCTCTCACCTCTCCCTTGCAGAGTTATTCGATTTGGCTCGAACCATCCAGGGCTCCCTTGGACGATCTCTCACCTGCATACAACTCCTGGACAGTGAGGAATATTTGACAATAGCCTCGATCATCCAGTCAATCCTCATTATAGGCCTATTGTTCGGGGTATGTTCTCAATACCAGAATTCTGGGATAGAGCTGATAACTTCTAAGAACATGAGAATAGAGAAACGGACTTCTAGATTGGAAAATAACAAAAAGAACAACGAATCCCAATGGCCATCGGTGGTATCCCCGTGATCTGACTTGTGGACCACACTTCAGCCACATATCGTCTGGCCTATAATTGCATATATCGGGTTAGCTCCGCTCGCTTTGTCTTATATCAACTACTTGCTTATTCTTAATACGAGTATACCCTTTCAAGGTCTGCTTCCCTTATTCATTCCTGGATCTGCGAAGTGACCTAATGAGTGTACGAGCCTATATTAGCCCTGTAACGAAATGAACAGTTTAATGTTATCAATGCGCAGTTCCTTGAAAATTTTTGATAAGTATACGCAACCACTAGGTCTCCAAGGATCCATCCTGTAAAGTGGCGAATTACTCGGCACTTGCCCCGATAGGGGTTAATTATCTATCAAAATCATTGGTCTTGTGACTGGACTTTGCAATTTGATTTACAAAAAAAATCCAAGGGAGAAAATTGTTCCGTAAAATGGTAGCACTAGAGATTATCTGGGCATCTAGTTCGGTATTTTATACATTACCATACGGAAATGTTTTTAATCACACCATCGATGCCTCGAATGATCCCATTTTGGGAGTACGTCAGTACTAGATCACCTCCCCTGATCTCCATTGCAGGCGGGAACTACTGTATACTAATTTAAGATACATTCTGCAGGGTTTATAATCGAATAGGAATATATAGATATATGTAGGAAATAGATTGTGTATCGGCATACATTTTAAATACATACCCTTTTTTTTTCGTCTTGGCCCCGGGCCCTTCTCTCGACTTCTCTCGTTTTTTTCCCCTTTTGGTCTTTTTTTTTATTAATTCTTTTTTTTTTCTCCTTTATTCCCCACATTCTCCCTCAACTTCCATATATCATCTGCTTTCTCGCACTTTTCTTTTCTTTTTCTTTCCCATAATTTAGTTCCAATTTCCTTTACATATTGAAAATATTCATCATGGCGACCAAGAAGCCCAATATCCTCTACATCATGGCAGACCAAATGGCTGCTCCCTTGTTGTCCCTGCATGACAAGAATTCCCCCATTAAGACTCCTAATCTAGACCGGCTCGCTAATGGCGGCGTGGTCTTTGACTCGGCTTACTGCAACTCACCACTGTGTGCTCCCTCGCGATTTGTAATGGTCAGCGGCCAACTGCCCTCCAAAATTGGGGCTTATGATAATGCAGCGGAGCTGCCCGCAGACACCCCCACATATGCCCACTATCTGCGACGGGAAGGATACCACACGGCCTTAGCCGGAAAGATGCATTTCTGCGGTCCGGACCAGCTTCACGGCTATGAACAGCGTCTGACCAGTGATATTTACCCTGGTGATTACGGCTGGTCCGTCAATTGGGACGAACCTGTACGGCGATTCTATGAGCCCTTTGCGACCCTTTGCGACACCTGTACTAATTAGAATGTAGGACATCCGTGCCGATTGGTATCACAACATGTCTTCCGTGATGGAGGCAGGTCCCGTCGTACGCACCAATCAATTGGATTTTGATGAAGAGGTAATCTACAAGTCAACTCAATACTTGTATGACCATGTTCGGCAGCGCAATGAGCAGCCTTTCTGCTTGACAGTCTCCATGACCCATCCTCATGACCCTTATGCCATGACCAAGGAGTTCTGGGATCTGTACAACGATGTCGAGATCCCATTGCCTAAGAACGGAGCTATCCCCCACGACCAGCAGGATGCGCACTCGCAGCGTGTGCTCAAGTGTATCGACTTGTTCAACAAGGAGATGCCCGATGAGCGCATCCGTGCTGCTCGTCGCGCCTACTATGCTGCCTGCACATATGTTGATACCAACATCGGCAAGCTGCTGCGTGTTCTTGAAAACACCGGTCTGGCCGACGACACCATCATTGTTTTCACCGGTGATCACGGTGATATGCTCGGCGAGCGCGGCTTGTGGTACAAGATGACCTGGTTCGAGAACTCGGCTCGAGTTCCTTTCCTGGTTCACTCTCCTAAGCATTTCTCCCCGAAGCGCGTGTCCGAGAACGTTTCCACCATGGATCTCCTCCCTACGTTCGCCGAATTGGCAGGCGCCAAACTCATCTCCGAGCTTCCCCTCGACGGTGTTTCCCTCGTGCCGTATTTGACCGGGGGCGAAGGTCTCCGCACTGATACCGTCTACGGCGAATACATGGGCGAAGGCACCCAGGCTCCTCTCATGATGATCCGTCGCGGCCGCTGGAAGTTCATCTACTCGACCATCGACCCACCTATGCTCTACGACCTCGTCAACGACCCTGAGGAGAGGACCAACCTCGCAGCCGGCATTCAAATCCCACCTAGCTCTACCCGTGCAGCCATTGCAGCCAAGCCTACTAACCTGGCTTCATCCATCAACTTGCCTACTCCAGACGACACCCCACACGCATCGCCAATCCCCCAGCGTGCCAACACGGCAGACTACCCCTTCCCTTCGAACACTCCCCCTCGTACTCCGAGCCCCGCCAAGCTCCCACTCGCAGTGCCCAACACCACTGACCCAACCAAAATCTTGGCATTCTTCCTCGAGGAAACTCACGCCCGATGGGATATGGAGAAGATCCACCAGGATGTCCTGTGCTCCCAACGCCGCCGCCGCCTGGTTTACTCCGCTTTGATTAAGGGTACCCACACCGTCTGGGACTACGAGCCGCGCATCGATCCAAGCACCCAGTACATTCGCAACCAAGGCAAGGGTGCCCTCGACGATGTCGAGCTCATCTCACGCTGGCCCCGCGTTCTCCAGCAAGCTGCTACTGCTCACGGGATGTCTGCCTAGATCCTCCTGGGTTTTCATGAACATTAATATTGTCTCGGATAACCCCTCAAAATGTTTCATTGATTGCATTGTTATTTTTGCATTTCTATTGCGTTTCAGCATTATTTCTGTTACGTTTTGCGGCATTCTCGATCTTTATTGGGTTCTGTTCTCTTTTCGGTGAATTTTTTTTTCGGACTTACATCTGTTTCTATTGAGGCGCGCGCTATACCCGGGACTTATCTCCCCAATTTGCATCTTTTCATGCATCGTTTGTGGCTGCATGGATTATTTTGTACATAGTTGTGCTTTTGGTCCCCCGGGTTGGGTGTCTTGCCCTGTACATGTTCATTTGGTTCCTAGGTAGATACAATCAGACTGTCAATTGGGCTTTTGTACTCATCTTCTCCTTCCAGTATGATATTATCAAATATCCCTTTCCATAAAGATCGTTATGATAATAGCCACACTCCCAACTACTCTATTTTACCGGAGAAAGTCGTATACGAAGAAGTGAGGCGTAGTATAAGTAATTCTATAAACACCTGAAGTAGGGTAAAAAGTACTATAACCGGGAGTAATAGGAACGTTCCGAGTCGAACAACCGATATAACAACCGAAGGCCTACGTTGTCGTCTAGTAAACATGTGAGATATGTGATACCATCATATTCCTGGATCATCACAGATCCAGAGTTGTAGAACAACTTGCTATAGAATTTAATAAAGACATATTTTCGATAGTTGGGAGTCCTTCAAAGAAAGTAGCGGGTCTCGGATGGAAGATATAGGACAAGATAGGAAAATCCGCCAGGTTTTTTTAGGGCTCATGCAACTCAAGTCGCATTTCCAGGCCATCTCGGCATTGAATTTGTACTGAGGCCAGCCGGAGGAATACATATTTCCATAACAAGTCAGAGCCAGCAATGACGAATGCGCGTGCGAGGACGAGGAAGGAATGAGAGTGGAATTCCTCGAAGGTCATCTTGTACCACAGACCACGCTCGTCGAGCATGGGTAGGATACCTTTGATTCTCGTATCAAATAGCAAATGCTAAACCAAGCTATAGAAAGCCGGTCAGCTCTTAATATCTTGTAGATATCGGAAAGAGAAACAAAGACTAACTGACGCATGCTCACTGGCTCTCTCGGATGTCCCATTAGCCATACCTGTGCCACCAAGGGCAATGTGCCCACTTCTTCTTTCCTCGTGATAGAATTGGTGGAATTGGTCAGGTTGGGTGTCTTAAGACTCTGTACGTCGAAACAACCTTTGAAGGGAGCGTAACCCGAGTCGGCGGTGAGGATTACCGTGTCCATGATTGTAGGGTAGGTGGTGATAGCATCGAGGTCCTCATGGATGCGATTAACCAGGATGGTGTTGTTACTCATATGATCAAATAGCATAGCACGAGCTAGTTTCCATCCAAGATCTCTTTTGGCGATGGAGCTTTGCTCTTCCACGTGGAGAGTGTCATCTGGAGTTGGCAGGTTGATGGATGAGGCCATGTTAGTGGGCTTGGCTGCAAGGCGCTGGTCGAGGCTAAGAGAACCGTCTTATGGAATCGATCTCCGAATGAGGCCGTTGCTAGAGAAATCCAGCGTATATAAAGATGTGGCAGCCTTGCGCAGTATGTGAGGTCTGTTATAGAATAGAACCCTTCGGGTATATATAAAGTATGAATATCAGTATGAATTGATAAGATGGACTGAAGTAGATAAAAGCGGAAGATGGTATGGGTAAGAAGAGAATGTGGGAGGTGAAGGCTTTTATGTAGCAAAGCATGTCAGTTTGTCAAACAATATTAGACAAACTTGGAAACATCCAGGTTAATGCTAGCAAATAATTATGTGATTTGAGAATTTCTAGTTTATGATTGAGATGTTGATACTCCAGAAATCTCGCTTGATATATTCTATACATTGCTGCTCTTGATATTTGAAGCCCTCCGGGTCTGATATTACTTGGTCTCTCTTTCCCCCTAACCCTAGCTCTCCTAATAAGCCGTTAATATACACAAATCAGCCATAGAATCCTATAATAGTTGAATACTCCGTATAGATTCCTACCACAGGACAAGGTATATCCCCTACCCACATCCAATGTAACAATTTCGTCATACTCACCACCCTTTTCTCCCTCCAACGCCAATCCAAATCCCAATTTCAAAAATGCCCTCCCTAACAGTAGCAGTCGCCCAATCCCGCACCCAACCCACCCTCCCAGAAACCCTCCGCGCCCTCGAACGAACAACAACCCTCGCCTCCCACCGCGGCGTCCACCTCCTCCTCTTCCCAGAAGCCTATCTAGGCGGATACCCCCGGACCTGCACCTTCAACACCGCAGTCGGAACCCGCCACCCACGCGGCCGGGACCAATTCCTCGCCTACTTCAAGTCCTCCATCGATCTAGGCGACACGCCATGCGGCGCCGGCGATGAATGGATTTCTCGAAGACTGGAGGCAGCAGAGGGAAAGCGGTTCCGAGGTGACGGGACGAGGGAGTTCCTCGAGCGTGTGTCGAGGGAGTTCCTCGAGCGTGTGTCGAGGGAGACGGGTGTTTTTATTGTTACCGGGTTGGTGGAGAGAGCGGGGGGCAGTTTGTATTGTGCTGTTGTTTATGTTGATCCTGTTAGAGGGGTTTTGGGAAAGAGGAGGAAGGTTATGCCGGTATGGTTTTTTCTTTCTTTCTCCTCTTTCTTCCCTCCACTATTTCCACTATTATCGATATTATCATGTCTTATACTGACCTCGTAGACGGCCGCCGAACGCCTAATCTGGGCCCAGGGTTCGCCCTCCACCCTCCGTGCAGCCACAACAACCCTAAACGGCATCCCGCTAACTATAGCATCGGCAATATGCTGGGAAAATTACATGCCACTTCTACGTCAGAGTCTGTATTCCCAGAACGTTAATATCTACCTCGCTCCCACGGCTGATGCACGCGATACATGGCTCCCGCTTATGCGGACTGTCGGTGCTGAAGGCCGGTGTTTCGTGCTCTCGGCGAATCAGTGTGTGCGACATTCTGAATTGCCGGAGTGGATTACCGGTGTAAGAAAGAACCAGAATTCAGATGCAGATGATGCTGCACGCACTCCATCCAAGACGGCGGGGACGCAGCTGGAAAGGAAAGTGTCTGTCACTGCTGAGGGTCCGCATGAGATTGTCTGGCCGCAGACTCATGAGGCTCCGGGTAAGGAGCAGGCCCAGGGCGAGGGTCAGGAGAATCCCACGAATACTAAACACCCCCTGGATCCTACGGAGTCAGAATGGGATTATGTCTGTCGTGGAGGAAGTTGTATTATCTCGCCTCTTGGGGAGGTTCTTGCCGGACCGTTGTGGGAAGTTTGCACAGATGACGTGCCGGATAGTAGCGAAGCTGCAGTGAGTGATTCGGCGCCTGGTACGTCAGCTGAGTCTCGTCCTGCTGTTGCGGCTGGTGATGGGTTGGCTATTGCGCGGATTGATATGGATGATTGTGAGCGTGGACGACTTGATCTTGATGTCGCTGGGAGTTATTCACGGGATGCGTTTAAATTTGAGGTTGAAGGGTTGGATTTGGCGCCGCCGCCTTTGTAGGAATCTTACCAGGTATTCAGTTATGCCAGAGTGGAAGTAATGGGATAGGAAGGGTTGGAGTATGTAGAATGCCGCTAAGAAACATCGAATTGGAAAACTTTCTACTCAATAAGCACAATCATAGCAGAATCACAGATTCTAGTCGTTAAGGTAAAGAAAAAAGGAAAACTTGACACCTCAACTGCAAACTGTCACTGAAACGCCTCAGGATATTAGCATTGAAGTGATCTTCGCCATGCCAGCATGTGCTCTCTCCGTGCTCTATATACAACCTCCACCGTTTTAGATCTAGAACCCGGGCTAGCGGTTGCTAGTCTAATGCTGCACCTATGTACCGTTTATTCCACTAGCCACACGGGCGACTTGATCAGCACCGTGGCGGGGCCCTTGCCACGCACTTCGACGGCCAAGAATGCTGCGAATCGGATACGAGGGTTGCTCGGAGTTGCCTCCGCAGGCTCGTTCTTGTCTTCGGCTGGTCCGGGCGCCGGCGCCGGACGACTGATCTCGCTAGAGCCATGCTTGCGGCTCATCAATCCGCCAAATAGGGACTTCATCGAAGGCTTTTGCTGTGCGTGTGAGGCATTCTCTATCGTCCCGGCAGTTGAGCCGGATGAGGCATCTCCCTCTGCCGCGGCAGGCTCCTCTGGATGCTCTTGGTCTGAGGGTGGTGGGGGCGGGTGGCTCAGTGCGGGCAGTTGGCCTTCAACCTTCATGTATTGCTCAGCGAGGGAAATGCCCGGTGGGAAGTAATCGACGCAGACATCGCGGGCTTCAAGGGGGATTTTCTCAATGATGTTGATTGAGTTCTCAATAATCATTCTCACACCTGCTTCTAGTCCTGGCAGCGCGATTTCATGCAGTTGGGATCCCATGAAGGTAGCGAGTTCCGCGATTAGATGCTCGACTAACTCATTGCGACGTTCTTCGGCAGCAGGTCCAACTAAGGAATCACTTAGTCCGTCAAAGGTCGTGCGGCGCCAGTAGGAAAGTCTAGCGGAGGTATTCTCGCGGTCTTCGTCGGATGACGGTCGCTGCCGTCGCAGGTTCATTTCGATATTCTTCAGCTGCACGCTGAATGTTTGATCCAAGGATGGATGGAAATAACGCTGGAACACTTCTTCTACTAGCCATCTGCTGATTACCGCCCGTCCGACCGCGGTCATTTCTTTCGTGCCGACCGATAAAGCATCGTCGGTGACCATTCCATTCAGCCACGATGGAATACTGCGCCAGTATTTGCGCACGGAGAATGCCAGATCTTTAATCGCTCCATCAAGTCGCTGGAATCGGCTGGTGTATTCATTATCGTCAAGTACGGTACGCGACACCGCCATCCGTTGGTGCGCTACCGTGTTCTGGAGATGCTGAACCTGCGCATCTTTTTCAAAGTAGTATCGTTTCACCTTGGAATACTTGGCCTCTGTTGATTGTTAGTTTACCAAAAAGCAAAACCCGAACCAAAATCCTTACGGAGTTCATCATGCTTCTGGATCAATGCCCGCACGTCCACTTCTCCGGAATCCTCGCGGCGGTGTGCATTGGTGGGTGTGCTCCGTCCGGGATCAGGCATGTTGTTTGACACACTACCCTGCCGACTCCGGTCCTGTTGACTCCGGTCTTGTTGTGGCGAACCTGCGGATCTTTGTCTGTCCAACTGTTGAAATTGACCCTGGGTCTGTGCCTGCGCGGAAGACTGCATGGCGTCAGGATAAACGGACTGTAACGGGGAAAGCGGCTCGTGAGTCTGCTGGGATGGGGGCCGGGTATTCAATACCGAATCGTGGGTAGGGGGTACAGGCTGTCCCCTATGAGAATGTTCCGACGCGTGTCGTGGTGATTCGGGAACAATATCGGTAGGCGACGGTCGGACGTACTGGTCAAGTAAGGCTGGGTCGGTGTTGGACCGCTGAAGTTTGGTGTAAGGTGGTTGCACGGGCTGCTGTGACCACTCGGGGTTGTCTTGAGCGTGAGCAGGGTGGGAAGGTCGGGGAGCTCGTTGCTGGTACTGATGAATGGGAGATTGTGCGATCACAGGTGAGGGGTTCTCCGAGTAAGAACGCCGGATATTGTGAAACTCTTCGGACTCGTCCACGGTCTCTGGGTGGTGAATAGCGGGTGATGTAGGTTGTGAGATGGGAAGGGAGATTGTTTTGCCTTTAACAGAGACACTGCGCTCCACAGACGAAAATAAGCTCTTTTTGCGCGAGTCGTCAGGGGCAACAACGTTAACAGTCGGTCGTTGACGTGAAGGCTTCTGACGTTGACTTTGCGACCGATTTAAAGTCGGCGTCGGCTGATTTTGTACAGGACCAGGACCGGAGTACTCGTATTGTGAAAAGCGCCGATCTGAATCGTTGGGTATTTCTGGAGCAAGTTGGGCCAACTGGTCTGTACTTCGCATAGAATGATGTGTCCTTGAAGGCGATTTCCTTTTAAAGAAGGGCATCACTGCTTCTGGTGGGGAAAAAAGGGGGGGAAGAGAGAGGGAGAGAGGGGGGAGAGGCTGATTTGGTGGATCTGTGGGGTCAACAAACGATTTCTATATATAGTAGGGTAAACAATGACTTGAGTATGAGTGTTTGGATATATTAAGATATTTGATATAAAGATATAGAAAAAGAAATAAATAAAAAAAGATATCTAACAGACGATCTAATGATATTGTCAATTAACAATTGCTCCATAAGGCGTATGATACTCTCTTCTATCTTGTATATCAGCCCTAACCACTATACCTATACAACACCCATCAAAGAATTAAATAAGGATTTGAAAGAATTGCGAATTCCCTATACTATACAAATTCAAGAAATGATCGTTATCTTGATATCCAGAAACACGAGCAAAAATACGAGCCTCGTCATCTACTACATACCATACTTCGGAAATAACCGCCCCCAAATTCTATGACTTTTTTTTTTTTTTTTGAAAAAAAAACTGACTCCGCTCAGGGCGAAGCAAAATTATAATTCTCGTATGAAGTACCATTCCCCATACCAACAGTGGAGTCAAAATATGTGATAGAGCAATGTTTCGTGGTAGACGCGTTAGTCCGAGGCTGAGCTCAAGGGCATGCGTAAGACAAAAAAACTCGACATATTACTACTAAACCTTCTCTATTTCAAAACACGAAAGCAATATTGATCCTTATGATCCAAAAACACAACCTTATACAATAACCCCGCAACCTCGTAATCATCATAGTGGATCGGGATTGTAACATCTGGTTGAATCAATTGAATCAACTGTAAACCCTGCTCCGCATCCATGGTGACAATCAACGCTAGCGGTTCCATTAGTCTTCCTACTAACGGAGAAGGAATGGTTGTGCCGCTGAGGTGGGCGAGCATTAGGTCAATTCGTTGGTCTGCATATCGCTTGGGGATTTCCTACAGCTCGTCTTCCATTGAGGTGTCTCCTGAGATGTAGATGCAATACGGTGCCGTTGTCTAGATCGATCATCCAGCCGTTGGTTGGTGGGAGCTATTGGTCTGTTAGGTCGAGAGCAACATCCAGGAGAAGAAATGCCTAAGAATATAGGATAGTGTCCTTGTATAATAAGTATATTTAGCTAGCGAGATAGCTACGTTTCCAAAAAAAAAAAAAATCCGGACCAGGAGCTCTGCCGTCAGGGGCTTCTCGGGGTTCAGGGCGAAAGACATCAGATGAAAGAGGCTAGATGAAGCCTAAAGAGAAGATGAAATCATTTTCATTCATCCGGAAAGTCGAAGTAACATGCAAAGGGAAAAGCAATGGCGCCTCTAAAAAAATACATCATTCTCACCACTTCCAGCCATTAATATCAGTTTGAGCGTCAGGGTTTGTCACAGGGAAGACTTGGTCAAACGCTGTGGTATATTGCACGAGCCCAAAGGCCACAAAGAACAAGTCGGTCCACTGCTTGGTCTTGTCAATCTCAACAGCACTGTTAAACCCAGAAATATGCCTAAATAAGGTTAACTTATTATTGAAAACCAATAGCACTAGACTTTATACATACATATCCCCACTAGTCCAGTCGTAAATTATCTTTGATAGCATTGGCGGAGATGGGTCATAGCCGGACTTGATAAGTTGTCTAGTTTCTGTTAGCTCTTGGTATATAGTCTAAATCAAGAAACCCGAAAAACTGACGTATAGATGTTCACAAACGTTTCACGGATACTCTGCCGGGTAGAAAAAGGAGCATCCCAGAATGTTTTGTGGTCTAGGGAGACTCCAGGGACTTTTTCCCAAGCCAGGTAAACGAGATAGCCCCCCGGGACAAGATCATGTTGGTCTTGTTCGTCATGTCGGTATCCAATTACCCGCGGGGTGATGCTTTGGCCTTTGAATTTCAAGTTGTGTTCCTTGACAGCAAGTAACGCATCAAGCTCTGTGGGATGATCACATCGGGCGGCCTGGGTGGCTCGGACGTCTGGCCTCTGTAATTCTGTTCCTGTAATAGGGATTTGTTTGAAAATTCTGAGGAAGGCGACAACCGGTGGACCCTCAGGGAGAGAAAGCGCACAGAGGAATTTTCCTTGCACGCAGGGGGGGCGGCGGTCGATGTCAATGTCGATGTCGTCCTGAGTCAACGGATAAGCACGCTCTTGAAGTTTCTCGATGATTATCCAGTGCCCCGTAGGAAACTCAACCGGGGCTTGCGGGTGCGGGTTGAGAGTGACCTGTTGACCTTCGAGGCCGTTGAGATACTGCTGGGATGTCGACATGACGAATTGTTGGAAAGAAAGAGATGTTTGTAGCTCTGGAGAAGTACAAGGTGGATGACTACATAATTATGTAGGTACCTAGTATGGATGTATCCATGGATCTATGCACATGTAATAAGCTACTTTCTACCTACTGTCCGCTTTTCCCATTTAGGATGGATGGGCCTGCGCACCGCATTTCCGTTTGCACCTTTGAGATCCTATCTTTAAAGAATGGCTCAGTTGTAGTATATTCAATGGGATTGATCAGCCAAAAAAACTTGATGTATCTCTATGGCGGTTTATATTACACTTGATCCTACTATGTAGTTATATAGTGTCGTAAATTGACTCCGACCTTGTTACTGAATCTTGACCGGGAAGCGGATGTAGCTACAGTTTCGATTTAAGAACCAATAGGTTTGCTCTCGAACAAGTTATGCTTTGGGTCAAATGACAACTTACCCTTGAATAGGCTCTTAGCTATAGCTAACTATCCTGATTAGTTGGCTTAATCGGGGACGGGAAGGGTTCGAGGTAGATTCGGACGGAATGGGTCTTGATCAGTTAGTGGACCGGACTACTAAAAAAGAACGAGGTCTTCCAAGTACGAGGTCGTGTAGGTCGGCAGCTGGGTCGGTAAGGCGCTTGCTTGACACGTCTTGACCGAGGTGGACATGGTCGCCTGCGTGGAGGAAGTTGGGCTAACACGGTCAGTCTGTGAGTATCGGGCTTCTCGTCAAAAGCTGACATCAGTCATAATCCGTATTCCAGCTCATTGTCTGCTTTATTTAGCAGACGCTAGTATATTTTTTCTTGGTGTGAACAAACATGATTGTTGTGGCCGTGCCTATGAAGAAGAGAGATGCGTTCTCCTCGCCTGATTTGGACGGATGAAGCTTCGTCGTCAGTCTTTACTTCAGGCTCATTGATTTATCCATTTCAATTACATGGTGTGTATGCTACAGCTATAGACCCAATGGGCTGGATCTTGTCATAAGAACACAAGCGTGCGGTACGGACATAGTTCATGCTTAAAACTACTCTATCTAAATCTTGTTGCGCAACATAATGCGAAGATATGTAGACAGGAGGCGTGTTGAACGAGATATTAACACACGCCATGTGTCTTGCCAGTCTTGCCCTGTAGCGAATGACGCTCGCCTTTGTAGTGAGGGTGAGTGCGCGACTCGTGCCGAGGGTGGTTGCGGTGGATCTGCATATGCCTGTGGAGCTGTCAGTATGAGAACAAACCCTTCTAGGGGAAAAGAAACCATACGTTCTGTACTTGGCTATCATGGACTTGTCCATTGAATCCAACGTCTGGATAGCAAGTTTGAAGTCCTGGAGCAAGCTATCGCATCGGTTCATGCTGAAGTCTTCGCGAATGACAATACGCATCATCTGCATCTTCTCGCAATTGGGCGCCATGGTGTACGCAGGTACAATCCAGCCCCGCTCACGAAGCTGGTGGGCCACAGCGAATTCATCGTAGACACGTTCGTTGTTTGGGGGGAGGCGGAAGGCCACCAGAGGCAGGCCATAGCCTTCCCTTTGGCTCAAGATGATCATGCCCAACTTCTCAAACTCAGAAGTCATGTAGTCGCTAACGCGAGTCAAGTTGGTCATGATTGCACGGTAACCGCGCTTACCCAGGCGGATCAGCTGGTAGTACTGCCCAATAACGTGGGAAGCACCCTTGGAGAAGTTCAGGGTAAAGCTGGCCTGGTCGGCTCCTAGGTAGTTGATATTGAACACCAATTCCTGGGGCAGGTACTCCGGAGAGCGCCAAACGACCCATCCGACACCGGGGTAGACCAGACCATACTTGTGACCGGAGACGTTGATGGAAACCACCTTTTCCAAGCGGAAATCCCACTCAATTTCAGGGTGGATGAATGGGGCAACGAATCCACCACTAGCTGCGTCAACGTGAATTGGGCAGTCAATGTTACGCGCCACTAGTAGATCATTGATCGCCTTGACATCCTCATATTCACCAGTGTAGGTGGTGCCCAAGATGGCACAGATGCCGATGGTGTTTTCATCCACTAGATCGACTGCCTGTTTGGGGTCGATTACGAAGCGAGTATTGCTGCAGAAAACGTACTTCTCCTCAATATCAAAGTAACGAGCGGCCTTTTCCCAGCAGACTTGGACGGCACTGCTCATAACAATGTTGGGGCGAGAGTAGTCCTTGCCCTCAGCCTTGCGCCTGTTCTGCCATCGCTTCTTCATAGCCAGTGTTCCCAACATAATAGCCTCGGAAGACCCAATGGTTGAAGTGCCCATAGCATTCTCACCGGAGGGATCAGTGGGAACGTTGAAGAGCCTAGCAATCATATTCACGCATCGGTTCTGGATCTCGGCGGAGTGGGGATATTCCTCATAATCGATGAAGTTTTTACTGAATGATTCGGTCATGATCTGCTCAATCTCGTCTTCCATGTAGGTGGTAACAAAACTGGCGAGGTTGAGCTTAGGATTACCGTCGAGACTCAGCTCATCCTTGATCATACGAGCGGCAACTTGGCGGGGCATCTCTCGCTCTGGCATTTCATTCTGAGGCATATGATCAGCGGCAAAGTGACTGCCGTAGACATTGGTGTCGAAGTCATTGATATCTGGGGGAGAAATTGAGACAGCTTCATGGGTAGAGGGAGTAACCTCATTGTCCTTCTTAACTTTGGCGAGATGAACCATTGTGAACAATTGACAAAATATGAAATGAGTAAAACAAAAAGAACAATCTCAACCCCGAAAAGTAGGAAATCAGAAATATAAGAGGGGGAAAAAAAAAGGGAAGAAGCAGAGCAACCCACGTGCGGGGGAGCTTTCAATGACGCAGTCAATCAGCCCATCACTTTCCTTCTCTTCTACCTCTCCTACTTTATTTATATTCCCTTCAATAGTTATAATCTCCAATTTCTACCTAATTCAATCTAATTTCTCTCTCTTCTTCTATATATTCCTATACACAAAACTCCCAAGACAATCTCGGTGTTGCTAAAGCTTGGTCAAAGCTTGGCAGAGCAAAGTGACGATCCCGATGGATCCGGTCTGACCCTCTCATATGGAGCCACGTTGAATGTGACGAGGTCCAAGAGTCAGAGTTTACTCTCGCGCAGAGTTTCCACTTTGGCGAATTGATAGTAAAAGTCCAGGCTCTTCGGGTTGAGTAGTGTACCTGAGGGCTTGATGATTTTTCCCGAGACAATCTGCTTCACAGGGAGCTCCACCTTTTTCAGATTGACCGTGGTCTGTGACGATATACGTGGGTCAGTCCCGCTTTTATGGATCTTGTTTTCTACAGTGGACAAAATACATACCGGAATTTCAGGGGTCTCGAACGTAAACATCGGCACATGGCGGGGACTCAGCTCTGAACGAATCGCACTTTTCACTCGTGTAACCAGGTCCGGTGTGCACGCTACCCCTGGTTTCATGAGCAAAAATAGTATCACTCGCTCGTCCGTATCCGTTGGTCGCCGCTGGCCTACGCATATGGAATCAGCAATTTCTTTCGAAAATTGGCCCTCCAGCACTCGGTAAATCTCGGCCGATCCGAACCGCACTCCCGATGGGTTGAGCACCCCATCGGCGCGTCCGTGAAACACGATCTGTTTCGTGATTGGATGGATGGAAACGAAGTCGCCGTGTGTCCACACATCTGTAGAGTATTAGCGACAATAGCTACACAGAGGGGGGAAGTGGTCCCACTATCGAATCTCCCAAAGTACGCATCATGGTACTTCTTGCCACTCTCATCACCCCACAGCAGTGTGGGCATGTTGGGAAAAGCTGATGTGGCAACCAATTCACCGGGAACGCCCTCCTCCACGGGTACACCCTTTACTCCATCGCCGCCCTCAATCTCAGAGTCGTAAACCTCCACGGGAATTCCCAGACTGCATCCGGCGCACCCGCCGACATACAGCGGGACAAGGGGGTTGCCAGTTCCAAAGCATCCTGCGATATCAGTGCCGCCAGAAATATTATTCAGGCGAGTATGGGTTGGGAACCCTTCGTCGTAAAACCACTCGAACAATTCATCCCGTAGAACCATGCCAGTGCTTGTGACAACCCGTAAAGAGCTTAGGTCAACTTTCTCACGGGGCTTGATCTTAGCCTGCTGTAACTCATGGAGCCAACGGGGTGATATTCCCAGGTGGGTCACCCTGTAATTGATCAGTCAGGAACTATACATTTTATTGTCAATAGAAGGACACTTACCTCTCCTGTGCCGCAAGATCAACCAAGGCAGTAATACCTGGAATGAATGGACTTCCATCGTATAGAACCAACCGCACACCAAAGAGCAAAGTCTGCACGGCACTCATATACATAATCCATCCAGTGGTCGTATATTGCAAGGTGACACAATCAGGCCCGAGATCACTATGCAATCTCCCCTCCTTGCTCGAGTTCAGAAGCACCCCGCCCACAGAATGCACGATACACTTCGGCTGTCCAGTGGTGCCAGACGAGTAAACCACCAAGAAAGGATCACGGAATGCAACTCTTTCGAATTCAAGTTTCTCATTGCCGCCCGCCTTCGCAAGATACTCCGCCAGAGTCTTAGTCCTAGGGACTGAACTGATATCCGCCGGCCGCGCAGAGAACCGAGGTAGTGCGATAACTCCCTCGAATGCAGGCTCAGACTCCATACCTTGAACAATTCCCTTAATCTTCGACCGCAGGTCAATAATCTTGCCATTGTAAACAGCCAAGTCATCCATAAACAACCAGCGAGGCTTGATCTGCAGCAATCGATCCAGAACACCCTTAGTACCCATATCGGTAGAACTAGACGAGAAGATAGCTCCCAGAGCGGTTGACGCCAGGAACACAAGTAGCGTTTCAATACTATTCGCCGCGCAGAGAGCAACCCGATCACCCCGAACAACCCCATGAGCCTTCATAGCTTGGACCAGCACTCCAGTCCGTCGTCGGAGCTCACCCCAGGTGAGATGAACAACCTCATGCGCAGCGCCTTCTCGGACTTCGCTAACGGCAATCTTGTCGTCTTCTTTACCAGTCTTATTGCCAGCAACGCGCGAGAAAAGTAGGTTCTCAGCAAAGTTTAGTCGTACACCGGCGAACCATTCGGGCACGCTGTCCATTCGAGCGGTCTCATCGACTACCTTTGTGTAGGAGCCCTCGTGGATTAGGTGGAAGTATTTCCAGCAGAATTCCCAGAATGCAGAACGGTTCTTGATTGAATACAAGTACATATCATGGAAGGACTGGACGAGGTTAGATATATGGTATCTTTTAGACGATATTTACTCACGCCGAAGTTGTGTCCGGTGGATTTCTCTAGCTCTCGCTGGAATTGACCCATCTGGGTCGATTCTGGGGCCGGATGCTGCCATATTTTACGTGGAAGGGACGCCATGATGAATTGAAGTGAATATGTGAGAAATATTGAATTCGCCCACCAGTTTTATGTACCTCCAAGCCGAGGCCCGACATAGCTATTTATAAGCGGTAAAATGCGGGGGAGGGGATCTGCTCTGTACACATCTACAGAGCTGAATGTTGGGAACATAAAGTCCAATCCCATCATATCACTTCTCAACCTTCTTTTATGCTGTAATATCCTCGAGGTACTGGTTCCGGCTGTTATCGTATGGAATATAGATCATCGCGTTGGCGATGTTATAGCACACCAGTCAAGAGCTACGTAAGTACAACATAGTCTTCAGGAAGGATTCCATTGTTCTCTTCTATTCCATGTTCTAATTTACCTCTTCTCTCCTTATTTGGCCTGGTTTAATAACAGAACTAGATATATGTAGTGAAATTGCAATAGTATGAAGTAGGCTCCGAACTAAGGTGATATCAACAGATCTATATGGCTTCATTCATTCAAAACCAACACCCACACAAACTAGGTCACACCTTCTTACATTTCTTCCCTATTCATCTTCTGCACTGCGCGTTCCTTTCTTTCCTCTTCTACATTCATACAAGCCCCGTCTCCCTGGAAACAATGACTTAACCCCCAGATTCAATGGAATTGACTTTCAGAAAGTCCTCAGCCACAAGAGCCATTAGATTTGGCAGAGATGTTTATCAACCCAGGACTTCCCAGCTCAAGCCCACCCTAAGAAGGAGAAAAACCGAGTCAAATAATCTCAAAGTTATATATTCGTACAGCCAAAGCAGCAAGCAAGTATCTTTTTCATAAATGATATGATCCACGCCAAAAAGCAACACATTCTTCGGTCGCTGGAGTCCAACCTCTCATCTCTTCCTCCAATTCACGATATCTCCATAGGAGCCAGTGCGGTAATTAATATAGTCTTGTTATAGGATGAAAATCCCAAGTGGCCAACGATTGATAGACTGCTGAAGTGCTATCGATACTATGTACTGTTCATTGGTATTCCTCTTTCCTGGTGAGAAGGACCGGGGAATCTTAAAAGGAACTTCGAACAACGCCAAATGCGTATCCCGATCTCATACAGATCGCCCAAATGCATGGCGTCGAAGTAGGCAAGTGTGATCTGTATGTTGTAGAACATGAAACAAAACCACACTATATGTTGTAGTGGTTGGGCTTCATTGTTGAGCCCACCTGGCGTGGGGCACCCATTACCACCACCACCACCATCGCACTACCCCATGCATCAGGGTACAGTATCTCACGTCAGTGATGTTGTATTGTGTACAGCGTTTTTAGCATGTCACCTCGCATCGAATCTCTTTTCATTGCAAGCCTCTTCTTATCCAATATTATTTGCGGGGGGAAGAGGGGGTTGCGGCTCCCTAGCAAAACTACTACCGAAACCCTAACCAATAACGACCTCAATTGCAAGGTGATGCTACTGTAATACAGATGATTCGCCAGAAGATAGATAAACGATCATGCCATAAAGATCTCCGATTTACATATCAGATGGAGCAACGCATTGACGCCTGACTAGCGGTGTACATCAACAAAAACTTGGAAGCCCCAACGGCTCTCCCCTAACTTGCTTTTTTACACACGAAAAAATAATAAGCACTATAATTCTGATTCTGATATATAATTTCAACTGGTGTATCATCAAAGCCTGACAAAAGAAAGAAAAACAACGAGGTAGCCCTGAGGTATCCTGCAAGCCACTCAACATCCCCAACTAGCGTATATCATACACCGGCTCCCAACAGCGATTAATCTATTTGAACTTGCGCTTCAACCAGGACAGGAATCCGCCCTTCTTCTTCTCAGCCTGCTCGGCCTTCTCGGCCTGCTCTGCTGCGGTCTCGGATGGCTTCTGGGTCTCCTCCTTGGCAGGCTCAGCCTTGGTCTCGGGCTTGGGCTCCTCAGCCTTGCGCACTGGCTCCTCGCCGCGCTTCAGGGCAGCTTCGGGCTTCTTAGGCTCGGCCTCCTTGGCAACGGGGGCAGCAGCCGGAGCGGCAGCCTTGTCGCCCTTGGAAGAGAGGATGGCAGCGTTCGCGGCGGCGACAGCTACGGGAGATGAGGCAGACTTGCCGGCGCCGGACTGAGCAGTGGTGCTCTTGGCGGCGGGAATCTTCTCCTCAGCGACCTTCTTCTCCTCTGCAATCTTGGGAGTCTCAGCAACCTCGGGTGCTTCAGCGACCTTCTTCTCCTCGGCGACCTTAGGCGCCTCAGCAACCTTGGGTGCCTCGGCCACCTTCTTCTCCTCGGCGATGGGCGCCGCAACGACCTTAGGGGTATCGGCAACGGTGGGTGCCTCAGCCTGAACCGGCGTAGGCTCGGGAGTTGCGAGCGCAGCAGCCGAAGCGGGTCCAACACCAGCCAAGGCCTCAATGGTCTTCTTGTCCTCGGTCACGCTAGCCGCGACAGACTCCTCGTCGGTCTTGGGCATCTTGTGGGGCTTCAGGTTCTCCTCGGTGTTGAAGATGGGCTTCTCGTACGGGCGCTTGGGGTGAGCAGCATCGGTCTCGGCAACAGGCGCAACGACGGGGGCGACAGGCTCGGCCGCAACAACAGCGGGGGCAACAGCAGGGGCGGTGGTTGACTCCGAGGTCTTGGGGCGCTCGGCCAGTGTCGCGGGGACGCCGGTCGCGGCGCTGGTGGAAGCGGGCTCCTTGGTGGTGATCTCTGGGAGGACAGCTGCAAATTCTATGTTAGTTGAAATTGTTTTCGCATTTTTACTAACGCGCATCATACCAGTGCCTGCGGCAGCGCCATCTTCCAATTCGCCCACCTGGCCAGCCTTGGAGGCTTGCGCTTTCTCCACGGCTTCCTCAACAGTGCCCTCTGTCGCGGGGGCCTTGTCGGCCTTCAAAGCCTCCTTGAGATCCACCTCCTCGGTCTCAGTCACAGCTGGGATCTCAGTTGTGGGGGCCTCGGTCACGCGAGTGGCCTCGGGTGCCTCGCTAGGCTCGACGACGGTCTCGGGCTGTGTCGCAGTCTCGGGTACCTCTGTCTGCTCGACGGTTTCAGTCTGGCCTTCGGTTTGGGGTTCACTGGAGAGTTAGATTGCTGGTTATGTGGAAGGAATTTTTCGACTCACACGACATCCTTGACATTGTCTACCGCAGCGGCGGCGGGCTTGTTGCCGCCCTTCTTGTTCTTCTTTCCTCCTTTCTTAGCCATGATTGAGATTATGTAGATTCTGCGCTTGTTAGAATGGTGTGAATAGTAGAAATCGAAGTTCACTTACGATGGTGGTTAAGTGTAGGAAGGAAGAAGGCAAGGGATGACGCGGTATGTTCTCGTCTCTAGGGTTCTCGATCCGTGGTGAGGACAGTTATGGAACACAAAGTATCAATTTCTTTTTTTGACGAGTTTTTCTTTAGTTTATTATTAGAAATGCTTTCTAAATTTCAAAGACTCGAATTCCCTTTCTCTTTTTTTTTTCCGTCTCTTTTACTCTACTCCGTACATTCCTCCGCATGCGATGTCTCTTTCATAGTTCGCCTTGTCGTGTGAGCTTGGGCCAGCCCTAACGTCTGCATCGGGTAAATAGGGTTGTGCCTTACACGACTAAGGGCCGTTCAGGGGTAATCAGGGTCAGGGAAAAGAAGGGCTTAGGAAATTATCTGGGGAAAGGCACAGAGCCTAATGTAGTATCCCGTATTCCTTTATTAGACATTCTTCGTGGAGAAGGGCTCGAGGGCCATAAACAGCGATTACATCATCTCTCTTGAAACATGTAGAAGATCACAATCAAAGACGAAAATAGTAATAAAAATGATTAAAATAGTAAAATGAGTGTACAATGCAAGATCCATGGCTTTGAAAACTTATGGAGTCAGACATTGTCCCCACTAGATGTATATCTTCTGTGCAGTAGTGGATTGAGGCGTTATTACATGCATGCCTGCTCCATCGCTCCATAGGTACTCCGTATGTTGTAGGATGTCACATAATGCCAACGGTCTTCGATCCTAGATAATTTCGAAGATCATGTGATAAAATAATTCGTGCGTACAAAAATACAAAAGTACAAAAATTGAGTAAATTGAGATTTAGTCGAGGAAACGAATTGAACAAGAAGGGCAAAAGGGAAAAAAAGAATTGACCGACGCAGGGATCGAACCTGCAATCTCTTGATTCGTAGTCAAGCGCCTTGCCATTGGGCCAGCCGGCCGCTGTGATTGTTTTCGACAAAATATGCATTATCAACCAGAACTTATCCTCCCCGGCCGAACCGGCAAAATCGGCAAGCGGGGCAACTTGGAGTCCACTTTTGATTTCCGGTTTATTCCCGTGGTGAGTTGGCATTACCACATCTTCTTATTACAAAAAAGGAAATGATGTAACTGTGAGGCTAACCCGTGTTTCTGGAATCCTTCGATGCAGTACGCCACTTACATCTCCGATGATCATAAAGTATTTCGAGAGTTATTTCCAATATGGGGAATTAATGACATCTCGATCTTCATTATATTTGAATGATATTCTAGACTCGGCCGTTGTTCGGGTTCGGATTAATTACTCGGGAATTAAATATCGCTTACAGTATATAGTACTCCATATATGGAGTACGAGTACGGAGTATGTACTACCTACAACATACAACACAACTTGCTAGTTATGGAGTACGAATGTTTCAATATTCAATATACCAATCAAAATAATAGTTAGAATAGATAGTATAGATAGTATAGTAGTTCACGCACAGACTCCACTATTACACGCCTTTACCAATTCGCCCCAATGTCTTCACCGGATTTGGACCGGAGATGGTTCTGGGGAATCCCACCTTATCTCTTGCCGTTGCATCCACGTTTACTATAATTCCCACTTATCCCTCCTCTTCTTACCTTTTCCTATTTTATCTTTTACTTTTTCTATCTCTCTATGTCCTAGAATGATAAAATTGTTCCTGATCCAATCCCGCTTTCTGTGCTTGCACACCCAATCTGACCGTATGCACTGAGCCATTCCGTGTACAGGAACCGCCCGCATTGATCTCTGAACTTCTTGTTGAATCTTGAATATCCCCAGTTCATAATTCTTTTTTCTTCCAATATGACGTTCCGTGAGAAGGTCAAGCGGGTGTTCCGCTCCAGCTCCAAATCCAAAAATGATGGGAAGCCCAAGATCGAATATTACAAACGACATGAGTGCCCCCCTTCTAAATTCCGTGGTCCATTCGACCGTGCCCACCAAAGAAGCCTAGCCGCTTGGTCCTTCGAAGGGGCAATGGTCGAGAGAACTCGTTCATTTGAACTCTCCGTGTCGCCCTGTGACCCCTGTGAGAGTGACGGTTACTCCCGTCCATCCGATACAGAAGACTCGGTCTCTCCGGATGATGCAGCCGTCGTCGATCCAGGTACGCATTCCACGGCCCTAATCGAAATATTCCCTCCAAAAAATTTCAATTTCTAACTTTCATATTTTTATAGTCTCCTCCAATCCAGAGGTCCCTGCGGAATCTTCGCCACGCGCGGCTGACTCCGGCTCTCAGTCCTCCACCATCCTCAACCCCTCCAGTTACAGTGGCTCAATGATGACTCTTATAAACGAGGGCTCTATCTACGAGATCCCGGAGGATTCAAAGGACCCGAAGTTCTTTTTAAAGGAGTCAATTCGCTATTCATCACCCCTCGTCCGCGCCATCTCGCCCGCTATGTCCCCGTGCGTCATGTCCGCCAGAAAGGAACTCCCTTTCTCACCCGAGGATCTCGCCCGCGCCCTGGTCGCCATCCAGGTCTGTGGCTGATATCTGCTGATGTCCGCACTTGATTCACCCCTTTTCTCCCACCTACTTTCTTCACATCCAGGAGATTGTTCCTTTTGAATCATCCCTTCCATTCCACAAGGCTCGATGTCTTTCTATTTATTCAACCCTTTTTTTGGTTCCTTTTGGTTCCCTTGGGACCACGGTCGGATATCGTTCTGATACCTTGAGTATCGACGTCCGCCACCCCTAACACAGCGCACTGGCACGCTGTTTCTTGTCGCCGACCGAGTCGCTCCTCACTTGATGTCGAGGACCTTTAGTCGGTGGTCATTCCCTCATATCTGTCACGCATTTGCATTGAGCGTATACCCGTTAAGGATTTTGGCTTTTGTTTTGATTATTTTTACGTGTGACCTGTCGGTCGCTTTGATGGTCACCCATCTACCCCTGGCTTCGTGAGCCATTGCTCTCATCACGATATACACGCGAATGTCTCTCTTAGAAGGTCTAGAGAAAAATAGAACGTCGCTTGAGATGAAATTCGGGGTCTTTTTTCCCGACAAATTGTAAACTCTTAAACTCTCCCAAAACAATTAAATCTAAAAAGGTACAACACATATAGATCGCTCTAGATTCTCGCGTTCTCGAAGAATCTCCCAAATCCCCCGCCTAAAGCCAAGCTTTCTTCCCCCGCACTAAGATTGCACATCGCTCCATTCTGGTAAAGATTCATGTGATCAGCTTGGTTATCACAGGCTTTTCAGTGGTTGGGTATGGTGTCCGTCCATATGTCAAATCGGATCACCGTTGTAGTATTGAGCTTGGCTAACTTTGTTATGAGCCTGTTTTGATGTTGGTTGATCCGCGGTACATACTTCCATTATATATATTCGTGCACCAAATGGTGTCGTAATCAAAGACACAATAAAACCTTGAGAAAACAGGAATTACTTTTAAGTCATTGTACGTAACAAAAAAAAATAGCATTCGCATTTTTGAACAGAAAATCACAATCCCCGAGGGAAAAAAGGATTAAAAAAAATTCCCAGAGCAACCAAGAAACAATACTGCAGCCAGGAGCGAAGAATAGAATATCACCAACCATATTTATCCATAATAGCTCTGAGAGAAGGATATACTCTTTGCCAGCCTTCTTGGTCTTCGCTGAGGTTATCAAATCTATTATATGATAACCTTCGAGGCCATAGTTAACAATCCTTGGCATCATAAGACAGCTAGATTTTATACAGGGAGCTAGGCCCAAACCTGACATGTTCGTAGACCAACCATATACCACTTGAGGATAATGGCACGGCGATAAGTGAAATAGCCTACAAAAATAGAAAGGTCATCGTCTAGCAATCAAGTGATTGTGAACGGCAGTACATGATGTACACTAAAACTACGTGATCAAAATGACTGGTGAGAACAAGTCTCGAGTCTTATAGGTGACACTTTTACTATATCTCACAAACCTTTCCAATATCTCTTATTGGATTATCCCATCTCTTATTTTTTGCTTGCAGACTTAGCAGCTTGTTTGTCAAGCTTGTTTGTACAAGGTATAAATACCCAACTCTTGGCTAGATTAATCAACAATGCTTCTTCTTCCTCTTACTCCCCTTCGCTAGTAACCATAATACCACTCACTTTGAATTCAAGCCAGACTTGCAAACTACCTTGGCATTTGCCCTTCTGCAAACGTCCCCTTCCTTACCCGACTATTGGGAGCGTTCTATTTCTTGTTAGTGATGGGTATCGGTTCGCTCCTGCTAGTCTTCAACAACATACACAATGTTGTATGTCAACAATCCCCCTGTCACATCCTACGAAGACACGATCGATGGCATTTTCATCAGGTATAGCCCTGGCGCAATTGATACCCCCGTGATGCCATAATTCCAAGTGGACCCGGTTGTATTGAAATGTGCAATTGGCATCTGGTTCACGGGTGTTCCAAATTAATCGGGAAAATTAGTGTTAGTATCGTGTATGTCGTTATTCAAGTGCTAATAGTCTAGTGACTAACTGTCTCCTAGAGGTTAATTCCACGATTGACGTCAAACACAGCGACTGGTCTGGAAAGGGCGAGTGTCATATCGACTGCTCTCAGGATTATGTAGAATGACTGGACTGTGAGACCTGTGTCGAAGATGGTATACTGCGAACAAATCCCAGCAGGGTTAGAGGGCCACCGGTATGAGCTTCGCTCCCTTCTTGCCTTCGCCACTCTTTTCTAGGGTGTAGACTCCCATGCTGGCGCCTCCTTTGGCGTTGATATCTTCCCCGCTTCTTCCATTGCCGAGCTGGCACCTAACGTGAACCGCCTATGACGCTCCTATGGCCCCCCACTCAATCGGCATGTCGAGGTCTATGGCTTACAGACATGTTCCCCAGTAAGTCTCAATTCCTATTACCCATTTCTCATACTAATACTAGTTGAGCACGAGATCGATGAGTCCAAGGGACGACCATGCGCCATACAGAGGAAGAAGGAACGGGCGATGGGATTATGCAAGGTGATAGATACTGGCTCTTGGAAGCGAATTTACTGACCGGGGCCATGGTCAGCGCTGAACTAAAACAACTATAATCGAAAAAAAACTTGTTCTCCAACTATATCCTAGCAATTGCTCGTATAAACATGTAGAGACTCTAGCATAGTTGCCAGTCTATTCTCGAAATCACTGCTTGGCCACTTTGAGGTCTTTTTACCTTTCGCGGTAAGGAACTATATCAATTCTCTAAATTAGGATTTCTGATTTGCAATCCCAACCAGACCTATTTGATCGACATTCGCACTTTGAACAGGAAGACTTTCTCACAGGTAACACAATAGTCCCGTGTTATTTGAGCAGTCAGCCTGTACGAGCCAGATCAACGACTCCGATACCAAGCACACGCCCTGTGCGGATAATAAATTTCACTGAAAGTTAGCAGTTATCCAAAAAAATGATTTCCGAAGTACTACTCTGAACTAATTAGAAAGTATATTTGTTCAAAGAAAGTGTAGTTGAAAGATGTCCTCGGGTGGCTGAAAGAGATCCTTGAATGAATACGACTCATAGGCCAATTGCGAGCATGGAAGTATATCATGGAACAAAAATATGACTTATCAAATCTATACCCCTGTCCTTCTGATTATCCAAAATGTCTCATTTTTAGGATCAAATAATCGTCATTCTATGGACCGAGTCTGAATGTAAGACACAGAAACGGGCACACGTGGAGCGGGACCTGGAAAGAACCACATCGTGGATTTGAATCTGATCCGAGATAAGGCTCGCTTTGTGAAACACCAACAAGACTATTGGGAGAGTGCAGATGGCGTTACACAACAGGTATAGGATTCTAGGAAGCCCCAATTTCATGGACAATCAACATTATGAGCTTTGATACCAAAAGGAGCTGAATCCCTGCAAAATTGCACGCCTCAATTACGACGTGGAATCTGATCATACTAGATTAGGTCTAAGCACTTTCTTCATTGGTACGGTGCTAGGATTTGAGGCCCATTGTTGTCACCGCTGCGGTTCATTGCATCTAGAAGCGTTTTGGTTATTCTGTACCTGGAATGATTAAACTACTTCGTACTTTGTACACCGTACGGAGTACGATTATTCCAGCCTGGTTCTTGATAGTATGATTTTAAATAAAGAATTCGAAGAGTAGGAATCAATCGACCTCGGGAAGTGTGATGATTGGGTGCGTTTGCTGCCATTTATGGAGTGATGTCGGTGAGAGCTGAGTACCGCAACCATCTTTATGCAGTTTTATGGTGTATCTTGGTATAGACATAAAGCAAGACGTACCCCTAGTTCTATCTGAGGTCATCTGCTTTCAATCGAGGGTGATATTGAAAGTTCTCTCAACATATCGTGCTAGATCATCGCTTGATGGGGACAAGGAATTTATCATACTGTCAAGCATATGGCATGGCGTTTTCTCTGTAAGATAAAATGATATTTACACTCTGCATATAGTACTTTCGTATGGCTCGTTTACTGCTCCACTACTCCGTACGTAACCTCACGATACTTACATGACCAGATATACTCCACTCACAAATGAAAGAAGCTAGAAGAGCCAGTCAGATATCCTAGTTGGCCAAGAAAGCCAGTGCGACTAGATTGAACCTATTATTCAATTGGCCTGATGAGGTGAAAGGTGCCTACATACCTAAGGCAGGAATATCCACACTGTACTTAATGCACCTCTCGCCCACTGGTATCATGCCTTAACTTCTATGACATGGTCCAAGAGTCAAACTTGAAATTCATTCTCTTTGTTTTTCATGGCATTTCATTATTCGTTTGTCACTACACCGAGACCATCAACCTAACTTCTCCTTCCATCTGAAGGATAAAAACACATCATGCTTCGCTCTCTGCGTCGTTCTCTGCGACGTTCTCTGAATCGTTTTCTTTGCTTTTCCTCTTCCAAATCATGTGAAGCCACAGATTCTACGGCACATGGCACGAAAAATGCGGAAGATCCCATTCCCTTGAGACCTGCTGGCAGAACGATTGCTCAAGCCCGAGTTCCTAGTCCCTGCCCGGAGGAGCTTGGTAGCGTACAGCCCAGAGCTCCTTCAGTTTCTCCCTCGAGCTGCAATAGCAGCACACAAACCGAGTCAACAGTTGCCTCAGATAGCGAAACCAGAGCAACGACAGTATCAACCGTGATTGGTAACGCTTTCACGCTCCCCGAGACGCCTGCCAAGACTACATCCACATCGAGATTGAACACCATCACACCGTATACCCCCATCCTGCAGGCAGATGGCAGTCTGCGAGCCCCGCAGGTTACATTCGATGGCTATGGTTCCTACGGGGGCCGGTTCGCCCCTGAATCAATAATGGGGTTCCTCTACGAGCTGACAACATTCTTCGAGGCCACCGTCTCAGACCCTTCGTTCTGGGAAGAATATGCCACGCTCCAGCGTTCCCAGATCACACCACTCCACATGGCCGAGAATTTAACCAGACTGGCAGGTGGAGCTACCATCTGGCTCAAGCGCGAGGACAAAAATGAATACG